AAAGCAAATCGACGCGAGATATATCTTGTTCCGGACAGTGGAAATGTTACCTTGTTCACAATGAACTTGGGCAGTCTCTGGAAATGCTCCCGAACCGCGGTCCGGACCTCCACCGCCAGTTCCGCCTGGATGACGCTCAGGGGTATATCTTGGCAGTCCTTTGTCGGTGCGCAATCTGAAAGAACGCTCAGGAAATCGTCATAAATCGAGCGCGCAATTGTTTTCGCCTGAATTGCCGCCGAGTCTTTAGGTGGTCTCCCGCGGGGCGCTACTGGACCATTCAGAATCAAAGAGATCAGATTTTTGATGATAGTTTCTCCATGTGCCTTGTGCAGAATGAGATCAAGTGTGTCCGCGTCCTTTTCCTCCTTGTGCTGGACTTTCGGAGCACTCGCTTGATTGACATCAGTGCCCAAGTTCTGGTCTGGTGCCGGGCGCGCTTGATCTGAATTGGATATGGTGGTAGTGCTGAACTCCTTGTAGAGAAAAAGTTCGAGCGCTTTAAACACGAGAATACGAGTTTGGCTCATGATGCGGACCGCCTCGCTGATGCGTTCCGCGACGATCTTGGTCTGGACTACGTTCAGCTTCGTGGAGCGGTGCAGGCACCCTGTAATCGACCCTGCAGTCATTGTGGCAGTCTTGAAAGCCTCCCCGAACAGGTGCTTAGTCAGGTTAGCTCCAGCTTGCCTCTCCACTTTTTCACCATTCTCCTCGTCCACCTTGGGCTTCGTCTTGGTTTCACTCGCGGCCTTAGGATTGTCATCTATGCTCCCGTCCTTCTTCTTCCGCGGGCGCGGTTCCTCGATGGACATCTTTTCCAATGCGATCTTGTCGACCGGGCATGACTGGCTGACGTCCATGACAACATGAGGGGAATAACGAGGGTTGGCATCTCCGTCCCTGCTCTTGTACCTAAGGGACAATCCCAAAAATTAAAAAAAAAAAAAAAAAAAAAAATATCAATAAGATGATTGTACCAAAGCGACAAAGCTGTAAAAGGTCGTAATGAATTTGAACTCACTAACAAAGTCATACGATAATCATACCTGCTTCGTCTCCATTTTGCCTCCCGGACTTTCTTACGTCTTTCTTTGCCTTTGGAACGTCGCTTTCTCCGTTGCTGGGCGTTCTCTTTCTTGTGTCTGCGGCGACGGCGTCGGGCCTGAAGAATCGTCTGCTGTCCAGGCGTCTGCAGGCTGTATTGGATAGGGGAAGAAAACACCACGCCTGCAGAAGTGTCGCTGGCGAGTGTGTCGGCTGGAGGATTTGTCCGCGAGGCTCGAGTCATATTTCTCCTTTGCAGCTTGCACTTCTCGAGCTTCTGGAGTATGCCCCGTATTTCCTCGTGGGTCGCGCACGATGGCGTAGCGGAGTCAAGATAGTCCTCACGCACTTGAACGAAAGCCGAAATGGCGTGGGTGTAGTCGTCCACACTCTTGTTTTGTCCTCCTCTCGCCCGTTGTAAATACTCCTGGATCAGCTCCTTGATAATACCAGCCTCAGTCGTCTTGGATCCTGGCGCGTCCATGGTCGATCCATCGCCTGCTCTGGTCTCGATCCTCATCTCTTGGATGATCTTGATATTTCTTTGGAAGCCGTGCCACGGGAGTGCCTTGGAGTAGTCGTTCTTAGTAATGATTGATGCCAGCAACAGCTCACGGTCACATACGAGGTCTAGAGACTCGAGCAGGTCAGCCTTCTTGTACGTGGTGAACGCTCGGTACTTTCCGACGGGTATAGTGATTTCTCTAACGTCTTGATATACCATCATATCACTGTCGGCGGTAATGATTGCGAGGTCGTCTTTGTTGTTATCAGCTTGATACAACTCAGCAATGTGCGTGTCTGCTTGGAAGGGACATTCGCAGGTGTGCCACTCCAAGGTCTCCAGCCCATTTCTTATGTCTGCCAACGCTGCCTTGGATGTCTTGTACGCGTTTCGACATTGCTTGTATAGGGGGCCCAAAGAGCCGCTGTTTCTTCCTATGGCGTTGTCAACTCGCACCTCCAGAGTCTTGATCCGGTTGCTGAGGGATATGGCCCGATCTTGTAGCTCCTGGGACTTTTGTATCGAGGCCTTTCCGTCAAAGTGTAGAGCCGTGGTTGATTTGCTAAAGTGCTTTGACATAATTTTGTTGAGGTCGTGCGCTATATAGCCGTAATTCTGTGACTAGAGATGAGGCAGGATCGAAGGATGAAACAACAGAACATGTGTCAGCACTTGGTTGCTATGCTGCGCAAGCTGATACGAAACCATTGGGACATTTAATTACCTGCTCTGTTATTCCAAGTCGGTCTGGTGTCAATCGTCCGTTAAGGCCAATGAACAGCGCAGGATGTTGCGTCCCGGCAGCCTATATCTCGCTCGCATAACTAGGGCATGCCTTTCCTCGCTTGGATGGAGCCTCGGAGAAACTCAGGGCGCGCTTCTTAATGTTGCTTCTCCTGCTAGTGCCGGCGTCTGCAGCAGAAGGCGTGTTTTGCGGTGTTGAGGCTGTGGAGACTGCGGGGGGCTGTGGGCATTGCGAGAAAGGTCGTCGTTTCTGTTAGAACGGAAGCCGCTGATGCGCTGGTAGTTGTCGTAGCCGTTGCCTCAGCTCTCGCTTCCTTGGCGAGTCTTTTACACGTCACTTTGAAGGTCCTTGTTTGCAAGAATCCAAAGTACAGACTCAAGACATCGACATGAACTTTCTTGCTCTGCAGATCATAAGCTAGCGTTCCTTCGGTGTCTTTTATAGCTTTGGGTAGTCCAGTGACTCCCATCTGGTACGATAAAGGCCAAGTCAAAGTAGACAGTTAATGAGGATCAAATTTGGTACATGTATCCATTTGCAGAAACATTCAAGACTCACGTTAAGAATATGCGACAGTGCTTGAGGGCTGATAGGGGAGTGGATGAGGAAAGGAGTGGGGTCAAGGATGTGCGGAATGATGTTTCTTTTAAGGCCCCGAAATCTACGTCCAAAATGTGTGTATGTTCATGCACTATGCTATAGAAATTGCAGTGTTCACATTCACTATTGATTATTTCATTCGTATCTTGCAGTGATTGATCAGTGTTCTCATAAACCACCTAGACTGGGGCGGCGAAAAACTGCTGTAAGATAATGTATTTCGCGTCAGGAGTGGGCCGACGAGAAAATAATGGCGCCATAGGCTTCTGGACTGTAATGAAGGCCTTATTCAGTCGAGAGGAATCTGCTAAATCACATGATTTAGCCCAAAAGTAAGGCTGCTCTCTTCAACTGCTTGCGAAAGGGGGGAGTAAGCATACCAGTTGCTCAATTACAGTTGCGCGCTTTCTTTCCCCACAAACAAGTCTCCTTTTCCCTCTCTCTCTTTTCCTCTCTCCTTCCTTTTCTATTCACCCGCCTTCTCACAACTGCAGATTACAAATGGCCCATCATTCCAGATACATATGCGCCTGTGTATACTAAAAGAACGCACATAGTATCTAACACGTATGGCATGGCATTGACTCTGGTGAACATACGACACGCAATAAAATTATTTTACCAAACTGTGAACTATCCCTTACTCTGACGACGTGGCGGGCAAATTTGCCCGGCAAAAATAAAATTTCCCTGTGCAACAGTCATGTAAATTATTCGAAGTTTTTTACTCCAGGTCTGTGGATTGTGTGTGATATTCTTTGAAACAAGGTCTGGCGCCATTGCTACACAAGGGAACCTTGCATACTTGGCACCGGATATTGCTTTGGAAGGGGTTCTTCTGGCTCATGTAGATCTGCTTGGTTTGGTATTTCCAAGAACGCAGCATGTAGGTTCCTCGATGCTTTCGGGTCACTGGAAAGTGGTTGTCATCGGTGAATCGGTCATTGGGGAGTTCAAAGTTCTTTGTTACTCGAGGTCGTTTCCAGACAGTGTCATCCTCGTTCTCGTCTTCCTTCTCCACAGCATTGTGGCGCCATGCCTTGCTTGAGGTATGGGCCGAATCGATTAACCCCCAGATAAGAGAGCTGGAAACTCTTTGTGCGTGAGAAGGGATCCTTTTTTCGGGCTATGAGATAGGTGTTGATAATAATCGTATTGTGGTATAGTAAATGAGAATCAATCGGTTGGTCTTACAAAGTTAATACTAGATCGCAGGGAAGAGCACCGCCCCCAGAATAAAAGAATAAACGGTCTGGTACCTGAACCAGAGTCTTTTTTCCACCTAAATCATTTGTATCACACATTGTATTCGTCCAGATTGTCCGGATAACACCGCAACAACGACAGGTACTGACTACCACCGTCAGTAACCCATGCAACGAAATACAATCAACAGGGAATGCCGATCCTGATCATTTGCCACCTTTGCACCGTCAATCGCTCTTATTTAGACATTGTACTTGCCCCGTAGCGCTTCCCCGATCACCGATCGTCTCATTGAGCATCCGTCATCGGCCCACCCTCGTGAAACGGCATTATAAAGATACAACGGAGGCCTGATCAGCGACTATTGGCATACAACGACTCCAGAGGGGTGGACTTCATTGTCACGACTCCTCACCTCATCGGACATCACAATATGCGAACTCCTTGCAATTACCCCAGTCATTCCCAAAGGAATATAGTCCTAGCTCGTACCATTTAGCTAAACAGGTCCCATATTTATTCCTTTCCATTTACGTCTAGTCTATTTTACCTTTGTGTTCTTACATTCCGATCTAAAGGAGGACCCTGCACCACGAACCAGTAAGTGACCGAAGCACACCCTTGCCGAAGTCCTATTCGCGTGGTAACTCCTGTTGTAAATAGAACTAATGGTAGAAATTATAGAACCCGTTAGTAGACCCCCTACACCGCAGTATCCAAGAGCCAGAAAAAAGTTGGCATCCAGTTCCGCCGCGTTGTCTGCTGCGTGCTGTAGTAGGATCGAAGTTGATTGGCAATATCAACTCCACCCATATTGTAGTTGTAATCATCGATGACTTTCAGGATCTTGAGTTCCTTCCTGGGAGAGTTGCCAAAAATTGCTCGCACCTTTGCTCCGTTTGTACTTGTTTCTCGTGGTCGGCGCCGTTCTCGAAGGACCTCCCATTCCGCACCTGCAATCCCGTGAATCGTTGTCATCATCGTCACCGGTCCATTATCCTGCCAGAAAACGACCAGTACTCCTCCAACCACAACTCCAGACCGAGTATCCCAATCCAACTTGGTGCCCTTTTCTACCTGAAGCTCCTTCGGAACTCCTCCTTGCTTCCTTGCTGTCCCACAAGCTCCAATATTTTGGTTCCTGAGGCGCTGAAAAAGATTGACGCTGGTGAAGTAGTTGTCCATGAACACCCGATAATGGGAAGCCTTTGGGAGCTGTTGGACGAGATGATTGATTGTGGATCCTGTCTGAATGAGTCCTGGTATCTTCTCGACTCGAGCTGGTGTCATCCTTGAGGTTGGAACAAAAGCATAGGTGTATCCTGCATCACATAGGGAAAAGATCTTGAATCCCTCGGGTGTTAGCTTGCTCTTCATCCGAACAGTATGTGCGCTCCGTCCTGAGAACTTAATCGTCATCTCGTCAACAGAGACGTTTGATGCAGGTATACAGTATCGTTTTGAGGCCACGCGGATTTGAGAGAGTAGTGGCTCCAGCTTGCCACAATACTCCTCTATTACGGCGTCTGGTGCACACACATGGATATATCGCTTGATCTGCTCGTAACGGACTTGATACATGCATCTTGATATGTGGTGTGTTGGCGCCTCACGGTTGGTATTCCAGATAGCGACGTATGAGCTCAATTGATAAAGCCCAATGTAGATGGTAATCGCGATCCAGGTGACGAGCTCGTTCATAGTGATGTTTTTCCAGGCGCGACCGGAAGATCCAGCTTGCTTGTTTTCTGCATAGAGATTGGTATTCGTAACGATCGTCTCCAGTGTCTTGTCCGTGAAGAAGAATCGAAAGAGGGTGATTGGGGGTGGTACTACGCCATCGAATATCCCATCTAGGTTGACGTTGGCACGACGGTATCCTTGAATCAAAGGCTCAAACTCTGGAGGTACCGGTAGCTCGATCGCCTGCTTCTTTTTCCCTTTTCCTTTTTCCGTCGCAGGCGCTGGCACAGTTTGGCACTCCTCCTCTTGATCCTGCTCCTCCTGTTCTTGGAAAGACTCGTCTGTCTGCGTTCGTATCTCTAGAATAGGTATAAACTCTTCTTCGTCCACCGTCTCGCGCCCTCCGATCACTGACATTTGGCAGAGATGCTCATGACCATTCATAGGTAAACAGAGGGATGATTTAATGATTTAATGCGACGATGACTTAATGCGATTGATGAAAATGAGGATGATGTTTCCGCGACATTAACGTAATTTTGTCTGCTCTTTCGATCGAGCTTAAAGACCAGGGAGGGGTGGCTTAACAGGATTTTGAGATAAAACGAAAAAACGCTGTCATTTTATTTTAACCGGGCAAATTTGCCCGGTATACAGAGTAAGGGATAAAACAGCGGTTCGGGGCGCTTTCGTCTTTCTTATTTCTTCACACGCTCCACTCGATCTACGAACTATCACACGATATGCTACTAGCCAATATATTCAACCCAACAAGACTCAGAGCTCCACTGCGCGCAAGTGCAATAGCTCGAGAGAATGGACGAGGCATTCCGAAACAAGGATGGTCGATTGTCAGCCGACATTCAAGATGCATGTCCTCAGTCATGAATGCCAATGGACAGCCCGAGGTATATGAACTTGCCAGTGTGCCATTTTTATTTTTATTTTCTGCACAGCGCCAATTGACGGATATTGATGCTATTATTTCTTTACACGAGTCAGCTCAAGGATCCATCTTTAATCATCCATGCTGGCTTTATCGACGGTGAATTCGTCAAGACCGCGTCTTCTGGACGAAAGTTTCCTGTCTATGGTAAACATGCCATGCATCCTCAATAGTTGTTCCGAAAGTGGCAGGCGGACGTATGATTAATTATCATAAATGATGACTTCTAGATCCTGCACGCGGAACCGAGATTGCGAGCTTCCCAGATATGGGAGTGGAAGACACGGAGAGAGCTATTCAGGCGGCCAAGCGCGCCTTGCCAGAATGGAACCAAAAGACGGCCAAGGTATGTGATATGAAGGAAAAGAAAAGAATGCTCTCGAGGGAGCTGTTCTAATGAACCATGTATGGTGTGTACATATAGGAGCGCGGTGCAATTCTTCGCAGGTGGTATAATCTGATGATCGAGAACGAAGAGGATCTAGCAAAGATCATTACATGGGAGAACGGAAAGACGTTGACTGAGGCCGTGGGGGAAGTCCGATACAGGTACTTAAGACTTGAAGTTAATTATTAAATCGGCTGCGCGGAGAAAGTTCAGGTGCTGAACTGTTTGTCATGATTCGCTTTGATTTGCCGAACAGCGCTAGTTTTTTCGAGTGGTTCTCCGAGGAGGCTAAGAGGCTGTATGGCGAAGTTATCCCCAGTCCGAGCAAGCAGCAGCGCATGATCGCAATCAGGCAGCCTTTAGGCGTTGTCGGTGTAATTACACCTTGGAGTACGTTTGTATTTCTCTACCCTGTTTTCTTTGCTGTCAGCAAAGTGCACTACCTAACCTATGTATATCTCTTTCATACACAGACTTTCCTTCTGCAATGCTGACACGCAAACTAGGAGCTGCCTTGGCGGTTGGATGCACTGTGGTCGCAAAGCCTGCGTCAGAGACACCCCTGTCAGCGATTGCACTGTGTGAGCTAGGGAAAAGGGCTGGTCTGCCCAAGGGAGTTGTCAATGTCGTGACAGCCCATACTTGCACCAAGGATGTGGGGAAACACCTCTGTGAGAGTTTGGACGTTGCAGGCATCTCATTCACGGGATCTACAGCCGTGGGAAAGCATTTATTGAAGCAAAGTGCGGACACCGTCAAGAAAGTCTCGCTGGAGCTTGGTGGCAACGCTCCATTCATTGTTTTTGAGGATGCGGACATCGACAAGGCTGTCGAAGGTAAGATGCAAATGATATTTGTCGCCAATGTCCTTTTTCATTTTGTAGGATAGCCCCATTAGCATTTGGCTTACTTTTGATATGAAGGCGCCATTGCTGCCAAGTTCCGTGCTAGCGGGCAGACTTGCATCTGCGTAAACCGGTTCTACGTCCATTCATCCGTAAAAGATGAGTTCAGTCAGAAGCTGCGCGAAAGGGTTAAAAAGTTCAATGTGGGCTCAGGCTTTGACAAGGATACAACCCAAGGACCCCTGATCAACGACAAAGCAGTAGAGAAGGTGCGCTCCCATGTTCAAGACGCAGTTGACCACGGAGCCAAGGTGCTTGTCGGAGGCGAGCAAAAGGAGAAGGCCGAGACCACGCATGGATATTTCTATCCGCCTACGGTGTTAGGGGACATGAAGAACAATATGAGAATTGCTAGCGAAGAAACTTTTGGACCAGTCGCTGGAATTTTCTCATTCGAGACGGAAGAGGAGGTACTTGAAGCAGCCAACAACACCCGATTCGGTCTCTCGGGCTACTTTTTTAGCAAAGACATTTCCAGGTGCTGGAGAGTGGCCGAGAGATTGCAGGTCGGCATGGTCGGCGTAAATACGGGAACTATCTCATCTGAGGTGGCACCTTTTGGAGGCGTAAGTAGCATGTCGAAGTCTTCATTTGCTTTTGGTGGTACTATATAGCATCAGTGCATCAGGCATGATATTCACGATCTATTTTTTTTCTATTGGTTTTTTGTCTTCACAGATTAAAGAATCAGGTATCGGGCGCGAAGGCGCGAGACAAGGACTGGACGAGTACTCGCAGTACAAGTACATCAACATGGGACTTTAGCTTACAGAGACGACCCATCCTGACGTTTCAAGTTGTCCTCGACGTCCTGTAGTTTTTTGTAAGCGTCGGCACCAATAAAGATATTCTGGCAATACAGACAAAGCGTAGACTGTCGTGAAACAAAGAACACCGTAGAATGATGGGGCGCCAGTTACCTCACAACTGGTCCCCAGTCCAGAGGGTGCTACAGCTTTCTGAAGCTACTTGTCTTTGTGACTCACATTCAGTTTTTGACCTCCACCCAATTGCTTTCGACACTTATTTAAAGACTCTGAGGCCCTGGTGCCTGTCGCTGAAACCCATGCTCACTGCCCTCTTCGGTCAATCCATCGTTCTCTCGCTCTCTTCGAAAACATGAGCTGCTCCATTCGACTTGTCATTACTTCAGAGGACATGGCCAAGTGCCATGAAGGTATGCAGCATGAAAGGATCCGATCAGCATTACTCAGATCAGTTCACCGTGATGATCTGTAAGCACCTACACCACTAACCCCGCTCAATATACTCTCCTCTCCATTATGCTCATGAAGTTCGTTTGAAGGTTTTTACGGACGAACAAGGATACGATGCAGCCTCGGATGTTGACGAGTATGGAGAGCATAATATGTTATTGTGTGCACCATGTAACCACTTGTGATGTTTGCGCTTGATCTAACGGCGGCGGCGCTCTTCTTCCCCTTACTTTGATCATGTCACCGTGTTTATAGGATTGACTCCAAGTGCCTCCACTGGCTTGTAGTAGACCAGAACAACCAAGGAGTGGGCACCGCACGTCTCTACAAGTACTCGCCAATCGTTGGAAAAGTTGGGAGGGTCGCTGTTCTCACAAACATCCGCGGATCTGGACTTGGCCGGTTACTCATGGAAGCCGTGGAGCAGCATGTGCTCGAGAATACACAGTTTGAAACCTTAGCCTTGTCAAGCCAGTTGCCTCGGAAAGGGTTCTATGAGAAGCTTGGGTATATTGCCGAGGGTGAGGTCTACCTAGACGAAGGTCAACCCCATATTTACATGCAGAAGAAGCTGCCCAAAAAGACTTCTTGAAGACCTCCGCGTTGCATCAGAACCGTCCATCTTAACGGCACCGTCACCTCGCTAATAAAAGTTACGAGTACTCTTTTGTCCATGACTCTTCATCTGTGCTATTGCATGGTCATCGACAGTTAAGATGAAATCTACTGTACATCTTTACTGCTTCGGTATAGAAACGTAAAAGGAAAACTAGCTGAGCGACAGAGATTCGATCCTCACCCTGAACATGATCCCCCATAACGAAACTGGAATGGTTGGCCCAGAACAACTACCTCCTCTCTCATGCTGATGCTTGTATAATTGACTAACGTCTGGCAAAACCCATCCGTCGCTCACCAAGCGTCTGAAATAATAGCATCTGCTTTATATGCATTTCATTCCATGTTCAGTTCTTTCATCTCTATGTCCTCATCGTTTGGGCCCTTATTCACCTGCTGCCGCCATTATTTTTATCGTTGACCATCTCTGTTTAATATATCGACTTCGTTCTTGCGCGGCTAAGCAGGTAAGAATCCACGCCGTCGAAACCTATGGTCATCACGAATACTTTCTCCTGTCTCCTTGAATGAATGTCGTCTCCACCTCATCTCATTCCACCTTGCTCTGTTCCCTAAATCAGCCAAGACTCACGTATACATTCAATTTGAATGCGCTATTTTTTTTTCCTCTATTCTTCTTTTCCCATCTTGCGTACCAATCAATGAACGTACAGGCAGCCATAGCAAATAAGCATACACAGTCCCTCAAAAAAGAGCGACATCAGAGGACGCAAGAGAGAGCACAGCAGAGAGCACAGCAATATCATGTCCAATAAACACAGCAGCACGGACCACAATCATTGGACATTCTCAGCTGAGACATCGTCGACTCACGAATCACCGCAACGCAATCAACCAGAAATTACCCCTGAATATGAAATGGAGTTGACTCTATCAGCAACACACACCGACCAGATCCCAAATGCGGACATAATAGAACATTTACCTGTGAGATACAGAACTCGGGTTGATGATGACAATAACGAACAAGCAGAGGAAGATGGTAAGCAACTTTTTTTTTTTTTTTTTTTTTTCGTTATCCGCTGATACTGCCTCCGGATATGATCCCATTTGATACACAGAAACCGTCTTTTTAGGAGTGAACATGAGCGCTCACTTGCAGCCTTTATTTCTCACGGTTCCATTCTAGATGCTCGCCTAGAAGTACAAGAGGAAGAGTTATGGAGAAATAAGTCACCTCTTGCATTCTATCGTCCTGCAACTCCCGGGAATCTCAACGATTGCTTACATGACTTTGGGTATGATCATCATTGTAATCTCAGCAGCTTTAATAATTATTGCGCCAGTACCATCACTGATAGGTCTATCTGCATGAATCAATTTAGCTACGTATTGGGAGGCACACATCTGAACGACTTGGCTAACAGTGGTAGCAACAATCCTTTTATCGCGCCAGAGCATTTTACGAGCCTCGCAGATGATGCCACATCCTCATTCCCACAGGAGACCTCATCGGCTTATCCACTTTCCTCATTGAGTGCCCCCCAAAACATTGGATATTCTCAATCTACCCCTCGCCCCAGCTCATTTCGTATCCGGCCACAGAGCGCATCTAGATTTTGTCCACCCATGACTAATGCAGCGTTGTTGCCGCTATCGCGGTCAATAACATCTCCTGCAGCATTTGAACTACCGAATCGGTTCTCGCAACGGTTGCCTGAACGTCCCACAAGAGACGATACATCGTATTTCGCTTCTATGCGTCCATTACAGCAGCCATTGCTTCATTTCGATAGCAACCTTCGACAAGGGTATACTTGCCGGCATTCGGCAATCACGAGTGGCGATCTCTTTGAAGATAACTCCCCCATTATGTCCGAAGGACCAACAGCTCACAGCTACGAAGAGGGCAGCATGCACCCTAGACTCTCTTCTGCAAACCCTTCACCTTTCGCGATAAAAGACTGTGCGATGCAATTTCTGCATGCTGATCGAGCCAAGACCCAGCGCCGGTCGGCACCTCAGAATAGTGCCTCAACAGCAAACATCTCCGAGCATTGCCCGGCGCAGGTCGAAATCGAGATTAACGCGCCTTCAGGATCGCAAAGAAGATCCTATGACATTTGTACGTCTACATTATCTTTAGCAAATATGTTTATTATGTCCTGCAGTGTCTAACGTGCTAACTACTCCCTGTTTAGTAGCCATTACTTATGGAGAGAGCTCAATACAAACAGGACCTGCTCAAGTTGATTTAATTCACCCCGATAATTCGATAGGCGAGCAGAGCGACATTGAGCGGTATATTGGGCTCATCAGGAAGACCTCCCTTTCGAACGGCCAAGGCAATGATGATTGTGGAAGCTATCACCAGACATATGTGAGGTGCAGCGCTGACATGGAACGAGATAACTCTTCAAGAGTAGTTCCGAACACATTGGACGATCAGGAGAACCCACATCAGAGTCATGCTCTACACTTCAACGAAAAAGTAACAGCTCGTTTACCTGAACCCAAGACCAGCACATTACCAGCACAGACGAATTTCATCTTCAGCTCTTTCAAAAGCAACATTCTGAGTCGGCTATTTGGATCACAGCGAATCTCTGGAGACGACTCGAGCTCGCGTCGTAGCCCCAATCCTCAGACATCTAACAGGTTTGGTAGCGATGAGCGCCTAAAAAAAAAAAACTTGCGCAAGGTTGTCGGATCTCCTGATGGACAGTCAACGCTCTATCTTTATCCGGATGAATCGAGCTCCTCACAGACTCCAAATCATGAGGAGCAGGCCGAGGATCTGACAAAAAAGATTACCTCGCACAGAGTTCTTCCTTCACGATCTGGAGGAATTCTCTCCAATCTCCTCAAACTGCAGGCGCTCTCCACGCCGCCATCCTCACGCCAACGTCGGAGACGGCGACACATACACCATTCACATCGGCGGCATAAAAATTTGGACAGAAGACCATCCCTCGCGTCTGAGTTCGTCGCACGACCCGGCCGAAAAATGGTGCCTAGTCCTACCTCCAGCGTCATATCACTTCCAGGTTTTCTTATGACGGCTCCTACAGGATTCGGACGATCACCTAACGTAGCTTTGTCTTTAACGGCTGGCCACAGCCCCAAACCATCCACGTTTTTAAACACACCACTGACCGATAACGGTCCACAATCCTCAATAGAAGGCTCTACTTTGAAGGGGTGCAAAGTTATTGAAGGAGTCTACCAGAACGATGTCTCTCTCACCGTATCTAGGGAATGCAGCCCGTTATCAGTAGGAGGATACTCAACACAATACCTTCAAACAGGGTCAGCATACTCGGCACGAAGCAGTATATCCGAGGACGATGGCACATCCATGTACTCGAGCACGTCGCAGGACCCGACCGCAGCTGCTATACGACTGAGTCATCAGGCTGAGCTGACAGAGGCACTCGCTGATATCCTTCAACGCCAGGACCTGTTGATTCGACTGTGCAAGAGTCTTATCCGCTATGGCGCACCCTCCCATAGGATCGAAATGGCGATGGAGGCCATGTGCAAGACGTTCGGGATCGACGGGTCGTTTGCATTCATGCCAGGTCTGATGATGATCTCCTTTGGAGATTCGGACACGCACACGAGCGAGACGCACCTAATCAAGTGTGCTCAGGGGTTTGATATGGGACGCTTGGCCAGGGTGCACAAGATTGCTCGTGCGCTTGTAAATGGTGATTTAGATCCTGGAGAAGCACTCGCGACACTCAAGGACATCAACAGCGAGAAACCATTATACAACACTTGGGTGATGCTGGTATCATTTGTTGCTTATAGCGGATTCATCGCACCATTGATATTCAAAGGCAGCTGGAACGACATGCTGGCTAGCATGGCCCTAGGAGCCGTCGTGGGCTTAACTAATCTCCTGGCGACCCGGTACTCAGTATATTCAAGCGTATTTGAAGTCAGCACTAGCATCTTGATTGCGTTCGTAGCCAAGGCTCTGAGAGACTATGTTTGCTTCACGGGAGTTGTCCTGAGCGCGATTGTAGTCCTCCTCCCCGGTCTTTCCCTTACAACATCGATCATGGAACTGTCGTCGCGGTACATTATTTCAGGCTCAGTCCGCATGTTCTACAGTTTGATATATTGTTTGTTCTTAGGCTTTGGTCTATCGATTGGGTCGAACCTATGGGATGCGTTTAAGGAGCCTCCGCCGGGCGATTTAAGGATGGGGTACTGCCATCCAGCTACAGAGCCCTGGAGGTGGATCCTATTCCCACTGCTGGGGGTCGCGCTGAGCATTCAGTTGTATGCTAGTCCGAAGCAATGGCCCGTGATACTTATCTGCAGCTCTGTTGGATATGGAATCAGCGAACTGGCAGGACTGTACTGGCCGCACACACTGCATATTGCTGCTGCCGTGAGCGCGTTCGTGGTCGGACTCTTAGGAAATATCTATGAAAGGATCACTCATGAACTTGGTAGGTTGGGAACAACACTAAATTATCAGTAATTATCCTGAACATCAGTATAGTTGTGCTTAAAGTTCTTTTTTCTCTTTATTAGCGTTTGTTCCTATCTTGGGGTCTATTTTGCTTATCGTGCCTGGAGGAATGGGCGTCCGCTCCACACTGCTTCTCTTAGATGAATCTGGGAACGCATCTCAGGGCACGGCGTTTGCGCTGCAAATGATCCTTGTCGCCCTTGGAATCGCCGTAGGGCTCTTTGCGTCCACTCTCGTGGTTTACCCTCGTAAGTGTCCAGTCGCTTGAGCTCTTGATGTCATCAAACACAGCAAGCCTTGGTACTCACCACTCTACTAACATAAATATTTACTTCAATGCCGCATGGCACGCAGTTGGGAAGAGGCGAAATGCGCTTTTGACGTTCTAGTTATTCCAAATAATAGATAATTGCTCGCGCATCGTATTTGGGATACCCATTGCACATTTGTCATTATTGACTAAAACGCCATCTGCGTGTTCCTGTAGTGCTTTTGTTATATGCAACTTCAGCAATCTTTAGCCAACACATAGTCTTGATATTCCTTCTCGCATTCTAACGCGCTTAGGGCGCGCTGCATCGTAGTTTTATTTGCAGGTACTCTGCGAAGGAGAAAATGACATTAAGTTGAAATGAGGCGGCATTAAAGTATTGGAGGTGAGTAATATAATGATAGATACAAACGCGATGAAAACAAGAATAAAGGACTATGTTACTTTGGGTTTCCTATTTTGACTGTAGCGGAGCAACAGCAACCGATTCTCAATTTGACGAAGACGATAGCTTTGAAGACTCGTTCAGGTCTTCTGAGACGGCAACAAAGAGAGCTTTGGTGTCGCCACTTCGGATCTTTCCCTCCAGCTCGACAAGTTCCTGATCGTGTCTTCTCTTGATCTGCGCCAACGCCATTGTCTCGACAATCGACAGGAGGAAGTAGGAGATCATGATAAAGATGATGGTGTTCCAGATTAGGCCCACAAGGCTGGTTGAGTTCTCCAGATCGTCCTCAGACACCCTGCCCTCTCCACGAAGAGCGCCCTTTTGCGAATTAATTCCGTCAGCGAGATATCCATGAATGAACGGAGCCGATCGCTCGAGCCAGCTCATGACCGCGGCGAGTGTGTCGGCAGAAAACATCAGGATCACAAAGAGGGTCTGGATCGACGATTTCACGACGGCCTTGCCAAGAAAGGTGGCGCCAAAGAAGGTCGAGAACGGGATCAAGAAATGCCCGCAGGTGATTCCTGCGAGGTCAAAGAGCGGATTGGGGATCTATCAGCAGGCACGCATACAAATATAGCGGGAATAAGTAGCCTGTAATCCACAATAGCAGACGAGGGAAAAAGCAGGTGCATTATTTCTTTGCTCACAGCTCAACAACAAGACTTACAGAGGCACAAAGGAAAATGCCAAAGAATCCCAGGCGCTTCATGCCCTCGTGCACCATGAGTAGGATGCGTTCCTTGTATGACACCGAATCGGGCTTCTTCTTCAGCAGATCTTCAATGGCTGCCAGCTCCTCGTTCCTGTTCCCAGACAGTGCAGCTATTGTCCAAGCAAGCCGTTCGATGCCGTTAGCAGCTGTCCAGTAACAGTCATCGCAAGTCACCCATACTGGTTCCACATCCCATCCAGCACCACTTACCAGCCCTTGCAACAAAGTACGGCGGCAGTTCTCCGATAGCAGTTCCAAATCCCCAGAAGAAACTCTCCCATTGCACAGCTTGAAAGACCGTATAGATGCCGATGGGGACGGTGAGCGACTCTGGCGACTTGCAGATATACCTAAGCAAAAGAGCCATCGGTGCAGATGTTAATCGCCAGGCTTAACTTTGTCATGCAGTATATCAAGATGCAGTAGCGATCGTCAGCGCCCTATTTCCCCTAGTTTCCCTATTTTTTCTGTGCGCCTGGTGTTCCACGCCACATACCTATGATCGCCTCTGACATCAAAGTCAGTGTTTCCGCACTTGTAGGCTGTGAGCGTGACCTCTGCGATATGTGGTCCCAGGAAGAGGATGAATGTGTGCAGTCCGGTGCCGAGTCCGACCGAAGATGCAATCCCGAGTAATGTCCAATATCCATACCAGATCAGTCCTGACTCCGCATGTTTCAGAAGCTATATGGCGAGTTTAAAATAAGGATTAGTCCCGTTGCCAGGTCAGCATGCGTTAGTGTAGTAGCAAACGGGCTGTGGTAATGACAGTCCTGAAATTCACTCTTCTAAAAATATGATTAACCTTACCGGTTGATGAGCACCATCGGTTTGGTATACAAAGTAGATGACGGCCGTGAGAAGAGGTAGCACCACCAACAAATATTGCTGGGATACGATCCAGACCAGAAGCATACGGAACTCGTGTAAGAGGTACAAGACAAAGTACGACAGGACAGTCAGTGGTGAAGTATACACGGAGATCTCGTGTCGCTCGGTCTCGAGGGCAATCCTTCTTCGATTTATAAATTCTATAGTGCGATAATGCATGGGAGGATGCAGCCATATCAACAACGATGGACCACTTGGACAATGACGACAAAACCACATTGCTCACGAAATGAAGGCGCATGCAGAAAGCTCTTTGGTAGCTCCTCCTCACCTGTAAAATGCTGAGAAAAGCTGTTGGATCGGGAGGAGATCCTGGATCGCAAGGGATGAGCTGCACTTTTTGCGCGCTTCGACTCGCCATTAGTCGTTGCGAGCGGTCCTAATACTACAGGTACGTCGGCCTCTTGACCAGGTTGCTGACCAGAGATATTGATTGTCGTTGCTGGTTGGCCAGAAGTCACAGCTTTGGTACTGCGCTCCAGGTTCTTCAACCGTTTCTTCAGCGCTGCCTTGCTGCCGGTGGTAAGCTGACCGCGCTGTCGGAGCAGCTCTCGAAGCTGCGGCAATGAATAGTTGCTCCAAGGATACGTTTGGTGTGTGCTAGTCCCGCCTGAACCATGGGACGCAAAATCGGAGTCCTCTTCATCCATGCCCAGGCCTACATCGCTATCCATGACGAGAGTTGATTCCAGTTGTGAGGAGTGAAGAATATTAGAACACATGAGGCTTCAGGAGCTCCACTGTGGTATGGCATAATTACTTGATGTGTTGATGCGGTTACTGTGTTTACCTCTGGATCAGGTGGTTGAACATGTTGTTCTGGTAGTACGCCATCATGAGTCTGATGGCTCCTGATCGGTTTGTGAATGTGCACGAATCTCTTGCTCCTGATGCTGCCACTGCTGTGTTATTTGATGAGGGCGAAGCACTGTTTCCTCGCGAGTTCAGGAACGGGGGGGATTTGGCGCGAGGACCCTTTTTTTTCGCTATCCGTTGGTTTGTAGGGCAGATAGCTTCCGAAGGATACACCAGGGTGTGGTCTGCTGATAGGTGGAGGGAGAAGACCAAGGGCAGAGCAGAAAGAGGAGAGAGTGTAGTGGAGGTGAAGGATAAAAGTGCGGTGATGTCAAGCCGGAGGAGAAGAAAAGGAAAAAGAACAGGGACAGGGACAGGGACAAGAACAGGGACAGAAGCGCAGGTCGGTAATGAGCATGAATTCTCTTTTCACGCTCCGTTTGTGATTCCTTCTCCGTTGATGTATTCGACAAAAAGACCGACGGTGGACTATCACATTCAAACACGTAGTTCCCTGCTGCTGTTCTGTTCACTCCCTTGTCTTTGCACTCTTCAATCGCATCCACATACACATGCCCACATAAATGGACCTGGGATGTTGACAAGGACGGTTCTCAGATCGCAATAATCGGTACACGTTACATACATACGCGGATTGCATGGTGTACATTGCGCTGAGTGAAATATCTGTACATGTATGGATAAAAAAACATCCCAACAGCCGAATTTGAACTTTCTTGTATCGTAGGGGGAGGGCCATAGTCTTGTAAAGTGTATGATTTTGCACCACAAAGTCTTGGCTAACCTTATTCAGATGAATATTATCCTGTGGTGCTTATGGTGCCCCTGTTCTTCTCGGCTGTAATAATTCCATGGTGTCCTGTTGCACCTTTCTTAATCGCGTGTGTCCTTACTCAGTCAGCTTGTCCCTGAGACGCGGCAGCAGGCATGCAAGACAAAAATTTTAAGGTTCCGCAACGTGTACCGCCTATGATCAATTGAGTTTTCAACTTCGCGCTATTTTACGTAGGAGACACATGGACGATCGATCGGTATGCCACATATCGCTCCCATATATCGCGTTTCAGAAACCAACGACACACACAATACTAATGTGTTTTCCAGTGGATCCGCCGCAATAAAAAAAAAAAAGATGATCCATTATAGATTATCCCTTTGAACTATGGACAATCTATTTGACAACTCGAAGTCCACGCAAAACACTGGGTGCATTCGCCGAAGATAAAGGCAACCTGAACGTAAACACACACCCTCTCGTAAACCAGCCGCCGTGTGAACATAGGAAAGGTACTACTTGGTTACTTGGGCCATAGGGCCGATTTTCAGGACATGCGAGTTACATGGATTGTCAAATAGACTCACCCTCGTCAAATAGGACAATCTATTTGACAACCCGGGTTGACACTGCTATTTGGCAACCCCTATACTAACTCCATGTAAGGCCAACATTTTTTAAATGTCGATTATGCCAGTAGTCGTTATGGTACCTGACCCCGGCTCTTTAAGATAGATCGTCATCTGTCTCTTAAAGGACTCCACAATGTAACTGATTTCCTATTTCGTCATCGCTGAGTCCGTCATCGATAAAATCCTGTTTTCCGTCATGAAGAAAGCTTCTCCCAAGGCCGCAAAAGGTTGCATGGGGTGCCAGGTGGAGGAAGGAATGGTTCTCAACCTCTTACCGCGTTGTTTCGACTTGAAATTCGCAAAAGATACGAGTCTTGTTTTACATGGACCAACCACGGCAAAAAGTAAAGAAAGGGCCGAACCGGGAATTGAACCCGGGACCTCTCGCACCCTAAGCGAGAATTATACCACTAAACCATCCGGCCATCGTATGGCGAATGGAGCGGCTTATAGATCTATATATTTCTCAAAAAGCTTCCCTTCTTTATTTGCATGAATTCTATATTTGCATACATTCCATATCTGCACGGCCCAACTCCATACAAGGGACCGAGAGGGGACTGGAGTGATGGGTATGGATATATTAGCGACGATGACCAATGTCCGTGTGGTGCATTACTCGCTGACCATGTAAACGGGAGCTGCCCTGGCCCCGTGCTTGACCCAGACGCAGCGGATCGGACACTGCTGGATTGCCTGCAAGGGAGGAGGCGGTTGACAACTATGGAGGGGATGGGGAAGATACCCTTCTTGTAACAAGGTGTTTTCAGCTTTTAACACACTGATGAGGTGTGGCAATTGTTGCGCAGGCCCTAGGGGCAGGCCCGGGGAATGTGACCTGTCTTTTGGCGACTGTGGATCGGTTCCGCTTTGGTGGTGAGGACAGCGATAGTAGATCTTTGCTAGTTAGTCTGATAGATTCGCAGAGTCAATTGACTCGAGAGACAAGTTGTTATAAAAAAAAAAAAAAAAAATTCCATATCTGCACAGGCTGGTCAGGGCACCTCCCTTGTAACGCGAAGGGACCAGGTTCGAGCCCTGGTTAAAGCACAGTAATATGTGCTACGCATAGAAATTTATTTGGAGCATGAGTCGGGCGTACTACCCCACTTCAGTTATGTGGGTTTCCTTTCCCCGGCGACCCCCACATTGAGTGGCACTACCCCATGTAATCGTTGTGGGTTTCCTTTCCCCTTCCTTAACGCTTGACAAAATGCTCAGAATAAATTTCGCCCTTGCGCTAGCCTCCGGACTTCGAGAGGCGCTGGTTCAGAACTTCCCAGCTATACACCAGGGTGTACAAGTTATTCCACTGCACTGGCAGCATGCGTCTTAGCTACCCCTGCCGGGGTTACAGGTATAAGTTCAAAAGTGAGTAGGCCCACTTTATAATAGGCTAATCTGAGCTCACATCCAGTGACCTCAGGTGGAGGAAAGACGGGACGAGGAGGAGGAGGAAATGTTACAATAGTAGAGGATTCGGCTCGCAAGCCAGTAGAACGGATTCCGTGCTCTCAAGAAACCAAGACCATCTCCCAGATGTACAGGTTACAATTGGAGAGATGGTCTTGGCAGATTTGCAGGTGAGGAGCCTGCCAGCTAGCCGAGCGGATCGCAGGAGAAAGACCTCGGGACGCTTAGGGAGATTACAGTGAAGTTGTCGGAGATGGTGCGACTGCCACACTAGAAGATTTAGGGCCAGATAGACACAAGTCTCAGAGACTATTCACTAGGAAACCAGCACTGATTGTTCTCTCTCGGAGGCCATGTTGAATAAAAAAAATAAAAAAAAAAAAATAAAAATTCCATATCTGCACGGATTCCTTATTTGCACGAACGCTACTGGTTTAGTGTGGCAATTGTTACACAGGCCCAAGGGACAGGCCCGGGGAATGTGACCTGCTAACTGGCGACCGTGGATCGGCTCTACTTTGGTGGGAAGGACGACTGTTGTGGATCATTGCTAGTTAGGTCTGATAGGTTCGCAGGGTCAATCGACTCGAGAGACAACGTTCTGTTATAGATGAGACCTGATGTGATGGAGCGATTGGGAGGATGTCAACTTCTTAAAATACCAGAGGACCATAGCTAAAGGATGACTTTTACGCGCAACAGGTCGCGTAGGGATCAGGGGCCATAGGCTCACCACTCACGCGGTCATTGATTATAAAATATGGATCCGTTGCGACGTAGTTGGAGCGGGCAGCTTGCTTTCTATCCTTCAGACCACAGTTAATAAATCTCATGCCTTTGAGGGTTCTCGTTAAAAAAAAAACAATAAAAAAAAAGGATAACGCTCTCGCATAGGTGGCCCAACGCACATGAAAGGTGTGGAAATTCGTGCAATTATGCCGTGCACGCGCACTGCCCTGCGAAAAGGAATTGTTCCAGTCGGCTACATCGAAATGATCTTGGATTTTTGTGACCAAGAAATAAAATATTGTACATGAACAGCACAGCTGTATGGGTTTATCATGCAGATGCTACAAGCTGCAACAGAGTGTTGATAGCTCTACAGCACCACGTGCCAACTGTGGGAGCCTTGGGCCCGCGTTTGCCATAGTTCACTGGCGACGAAGTGAAAACCGATGACGCTTTATTTAATGAACCATTATAGGCTACCAGAGAGACTAAAGCTGATCGAGCAACTTTGCCAAATACTATGCTCCTGGTGAATATATGCCCATCCCCTTAAGGTTCGCGCTTAACTTCATCTGAAGTCGTCTGCAACTCTTTCCTCATTAATCATCATGGCCTACGAATACATCCTCATCATTGCTGCGATCCTCATCCCTTTGGGACTGTTCGGCATACTCAAAGGCGGGCCTGCGTCTGAATTGCACTTGAACCAAAAAAAGACAACAACTCCTGGCGCATTTGGAGAATCGACTACTTCCAAATCGAAAAAGAAAAAGTCAAAGAAGAAGACCGGCACTATCAAGGAGAGTATCATCACGCAGATCTCAGGAAACTCGGCAGAAAAGGAGCAGGACTCTGACGATTCCGGACAGGGGAAGAAAACGACGCCTCAACCAGCCAGGAAGACTAATGCTCTGCCAGAAAATGCCACTAAGAACAGCGGTAACAAAGATGTAGCAGCTCAGGCTGCGTCCAGCAGCCCTAAAAGTTTGAAGCCCTTGGACATTCAGGACGCGTCTAAGAACGGCACAGAGCAACCGACGGCACCTTCCAGCAGTGGCGCCGGCGCCAGCGTTAGCAAGACTACCAAAGCGATGTCAGTTGAGAGCTGGAAGAAGGTGAAACAGGAGCAACAAAAGGAGCAGCTTGCCAAACAACAAGAGCAACTTCAATTTGCTTCCGCAGCTGCCAAAAACGCCTCTTGGTCGCCACTGGACTCATCACTCCATATTGCATCCATTCCTGGACCAGGCGCCATGGGCAACAATAAGAAAAAGAATCGCGGCAATGCAGGATCAGGATTGTCTCATGCCGACTTCCCCTCTCTCGCGCGCCCACAGCCATCACCTGCGCCCACGCCTAAACAACCCAAACTGCCGAAGCAAAAGAAGGAAGCTGAGAAGAAGCCAGACCCCTTGGCAGAACTCTTGCCCGAGCCCGAACCCGAGGCAGCCCAAGCCCAAGAGGAGAATGACAGCGAAGAGGAACAACCTGATGATGACGACACCGACGCGTCCCAGGATGACAACAAGCAAGAAGAAGACGAGTGGAAAACCGTCAGTTCAACACAAACCAGATCCGGTGGCATCGATTTCAATAAACCCATGGATCCATGGGTTGCGCAACAGCAACGACAAAAACTTGAGCGAGTCGCAGTCGCAGATCCGCACGGAGAGCAGACGGAGCGGTTTGCGCGAGTCTTGTCCATCAAACCCACTGTGAAGGAGGAGCGCATCCGCGAGGCCATCCCTGACGGATTCACGGCACAAAAGTGTAAGTTTCTAATGACGCTATCATGTTCGCTAGCCTCTTTACTATGGAAAACTGATTGGCATTCTTTTTACGGTTGAACATTAGCGCGAACTGTGGGCGGCTCATCAGGAGGCGGTGGATCTAGTCAATATCAATCTACAGAGCTGACCAAAAAGCAGCGAGAGAATATGGCCAAGGCTGCGAAGAGGAAAGAGGAAAAGGCCGCGGCGGACGCTGCTCAGGAGCAAAGACGGCAGGAGCATATGCGGCAGGTGAAGGGGGAGAAGATGAAGGAGTTTTACCGTGCGCAAACAAGGAAGCAAACACCTGTGGAGTCCCGATGGGATGTGCCGAAAGCGTCAGCGCCATCTTCATCAGCGCAGGCCAGCAGTAAGGATCAGCTTATTTGGGACTAAGCAGCAGATCAGGGTGCAAAGCGTAGTACCAAAGCACAACTGGTCTCTCTCTTTTTTTTTGCAGAAGTAAAAGACACATTTTTTTCTTTTAAAGTTGTCCAGCCTCTTTCACCTGTTTTTGTCTGTCAACACACCAAGACCTTGAAACAAAAGCGAATGAGCAACACAGAAACAGACACAGACGAAACTGAGGACACTGTTGAGCTGCTCCGTGAACCGGTATGTGTTTTTCTTTGAGTTCGGATGTATGGGTGGGGTTCGGATGTATGGGTGAGGTTCAGTCATGGCAATCAACAATCGGACATGTCCTTGCCCTGAGTGACAGAGGCGCGCCACAGGAGAAGGCCTTTGAAGATGCCGTGAAAAAACAAGAGCTAATCCACGACTTTTCTTCCTTTGCTCCATTCAATGAAGATGGAATCTGTTCACCCCTTCCAAGGACTTTTGAACTCGAAGTATGTTCAGAAAAATATGAACTGTATAGGTGATCTATAAGTAGGGTAGATGTCTGACAGTGGGGGCAACTTGTTTTCTCCTTATCATGGCATAGCAGCAGCGTGCCCAAGAGGCAGGGCATACCTATAGATATCCCAACAACGCAACCCCGATTCTCTCACTTTTCGGTCCAGTCGCCTAATTCTGCATTGATGACAGGGTCCAGAGATCGTGGCATACCTAAGCGAAAATCCAGCACATCCTCGCAAGGCCAAGGCCACATGTCGCCGCCCTACAGTGGTCACAGCAGTAAGCAAGGCATCTTTACCGTAGGGCCTGCCGATTATTGATACTGTTGGGGTTTGTGATGGACATCTGTTTACCTATCGTCCTCGCAATGCCGTAGGCGATTTTGATGTTGTAGGCCATGTCGCAGGATACGGAAAGATGCCGAATGAGAAAGGGAAAGTGGTATGTATCAACCTGGCATTTCAACGCGGAAGCAGCGAGAGCGCCGCAGATGACCTCACATGTTGTTGCTACTTTTCTTTAAACCATAGAGATCCTCCGAGGTTTTGTTACTGAGTGATGAAGACGAAAAACGAGGTATAAGGAGGATAAGCATAACCGATACCGGAATCAAGCGTGTTTTTTTGAAGAGCAGCTTTTCTCAACTCTATGAGCGACCTCTCGCCTTTGACCATTAGACCCCAAGGCAGTGAAACGGAAAAAGATGGTTCAGCCAGGCAATGTTGTCGGACAATCGTCATCATTGTTCACAGGAAAAGCAGGATCTTTTGTATCAAGGATGAAGAAAGATGTAAGCAGAGTAGACAAAACAGCGTAGGTCCATGAACGAGAGACTGGTCTCTTGTTTTAGTATATATTCAATATTGATGATATTTAATTTGCGCTCTCAGTCGACAGCATCCGAGCCACTACCCAGAACAAGCATATCATCATCCGTAGTCCACAGCAGTTCCACAGCCTCGGCACTGAATCAGACAGCAAAACCAAGAGCATTGAACACGACAGAGATATTAGGAACGTCGAATTTGATGATGCACCCAACAGCACCAAATTCGATAGCGAAGCCAACAGTATCAAAGCTGCCGATGAGGCCAACAACACCGAACTATATAATGGAGCCAGTGACGCCGAGCTCGATGCCAAAGCCAGCAGCGACGACATTTGCACCGTCTTCACATCATCCCAAGCACTTGAGCTATACAAACACTCCATTGTCGGGCAAGGCGCCAGCTCTTGGAATGGGCACTTTCCCGCAGGCATCGTTGACATGCGTGCGCCTTGGATCCAGGGTTGAATTCACGAAACCAAGCATGGCCGTACAATTTGGGCCGGATCGGCTGATTATCACTATCGAAAAAAATGTGACAAAGATCCCACATGACGAGATTAAGAGCATGGAGGTGGGACAAGGAACAGGCAGAAAAAAAAAAAGAGACGCTGCGGATGGTTGCTAACAGATCGCCCTCGAATGTTACGCCGTTATTAGGTGTATACGCACGGAGATCCGACGATACTTATGATCCAAACAGGAGGGCTTTTGCCAGAATCATCCATATTGGCGCCATATTATGACCCAACACTCAACTCCGGAAAGGCGAGAAGAATTACGCTTCTCCTCAAGTACGATTCTCCGGATATTGAAGAATGCTTCAAAAAGATCGTCAGAAAAGGAATTAAATGTCGTCTTCTCACGTATGTATCATTATTGGAGGCCTGATATTGAGATGAGGACGAGAATGCACGACCATTGCTACGTCCTGTCGACTAATCATCGCCTAATCTGGATCATTTATTAGATCTGAGGTCGCGGAGAAAATTCTCACCCTGAGCATCAACCGGTAAAGGAGATGTTAAATGAAGTTTTGTGGTGGACGTAAACTACGATACTTTACTAAAATAATCATCATTTCTACTGGTAACCATAGTAATGTACCCAGCACTGCAAGTCCCTCCACAGGATCGCGGCAGCTTATACCGCCTGTTTCTGTCAAGCAGGGTGACGACACGTAGGCTGAGCGAGTAACTAAAGTGGCATTTCATTGGATTAACAGCGTCTGTTGGTATAATTAACTGCATCTCTTATTTCTTCATGCCTTTGCCACAACTAGATTGTTCCTGTTTCCATTCAAGAGTAGCGTGAAAGCAAAATCAATTGCTATTCATCCTGAGGACGTTTCTCGACTGAACGAAGGCGAATTTCTAAACGATACTTTGATTGAATTCGGCCTCAAGTATGTCTCTTGACAGTGTAGCATTAAGGCTGGCCGCAGCGCGAATTTTAGCTTATTAATTATTTTCTTCATTTTTTTATATTATCTACAATAGATATATCCTTGCAAATCTGGAAAACAGAGATCCGGAGCTAGCTGATCAAACGTATATATTCAACTCATTTTTTTACGAGCGGTTGCTCACGAGTCCAGGGTAAAGTCATGCGCTATCAAGGCAACACGGCAGAGAGACTTGGCTCGCGGAGCTAATCTATTTTCATCATCTGCAATCATTTTAGCAAGGGCATTCGATATGACGCCGTCAAGAGCTGGACCAACAAAATCGACCTGTTTTCCAAGAAGTACATTATCATCCCTATCCACGAAAAGTAATCCGCGAGTTATTTGGACGTTGCGGAAGCGCTTTGAACGTGCTTACTGGAATTTTGACTAATCTATTTTTTTACGGCTATAGCGTGCATTGGTATCTTGCTATCATCACTAACCCAGGACTTCTCTTGAAGGAATCCAGTGATCCTCGCTTGGGACCGAATTCTGCGCCGGATCCTGGCAGCGATTCCGAAACTAAATCGCCATCCCCAGTCTCGAATGATGTTTTCTCCGAGAATTCAAGTGCCGATAAACATGAAGACATCTCACTAAAATCTCCTCTCTCAAAGACATTGCGGTCCCTTCAATTGATGCGTGCAACGCAACAGGGTGATGATGATACGGCTCCCTCGAGAAGAGTTTTGCGATCTTCCCTACAAATTCCTGTGGATGCGGAAGCAAAGTGGGTTCCCGCTTTCAGCAGAAAACACTAATCCTGATTAACGCACACACGCTGACAATATACAAATTTACTAATACATCCTTATTGACCTTTCTTTCATGGAGTAGACCCTATATTCTTGTTCTCGATTCACTTGGAGGCATCCATCCTGGGGTTTTCAGGAGCCTGCGGACATATTTACAGGAGGAGCTGCTGGCTAGGAAGAAAGTTGATAAAATTATTGACGCCAAAGAAATGCCCGGGAAGGTGGCAAAGGTAGCCTTTCAAACGCGGGCAACATTTTTTTCTTTTTCTTCCCGCCCAAAAAGAATAGCTCGCTAACTTGTCTATCATGTCAATTAAATTGATTGCATAGTGCCCACAGCAGGAAAACTTTTGCGACTGCGGATTGTTTCTACTACATTATGCTGAAATTTTCTTAAAGCATTCAGGGCCTCTTTTGGATGGCATTGTAGTATGGAGTCATTGGATTCTCATCGTTTCGTGCAGAATACCCTATTTTGTTTCGCGTCTCACCGACTCATCATCCTTTTTCTATTACGTTTTTGGAAATAGAACAAAACGGACAATATGAACAAATACTGGAATGTGGGAGACCTAGCGCTTAAACGCCAAAAATACCGGGAGCTCATGGTCGAGCTGACGGAGCAGTACAAGACCTACCTATTTTCGCAAAAGCAGATCGAGCAGATTAAGGAGGCGAAAGCAGACCAAACGCGCGCGCTACCGCAGGAGAACGACCTACACCGTGAGCAGGACTGGGAAAGGAAACAAAATCAGCGCCAGGGTCAGCACCAGGGTCAGCACCAGGGTCAGCACCAGCATCAGCGCCAGCATCAGCACCAGCACCAGCACCACTACCAGCACTATCAGTACCAGCAACACTGACATCAGCAACAACCACACCTGGAAAGCAGCAGGTCAGACGTTGCGATGGAAGAAGAATAGGGTCTGGGCTATCAACCAGGCTGAGCGCTGATACCATAGAGGAAGAGTACAGGCAGCCCAGTGCAAATGTACATTATCATAATCATTATTTTTACCATCGCGGGCGTAGCACTTTAATTGGGGTCCATCTCTTCAAATGAATAATCATAATGAAAATAAAAATAAAAAAAAGCCCTAAGATTATTTTATGGCATATTTGCATTCTCCAAGATGGGCGATTGCTCAGTGGGTTCAAGGGCAGAAGTCGCAGATGATGGTGTTTCTGACAATGAAAACTCCTTTGTTGCTGCATCCTCCTGCTCCGCAGTACCAACTTTGTCCTTGTCTTCCGCTTGTTCGGTTAGTACTAGTTCCGTTGGGGTTTCCGAGGGCTGGACAGGCGACTCTTCGTCCTCTTGTACCGCCATAGTGATATCGTTGCTGTCATGGCCCATCTCGACATGTACAAGTCCTCCATAGATGCCCTCGTCGAAGCACTTGAGGATGTAATCCTGCACAGCGCGCTTGTACACGACCACAAAGCCGTCCATAATCTTTTGTTCGTTCAGCACTGCAGACCCCTCCATCCCTTGCATCCTGAAACCTAATCCACCGTTCTGCCCCGAAGACGACATTGTTGCCGCTGTTGCTGTTGCTGACGGCGCCTGAGTGGCCGGCAAAAAGCTTGAGCGGAATGCAGAGGCCCGCTCTCCAAAGACGAATCGATCGTACTCTTCCAGCGACAGGTCCATACGCATCAAACTGTCTGCCAGGATCTCGCGCAAGGGTATGGCCAACGACAAGGGTGCCAACAGACGTAGCGAATTGAGTGCCGTGAGGTAGGAGTTAGCGAGATAGGCGAGTGGGGGATAATCCATCAGGCAGGTCTGGGGCGACATGGATAAAGCCGATAGTGATGAGCCGCTCGCAATGTCCGCTGAACTCACGGTCCTACCCAATAAGGGCGAAGCGGTGGCACTGGATGAAGCGGACGAGAGAGTCCTTCCTGTTCCACCCAGCATCCACTGACTTGGGAGTAGCCACTCTGGATGATTCTTGCCTTCGCCTCCAAGACTATCTAAGAATTCGTCCGCGCCTTTCTGGAATGCTCCGCCCACCACCCGAATCACGGCCTCCTCGAACAAGGACGTCACCAGATACCGTAGATCGAAACCAATCTTGCTCATATTGGCCCCGAGATACATGAGCTGGGTCAAGATGGACGACAGGGCAGAGGTATCGTTAATCTGAGGGATGTGGACCTTGAGTGTATGAAGCAGTGTTTGGGTCCGGTAGGTGACAAAATCTGCCAAGAGATTGTCTGTCGTCCAATAGTGCTGCCTCTGATGTTGCTGATGTTGCCCGATTGAATCCGCCTCTCCTACAGCCGAGGCTCCTGGGCTCTTGTAGTTCATGGATGACGAGAAAGGAGACGATAGCCCCATGTACTGGTCAATGCTGCCAAAGACACTCTTGTAGTAGGTCATGGTGTCAAAGAGACACTCCCGCGTAACATCGATGTATTTCTTTAGAAATCCGAACGAGTCGCCCCTGTAGTGCACGACTTTGGAGAGCTGCAGGTTCATGTAAAGACCCCTTGATTTCAGGAACAGCATCTTGAGCGGCGTCTCGTCCTCAGATACTGTTGTTGCTGAGGCAGATGAAAATGCGGATCCTGCTGCACCCGTCATTTCCTTTGCCGCTCGCGGCGATGATCCTGCTGTTGTCGTGGCAGTTGTTTTGTCTTGATGCTCGTCCTCCTCCAGCATGTCCAATTGTCCTTTGAACGTCCCAATTCGCCGCAAGAACCCGATGATCCTCAGCGCGACCGGTAACTTGATCGGCTCTCTTAATTGCGCTAAGAGTTGCACTAACATCATCTCTTTGCCCTGAGCCACCTTGAGATCAATCTCTTGGATGATCCCGATCCCTGGATACCTCGATACCAGCCGCTGAACATGACTGGCGAGCTCAAGGGCCTCATTGTAGTAGCCATTCCTGACACATGTATCCATCAAAAGCGGAATCTCGAGTACATCCAGCAGCTGTGAGTGGGCTGCCAAAATCGATGAGAACACGCGCTGTCGTTCGAGGATAGGGGACACCTTGGTCGAGAACCTCGAGAGCGTCTCGACGAACTGTGGGATGGTCTCTTGAAAATGGTCGAGATGCTGACCGAGTGTTCCAAAGGTTGACTGGACATCCTGCTTACAGTCCTTGACAAGAATAAAGGCCTTGTAGTCTCGAAAAGCCAGCTCGGACATGTCCCGTTCCACCTTGAGTTGCTCCTCGCGAAGTTTCTCGGGCTCATTGTGCAGGGCGCGTGCGGGCAAGGACGTGAGTCGGTTCAGATAATCCTTGGACCAAGACGTCGAGAGCATCTCGTGCTTTTCTGATGGCACCTTCTTAAGAATGAGGTCGAAGAGTTCATCCTGATCTGTGCTGCCACTGACGGCGTTGGTATTGTTGCTATGGCTATGCGAGACCGGGTCGATGTCACGAGCGGCCAACTCGGTTGCCATGATCGGAATGGGAGATAAAAGGATAGCGAGCGCGAAAGTGGACAGATGAGATGCAATAGAGAACGCCCAATTTAATTTTCTAGCCCCAGGACAGTTGGAAGTAAAGTGCAAGGGACATAAATGGTTTTATTATATGTATTTTACAGGGAAGATGTATTATGAACAAGGTAGGGATTAAGCGAGGAAATAAGGGCGTGTAGGGGTATAAGGTGATCATTCGCATCCTTATGAGATACGCGAGGATATATGCGCCGCTTTTGGGTACGGCGCATGGCCAGCCTGCAGGTAGCGAAAGCTGGGCGGAGAGCCTCCAGCAGATTGGTCCCTGAGGACCGACCCGTTGACGCTTCCGTGGTCAGAGATCACAGAGATGGACACGTTCTCGCCATGTTTCTGATAGTCGTTAATGTCAATCGTCGCTCCAAGACCATGGCCGCTATCGATACCTTCATAGCTCGATGCGCTGTCATCTTCAAAAGGTGATGGTCCATTTGCCGCGCTAGGATGCTCCCTGTCGGGGTTGGTTTGTTCGGGAGCAGTGTCTCCATGGTCCGATGGGGGATAATGTATGTCCGCGCAATCGCTATAGCGTTGACGTCGAGGTCGATTATAATCCATACGCCGCGCCAGTTGTCGTGCGTACTGTTGACGGAGGTCATCATCCGTATATCCTTGGTAGTTGCTGAGATTATCTGCAGAAAAGTTTTCGTGCAGTACCCGCATCGGCTCATCCACAATCAGACGCGGGTTATTAACCTCAGAGTGGTTCCGTCCATAGAAGACATAGATGAATAATCCGATCGCCATCCAGCCCAGGAGTCGGTAAATAGCATCTCGCCTGGCGCTTTTAAGCAAGAGTAATGCACTTGCAGCACCAATTCCAGGCAGTAAAAACGGACCTAAAAAAAAAAACGAGCGAAGGAAGTGTGAACATGAGTTCGTGAAATAGACCGGTGAGGGTTTCGTTATAAATCCGTACATAGCTTCGTATAAGCATACCTCCAGGAACTTTGAACCGCCTCGGCACCGTCTTCCGAGTGTATCTTAGGATAATGACGCCAATATTGACCACAAAGTACGCAAAGATTGTTCCGACAGAAGAAATATCGCTAAGCACCTGCATCGGCAAGAGACCTCCGCAGAGTGAGCAGATGATTCCTGAAATAAGGGTGCTCATATAAGGTGTCTACATGTTGGAAAGTATGGAACGTCCGCAGGAAATCAGCAGAAGAACTCATTTAGATCTATAGTATGTCCGCATGAATGACATAGCGCGCGCGTACCTTGTACTTGGGGTGTACCCTGGCAAATACGCGCGGGATTAACCCATCATTCGCCATCGAATAAAAGACACGGGGCTGGGCAATCAACAAGACGAGAATAACCGACGTTGTTGCTGCTAGCGCGCCGAGCTCCGTCAAAACAACCAGCCAATGCATTTTCGTAAGTCGCACAGCATCCACGACCGGTGAACTACCTCCAAGGGTCGTGTAGTGCGCAACCCCGACTGTGACAACACTATGGTTATTGCAAAAAAATTCAGAAGTTCCGATCTTTAGTTAATAAAACGGAAGGTCCTCTTATCAACATACATCCGATGGATTGAATGAAGAGAGTGAGAAAGGAGAACGAGACGTACCTAACGCCAACATAGAGTACCGTGGAAATGACGATGGTTGACATGATGCCTACAGGCAGATTGACCTGCGGTTCCTTGGCCTCTTGTGCCGTAGTGCTGATGCTGTCGAATCCGATGTAGGCGAAGAACACGGTCGACGCGCCTGATAGCATACCCGAGACACCTCCAAACTCGGGTGGGAGGTATGGATGGTAGTTCTCTGGCTTGACAAAGGGGATCATGGAGAAGATTACAATGACCAGCGCAATAACTTTGAATACGACAAGGTAGTTATTGATCCTGGCAGTCATATGAATCCCAAAGTAGATGGTTGTTGAAACAACTGCGGAGATGACGAAGGCAGGGGTATTGAAGTAGTCGCCTGTCATCGTGAAAGTGCCTTCGTCCCAGGCGATGGGTGTGTTTGTCCACTTTGGTGAGATGTCCCAGTTGAACGCGTCCTTGAGAAAGGCAATCATGTACGATGACCAGCCCACGGACACGGTTGCTGCGCCCACGAGATATTCGAGAACGAGATCCCAGCCAATGATCCATGCTGCAAGTTCTCCTATAGAGGCGTACGCATAGGTGTAAGCCGATCCGGCTATTGGAATCATGGACGCCATTTCTGCATATGATAAGGCCGCAATGCCCGAGACGAAGCCTCCTAGGAGGAGTGACAGAGTTACAGAGGGGCCAGCCTGGGTTGCAGCAGCCGATCCTACGAAGCATCAAGAAAAACCAACAATAAAAAAGGGTTAGCTGTATTGGTGACACAAGCAGCGACAGACAGATGGATTTCATCTTTGCGAGGTGGTGGTTCTGGCCTTCTTCTTACCCATGAGGACAAAGACGCCTGTACCAATGACGCCGCCTAAGCAGAGTAGCACAGTATAAAGGACAGTTAGTTCAGCATTATCGAAGTCGCTTCTAGGTGCGGTGGTTTGGAAAGGGCCATAACAATAGCAACAACCTATAGCCATGAGGACATATGCTCGCTACTGTTGCTCGCGTGTGGCGTGTGTGTATGCATGTATGCAATTGAGCGGGTATTGGATATCTGTGTTTGCATGAATGTGGGCGCTTGTGTTTGTCTTTTGTCTTTGCCTTTGTCAACTGCTTTGTCATTTCTTTTTTCGCACAAGAAAAATAAGGTAGGGTAGAAAACTAAAGGGAAGACAGACATGTGCAAGCTCGTATTTTTGCGATGGTTGCACGATAGTTTAACCTTGACAAGACTGAGCATTGCAGCAAGGTGAAGTGGTCTAAGTCTGCACCCGGTACATAGCAGTTCACAGCCCATCTCTATGTGCACCTCTCATTCTCACTGCCAGCGTATATTAGTAAACAGCTGCCGTAATAAACATATGAGTGAGCACACCTGCGACGAATACCAAAAAAAGATAGAAAGGGGTTGTTGAAGGACAAACAAATAAATCCTGGACCATAGAACATCATAGCAATGACCGCCACCACACGAAGAAGTAGAAATGTCCAGATGGATGATAGGCATATGTACGTATGTTCAAGTAAAGATGTTGGGTGGAAAGATAAGGTATGTATGTATATGACTATACGAGGCGACCCTAAGACTGTGCTGTAGCGATGGCTAATCAACACTGCATGTAATGTACTCGCACTTTGATAGTCTGTATACGGTATGTGTGTATATGTGTGTGTGGTGTTGTGGTGGCGGCTCTGGTGGCTCTTGCTGCAACCTGACCAACTGACACAGCATGCGTAATTATAATCTTTCGGAGGATCCTTTCTTCCCCCTTTCCCTGCACAAGAGTGAGTCGGAGACAGCGATATGGGGTTGCAGCTGAACATATTCGAGGCACGAATGTAGTACCAGCAGCAGTACCAGGGTAGTCGTAGGGTAGCCGTAGGAGCTAGTTGCCAAGAGTACCGTCTTTGTCGTCTCATCTCTTGTCTAGACCCCATTGACTGAACAACCAATTTAAACACCCCTGGTTTTCATTTCCAGTAAACATCTGAGCTGTGCGCCAGAGTAGTGAGATCTATTGACCCTCGCTCACCTAACCCATGCACACACCCACACACGCATGCATTGACAGAGATGTATATGTGTCTCTCTCAGCCCTCCTCTGCTGCCTGCTATGGATCTGTCGGCAACCCAATGGTATTCGTTGCAAATATCTGATTCAATCTGCTTATACAAACAAATGCCAATCAATGAATGGAGGGGAGAGGGGGGAGTCTATGCTGGGACAATCCTTTCTACACATACAATCTTCCACTACTCCATTTGAGGAAGGTCAAGGGAGGATGGACAGTTGAAGGCTGCATGCCACGGTTCTAAAATCGATCCTGCAGGCCACAGCCTCTTCAAAAGCCTTCATGACAGTTCACCACCCCTTTGTCTCTCTTTCCCTCTTTGTTTGGTGACAACCTGCGCGACCAATGGCGTAACATCCCTGATAGTTCTCGAGGGGACAAAAAAGAGAGGGGACAAAAGGAAGTGAGGAGGAGGAGGAGGAGGAGGGATGGAAGGAGGCCGTTGCGGATGATCCGGACTGGTCCAGGGGAACATGCCAATGGCAGTGTATGGTACCAAGAACGCAGAATAAAAAAACTACTGTGCACACATTGCGTTTTCATAGAAGAAAGGCGGTGATGCAGGGTATCAACGTCAAAGGTTTATCAAAGCCCAGGCAGCTTACCAAGTCCGACAAAGGTCAGCTCGACGGGGCCAAGGGCTCGATTGAACTTTGTTTCGGCCTCCTCGACGGTGTACTCGAGGCGGTCCATGGTCTGGATAGAGATCAGTCGCCGGGCATGGAAGTGCAAGGTTGATTCGTTTGGCTTGCGGAAGGGGGTTTGTCCGGTGTAGTAGTAGCCGTCATCATGATCGTCCATCTGCTCTTTATGAAAAGAGAGGGAGTGTTTTGCGGAGGGGGTGTAGGTGAGAATGGTGGTTATCTCCTTGCTGTCTGTCGAGGGAAGGGAGGGTGGTAAGAACGGGATGGGTCCACTCAATTGGTAGCAGACTATTTGGCGTGCTGGTGTTTAAAAGACCGACCGAGGCGGGAAACGAGAAAGGAAAGGGGTGTGCGTGTGGGTGGTAGTCGTGCAGAGGTATCTCGGGGCAGTGTGATCTGTTTCCCCAATGCTATGGAGAGCACAGTTGAGGCATGAGCCGGATTCGAATGGGTGATGATGATGGAGTGTGATGAGTGAGATGGAGCCTAAATAAAAACAAAAACAAGCACGGGCAATCTCAATTGCAGTGGTGCTCGTCCGCTGGTCTGTTTGTTGTGTTGTTTGTGTTGTTTGACCTTCTCTGTTCATTGCCTCGGCTTCCTTCGCTTCTTCGTGCACCAAACCTCGCGGGTGAGCAGGATGGATACACATGCATGTGCGACTGTGCTATCTGTACCCGAATGCTCACTATCCATTTCAGCCAGCCGTATCATCGAAACAATCAGAACGCGGTTGAAGTAAATGACCTCTCTGAGACCTCCAAGTCAAGAATCCAGTCTCAATCCCCTCACCTAAGACGCACCGTGTGAAGAGACCGTACTCGAGCAACTGACGGGTCCTGGTCTTGATTTGTTTCCGCATAAATCTATATGAATATTTTATTTGACTGATGATGAGAATGCATTACCCTTGGAGCGATCGTGAAACGTCCAGTTGGCATGGTGCAGTGCCTTTCGAAAAGATTCTTTGCCTCAACACTTGGCTTCTTCGCCGCTGATCCCGCTCTTGGTTCAGCTGGATCGTAAGCAGCAGCTTCTGCACACCCTGAGTCATCTCAAGAAGAGGGTTTTTCTTCGGTAATACACCATCGCCATGGAATGTAGTTTCACAAAGTTCACGGCATATATACAAACATCGCATCGCAACATCGAATAGCCTTTGAGCCTATAAATTCACAGTTTCCAATCAGAAGTACGAGTGACATCCTGGGCCGGTATCAACAGGAAGCTGCTCAGTTAGCATGCATCGCTGCAGCATCCCCACAATGGAGCAAGGCAAGATCTTTTTCTTGACTTCGTTTCAGCACTGTAAGTCCTCCTAGCCCTGAGCACAGCCCTTGCTGATAGTCCTTTTTGCGTCTGGCGTGCATTGGACAACATGGATTTAAAGAGTTACGCTTTCAGATAAGCTCACACATTGCTCTCACTAGGAATGTCGTACAAGTAAGGACGCTGAAGAGCACTATGGTTTGAATAGATTCAGCATAAAAGATCAACTTTCCTTTGCCCCTCAGTTTTTAGCTTTCCATGAATCTGGATAGTCCCTCCTCTCAAGTTCATTGATTTATTACACATCATGAATATAGATCTAGTTCCACATTAGGAAATGAGAGGCGTAGTACCAACGCACAGGGTCGTAGCATACCAGCTATGGTGGTGATCATGCTACACGGTAACATCCTCGATGCTCGGGGCAGAATAGGCCTCCAGCTGTCTCTTGCCCGTGCGAAGAAGGTACTCGATGGTGGAAAAGTCGCGCTGCTTGACCTCAGAGTGCTTTCGGAACTGCATCCTGATGAATGCATGAAAGTGAGGTCGGTTTGCCTGTGTCGTTCAGGGATCAGCCTCAAGAAACTGATCAAGCGACAGCATGCGGAACAGAAAAAGCCTCGAAAAACAACTTTACCTCTGGCTTCAGTCTCGCAGCTCGGAAGCATTGGCGGTAGAGGTTCAGAACGTCCTGCTGCAGTCCTGATCGGCGAACCGGGGCAGTAGACATGATGTTCAAAGGTTGGGCGGTCTTGGAACCGGAGGGGAAGGAGCCTTGAAGTATATGGCCGTCACAGAATCATGATGTTTTCTTTTTCGGTTTTGCGCTACCCCAGCTATGGCCTTTGGCAATACAACCAACGCTTCTGAAATGGCTACACCTCAACATGAACCAGTGTCGGAACACACCAATCAAGAGAGTCGGCTTTTGCACGAATATGAAGAACACCAGATCAGCCCTCTACAGGATGTAGTCTTTTCTCAGCCTCTCAACAGCCAGTCAAAACGTCGCAGACGGCGGCCTTCGGTACTTGCGGGCATGGAAAGAAACGAATCATCAAGGAACCCTAACAACCTTTACCAGGATACCTCAGACTCTGAGCTGGATGAAATAGAGAGCGAGCAGGAGCTTGAGCGGGAGTATTTAGAGTACGTCGAGAGACAGCAGCAACCCAAGCTGCAAGCGCTGCAGGATGGAGATATCTGCTACTACTGTGGCTCTATAGCTCCATTCTCGATGCGACACACCACCCCATACATCGATCTGTACCAATGTGCTCTTTGCCGTCAGAATCAAAAACAACTGTTGGGTTCTTTACCGCCTGAGACGCTGCAAGAGCACAAGGAGGAGCTACAGGAGTTGGTGGAAAATGTAGGCTTGGGCAGCAACAGCTGGTTCGCAATCACACCGCCTCCTGCCAATCTACAAAACAACTTGCAGACGGCAGGGTCAACACATGCATCAATTCCAGAGGGTGGCAAGGACCCGCAGGCGCGGAGAGCTTTGCCGCACTCACAGGAGGTTCAGGCAACAGAATATCGACCAGAGAGTAGGCCGTTGATTGCTGGAGGAATGACATGGACGGTACAGGAGAGTGATTTGTTCTTCCACGGCTTGAGGCGTTTCGGAAAGCACAATGTCTGGGCGATTCAGGAGCACATCAAGAGCCGGTCTCTGGCCGAGGTCACAGCCATGATCCAGACTATGGAGATGGAGCTAGCGAGGCATACACAGTTTGGTTTCAGGCCAAATCGGTTGAGCGAGATGCCTATGGCGGAGGAGGCGGACGAAAAGCAGATCGAGGTCGAAGAACTGTGTGCGGCTGTGCTCACCGACATCGAAATGAGAGATACTTGGAGACGGTACAAGGAGGCGCCAGTCAAGACACGCTCAGAGGCCTTGAATAAAACAGGACTGTTCAACCTGCGGACACTCACCGACTTGAGCACTCGACTGTACATACAAAACGAGGAAGCAAGCATAGACCGCGATACCGTTGCTATATTATACGATGCTCTCAAGGAATGGCTTACGTCCATCATCAAGGAATTGATCATGTTGCATCATGAACGACACCGCATACGCCTCTTGCTAGACAGGGTAAGAGGCTATCCCCCCTCTCAACGAATGCATATCAATATGGTGCGCTTCATATCATGCAGTTTTTAATATTTGTTGATTCTTTACACTATGTTATATAGAAAAAACCTTCAGATATAGTGGGAATCACTGAAGAGGACGTTGTGCGGATACTGTATGCTCAACAAAAGGCATTGGGCCCTGGCCATTTTTTCGCGACTCTTTCAGACCGACTCCGTTATCTGGTCATTGACGATTCGTCATCTGCAATCGAACTCGAAACTGCTGGACTGAAGACTCTCTCTCCTCTTTGGATCGTGCGAGGACTGGGGAGGAAATACTACTTAAACGAACAGGTGGATCGGGCTAGGGCGGAGGCTCCGGACTCGGATCAGGACATGGAGACGGATGACGGCGTGTCTGCTGAAGAGGAGGCAGAGGTTTTGCTGGAGGCCCCATTGCCCGTTGTTGCCGAAACTCCAGGACACGAATCACGTCCAACGGATGCTCGAGAGCGCAAGGCAAGGAGGGACTTGAAGGACATATACCCACAACAAGCTGCAGCTCTGGGACAATGGGACAATTTTTGGTCCATCAAGGCTAGAGAGGCGCGTCAAGAAACCCAGGAGATGACCCTATTCGACAGATCTACGGCTGCTCCCAGACGAAAGAGATTTAGGGCGGAGTACCCTCTCACGCCGTCATCTATGACGTTCAACGATTGGCGAGAAGGTGCAGGAAGGCTCGAGGCGAACAGTTTTGCGCTACCGATTAATGTGGAGAATGATGCAGGCGTAATAGCAAAAGACCTCCTCAAGCGTAATCAAGCAGTGTCAAGTATGAACAAATCTAAGCGAAGCCACGAACAGCTGCTCTACCTGGACCCGCCAAAACAAATCTTTTACGCGGTACCCGGCCGCACTAAGACCCGCGAAAAGATGAGATTCGAGAGGTTCAACAAAATGAAGAGAGATTTCGACGAGAAAGCACAGCACGCGCCGCGTATACGATTCATTGACATGTATGCACCAGGATATGGCATCTTGCCCAGGGGCGAGTCGTTCATGTACGATCCGACGCGTCCACCGCCCAAGAATGGATACGGCCTAGGCGAGAGAGACCGTGGAGGACTCTGGCTCATGGACAGGAACGCGAAGGACCAGTCCACTGGATACATTACAGTCTCCGATACTGAGGACGAGGAAGAGGAGACGCGCGGTTGGGAACGCCAGATGAAGGCCGATGATCGGATCGAGCAGCGGTCAAAGCTAAGCTGATATCTATGGCGCTCATTTAGGCTACTTCCTGTAGCCCTGCAATCCATAGTTGGGCCGTACGTATTCCAAAAAAAAGCTTATCACTTTTACTCTTGAAAGGGGACATTTCGCCTTAACGCACGGAAAATAATAACGAAAAACTCATCGCTGATCTGAATGATATACATTGCTTTGAAATCCGTCTATTTTACACTCCTCATCCCGGAGACATACATCTCTGTAAGCAAACCACCTCTGCCTCATTTTTCTTGCTCAGCGCCTCTTGTTTCCAGGTCAGTCTCAACTGGTTTTTTCGCAGCCCACTTTTTAAAATTTTCATTCCTAGGTCATCTATCGGAATTGCACCAGTAGACTAATGAGTGAAATAGAACGTCGTTGTAGCTAATTTAAAAAGGAGCTGACCATATTCCGAGCTGGGCCTTTTATTCAGACCTTGGTGAACAAAAGGAGAAGTGCACTGGGAAAGAGGATCAGCAGCGATTGCAGGTCCAGTTTTTGGGGTTGTCCGAGGATACTACGAGTGATTTTGAACGACCGAGCGGTAAAGGTTCTCTCAGTGTCGGTTCTTGATAGGGTATGAGAGAGTCCTCTATTGAAGGGATGTCAATGGAGCGTGCTACATAGCGAAGACATGCATGATGGAGCGTTGGAGGCGTTCGAGATACCACAGCGCTTGCCAGAACATGGCTAATGCTATTCTTCAATGGGAAAAGGACTTTACGTGGTTCGACGCGCTGAACCTCAACTTGTCTGGAGGCAAGAGGCCCTCTGAAACGGTGCATAGCAATAACTTGTGAGTCTCCTCTCGTCTTTTGTCGTGCTTGGAAATAAATTAATTTATTCGCGATGACGGTTGTGAATCCGACTACCAACGCACATCCTTCCGCTCCGACGACCGGCTTGTGTGGACAATTATTCAACTAGGGAGGGCATCATCGATCCCTCTCCACCATCACCTTCCTTCCATACTCAACACCAGACACACCATGCTCGCCCTTCGCTCTCTTCGCGCTCCCTTGGCCCGTGCCTCCATCCGCACCGCTCCCGTCGCCCGCTTCTCTGCTCTGTCTGTCCGCCTCGGTGAGTAGATCCGAACTCGCTCGCTCCCTCCGTTCTGCCCGATTGAATCTGATCCAACCCAGACACACAACAGCATACAAACGCCCAACGGCATGTGTCTTGTCCAAGGACCATCAATTCGCTACGCTTCAAAGCGGCAACAGCTGGAATATGCATGCATACAGAATCATTATTTCAACGGGGACTCGACCAAGATCTCCAGAGTAACTTTAGCAGCAATCACCTGGGCAGCTCCGATAAAGCTGCTACTCATATCCCATCGTTTGCAATATGAATCCAGCCTGCAGGATCTCGGCAACTCAACCGTGGCAGTTGTTTCCGAGCAGTATCTCACGATAATGCACTATCTGTGGGGTTTATTCTCTATGAACACAACGATGGATGACATCGGAGAGACTTTCCGAGAGACGGGGTTTTTAAAAGAGTCATAAAGCAAGAAACCAGCCTGGCGCACTCTCTAGTCTCGACGACGCGTCTGCCTTTGTTAAGCATGTCCGTCTGACTCTTTAATTGCTATTATTTGTATATTAGGCGGTCACCATGAGGTCAAGGTGAACCAGGGCCCTGGAGCTGCCCCCGGAGCCGTCCCCACTGATTTGGATCAGTCGACTGGTCTGGAACGTGCTGAGCTTTTGGGAAAGATGCAGGGCAAGGACATTTTCGATCTCGCTCCCCTTGAGGTCACTGTCCGTGGCACCAAGACTAACCCCACCATCATTCGCTCTCGCGACCCTGTTCGTTACGTTGGATGCGCCGGTAATGTTGGGATGCTATTTTGTCCAGCTTAGTCGTGTTGTGTTCGCATGGGCGTAAATTTTTTGACTCACTTTCTCATCGCGGATACCTTCGTTTTCCGGTGCTGTCTAAAATAGGTGTTCCCGGTGAGACCCACGAGGTTAACTGGCTCGTTATTGACCAGTACGTATCAGACTCATGCCCGTTCTCAACACATTCGCGCGACCATGACTCTCACACTGTAAAATCTCTCAACTGTTTCTTATTTTCTACAGGACACACGAGTTCGACCGTTGCGACCAGTGCGGCAACGTCTACAAGTGGTCTGCCTATGAGCCCGATGAGAACTTCCCCGCCGAGAAAGGCCACCACCATTAAACGGAAGAGCAGGCTGTTGAACAACTATGGCGCATCGTAGAAAGAAAAAAAGAAACGTAGGACATGTTTTTTTGTTCCCAAATATCATTTATTTTATCAGTTGCTGTCGAAGATGATTTAGATGCGCGTTCAGAAACACTATGGCCCGTTGAATGAATGAACCTGAAATGTGTTACTGCAGGAGGATTGACTCTATACAGATTGGTGCGGTGTGTCGCGTTCTGGCACGCGACACACGCAATGCTGTGTAATGAAATATTGTGTACGTCCTTCTGTCTCTCCTTCTCTTTACGTCTCGCTTCAATCGAAATCAGTCATGTTGTGCATCGCTGCCTCAACTCTTCGCAAATCCATCGCCGACAACATGCATCCTCATGTCGCGAGGTTGGCAAGAACGCCGACCCTTTTGCTTCAGTCTTTACCGCGGGCACGTTCCCTTTCTACCCTGACCTCGCTCCGTTTCTCGGACGAGGTTCGTTTGGCCCTCGACGCGAAGAGGCCCCTTGTCGCCCTGGAGAGTACCATTATCTCCCATGGAATGCCCTACCCTCAGAACTACGAGACTGCGATCGAGGTTGAACAAGTAGTCCGAGACAATGGCGCTGTTCCCGCTACAATTGCTATCATTGACGGACAGATAAACATCGGACTCTCCCAGGATCAGATCCGTACTCTCTCCAAGTTGGGGAGAATGGCTGTCAAAGCCTCGAGACGCGACTTGGCGGTAGTTATGGCCAAGGTAAGGACCACTGGAGGGTGCAACGCATACGTGGGTTTGTTACTGAAATAGAGTGGGCATTGCAGGGGCAACTGACTGATTTACAATCGTGATTTGTGATCCAAATGTGTATAGAAGCAAACGGGAGCCACTACAGTCTCTGCCACTATGCTTCTTGCCCATCGCGCTGGGATTTCAGTCTTTGCTACAGGAGGCATTGGAGGCGTCCACCGAGGCTATGAGAACAGTACGTTTCCTTGTTTGACGGGTAGTGCTTACTTTTCCCTGCGCGAAGTATCGAAACTCGCTGACACTCACTTTGGCACTCATTTGAATGCGCTGATCAATAGCCATGGACGCCAGTGCCGATCTGACTGAGCTGGGTCGCACTCCTGTCGCCGTCGTTTGTGCGGGAGTGAAATCAATTTTGGACATTGGCAGAACGCTTGAGTTCCTAGAGACACAGGGTGTCACCGTGGCGACATTTGGCAGCACTCTAGATTTCCCTGCGTTCTTTACTCGTACCAGTGGCTTCAAAGTATGTACACATATCATACCCTGTTTACCGGCATTCAGTCAGCTTGGAGTGGTTTGGCAATATGCGGAAATGGCGCTTTGACTGGTCGTCTAATCTGTGACAAACCAACAATTATTTGTTTAGAGTATGTTGAACATCGAAACATCGAAGGAAGCAGCCGAAATAATTGGTATGTCAATATCGACTTTCGATCTATGCATGGGAAACTGTGGAAATACAGTACTTATGTTTGTGTTTGTGGCCGACAATATTAGCTGCGAACCATGCGATGGATCTTCAGAGTGGAATCGTCATCGGCGTACCTATTCCAGAGTCTGATGCTATGGATGATGCCTTGGTGGGCGAAGCTATCAACACAGCTATCAAAGAATCAAAGTGAGTGCGTTGAAAGTGAGGGTCTGCAGGCGATCTAGTAACCATAGCATCTGATTCTGACTACATTCAATGATTGCTGGGTATAGCGAGCAAAAGATCTTTGGCAAGGAGAGCACCCCATTCCTGCTTAAACGGGTCAATGAGCTTACAGGGGGAAACTCTCTCAAGTCCAGTAAGCATTACATACGGTGAGCAAATATCTTTTCTATGCATTAAAACATCTCTTGACCAATATACTATTTGTTGCATATAGATATTTCTCTGGTGAAGCAGAACGCCTCTATCGCTGCCAAGATTGCAAAGGATCTCTCTTCTCTGGTATGCGTCTGTTGGAGATACTATCAGTCTCTTTTTAATCAAGTATTATTTGGTCCGCTTACTCGATCCATTTGATTCCCCTTGGACTTGACTATAGAATGCGAACCCTGGCAGTCAAACTAGGTCTTACTCCACATCAGCCCGCCATATGAAGCACCACCACTCTGGTCAGGGCCCTGTAAGTTCATCATAATGGCGTTACCAAAGTCGAGTCAAGACTACTGAGAGACAATCCGCAGACAGAAAAAAAGGGCAAAGCCGCCAAGGCATGAATCGCGCTGCAAATAAACTACTACTGGAGAGAGGGCATTGTACATAATGCCATATAGTAACCGAATGTGGATATTCCCAGAAGCGAATTAGAATAGCCGTTCTATGACATTCATGCACACAATCCGATTTCTTCTTATGTTATTATAGATCATGGTCATTGGCGGAACTGTTGTCGATATTACCGCGACCGCTCATGACACTTCCTCGAAGCTGATGCTCAACAGCTCGTTTCCTGGCACAACTCGGATATCGTTGGGCGGTGTGGGGAGGAACGTGGCAGAGGCTGTTTCCAAGCTCAATGCGGACGGGTGTGTCTTTGTGTCCGCCGTCGGTGGAGAGAGACCAGAACAGAGTATCCTGAACATGGTTGCTGAGGCCGCCACAGGTGATCTCTTTGGTTCATGGCTCATCAGCGAGATCGGACGGAAAGGGATGGTAAGGAAACGTCGTTCGAAGCATTTCATGTACCTTGTGTTTCTGGTAGAAAGAGTACGGTGCGCTTTATTGAAGCAGACTGTCGTTCCACTCTTGGGGACTGGATAGCGAAACCTTGAGATTCATCAAATTTCAGGCGCCCGAACTGCCACGTACACTGCCCTCCATGATGCAGCAGGCAGTTTACTGTCGGCTGTTGCAGACATGGATGTCTCCGAGCTGCTTTCTCCTAGTAAGGTATAAACATTGGGCTGTAGGGGCCGCATCGAAATGCTACTCTCTCAAATGCTAGAGAGGCAGAAACAGCTTTAGCATAACGCTTCCTTTCTATACCTCAACAGGTGGAGGACGCGATTATCAAGCATAAGCCGAGTACGATATGTTTCGATGGCAATTTGTCAGTTGAATGTATACGTACTATTCTGAAAGTCAGCAAGGATTATGGTGTCAAGAGTAAGCAAGCAATGTCCTGTGGTCCACTCTATGCGTGTGTCCTGAACACGACGCTGCGCCCAGGTACGCATTATTAACATGCGTAAGCGCGTCAACCCCTAATTAACGACTATAGCATTCTTCGAACCCACATCCGTGGCCAAGTGTACCCGGCCCTTAGACGAATCAATGTTAGATGGCTTGCTGTACGATTCCTTGAGTTTTGCAAGCCCGAACGAGTACGAACTTCAAGAGATGGCTGACCGCGCCCGTCAGCTCATTAGAGATCATAAGGGCCAAGTACACTTGAGAGGTCTTAGGGACAGATCCGTCCAGGAAGATCTCCATGAGCCCAAGGGCGTGTTGACCAAATCCAACGAGAATTCAGCGTACAAAGGGCTCCTTTTGGATGCGTTCTCGGTATCACAATTTATTCCAATGCTGTTCATCAAATTGGGACCCAATGGTGTTCTGGTCTTTCAGAGGATAAGACCCCAATCGGCAGAGGGTCGAGATCAGGAAATCGAGAAGGAGATGGATGTGACCCTTGCTGATATTGAAGATTGGCAACAGGGAGGTCTTGTAAAATGGCAGCCCTTCCCGGCGCACAAGGTCGATAACATCAAGAGCGTCACTGGTGCGGGTGACAGGTATGTTGAATGCATGTTATGTGATGAACAGGGACTTGCAAAAATTCCTTGTGAGCGCATTCATTTATACCTCCTCTTGTATATCCGTGCCATTATTGGTAGTTTCGTCGCGTCCGTTGTTACAAGTCTGCATAACCTTGACAGAGCTTCAACAGTCCTATCCTCCTGCTCAGAGAGCACAATCCTTTGGCAGCACATGGATAGAATCATCGAGGATGGGCAGATCGCAGCGACGCTCACCATGCAAACCCACGAAACTGTCAGCTCAGCACTAGTACAGAGTCCTCAAGCAGAACGCATTCGTAGCGTAGCGAAAGAATAAGCCTGGAATGCATTACAATGCATTCGATGCCTCGTTTAAATAAACATGTATTTGTAACAAATCTTCATAGCTTTGCCTTCATAGAGCAGTTTCTGACGAATGGTACTGGCTATTGTGCCTGCATATCTGTTTGATGGTTACCGACTAAGGCCCTGTGGATGAATTTTTGTGGGCTTATAACAGCATCAGTGACCCGTGGGGATAGTTTGCTGTCAGTCCAAGAAAATCTCGTTAGATTTGAGTTGGCCGATGTATTTGAATATATAGTCGAGTCGCTTGAACTCGTCTTTGTCGACGAAGCAGATGACACAGAAAATGAGCGGGGCCGTCCTGACCCTGATCCTGGCACGGAGAGCATGGTCTGGTTGGATCGGAGTACACCGGGTGTAGAATAAGGCGACATGATATACCCTGAAGTGTCTCCAACACCCGAATTCGTCATCGTCAGCTCAGAAGCAGAGCGCGGCAGGTTCGGGTACAGATCACCATATGCCGTACGAAGCAGCTCATGTGCAGAGACGGTTTGTTCTTGCCTTTGTGACCTGAAGGAGGACTCATTAGAGTCAACTGGAGATGTGATCGAACGAGGGGAGGAGGCCTCTGAATCGGAAGAGCAGGAAGAAATGGACGACCTATCCGAGCCCCTAGGCAAAGGGACAATAGTGTTCAGGACCGATTTGAAACCCAAGGAAGATCTTCGCCGGTAGGAGGGCAGGTTCGGCGAAGAGAACGAAGTCCGGAAGGTGCCATGTGGGAGTGTCATGGGCGTAGAGGAGACAGTCGGGGAAAACATGGCGTCTGTGAGCGAGGTTGGTTCCTGTGGCCTCATAGAAAAAGAGTCGGTCGCCCCATTACCGGGCGAACGGTTCCTAGTCTTGGCAGCAAAAGACCGACGACGAACCGACTTCAAGTGCTCATCCATGCTTTGTTCTGCAGCCTCTGCTTCAGCTGGTGTCTGAGGATAGAGGTTTCCTAGGGGACCAGGGCCGAAGAAACTAGACATTGAACGGTAGCTCCTTGGAGTTTCTGAGGCATCCATAGACCCCAGCAGAGGCGAGCCGTGTACAGAAGGCGCTGCAGATCCTGCCACGGAGGAGGGCATCGTGCTGGTACCGCAGCTCAGGCTATTGAAGGCAGCGATGTGGCCCATTGAAACTGTGCGCGTACCGCCACCACTGTTGAGGGCTTTGATCGTGTGTGCACCCATGTATCCCATCTCACGGCGCGAAAGAGGCGTCGTAGGTGTTGAGACATTAGGTGAAAAGAGTCTATTGCCATTCAAGCGGCTAAGTGAAGCGGCCGAGGTTGAGGGGATCATGGGGGTACCACGGCAACTGTGGATGTCGTTAATGCTGCCGCTTCTGGATCGGGGCATACGGAAGATCTTGGCATGGTCGCGCAACCTGTCGTGGCTGCTGAGAGTCCTTGTGCTATGACCGCTAATACTCTGGTTGCAGCTACTGGAGACGCTATTGCTGCGCCCTCTCTGCTGTGCGCTATTTGGTGCGGTGCCGATATCCCTGTCATAGTTGAGGTCGTGAATATCATGAATACTGGCGCTTTTCGGGTGGAGTCTATTGAGGCTACCATGACCGGAGTTAACATATTTGGAGGGTAGATTGCTAGTACTAGAACTGGCGGTGGGCTGATCGAGGCTTGTGTTACTGGGGTTGAAGCTTCTGTTGTCGCTAGTTCCGTTTTCTGTGTCCTCTGTCGTGGGGAGAAGCTTGTCGAAGCCTTCCATAAAACTCTTTGTGCAGATATCAATCCCCAATCCAAGAGAGTTGATGCTGGCTGAGTCCACAGGATCATTGGCGGCTTCTGTAACAGGTCGGCGTTGAGAGTCCTGGGACGACTGTAGCTGAGCTTGCGATGGCGCGCCTTGTTGTACTTGTTGCGGGGGAAGATGTTCCTGAATCTGGTGCTGACAATGTCGGTTCTGCTCGGTTGGGTGCTGCCTTTGGGATGGAGTCATAGCTACACTAACTTCCGCAATGCCGGTTCCGACACCTATGTAAGCCTCCTTCATATCGCCATCGCTACGGCTTTCATCGGGCATAGAGATCATGATCTCACTGCGTTGTCCCTCCTCTGTAGTCTGTGCCTCCACGCGTTCATCCTGTCTGACCTTGTAGATGCATTTATATGACCACCAACCGAGCCAGACCACCCAATTCAATGCTGCCAGATACATCGTCACCACCGCGGCCTTGGTCGTGGAGCAGAATTGGCGATACTCTTCAGGTACTGTCGTACAACTGTCAGAATTCCGAATTTTGTATCCCTGCCAGACTGCAGCCAAAATACAAAGACCCATCAGTGCGCCCTGGATCCCTAAGCGATGTCGAGGCGTAACCATAAACACAGACATGAGCACTGCCCAGGATGCGTGCGCCGGCGGTGATTTCTCCCTAGTATTTTCTCCATCCAGGCGGTTCCTGACCTGCTCAATGCCACCAGGGGTTCGGGTCCACCATGCCAAAATCATGTATATGGCAGTTACCACGAACGAAACACCCGAGACCAAAAACAGAAATACTGCCGACAGCGTCGGGTGACCATGGGTGGACTGAAATTGTAGAGTATAGACGATGGAGCCGAATGCGTAAACGCTCAAAAAGGCGACAGCCCCGTGGGCTGCCAGGTCGACACTGCGACATACACGTGTCGATACATAGACCGGGTCAGTCTGATCTGTGTCCTGATCAAGTAGGCTGGCGCGATACGACTGATGCTGTTGCTGATGCTGTTGCGGATGGTGCTGTGAGCGATGGAGTGCAGATGGTGGAAGACCTGGAAGAGGCCGGTTCAGGTATGAGGACGGTCGTGTGGAGTTTCCAAAGGACATCGACAAAGACCTCTAATTATTATAGTTATTGGTGCTGGTTGAGGATGGTCATCCGAATGCTAGACTTAGTGTTTGAGCGTGTCTGGGAGGTTACACAAAATAAATGGAGTGCATGCTGTCGGGGTACTCACCGGTATTAATGGGGAGGGCTACGTGTTGTTGACGACTAAACAGGAAGAGGAAGGGATAGGATCGATAGGATAATGCAAAAAGAAGGATCAAGTTAGTGAATATGTGTGTGAGACGTGGATGGACTTGCAGCAGGTTGAAAAAGTGCAAGTGCCATGAAGTGGAAAAGAGGGTCTAGAAGAGAAAGAAAGAGGCGCACTCATGCATGTTGGCCGTTTTCTGTCGCTCCTCGCTCGGGATCAAGCTACGCTGGCATCAACCTGAGCACTGCCATATGGTCTACTAAGCTGGAGGGATAAGATAGGAAGAGAGGGTAAGGAAAAGGTATGTGAGCGCAGGCAAGGATGCCACAGTATGAGTAAGAATGGATTTATATCATTTGCATTCTGGCTAGACCTTTTTGTAAAGCGGCAGTCTGATATGCATATTCTACTCTCCACCACCCTTATTGTACTCAAAAAATTCATGTCTTTTGAAGCGCGCAGGCACCAATTGGAATAGTATTGCGGTTTAATAAAAAGCATGCAAAAAATAGAGAGCTGGTCCTAGAAATTGTTCTTTCGTTCAAAGTCCTTTACTGTGGGGGCCTGAAACCGGGAGGTGGGGGACGGAAACCTGGTGGGGGACCTTGGAATCTATAGTTACGAAAAAGGGCTATTGTTAAGAGCCGGAACCATGAAATCAACAAGATAACATGCATCTGCAAAGAACAAAGTAACGGCACGTACCCTGGAGGAGGGGGGCCAGGGGCAAAGCCTGGAGGGAATCCTGGTGGGGGTGCACCTGGGGGCATCCCAGGACGTGGGCGAAATCCTGGAGGAGCAACACTACCTGGTTGACCCATGGGTCTAAACCCTGGAGGTGGGGCCATGCCTAGAGGCATGCCGGGAGGTGGGACCATGCCGGGTGCAGGGCGGAACCCTATTGGAGGCATGCCAGGCGGAGGAATAGCTCCTGGAGGAGGCATGCCGCGGCCATACGACATCGGGGGCGCGGCAGCGGCAGGGCCACGAGGCAACATCATTCCTGGCGCAGGTCCACCAACGCCACGAACGGGTCCTGTCAATCCGGGAGCCGCGCCAGGCACAACAGGCATACCACGGCCAGCAGGTGCTGCCATACCTGCTCCTGCAGATAGCTACACAAGATTATAATGTTAGATCGACATGGGGAGACGGATCGACATATAAAACAGTTCTAAGGCCAGTCATATTTTCGTATACCTGTGAGATGCGCGCCTTTTGGTCTTCAGTGCTTGGTGGAGGGGGCCCGTCAACACTTAGACTTACAATGATCTCACCACGAAGGATGATCAAGCCCAATGTCCTCTTTTCCTCGCGCTCAGGCTGTCCCGAAGCAGTTTTACCGCCTGTCTTAGATTTCACCCTTCGAAACTCCTCGCAGTCTGCCAGAACCAAGTTCATGTGCTTATCGAAGGCCAGCATCTGACCCGTCAATACGCGAGAGTCCGACAATGTGATCCTTAACCTGAAGTTGATCAGGTTCATCATTTTTGAATTTTTTGAGATCCTCTAATACGTATCAGATCCGTAATAAATAATGTCGTTAACATGCTATCCAATACGTAAAGCGATATTCCTGGGTCAATCGACTATTCCATGTTGTATTGCTGCTTAGTGAAATCGTAATATTTCTCCCAAGTAATTGTATGCATTCCAATGTTAATGCTGCTGCTCGTTGAACGCGCTCAAGTTGAATAGAGTATGAGCTTCACAGGTGTGCTGTCTCTCTTTGAAGAGAGGGTAAAATCCCTGCTCTTCCTTGAATGCACCGGTACCGATGCCGCCCTATTCAGCTCCACTAATCCATGACCGTGTTCCTGAGGGTTGCATCCTGCTCGACTGTAATGTTTGTCTGATGCGTCCTTATGTTATAGATATCGCTTGTTTCTGGACCATACCATCTTGGACGCGAGTATATACGATGTATCGCAGCGCGCACGGTCAGTCGGATGTCAAAGTCGAGGGACCGGATCAGTAATAGAACGGAGCAAGCGAGAAAGGGCGGATGCAGGTTCAGCTGTCTCGTGATGCAGAGGAGGTTTGAAAACGAAGATGTAGTGTTGCCCCCTACCCACGCGAACGTTCTCTCTTGGAAGGCAATACTCCAGCGCTAAGCGTGGCTTGTCTTAATGTGACGCGGATAAACAAACCCAGACGGGTGGGGTGGTACACCGAAAAGGAAATTCAAAGAAAGCGATCTCCATTTCCGCTCTCGTTTCCTTTGCTCCTCTTCACCTCCTACATTACACACACACATAGCAGCTATGGCACAGGCATTCAATAAGCTCGGCGGTATCTTCCCCAAGGGTGGCGGCAAGGGTGCTGTCGGCGGCCTCGGCGCCCTGATCGCTCTCGGTGCTGTCGGCTACGGAGTCAATACAGCCCTCTTCAACGGTAAATATCTTGCCACCACTATTCCGGACTCGGCCAAACTGGACTCAACTCTACGCAACTATGCTTAACAAGTAGCACCACACTACGCTGCGCGGCAAGGGATTTGTTCCGGAGGGGCTTGTCAATTGAGGCAACAATTCTAACCTACATTGCTTTTCTGATCTGCTGGTTATAGTTGATGGTGGTCACCGCGCTGTCAAGTACTCTCGTGTCTTTGGTGTCCAGAAGGAGGTCTACAATGAAGGAACCCATTTTGTCATTCCTTGGTTTGAGACCCCTATCATCTACGATGTTCGTGCCAAGCCCAGGAACGTTGCATCCTTGACCGGAACCAAGGGTATGTACAGAAATGCAGGATCATCGGAACTGAGGAGCTGCCATGCCCGAAAGCGAAGTCGGGTTTTAGGCCGACGAATATCTCTAGATGCAAAAATCTCGGGATTCAGGATGTTTTCAACGAGCAGGGGTGACATTAGATACTAACTGTTGTGCTCTGTCTTCCTTGTGTTATTTAGATCTGCAGATGGTCAACATTACCGTCCGTGTTTTGTCCAGACCTCGTGTGAACGACTTGGCTGAGATTTATCGCACCTTGGGACAGGATTACGATGAGCGTGTTCTGCCTTCGATCATTAATGAGGTTTCCAAGTCGGTTGTCGCCCAATTTAACGCTTCTCAGCTCATCACTCAACGTGACCGTGTCTCTCGTTTGGTCCGTGAGAATTTGATCAAGCGCGCAGCTCGCTTCAACATTGTCCTCGATGATGTCTCTATCGTCCATATGGCCTTCTCGCCAGAGTTTACTCAGGCTGTTGAGGCCAAGCAGATTGCCCAACAAGAGGCTCAGCGTGCTGCATTCGTTGTCGACCGCGCCATTCAGGAGAAACAGTCGATCATTGTCAAGGCTGAGGGAGAGGCCCGTTCTGCCGAACTTATCGGTGAAGGTACGAATCGGACCATCATTCTTTGGTGGTTTTTTTTTTTTTTTTTTTTAGTGTGCCTCTTTTCTATTTGGTATTTTATGAAGCAGCACCATTAATATCTACTATGGTATCTCATCCTCACTATAGCCATCAAGAATCAGCCTGGTTTCATCCAGCTGAGGAAGATTGAAGTCGCTCGCGAGATTGCTTCTATCATCTCTCACTCTTCTAACCGTGTCATGCTCGACGCTGATACTTTGTTGTTGAACGTCAACGAACAAAAGTAAGATACCGCGCTATTACCGCAATACTGTCTTCTGTTCATGGGGTCAAGGGCGATTCTGACAGTACCTTATATTTTTATCTGTTCTGAAACGTTATAGGAAGGAGGAAGCCAAGAAGTAAACGAAGCTTGTGGGGACGAGTCGAGGGAGGAGCATATAACACCGAGCTGTTTTTTAGAACCGCATTAAACGCTGTGAAATTGTACATTTATCATGATGTTCGATGACCACCGTCCTTATGAATCTTGAAAAACGGAACCACGACATAAGCGAGCCTGGAACCAACTGCTTTGGGCGCAAACAATCAGGCTGCAGCCTGCAGCATGTCATCCAGAATGCCGCGGGAATCTTGTCATATTGACCCTTCTGACTAAAGGATGGTCTATTTGGGCGCAGCATGTTCGTTCATATTTGAACCGGACAATGAGGGTCCAAACAGGGAGTAGTGACGACTATCTTTTCAAGAGAATTGTTTGTTGAAAACGGTTGAGTTTGAGAGAGCATGTAGGCTTGGCAGGCTAGTTCGTCTTTTGCTGTCTAGACCTTGGACCTCATGAAATGGACAGTGCCACCATGGTCGGCAGTTCAGGATCAGAAAAGGAGGGCGAAGAGCGCAAGTCGCCGCGAACCAGGCCATCATTTTCACCTTTTGTTCCAACTGAGCCAGAACCCGAAAGGACTCAATCATGGCACAACGACATCTGCACCTGCGACGCTTCAGGACGGGACCAAGACATCCCGTCGGCGCACAACGTATTCGCAGTTGACGCGGCCCTTGTAGAAGGTACCGCAGCATTTACTCGCAGTGCCGAAATCAGCCAACAGCTCGTCCTTCTGTTTTGCGCCATCCACCCAACAATCACTCTTCATGATGCATCCGATACCTTGTTCCCGACTTCAGCGGAAACCACCAATACGATGCCTTCACTGGCCTCAACAGCGTCCCCTTCGCCCCAAAGGTTGCCCTTGCAACACCGGGTAAGTGTCGCAGGAAGCCGTAGTATTCGACTAAGCGGACATTAGCGAGCCACTGGCGGTGCCGTTTCGGGAAGGCAACAATCATTCGACAGTTCCAGTCATCCTCTTTTAGGCCCTGTGTATTCTCCAGCCAGTCCTGCGTAGTCTGATTCAAGTCACTCGCATTCGGCACAGGGTCTAGGTCGTCCTGGTTCATGAAGTGTCGACATGCAAGAGTGCGTAGTCGGTCGACTATGGAGGGCTTTGCACGACCGGGTCCTCCGTTGCGCATATTGGATACAGTAACAGTGCCCCGAGCCCATAACGCCTAGAAAAGCAGCGGCGGCGATGGTAGCCTCGGCAGCCGAGATTGCAGAACTCGAGAGACGGGTGCAGTACTTACATACTTACATGAATTCGATTTCATCTAACACAGTATGTAAAGGAGGCGGGCGATTCCTGCATGGCTCCCGGCATCGTTGGTCGTAGCGATCTCGATGACGATCGATCTTCTATCTTTTATCCAGCTCGTCATGAGGAATGAATGACATGATATTTAAAGAGACTTGGGTTGCTTATTGGTACATCAAACCATACTCATACCTTTTACTATAGTATTAAAGAAAAGAATAGGTACTCGGTGGTAATAAAACTATGATAACGCATTGTTCGTGTTCTTGCAATGGAGCTCCTTTATTGCGAATATATGAGAATGTTGCACAAGCGTTAAGACCAACGTGTTACCATTGAAGTTGTGCACCGCACGGGCCAGATATACGCGTCGATCACTATGTCCCTTTAATGCAGTGTGAGCACCAAGTGCAAGGCCATTATGCTGCTGACAAAGGTTTTTCTTGCTATTGCACATATTCATCGTTTGGTTCAATCCTCACTCTTTATTTCGTTTTCACATTGACTTTTGCTGATTCAAAGGTGTCTAAGGTGTGGGGTTCGAAGCGAGATATACAAAGGAAAGTGGATTGGCTTGCCATCAGTCAGTCTTACTTGGGAAAGTGAAGACTGTGCAGGGTACACCGCGGGCAGGTTGCAAGCCATGGTACCCCAGAAAAAAACCCACAAGGGAAAAAAAAGTTCGGCTTTTGTTGACCTTCTTATTTTTTTTCCTGATCGTTGTTGCTGTTGCTGTTGTTGTTGCTGTTGTTGTTGCTGTTGTTGTTGCTGTTGTTGTTGCTGCTGCTGTTCCTGTTCCTGATGGTTTTTTTTTTTTTTTTTTTCTTTTCATTTTTTTGTTGTTGTTCCTGTTCGTTTTTTTTTTGTTCTTTTTTTTGTCCCTGCTCCTGATAGTTTTTTTGTTGTTCCTGTTCCTGATTTTTTTTTCTTTTTTTTTTTGTTGTTGTTCCTGTTCGTTTTCTTTTTCTTTTTCTTTTTCTTTTTCTTTTTCTTTTTCTTTTTCTTTTTCTTTTTCTTTTTCTTTTTCTTTTTCTTTTTTTTTTTCTTTTTCTTTTTCTTTTTCTTTTTCTTTTTCTTTTTCTTTTTTTTTTTCTTTTTTTTTTTCTTTTTCTTTCTTTTTTTCCTGTTCCTGTTCGTTTTATTATTTTTATTTTTTTGTTCCTGTTCCTGCTCGTTTTCTTTTTGTCCCTGTTCTTGTTCCCGATCGTTTTCTTTTTGTCCCTGTTCCTGTTCCTGATCGTTTTCTTTTTTTTTAGCTTTTCGCATTCAACCGATAAAAAGTGTACGAGAGTGCGTGAGTATGTGTACGTGAGTTTGTGTGCAACTGTGAATGTGTGCGCAAAGTGAAGGTCGGTGTACGGAATGATTTCGTGTGACGAGTGAACTGTGATATGAAAGATGGAAGGTGCAGAGCGGAGAGATGTAAGAGCGGGGAGATGAAAAGGCGGAGAGGGGAGGTAGGTCTTTATTTGTGTCACTTACTTTCTTGGTGGTCCGTTCGCTTGCCGCCATGGATGCGCCCTAGATACATTGATGTGCAAGAGAAAGAAGAAGAAAAGGCAAAGCAAAAAAAAAAAAAAAAAGCAAAAAGCAAAAGAAAGAAAGAACCAAAAATGAAGTAAAAGAAAGTAAAAAGAAACAAAAAAACGAAAGAAAAGCCCTCCGAATATCAGACAGTCTTTGTATTCATTGGCGATCTAGAGATGCCTTGAAAAATAGAGCTGTTCATCATGTCAAGGAAGGAAAGCAGCTCCATAAGTATAGACAAAACGCGTCTTGGCTGGCCCCCAAGTGCTGGTCAGATAGCCTGTACTCAATAGTGTCTCGAAGGAGGCTATATGCCAGAGCCGATCATCATGTGTATAAAAGAAGGCAAACAGCAACACAAAGATCCCATCAGCCAAGGAAACAGCTCTAAAGGGAGACAATGCGCAAAGAAAAAACCACAGAAACGTGGAAAAAGAGAGGCTCAACCCCATTAGCCAACACCCAAAGCTGTCCCCCGGAGCTCTCTCTTTTTTTTTTTACTTCAGTCGTTGGATCAGACCACATATGGAAGGTCATCATGTCCAATAGAAACGTGGAGCCCTCGTCCCAAAAGAATGCAATCCGTCAACCACTTCCCACTCTCTAGGGCTCGAACCGCTCATTCTTGTTTATTGGAATCCACCAAAAAAGTAAATAGAAAATAGAAAAATAGAAGCAAAAGCGAAAAAAAAAAAAAAAAAAAAAAAAAAAGAGCAAAAGCAAAAGCAAAAGTATCAACAGAACAGAAAAAGAAAGGGCCAGAGAAAAAGGGCGGCAAATGGTCACAAGCGTGTTTTTACCAAATATGGTGGGCAACTGGAAGACAAACTCGTATTTTCATTTACCTCGAGATCCCATTCGCAGTAGGGGAACGCCTGGGTATCAACCGACTGGCACAGGTCTGCAGCCCTTGAATGGTTGTCTCTTAGAAGAGGAGGCCGGGCACCTAGCGATAGCGAGAGAAACAAATAGAGAAAGAGGAGGATAAGGAGCAGGAGAAGGAGAAGGAGAAGGAGAAGGAGATATATATATATATATATATACAAGAAGTGCAGAGGAACAAGGCTGAGGCGGACAAAAATGGGAGAGAGTAATGAGGAAGAAGGGCAAGAGACAGCAGAAGTGAAGGACTGAGAGTGAAAGTGGGAGTAGCTGAAGTAGGGTAAATGTGGAGAAGAAGGAGGGAAAAGAGCTTACCTTGAAGACCGGGTGAGAGAAGAGAAGAGAAAGAAGAGAAGGGGGAAAAGAGGAGGGCTTCATATCCCCACCTCGATAGACATTCCTTCCTCGACAAACGGTAAACGTCATCGCTGCTATCTGCAGTGGGGAGAGAATGTCTTCGGGCAGCCTCCTATCGGTATAGTCTCTTTGGGTCTTTCATTTGAAAGAAAAAGAGATAGTGGGCGATAGACAGCACGGAGACAGTGGACAGAGACAAGCAAGGAGATAATGATGGCAAAATAAATCTGGCCGGTGACCTATCGGGACATGAAATATACTTTGGCGGTAAGATAGCCTGGTCTTGGCAGCAAAGGAGCAAAGAGAGAGAGTGAGTGAGTGAGAGAGGATGAGAGAAAGAAGGGGAGAAAGAAAAAGAGAAGGAGAGGAAGAGAGGTCTACTTTGATGAGCATGCAAGCATGGAAAAGATAGAAAGCAATAGACAGAAAAGACATGGCAAAGGTAGTGCCACCATAAGAGTGTCTTTTGTGAGTGCAGTCAGCACGTCTATCGAAGCAGCCAATGATGTAATGATGTACCTGGGAGTGTGGGAGGGATAAAGACACAGGAACAAGCAGCAAGGAAAGAGAACGATGATCATATGGGTCACATACAGCGATATTATTCTTTCGCGGCACTATGCGAGCATACAATAGTCATTAAAGACAATACACCGCGAGTATGTTGGACTCGGACCAAATTGTCTATTCTAGTACAACCACTGCTGGCTGCATCCTTTCCAGCTTTTTTCGTATTTCATCAAGTGCTCACATATGGCTGAGCCGCATTTATCCCCTCCTAAAGAAAATCAACCTGCTACAGACAACACCACCTAGTCGACACACGTCGTAGCTGCGGATAGCAGCACTGGAAGTGGCAGAAAGGGCTGTCAGCAATGACACACGCGTCTCTCTCCAAGGATTGTCCGTGTTTATGCGCATACTCCACAGCACTTCATTTTTTCCCTATTAGTATAACCCCACACGAGACATCTGCAGTTGTGGTAAAAATGGGCGCAGTCCACAATTTCGAAGAAATCTGAACCCAAACCTTGTTTTAGATGCCGTTGAAGCTTACGACCTTCAGAAGGATAAGAGAAGGGGGATGATGCCGCTGACGACAGAAATTGCTGTCGCCGGTTTGTTCCTGCCTTCAAGACAAAGAAGAGTGGGCACAATACCGACACATCCACAAAGTTTCCTTTGCGCTGTCACGTCCTTAAGAGCTACATCCTCTCCCTCAATCTCCTTGTTTATCTCAGGACCATGAAATTTCTCACTTCAACCAAATGGACAAGACACGGCTAAAAGAACCTTTTTGTTTCCTATTTGTTGTCAAACATGCTGCGATACGGGCTAGAAAACATAATTTCGCGCTCTCCCACTACTCTCGCTTCTTGACGCGCCTGATCCTGTCCACACGTTCCTCCCACCGCTCTCCAGCACCATGATTCAGCCTCACGATGATATTTGTCGCCTGCCCCCTCGTCAATCGCTTATACCTCCCAGTATCAAACCCCAGCTGTCTCAATCTCTGCAGTTGCGCCTCGGTCGCTGTCAAGTATCGCTCACTCACCTCCCTCTGAACACTTCCTAGAGATCCCTCGTCCACATTTTCTGTAATCCACCGACTCGCTCCACGCAGACACCCCTCCAACGTATCCGACGTGATCATCGTATCCGTTTCAGTATATCCTGCATCGCCTGCGTGTACGGTCAACTCACTCTCCCGTACCCTACTCGCTGTTCTGCTGTCGTAGTCCTCATCAGCTCCTGTCAAAGCTGCTCGAATCAAAGCTCTAATCCATCCCAAAAACGATTCTTCCTCTCCATCGTCTTCGCCCTCAGGCACGAGCTTCTCAAACCGAAAATGACCATCAATATTCGACTGTTGGACCCTGAACTTGACAAACCCACATGGGAGCAAGTACTCTCCATCCCCATTATTCACCCAAACCAATGGGGTCACCTTTCGTGCGTCAGGTGGGATACCACTGCCGTCGCCAATGAGCCGATATGGGTTCTCGTAATCACCGTATAGATATGCACGGAGGGCATGTCCTAACGCGGTTGCGCGACCGGTACCATCATTTACAGGGGGTGGTATGAAAGCTGGTCCATTCGATTCGTTGTGATCCTCCTCGGCGAGAGCCTGTAGTCGCCCCTGCTCATGGAGCCCACCTGCGAGTGCGAGTGCCCTGAGCGCTGCCTCATGGCCATCCCAGGACAATGGACCAGTCGGAGCTTGAAGCCCCATAGGGTGCGATGGTGGAGCAAACGCACCGTCCGGTGGTTGCGACATGGATGCGGCCTTGATACCCTGGGAGATGGTCAAATGAGGGACACGGTTAGAGGTCGCGAGGTTCTCTTTCCTGGCAGAGAGGAAAGCTGGTTGGAGGACAGGGCCGGCATGCGACTGTTCTCTGTACAGCTCAGTTCGTGGTTCCAGACGGGGGTCAGATCTGGAGGCAGAAGCGGGTGTGGCTGGCTCAGCTGGATTGTGAGAAATATCTTTTCGCTGATGGTCAGCATAAACGCGTCCCTGGCTTCCGTGCACTCCAGCCTCTAGATCGTGAATGGGCTTAGAGTGAGAAGTGGGAGTGGATGACGCGGATTTCACTTTCTGTAAATCAAAATCTCTTGATAAGCGGGCATTATCAGTGTCCTGCTGCTTTCCGTTCATCGCACTGCTTGAGTCCCAGTGGGCTGCTGAACGTGAGGTCAAAGCCGAAGTTACAGGCCCCTGGTTCTTGGAAAAGAAATCCTCAGGTAAGATGGCAGTGTCGTTCTTCTTTTGCTTTCGATCCACTGAAACACTCGGCCCCTGTGTTGCACTGAGTTGAGCCTCAGAGCCAAGAGTTGGGGGCTTCATGTCCTCGCTAGTGAGATTGTTTGGTGGGTTGACAGAGTCGACTTTTTGATAATCCTTAACGATGGCCCCATCAAAGACCCTTCCCAAGAAGCGAGGGGTGGCAACTGCAGTGTCTTCATGATCCACAATAATGTCCTCCGCTTTGTTCGAATTCCCCTTCGTAGGAAAAGAGGCCCCATAATCTGGCATTTCGATAATGGGATCGGCTTCAATCTTCCTGGATCTGTCAAAATCTTTCATGTCTTTTTCATCCATCGCTTCTATCACAAGATATAATGATGTGAGTCCACAACCCAGTCGACCCAATGCGCGTACGCACGCTACATGACATTCAAAAGACCTACTGCTTAACCCAGTTTTTGGATCCAGCCCCAGTAAAGTGGGTATCGTTCCGACGATTTCGCCTTTGATATTATCCACAAAATCCAGGACGAGACAATCCTCCTTGCCTTCATAGAGGCGCATTCCGCGACCCAGCATCTGCATCAAAAGAACTTCTGATTTCGTAGGCTTCGCCATAAGAATGCAATCGATCGGGGGAATATCTAATCACTCGTCGTCATCCAAGTTTACCGAGTCTTTGTTAGATTCAGATACAGACAAGACATCACTAAGAGCCTTACTAAAGTCGAATGTTGTCGCTCGGTACCTATTCCTTCGGTCAAGATGGCACAGTTGACGATGATCGGAAGTCTGCGCTCTTTAAACGCTTTCAAAAGTTCACTACGACCGATATCGCTAGTCTTCCCTGTTATCACTTCCGCATGACAACCGTGCTTGCGAAAGGTCTTGGTGAGTGCTACTGCGTGAGCTACATCAGCAGAGAACACGACGGCTGACTGTCGCCCAGCTAGTTCAGGAAACACGCAAAAAGTATATAATATAAATGCATTTATACCCTAGGCGGAGTGCACACACGCTGGATGATGGTTTGCCTTGGTTTCAAAGGGTTATCAATATACCACAATACTGCTTGTAAGCACGCACCACAGCCTCGTTCCGGCTGGGTGTATTGACCGCCTTGAAGAGATCCTTTTGGATGAAATCATCCTTCTCTGTCCTTACGTTTTGAAGATCGACGCCCGTCTCAATTGACTCTACGCGAGCAGGACACAGCCTATATACAAACGCGTCCATCGTTGAATGCCGTTAATCATACAAGGCCTGAAATAAAAACGACCAGTGGACCATCAGGTTATTTCAGTCAGCTTACCATGCATTGTCGATCATATATTTCAGTGGCCTGTGGTAGGAGATATGGTCAAACGCACCACCGAGCTTCACTCCATCATGTCGCCTCAGAGTAGCCGAGAACCCAACCAAGAAAATCTCCGTTTCCTTTTTGTCCACCCCAAAGTGCTCAAAGATATGTGTGTAGGTCTTTGTGACAGCGTGGTGCGCCTATTAGTCGATCATAGATTTTTTTAGCTCCATGTTGAATTGAGAGAAGACGGCTGCCTAACGCCAGAATCGTGCCTACCTCGTCCACGACAATGCACTTGAAATCTTTAGGGTCATACGCTGAAAGCCGTGGGGAGCTTGATCGTCCCAAGGTCTGTACGCTAGCCACAATGATATCAGCAGTGAGATCCGCAGGGCGCCCTGCTTGTTCGATGCTGACCCTCTTACAAGAACAGAAGGATCGAAAGAGAGAACAAGCATTTTCCTATTTTAGTAGGATAATCGGATATTTCTTCATTGCTGTTTATTCACTCTTGCAGACATGGAGCAAAACTTGACCTACCAACCTGTCGCTATGCTTGGATATGTATTCGAAGGTTTGGTACAATAGTTCTTGACGCTCATTCAGGACCAAGACTTTGTTACCGCCATTCTTTCGTGGAGGGACTCGTTTCATCAGATGTGTGAAGATGACCTGACAGGCGAAAACAGCGCAATTAAAAAAAAAAAAAAAAAAAGTAAGAATACAGTAAGATGTAAGCTCCAACTTTTTTTTTAATCATAACTCAAGCAGTCATTACTGTCTTGCCGGTGCCAACAGGTAGAGAAACGACTTGTCTCATAATACCTATCCGTAGCTTTGAAAGGCATTTGTCCACACAGTCCCGCTGATAGTCTCGAAGCACGACCGCATTTGGTCTTGTACCAGACGCGCCGTCCACCAGTACGAATCCCCTCGAGTCCTCCAGGTTTACCGTTCCTGAGCTCTGAAAGGAACGGGGCGGATTGGTGGTCAAAAGTCTAGCAACCCCTACTACTGGCAAATACCTTGCTTGTTGCCCTCGTCCATGATATATTCTTTCCAAGCCGACAAGATCACGAAGATGCGCGCCTCTGCCGCCAGCGAATCGCTGCAGACACAACATCGGCCCACACAAAAAAAAAAAGGAAATCCTTATGAACAAGTTACTCTTGTAAATACGTTGCTCCCAACCCGGAAGAGCATATGGATGTACGAGCGAACCCGAATTCGATGTAAGGATGCAGTAGTTTAAGAAGATATCAGGAAATGGGTTGTGCGAAGCAGAATCCTTAACGGAGCGTGCGTGGCCTTTGCAACGAAACGTTGATATCCTTCCTTTTGATGGCCCATCGTCATGAACTGATATCAACCCAACCTGATCCTTGAATAAGGTGATCGATCTCATTTGTGTCTCCCTTATACTTGCCCAAAGTTGATACTTCAAGAACATCGGGTTGTTTACGCTACAAAATGATTGTAAAAGAGCGTTTGAGTCCAAGGGACAATGGGCTAATGGAAAATAAAAGAAAGAAAAAAAACTTACGGCTGCCCAAAGAAAAAAAGACTTCTGTCCTGCTCGCCCTCAGATCCACTTTGTGAATGTACTCCAAGCAGCTTCAAGCGACTCCAAGGACAGTGGCAGCACGTTCGATAGCAATGACATCAGCAACAACGCCCTCACTCCCACCATTACCACCTCTCGCTGTTTCCACAACTTGCGCAACTCGCACAAGTCTCGTGCCTCTAATCGCATTTCAGTCGCATTCTCACGTCGTAGCGCATCCGATGTACTTGTACAGCCAACTCTCGGGATCAGAGGCTTCATCCCGTTTGCAGAGAAATATCCGTTGTAAGATCGGAAGGGTTAGGTGAAGAAATCAAGTTCTCTGTTGAGAACTCCTTTAAAAACACGCGTTTCCTACTCAACAAAGAAAGACCTATAAGAAAAATGGCCACAGATATTGTCACCAATCTTTCTCGGCCATCAACTAAAATATGGAATAGTAGATGCTTCCTTGCTTGCACAACCCCATCGACACATCCTTCCAAACTCAAAAGAAGGCTGCACCTTCTACACCGTGAAGCCTTACTCATCTTTTCTCGGTCTAACCCTCATAATTGCTTCACAAGCACAAATCTCGTGGCCTTGGACGTGGATACAGTGCATGTCACCTAAAGCCAACACCAAGGATATTTTTTAGGAAGGAAAATTTCGAAAAAGACAACGCAAGTCAATAGATTTTGATTCTCTCGACAGAGCAGCGTTGTCCGCATGTCGAAAAGACCAGTGGATCAAAAGTTGTAGGCATTCATCAACAAGGCCCTTTACTATGAGGAACCTCGTTATTTGACAAAAAATTCGGCGTTCTGATTGGCCAGAAGCTTGTGACTGTTGATTATATGTTCTGATTGGTGGCAAAAACTTACTAAGGATAAACGGCACCGTAAAATGGGCTTCAAATCATGAATTTAAAGCGTCGTTATTGTTGATGTTGTTGTTTTGTCGACAAGCTTGGCCCTTTCATAGTCAAGAGGAGTGGGCCACTGCCCATTGCGGAGAAACTGCAACACAGCGTTGGACATATTCGTGGCAGCGTTGTGGTCCCGGTCGCGCTCCCACTTGCACTCGTCGCAGATTACCGACCGGCCCCGGACTCTCATCCGAAAGTGGCACGAACAGCAAAAAATCGACGTCCGGAACTCTGGGATCTTGACCAACTCGATCACCACTGGTGTCTTCTTGTTCCTTGCCAAGTCCTTAACGAGATCCCGAGTCTAGTAATGCCAGGAGAAGCCAAAATATTAGAATCATTCAATTGCCACCCGCTTCTCTCAGAAATGTCTTCAATGCTTGCCTGTCGTATTAAGTTCCTGGTAAACTTGCTGCCGCCGTGGCTCTGACCTTTCCAACCACGGAAATCACCATCACCTAGCCCGATCACGAGTGGCGACTGCAGAAAGGCATTACGCTTGTCGTCCGGCAGAGTATTCAAATTCAGAAATCCTCATTCGAAGAGAGATCTGGCGATCTTCTTCCGACGCCTCGTCAACGACTTGGAATTTAGGAGCGTTTTGCGTTCAATCTCCGGTCGCTTATTTACCTCGTCCATGAGTCGCAGATATGGCCCCCAATCGTATTCTTTTACATTCGGCAATCCATCGAAAAATGCCATGGAACCCTTGATATCGTCATCAAGATGGTGGAGCACATCCGCGAGATCCTTGTCTGATAGTTGCCGCTCGGGGACATGCTTCCGTATCTGTAGGATCGCGGTTGTAGCTTTATCAAGGTCATGCCGCAGGGCCTCTCTATAGTCGTACTTGTCTTGCTTGAACCTAGCGCCGCCATAAAAGGATCGGAGAGTCGACGCCTTTTTTGCTACATTGACGAGATGGACCTTGACAGCAGACTCGTAGTCCTGCATCGCCTTTTCCACGGCCTTGGTAATCGGCGTTATTGTATCTTGGCTGTTGCTGGTGATCACTGAATCACCTTCCATAATAACGTCCGAGTCACCAACAACCAACTTGGCTTCGACGGGCTTTTGTTGCACGAGCCTATCTTCGATTTCCGTTATCCCCGCATCGATCTTTATACGGCTCTGTTGTTTGCGGTATCTCCGGTCGATATCATCCCGTGGGCCGCGGGAGATGTTCAGGTTGATATTTTCCTTTTCATAGCTAGAGTGAATAAGGGCAGCAGTGGCGGTACTGGCAATCCCGGGGTCTACACAAAGACTCCGTATTCCAACCTCGTCGTTTGTATTTCGGAGGAGACTGTCGACTTTCTCTGGCTGTCAAATTTTTTGGATACATACGACCATCCTTGTATCATTGGCACGGTTGACCAGGGGAAGACTGTGTTGAAGACTGTGTTGGATGTTGGTACTGGGGGTGATATTGATGAAGCTGTTGTGGATTCAACGATTTCAGCGTCCGTCATCGTGGTTGGAGGCTTCGATCGCCTACCCACCGTCAATTTGTATGCCATGACTCGTAGGTCATGACCGTTGGTCGAAAGGTTGCCAGTAAGTACATACTTTTGTCGCGGTTGCCCCGGTTCAGATTTGTCGATTTGCTCTTGGTATTTTTCCGGACGTTGAAGACTTTGGCGAATAAGATCCTTGAATTCGAGTTTGCTGCTTGCGTACCGGGGATCTTTTGCCTCCATTTTCTCTAGAGCTGTTCTTGCTTCTTTGATTGTGCTCACGTCGTCGGACTTGAAAACAACCTTGGTCTTGAGGCACTTTTGCTGGAGTGCGGATGGTGGATTGGGAGATGAGGAGGAGGAGGCAGGGCCACAGCTGCCATTGGCCCACAGCATGTTGACTCCTCTACGGTAGCTCGTATTCTTGCCATTAAGGAAAAGGAAGAAGGACAATCGACTGACCTCGTCCTGTGTGTTCTTTTCAGCAGATGTCTTGGATCCAAAGACATTATCAAGTATTTTTGCAAGCGAGCATTGCTTTTCCTGCTCGGCACTACTTAATCGGCGCATTTTTTTGGCGATTGGTGTGAGCCTGTTGTTCCTTTGGTCCATTCTGAAATCTTTCAAAAGGCAGCAGACAAGCTGATGCTCCGTGAAGGAAAAGAAACCGTCCTCATAACCGATTTGTGGTAAGATTTTGATTTGAGCCTTCGCTGGCAAAATCAGATTCAGGATAAGATGAATACTGACACAATCGTGCTCCCGCGACCGCCCTGTCGTATCGTCGATAGAGTCCAAAATGCCCTTCCCGTTCTCAGAAGAGGCCCAGGAGGGATTGTGCATTAATGCCTATAATGAGTAGTCAGAGTAGTGAGGCCAGTGTCCGCGTGCATGATTGAAACGAGATGGTTCTTATTAAGATGACTTACCCGCTTCTTAAGTTCCAATGAAAACTTGTAGAGGTGGCTTCCTACCATATCGGACAGTATTCTCGCACACTGGCTCATGAAGGAGCCTTCACAGACGTCTCTATCCTTCAGTCGGAATGGCGATACCTGGCGTTGCGAGGTGATTTGTAAATACTCCTGAAAAATCTTGTCGGACGCCATTAATGCAGGTGAATTAGCCTTCTTGAGATCGGAATCGTCACTGTCCCATCTGATTAACCGATTCAAAAGCCGCTGAAAAAATGAATCTCGTTTACCCTTCAATAGGATATTGTTGAAGTGTTCCATTCTTTTGTCGCGATGCACTCGTCCTCGATCTCCGTCAATTGCTGGGAATGTTCCGAACGTTCTTGCTATGTAGAGATTGGTCACCAAAAGGCCCTCGCGTAGCAAATCAGTATGGACTCTTGCCATCGTCTGCATGGTCTCGAGGAGATGGTCCAATAAGAGGCTACGGTCCTGGTCATTCATACAAGGGAACGACTCTTTGAGACTGTGAATAAGACACGACTCAATCCGGCCTGGCCTCATTGCGCGCATTGGATGCAAAGATGCAACAGCGTCGACCATCAGGTTTGTTGGGTTGATCTTGCGGGGAACAGCGTTCTCGTTCAGTGGTACATCGGCATCACGAGCCTCCCTGGAGCTCTTGGTATATGTAATCTTCTTGAATGCCCTTTTCTTGGGACGTTCTGCATCGATAGGCTGGTCCTCAGCTTGTTGATCCCCCTCGTAATCGCTTCCGCTACCAGAATTGTCGTCAGAGTTGTCGTCAGAGTTGTCGTCAGAGTTGTTGTCAAAGTTGTCGTCAGAGTTGCTGCCAAAGTTGTCGTCAGAGTTGTTGTCAGAGTTGTCTTCAGACTCATTTCCGTTCATTGTATTCTCTTCAGCTGAGACAGCAAGAGGAGCAAGGAGGTTCACCACTGCGGCATCATTCGAGATATCTGCATTGTCTGGGAATGTATCATGATCGTCGTCGTCGTCGTCGTGATCTATGAGCACACTAGCCGTGGATCCGGGCCGACCGATGGTCCGATCTTTCACGCTTACAGGCTGCGTGTTTTTGTCCTGACTTGTGAAGGCTGACGTGAAAGCCCTCGGACGGTATTTGTGGCCAGTGGTGTATCTTTGAAATCTGTTTTCCGCAGACGAAAGAGAGAGAGAGAGAGAGCAGCTAATCAGACATATGCCCTATTTTCAGTACGTACATAGCTTGGTTGCACACATTTTAACTCAAATAAACTTACTCATTGGCATGGTTCCTGACCGCAATGCTATCAACATTTCTTGTCACTGTTCCTGCAGAGAAAGCCATGCGAGCTACCAGTGGAGGCACATGAGGTGCCGTGGTCGACCCTGATTGTAGCTGTGGGAGCGCAAGCATCTCAACCACATTGTCGTTGCCTTCAGTCTCTGAGAGCTGGACAGGAATGGAGTTAATTGGCGTGAGAGTCAAGGGTCTTTGGCTTGGTCGGGACTTCTATGACCAGTGGCTCCTACGGCTGTGTAATGGTACGAATTGGTGATCAGCCAGTACCTGAAGCAAGTTGGATCGACATAGATATCTACATTTCATTCTTACCAGAGAGTCAATGCCTCGACTCGATATATGATCCTTCTTATGGACTCATCAATCTCGTCATCTCCTTGAGTGTATTGGTCCAGGGGCGTCTCAACCAATTTCACAAAACTGTCCAATGACTTCTTGACGTCGTCGTGATGAACATTTTTCCTTCTGCAGAGTTCTTTGACATATCCGTCTACCGAACGGTCCTTGCTTTTCTTGCGAAACCAGTCTTTTCTGATCGCAGAGATATCTTTGATAGCCGTGCTGAATGACGTCCGACCCACACTTGGGTCATAGTCATTAAGGCTGACGACAGCGGCAGCGACCCACTCTTCCGGTGTTTTGAGTCCGCAGTGACGAATAATATTCTCAATAGGGTAGCAGTAAAAGCGTATCCCTTTCGGATGTAAGCGGATGAGCCGTTCAGCGCCTACGAACATGAGATCACTGTCGGTTGAAACGACTACGAGACCTGGGTTCTCTCGTGCCTTCCTGCCGACACAGACGTCAAATTAACCAGCACACACATGCGCGTTCCAACCGTGAGACTCTTGTAGTTCATTGACGATGGCCCTTGTGGCTCGGGGATCCACACCACGGGTTCTAATCCAGCAGGGAAACAGGACTTTGCTGAGAAACGATTTAAATCGAGAGACCTGGCTGTTGGATAAGTTGGACTTTGCCTCCATTAGCGACAGTCGTGCCTCGGCGATTCCGAGATACTCGGACAACTTGAGGATTTGTTTTTTTGTGGCCCGCTGCCGTCTCTCATGGGCAAAGGTTTTCTAGGTTGTCGGTGGACCATCATAGTGAATGAAATCTTCTGACTTTTTGTAAAATCTGCCGTAGATCCTGTTCGGGACGTTGGCTACGAGGGGCCAAACAACATCGCGAGCGGAGTTCAGTTCGTGATATACATCCACCGGAGGATGTGAAGGAGGCGATAGTGCAGCAGAGGAAAGTGCTGGTGCCGAATAGCGCAGGCCCGATGACGATGATACCTGTTGAATAGTCGTTGAGTTGATCGAAGAAGCATTGCAAGCCAAAGACGAGTTCGGAGCCGTAGACAGATTCAGTGCAGACAGGTCCGATGCGAGACCCTTGGTCGTTACCGGGGACGGCAAAGACCATGATTCTTGATCCCAGTGGGCAAGACGAAGGACAGGACCAGGGATTCCAATGGAGACATCTTCCTTGGCCATATTTTTCAGTTGCTTGAGCAGTAACCGTCCCTCTGTGGTCTTGAATTTCATGTAAGAAACGGCAGATCCATCAATATCGCATGGACCTTCTTTCTGTGGATCAACAAGCTTGATGGCTTTGCAATCTTTAGCGAGTTCGAAAGCCTGAGTTACACCCATCCTGGAGACAGATAAGTATCGTGATGAGGTAATGAGAACAAGTTTGAGTTAATACTTAGAATGAGGGTAGGAGGGAAACATGTCATTGTTCGCGGTGATCTAAAACTAAAAAAATTGCAACCTTACGTGCTTCCATTCAAGAACGCAAGTTTAATGAGGGAGATTCATCCACTCAAGGGCCTAGAAAGTAAGGACAAGAAAAGGCTAAGAACAACAGTAATTGTGCCCATTGTGCATTGGGATAAAAAGAGCAAAAGGACGTTACAGGTCGGAACAGCGTCCGTGGCTCAAGCCCGGGGGTGTGGCTCTTTCTTGGATTAATCGGATAGAGGATAAGGCCAGAGAGAGAGAGAGAGAGAGATAGTGTGTGTGTGTGTGGAGAAGGAAGAACAAACGTGGAAAGAAGGAAGAACAAACATGGAAAGAAGGAAGAACAAACGTGGAAAGAAGGAAGAACAAACGTGGAAAGAAGGAGTCGAATAACGTTTAAATTTTAACGGCTGGGAGTTGCCCCATGTTAGGCTTTCCCACCCCTTTAATGTCGTTGACAAAAATTAAAATGATTGTGTATCCAAAGCCCGTCGCATCGAAGACCGCCTGTTGCACTTGGCGATGTTCTCTCGTGTGCCACTCTATGATCTTAACCAGTGGGGGTAGCCATCGTCCTTGACTCGGTCTACCCTGTTTTGAATCATTCGTGTCAACAAACACCGACACCCTGTATTTATCTTGACTTCGTTGCTATGTAAATGGGCTTATGATTCGAACATTTGATTTTCTGATATTCTACGGTGTGATTTGTACTGCTTCACTGCTCGCTCTGCAGCCTCCATTGACAGTCCCTTCCTGTAAGTGTCCATATATCTAAATGCCTTCCAAGCATACCTTCGTATGGTTTCAATAGGCACCGAGTCCAGAGCCTCAGGGATGATTGACTGGAGACCTCGGAAGGAATAGTCGCAGTGCTTCCGGGTATAGCGCTTGCTTGCTCCCCAGTACATCTCTATGAAGTTGAGCTCACAATGAAATTTGGGTTAGAAGACAATACGCTGTCCTTCCTCCCTTCCAATCTCCTCCAGTATCGAGCCCTGAGCAACAAAATCGGGCTGAAGTTCTAGAATTCGTTCTGCGCAACAGTCCACTCGATCAGGGTGTTTGTCGTCAGCCCTACATCTCGAGCATGTTTTAGGGAGTCCATCAATCCAGAGACCTCGGTCCTTGAGAACCTCTTTCATTCCCTTGGGGTTTCCTCTTAACGCCTCATTCGCGTAATTATCTGGGAAGACCATGGTGTAGTGGGTTCCATCTACAATGGTGTCCCGCATGACCGCTTGCTTTCCACCAGACGAAAGGTTCATCCTATTCACCACCAGTGCATCTTTGGCAACACAGCTGTGGTTTGATGAATTATCGAACGTCCAAAGTCCAATCAGATTCGGGTGGTTCCTCTTGTGTATAGTGATCGCTTTCTTGAACTGCCGAGCCATGTCTTCAGCGGTCCAGTAGCCATCGTGAATTTTCCCTGGGTTGATGATCTCTCGAGCACGTATCACCTCGCCATTGTCATCGATCGTCTTCAAAGGTCCCTCAAGTTCGGAAAGAAACTCACTGACCATGATGGACCGACCATGACCTTTCTTGCGCAACGGAAGTTGACCATCTGGATGCCAAAGCATAGAATTTCCTTCGTTCGAGTAGAAAATGCTCTCATCGTGAGTGTAAAACACTATCGCCTGTTCGCCTGCAGCCTAGAGCAAAGAGAAGTAATTTAGCGGTACGAATTAAATATCCATGAGTTACCTCCTAATCGCAACAAGCACTTACCAGAGTGGGCTCGATGATCTTTGTTTGATCGTTGGCGTCTACGGTTATCATCCTCTTCTCGTACTCCTCCATTCGTACAAGAAAAATCTCCCGATACTCTTTCACGTCAGGTCGCTCATGGTCATCGAAATATAGGCCCTTTTTTGCCTCTGAGTATATCCAGCCCAGCGCATGTAGCCACCGACCTGCTGTTGACTCGCTGATTGAGAATTCGATGCCATTTGCTGGGAGGAAGACGTTATTGATGTGCCGCCGGAGTATCGATGGCGTGATAGTGTATTTATGGTTCAACAATATCCAGGTTCTCAACTCGTTAAAGTTATCGCCTTCGGTTAGTTGGTTCCTGGTTTTGGCATGCTTCCCTCGACGCGACACAGTGATTTCCTCATTGTTCTCCCACTGAGTAGTCCATATCATGATCCTTCATGAAAAGTGCACGCCTCTGCCAAAACCTTTCGCCGTAACCAGAGCTGCCTTAGTCTTGCTCACTCCTGGGACCAAGCGGCGTAGGTACTGCTGGAGTGCTTGCAAATTAAAGGCCTCGTCACTGAGGGGCGGATATTTCTTGTTCTTGTTATCCAAGTAACCTTGAATTTCCAATACCATCCCTGCATTGCGGCGCACATCTACATTCCTGAAAGGTGATATTACATATATGTTAGTATTAATATATTAATAATTCATATTATAGGCACACAGTATCCAGTTATCATACCTGAAGGTTCTACTTCCTGGACAACTCTCTTCCGGCGAGGAGCTGTCAGTGTTGGCATAGTGAACCCAAATGTAGAGAGGGGAGGGGTGCCTACTGCTGCCCTTTTGAGGACCATCTTTCGGTGGTGCAAATTTTGCCGAGTGGTTCCATCGTAAGGCTTTGTCGTCTTCACTGAAGCAGCTGCCAATCGCATACTCGTAAGGAGTTCATCCCATTCCTCGTTATTCCTGAGAGCTCTTCTGACTGCCTGCCAATCCTCGTCATCAGTGTCGTCTTCAGCAGGTCCATCACTGTCCGATTCCGCGAGAACAGCATTCCATTCCTCAATATCGCAACTTGACTCCTGTATCTCATAGCCCGCTTTCACAGGCACATAAATGACGTTCTCCTCCTGCTGTTCTTGGTAGACTGGGTCAAGAATAGGCAGGGGTGGTTTGGGTTTTTGCGCTATTCTTCTTAAATGCTGCGTGAGTTTCTTCACTCGAGGCATTCTAAACTTAGAGGAAAGGAATGCTGACGACGATGGAGTGATGATGAGAATCACGGAAAGGGTCGGTTGAATGGAAAATACACATGGACGCTCCAACATTAGGACTAAACGTCAATGGTGACTGCTGCGACCCAATTATTTGACAAAATCCAAAAAGTGTTGAAGTGCACCATAGGGATATAGGGTACCCTTAATTTAGCTTGCTTTATTTCAGTTCTGAGTGTGAGAGAATTGGCCCTTCTCTTTCACAGCCTATCAATCAAGCCAACATGGTACATACATCGCCGGGCTTCAATCCATGAGCGCAGCATCATCGCATCCATCGCTATCCATCGATTGATCGATCTCGACAACTGCGACAGTCAGCATATTACCATCCAGCGTCATGACTTAGTGAAGAAGCGAGGAATTCGGCAAATTCAATAGTCATCATCACTCCTCAACTGCATCCACTCGCTTTGCTTAGCCGATTCACGAGAAAGACAGCCAAAGCAAAAGACGTGGTGAACCGCCGATCATCCACTCAGCGTCTACGTCTATTTTAACTGAAGCTATATTCGAGTCGCATCAGGACAGTTGATGATTCTCTGGACGTCCAACACTTCACAGCACCGTTACACCCTTCGCTTTTGCACGTTTTCAGGATGGTCAAGCTGATTCAGCACTCGCGGTACCAGGAGTCACTCAACAGGATAGGAGGGCGAATACAATACAGTCTGATGTCCTCTTAATCTGGCGACCGAGAGGATCAGGGTCGGGATTAGAACCGGAGTCGTAGTCAGGATCAGAATCTAGGACTCAGGAAAAGGACACCCACCATCTTCTTCCTTGTATACTCCAGGAAACGGATGGTTCGGAGGCGGCTAATTGAGTTGCGGTCTTAATAACTTCGTCTTATTTTGCACTCTCTATATCAATTAGTCCGCTGAAGACCAGACTCAGAAGAACGTTATGCGCGAGTTGCGCCTCGAGAAGCTCGTTCTCAACATTTGCGTCGGCGAGTCCGGAGACAGACTCACCCGTGCCGCCAAGGTTCTGGAGCAGTTGACCGGTCAGACCCCCGTCTACTCCAAGGCCCGTTACACCGTCCGTACCTTCGGTATCCGTCGTAACGAGAAGATCGCCGTCCACGTCACCGTCCGTGGCCCCAAGGCCGAGGAGATCTTGGAGCGTGGCCTCAAGGTCAAGGAGTACGAATTGAAGAAGTCGAACTTCTCCGAGACCGGCAACTTCGGTTTCGGTATCCAGGAGCATATCGATTTGGGCATCAAGTACGATCCCTCGATCGGTATTTACGGTATGGACTTCTTCGTCTGCATGAACCGCCCCGGTAACCGCATCACCAAGCGTCGCCGTGCCGTTGCCAAGGTTGGCCCCAAGCACCGTGTGCACAAGGAGGAGACCATGAACTGGTTCAAGCAGCGTTACGACGGGTAAGACACACAATTAACCGTCATGGACATGGACGCTGTCTTTTGTGATTGCTTTCTGAGATGAAAGTATTGATGTTGACCATGCTTGTTTCTTTTTTTACTTTCTACGTCTCAATAGTATCCTGACCAACCGCAAGTAAACGGTTGCTACGGGATAGTGGACATTGTATCTTGAATAAATGCTTGAAATCCTCACTGATAAGCGAGCGTACAAATCAAAAACGAGCATTGTCTCAATTCGGATCAACTCGATGGATGTTCATGGATATGTGTGTCAATGGTTATGTTGACAAGAAACAGTTTTCAGGACAGGACGCAGACAGAAAAAAAAAAAAAAAAAGAGCGGACATTGGTTATGAATGACACACGGGATCTGGCTTATCCACAGTTGAACATAACGGATGACCCATCGCCATTTGACGAGATATCGAGGACTTTTTTTTTTTTTTTTTTTTCGTACGGATCAAGGGCAAGGAAGCAGCAGATAATACCGCAGGAACTGAAGATTATTTTCTAGCCGCTATCGGTTGTAAGAGGAACAGGAATTGAACGTCTTGCAAAATGAAAAAGGAAGAGAACTTGAAAAGAAAGGCTGCCAAGAAGGAAGGAATCATTGAACAACAAACGAGAGCATCTAATTTCTATCCTTAAATCCTGGAAATGAATAACCTGGCAACTCGGCTATCTTGGCAAATGGTCATTTTGGGTCGCCTTGCATTTTGTATCTTCATTTTTCTCCGCACTTCTGTACGCCGAAGGAAGCTTTATTTAGTCAGTAGCTCTGACATCGCCCTCCTTCCTCACGTCAGTCGTAGCATCAGCACCCAGCAGCAGCGTCAGAACCGGCGTTTCTTACACACTTCTTTTACTTCATAACTCGTGGAATGTAACCGAGACCCTGAACCAGATTGCCCTAGGCTCGAATTTCCTCATCGCAGTCGACGGACAACAACAACGACGATTATCTCTGCTGCTGCTGTTGCTGTTGGTATAGCAATGTAGATGACCCGTTACCCAACAGCATGTCTCCTTCTCTTCTCCTGTAGTAAACTCTTCTTCCGTTTCTTCCTCCTCCTCCACTATGCCCTTGTCTTACTCCAACTTCAACAACAACGTGATCAATAACGACACTCAGCGCCGGCAGCAGCGACACCAAGAACGAACAAACACTCAGCATCCAGAAGATAACAGCAACAGCGATGATACCAGCTTCTACCACTCCAGCGATGTACCTACCTGTCTGGATCAGGGACTAACCGCTGCTCGAGGACGCAAGATCTACTTTCGTTGAGTGCCTTTGCCTTTCTTTTGCACAGCCCTGTACTCACCCCCAGGAATGGAAAGTATCCCCTCTAGGAAAGGCAAGAGGGACGTATTCCCTAATCGCGCTCTCTCTTCACTCATCCTCCTACTAGGTGTAGTCGCTGAAATAAACAGTCTTTAATAGTCCCGCGTTAAAAGACGATAAAAAATCGCGCTTTATTTTTCAGTCCCCAAAAGTCCGAAAGGACGGTTCAGTCTTCAGAAACCAGTCCACAAAACGACTACCTTGGATTTTATGTCGAGCCCTCTCTTTGAGATTTTTTTTTTCTTCTTCACTAAGTTTTATTAGTTGGACGATCTGTTGCACAGTTTTTGTGCTTCTTGGGTCGTCCTATCGGGCAAGTCAACACTTCACCTCGCGCGACCGTCTTGGTCCATGTGAATGCGAACTTTCTACCTGCTCGAGATCGAAACGAACCTGCTCTTAATCGCTTGCTGAGCGCAAATCAATGCCTCAGTGAGTTTCATATGCCAGGCACACCTCCTTCTCTTTTTAATAACAGCAACAATAACTTTTTTTTTTTATTTTTTTTTATTGGGATCGAAACAATGGACACTTATCTATGATCCTGGTCGCCATGGACACTCTCGAAAGTCTTTAGACGGACACTTGACGACTGCTCGTCCTGGACAACCCTATGTAATGCATTTAAGAAGATATCCAGCCTTGTCGTCGGCGACTATTTTATCACACACACAGACAAACGGATCAGTTAATAATTATTATTTTTTTCCCTTCCACAGAGATAAACCTTGGACAGCACTGCTCGTCCTACTTGAATGTATCCGGCATGCGCCAGAAAGGGGAGCTTGCGAATGATCCGGCCACTCATCCCCAATGCCAGGCCGGCAATATCATACAGCTTCCGAGATACTGCCACCTGTATCTGCTCTCCTTCGAAGCTGTAGGATGGCATGAGTGCGTATAGTCTGATACGCCTCCAGTCCCATAGATCAAGGCCCTAGACAATAAAAAAAAAAATGGTCGCCTCTGGTCAGCTTTGTCGTCCCGTCATTACAGTGCTTGCACCAACACTTATAGATGATCATAGGGCTCACTTGAGATTGGATAATGGCTGCCCGCTCGAGCTCCTTGATGCTAGAGTAGAGGATGCTATAGATCGCTTGCTGCGACGGAAGGCCAATGTGCAGCTTGATATCTGCCCGATCAATAAACGCGATATCTAGAGGTCATCAATAACGAACAGAGTGTCAGCACAGTCAGATAGAATGTGTACTGTTCCCATGCTTCGTCTCCCGTACCAATTGCCTCTGTGATATTGGAAGTCGTCAGGATCAAGACGTTTTTTTGCTTCTTCAGTCGGTCAATCTGAGTGAGTAGCGCATTCACAGCCTAGGATAACATCGATGGTTAATAAAGATGTCAGTGGAGGATCGTCGGCATCATTTGCCTCCGTTGCCCGTGATGCCTGGCACGAACAGCAGCACCTACTCTTATCGAATCCGAGGGCTCGTTTCCAGACAACGCCGCTCTCCTCGCCGCCGCCAAACTCTCCACTTCATCTACAATGCGTTTTTTTAACATAATTCGCAGGGGTAAGTAACCATCGACAAGTCACACACATGTACGCGTGCGAGCACAATAATGGAATAGCTCCCATACCGATCAGCACACAGACGAAGGCGTCTTCATCCTCGACCATGCTCCAGATCTGGTCAAACATGCGCTGTACCATCTTGCCGCTCTCGGAGAACCATTTGCTGAACAGACTGTGGCTGTTGATCTCCAGTAGTTTACCATATCGATATCTAGGAGCGGAATATATCGTGGATCAGTGGTGATATCCATCACAACAATTTGAACATATTTCTTTGTTCAGGGTTGCCGTACCTTTGAGAAAGCCGGATAGATAACTTTTGGGCAAGTCCTCGACAAAGAGATGTCTTTCCTGTTCCCGGCGGACCATGCAGCAGTACGACTCTTTGTGTAGCAAAACAACAACAACAACAAGCAGCAACAGCATTAACAGCAGCAGCATTAGACTATATCTACTGAAGTAGCATGTCTTCTAGATCGAAATACAAAAAAAATTACTTTTGGCCGTTTACCTATTCCATGATATGAGATCAGGATTCACATTCTTGTCCGAGAACAAAAACATCGTGCGAACGTATTCCAGCAGCTTGATCTGCAGCATTTCGTCGAATACCAAGCTACCACAGTAAGATCGGATCAAAACGCCATGGCCATTGAACCAGCTCAATACTTGGTTAGTTGTCTGGGTTGCAGTAATTACTGAGAGAGGGACATTGACACACAGTAAGAGAGGCGCTTTTACCTGTCCCAAGTGCCCTCGAGCTCTTGGCAAGGCAGGGTCCAATGATGAGCCATCATCACTGCCTGCTCTCCTCCTTGATTCATACCTCCGTCATACTCCTCTACAGCGCCCTGCTCCTGCACCTGATAGACGTGAATCGACAAATCAACATCACAAAGTCGAAAGATGTCCAGTGCGCCTTGTCCTTGCTCTTGGTCCGATCCTGTTGGAGTTGACTGATTGGTCATAGTCGAATCACTTCCCTGTGGTCTTGATCCTCCTCCTCCTCCTCCTCCTCCTCTTGCTCCTTCTTCTTCAAATGCTGTTCTGTGTGCAGTAATAGAATTGGATCCTGAGCATTCTCCGACCCATATCCGCTCGACATGCGTTCGAACAAACTCATCCTCGCTGTCGCGGAAATCCGTGATTTCTTGGAAACACACCAACGAGACTTTGGTCGCGACCACGAAGTATCGGAGACGTTCTCGCATCACTCGGTACGGTACTGAACATTGGGGAGTCAATCTTGCCTCGACTATTTTTTTTTTTTTTTTTTTTTGAATATGGTATGGAGTAGATGCACATTGAAGGGAGAGGGTGGGGTCAGTCTTGTGCTCGCCTGTTCGCCTTTTCGCCTGTTCCTGAACGAACAGCAGAAACGAGAAGGATGATTTTCTGAATCAGATCCTGCAATGGCCGAGTTTGTAATTACTTTGAAGGACTGGCTTAAGCTCATTCGTCCCGAAAGTCGTAGTCATCTCTGTAAAGAGCACGAATGTCTGGATGCCGATGGAGTTGCTGACGGACAAGGCGGGTTCTTTTTTTTTTTTTTTTTTTTTTTTTTTCGTGGCAACAAAAGAGTCACTGCTGGGACTGACTGAATACACAAACGCGCCCAAAAGATATAAAAAAGAAAGACGCGACAAAGGACGCGTTTATTATTGCAAATGCACTCTTTCATGGATTGAATATCAAAAATGCTATATGGACGGAAAAAAAATTACAACTTGGACTTGTTCTCAAAGTTGGCCATGATGCTCTCCATCGACTCTTGCGTAGACTCTGGATGGGTGGCACGACCGTCCTCAAAGTTGGTGATCTCTGCCCACTTGGCCTTGACGTCCTCGGGCTGGAGGGTCTGGTCGATGGGGAAACCGTAGCCACCGGTGCGCTCCCAGCGGAGCTTGCCGATGAAACCGGCGCCGACCTCAAAGAGGGATCCGTTCTCGGTCGTGTTCTCGTGGCAGAGATAGGCAACCAAAGGAGTGACCATCTCGGGCTTCAAGGAGGCGAGCATGTCTGGGGGAAGGACGGTCTCGGTCATGCGTGAGGCGGCCATGGGCGCAATAACGTTGCTGTGAATGTTGTCCTTCTTTCCTTCGAGGGCGAGGGTCTTTGTCAATCCGACGAGGGCCAACTTGGCAGCCGAGTAGTTGGCTTGACCTAGAGGTAATGTCAGCAATAAGAATAGAGAGATCAATACACTGACCTAAGGATGGTTTGCATGGCTTCCGAAAGAAAAAAAAAAGTGCTCCTTACCAAAGTTGCCATAGATTCCGGCGGCCGAAGCTATTTTGTTTTGTTTTGTTCACAATAAAGTATTCATATCAGCACTAATACACACATTCCCTGTCTGTTGATGAGCATGAACCATGAACAAAGTGATCTTTCCCCCCAAACACTCGGAAACCTACTTGTGTTGATGATACGACCGAACTTCTGCTGCCTAAAGATGGGCCAGGCAGCCTTGAGGACCTTGTAGGCACCGTCAACATGGACCTGGAAGATCAGCTTCCACTGCTCGTCCGTCATGCGCGCGAACGACACATCCTTAAGGATACCCGCGTTGTTGATCACGATATCCAGACGACCAAAGGCCTTCATGGCCGTCTCCACAATCTTATCGCCGTCCAGGACAGAGTCGTAGTTGGCGACGGCCTTGCCTCCAGCAGCCCGGATCTCCTCCACAACTACATCAGCAGCACGGGACGAGGCACCCTCTCCTGTATGGGAAGCGCCCAGATCGTTGACAACGACGGAAGCACCGCGGGAGCCAAAGAAGAGGGCGTGGGATCGGCCAAGTCCACCACCGGCACCGGTGACGATCACGACACGTCCATCGAAGCGAAGATTCTCAGCCATTGTTGTTGTTGTTGTTGTTATTGCGGTATGTTTTGAGGAGAAGGAAGGTGAGAGTGGAGTGTAAGAGTGAGAAGGGTGAGAGAAAGATAAAGAAAGAAAAGCAAAAAGTACCGTAGAGGGAGCACGGAAAGGATTGCATTGTCACTTTGAGCACGCCCAGCAAGCGCATCGCTTTCACCTGATTTTTGAAAATGCTGCAAAACATCCCATTGGCCCACCCGGGAATGCCACACACACCCTCTACACTCACATGGCAGCCGACGAGCAGTGTCCGCGAAGTGACGCAGGACGACCATCCTCCCGGCCCCACCATCCTCCCCCTCCTCCCCCCCTTCCCCGCATTGGAATGGGCTCTAGTGCAGTCGTATTTTGTTCGTACTGGGAATGGACATGTCCACATGGAACGCTGGAGGAGGAGAAGAGGTGCGCAACTCCTTGTTCCATTCTGTTTAAGCATTATGCGTCGAAGATCTCTCCTCGCGTGCCGCGAGTGCATTTTCCCTTGATTACTGATACCCCGACAATGGGAATATCCAGTATCCCATACAGAAGTGGCACTCCAGCTCAGAATTTTTTTTTTTTTTTGTTTGTTTTGTTTGGCATCACCAACTTCCACGATGAGATTGACAAAAGAGCTGTAATCAACTCCACGCGCGTCTACGCATGCCCGACCCAGGCTTTTATGTCGCCCATCCTTATCAATTGTCAATCGTTTTCGATGTACATTATTATAATTAACTTTTTTTTTTTTTTTTTTTTTTTTTTTCCTTTTGTCACCGCCGCTGTTGTCGTTTGTAAAGACGAGTGCACGAGTACATGGTTCTTGAGGTTTGGATGGATGATATATTAGATGATGGGGGGGGGGGGGGAAGAGAGGGGGGTAACCTTGTTAATCGTCATCGAAGCTTCCTCTACGCCAGCCAGGCGAGGAAGTTCGCCGAACTTCAAAACTAGGCTGATGCTGGCTGTGATTCCGCAGTGCAGAGTGAGACCCATTCTCGTCATCGTCACTGTCCGGATTCATAACGCGCAGGTTTCTGGCGGGAAGATGAAAAAGACATATAGGATGGAAAAAAGGAGAGTGAGTGGGTTGCCCTAGTCCATTTCCGATAATGTGCCAGAAAAAATAATAATTTAGCGACACATCGACTTACGAGACTTTGGAGATGGGTGGCAACGTAGGCTGGATCATGCCTGTGTATTGAGGGAGAGCCACCTCCATGTACGAGTCCGGCTGCGTGTCGCGATACTTGTACTCGTCCAAACCTCCAGCATTTCGAGCGCGATCCCTCCTCCGCCTTCCCCAGACATACGCCGCGACTGAAAGTGCGACGACCAAAGCAATCACTGACACCACGATTCCTGCGATTGCTCCTGATGAGAGGCTGCTGTTACCACTGCCAATGCCCCCCACAGTCTTGTTGCCTGAGGGCGCATCGATTGTTGTTGGGACTGAGGCGCCCATGCTTGTGGAGGGGGTTGTGATTGTCGGGGTTATTGTGGTTGTCGTTTGGTTAGGGAGGTTGATGAGCTTCCATTGCTGGTTCATGGATAGGCACACGAGTTTGTAGCTGTCGATGTCCTTGACAGAATAGTGTGCAGAGCTTGATGACTGGCACCTTAAGCATCCGACCATCTAAGGAGCAACACATACATAGCATACATAGCAAGCAATGTCAATATGAGCGCGCTTTCATGAACAAAATGATCGACAAAGGCAGGAGAGGCAAGAGAGGCAAGGAGACACAAAACAAAAGGGATCAAAGACAAGAGACAAGAGTATACCTGATCGTAATAGTTTTGGTTACATGCGCATGCGGATTGTTCCAGGGTCGGTCTAAAGGGGAGGGCGGGAAAGAAGAAGGACGAATGCCGCAATAGCAACGAGGACGTGTGAGCATCGTGATGTGTTTAAGGCGTAAGGCGTTGTCGACGACGGGGTTATGTCGAACAAGCGGCTGACTTACTGATAGACAAGGGTGCCAGGCCAGGTTTGCATCTGCAGGGACGAGTTGCATGGCTTGAGGATCGTATCGGCAATACCGCAGTTGGGACATGATTCGTCGGCATTGGCGTGCTTTGGCGAGACTGAGAGGAGGACGAGGGTCGAGAGGAACAGGACCCAGGCTGCTGATGGCCGGCGGGAGGAGGCCCTCTTGGACTTTGAGATGGGATATGGTGCTGTGGACATGTAGAGTACAGATAGCGGTGCAATGGGGTGTTGGTTCCTGGTCGGGCACTACTTCTGAGAGGGACAGTAAAGGGAGCTTGGGTAAGGAATCGCAGTCGCGTTGGATGCTGTAAACAGATGCACGTGCAAACAAATACATGCGCAAAACAAAAGGGGACTGACGAAGAAGGAGGAGAGAGAGTACAGGGAGGAGGAGGAGAGGGAGGAGCGGCAGAGGCAGATGGAGTATGATCGCAGGAGCAGAGAGGGAGAGAGAGAGAGAGAGAGGAGGAGAAACAGAAATAGAAAGAGAAAGAGAAAGAGAGAGGACGCGGATGGGAGGGAAGGAGGGGCGAAAGGAGGAGGGAGGAGCGCGACGAAGGGGCCCTGCAGGAGATGAAACAGATCAAATAAAACAGTGGAAAAAAGGCAAAACGTGGGATAGGGTTGAGACCCACAGCTCGGGTTGACTCTATCCCTCCTCCCCTCATCGCCCTCGAGGCCATTATTAAACCACTGCTTTGCACGCCATCGAGGATGCGCAAGTAAAGAGAAAATGGGATCCACATCCATAGAGGGGGGGGTTGGGCCAAGCCAAGCAAGGTCCGCGCTCAGGAGAGCCCTAGACTAGGTTATCCCATGATGGGGGTGGGTGGTACGAATGCAATGCAACGGCGTGTCATAACTGAGAGCACTGCTTGATCTGATATCATATATCAGACTGTGATCTGTGGCGTACAGTAGGCTATCTTTAACATCGCAATTGGAATCGCAATTGGCGGGAAGGGAGAACAAGAACGAGGGAAGGTTCGAGAGTATGAGGGAGTGGATGAGCAGGCTAAAGATGCGCTATGTAGACTGCAACTGCTGTGCGTGTGCTTTAATGCTGTGGTGTTCACAATGACCGTTGGTTGGTCGGTGGGCTGATTGGGTTATATGAAAAGGAAGGAATGAAAAAAAGGGGAGGGGAGACGAAGCACAGGGGCCTGGAATGGAGTCTGTCGATAGAAAAAAAAAAGCACGCATTCACACAGCTGACTGTTGAGGAAAGGTTCATGGCCAAATAGAATGTTGCTTACAGCTCCAAAAAGTAACACAGACGAAAGGAACCCCAAGGAAGAGAGAATAGAACCAGAGTATGTGATCAAGTGGGGTGCACAGACGGAGACAGGAAGAGTAGGAGACGTGATGAAGAGGTGCGATGCTGTTTGCGGTAGCAAGGGAAAAAGGGATGTTGGTATAGGGCGAAAGAGCCAAGCAGTAAAGCGAAGTAAAGTAAAGCAAAAAAAAAAAAAAAAAAAAAAAAAAAAGCGGTAGGAAGATGGACAATGCGTTTGCTGTTTACTCTCGTGGCTACAGTTTGCATTGGGAGGAGAGAGAGAGAGAGAGAGAGAGAGAGAGAGGAGTTGTACGAATGTGTATGTGTGTGTATATGTGTACGTGGATGTGTGTATGTGTGGATGTGGGTGTGGTGTTGCGAGTGAGGGTGTGAGTGAGTAAGACAAGAAAAGAAGCGACAGGTTGCTACTGATGTACGTACATGCGATACGCGTTGGTTGGAGACGAGCGTGAAAGAGAGGCGTGTGGGCGTGTCCTGATTGTGGATGACGGGGTAGGTGGGGTGCGTAGGATATGTGGGGAGGGAGAGAGGGACCAGACAGGGGGGGTTTGAGGAAGAGGAGAAAGAGGCGAGCAAGGTGAAGAAGAGGAGGGTTGATCCGCAGGAGGAGTGAGGAGGAGTGAGGAGGAGGAGGAAGAAGAAGAAGAAGAAGAAGAGAGTGAGAAAGAGAGAGAGGGAGTGGGAAGAGAAAGAAGCGTGAGCAGGAAAGGGCGGGGTGGTATTTGCAAGCAAGAGAAGCAAGAGAAGCAAGAAAAGCAAACAGGCAAACAACCAGGCAAGTAAACAACCAAACAAGTAAACAACTAAACAAGCACGCAGGCAAAGAAAGGGTGTCTGCCCTTTCGAAACCCGATGGACCCGATTGAATCAAGTTGATCCGAATCAAATGACCCAATGTGTTGCTCATTTGTCTGATTCGCCTTCTGTCTGTCTGTCTGTTTGTCTGTTTGTTTGTTGTTTGTTGTTTTACTGGCTGTTGCTGGCTGTTGCTGCCTCGCTTCTTTGGGTGCGTCTCCTCTGCCCCCCCCCACCCCTACCCCCATCGTCTATTTTTACCGGTGATGTTTGGATGGCTATGGACACATCTCCCGCGCTCGCGCTCGTTTTTCCCTTTGATGAATATCAGATTGCAATATACAGTCTCCTCATACCCTCCTCCCCCTGCCCTGCCTCTCTCTCGTCCGGGATGGATCTGAGCACATTGAACAACAGCGAAACCAGCAAACAGCACTACAGCACTACCAATTGAATCAATTGAGCTGGACCCCTGTTAAGCAATGCTGCCCCCCATGTCCACCTAGTCCGCCTAGTCAACAAATGGTGCATGCAGTAGTCCAGTAGACTATCTTGTTCGTCCTTAATAGTCGTCTGTTTGTTATCGCCTAATGGCAACATGTCACTAATTTAGTACCAGAAGTATATTACATTGCTGGGCCATGTCATCCTCTAAAATGCCAATGGTCCTTGTAATTCATGTTCATATGCCTGTAGTTCATACCAGGACCGAACAGGGCTCCTGTTGTAATCTAATCACACGCACAGGCATTTTCTAGATATCTCAAGAAAAGAGTGATCGCGGAACAACAATACCACGCACACACAGACGTACACACATGCACATGCATACACAGGCATAGTCTACACGCGCACACAACGCAGAGTTCGATATCATAGCATCCCTTTATCCTTTATTCTTTATTCTTTATTCGACTTTTTTTTTTTTTGTTTTTTGTTAACCGTTGAGACCCTGAGATCGGGAAGATGAGAATCATGGATCCAAGGAGCACCAGAAGGACAAGGAAACAGAGGTCGAGATGCGTGTTCTGTTTTCTGTCGCATAGCCCCCTCCTTCATTCCTTTGTATTAGCTAATCCATTTGGGGGGGGGGGGGGGAAGTGGCGCCCACACACTTAAACCTTACCGCTGCGTTTCGTGTTCCGTTCCGTTTGCGCCTTCATCTGAAACGCGCACATTCATCTGACCAATTATTATTTCTGGATATTTGGTTATTTATTTACGACGCGATCTAGATCTTTTCATAGTCCAGCTTGCCTTCCAACTTCTTCGCGTCTGCCACCTTCCGCACTGCTTTCATGAAATCCTCCTGCACCACATAGTCTCGGTCCTCGCGGATCGCAAACATCCCGGCCTCGGTGCAGACGTTGCGGATGTCTGCGCCGTTGAACCCATCCGACAGCTTCACCACTGCCTCGTAATCTATCGTTGATAAAGGGCGCACGCAAGAAAATAAAATAAAAAAGCATTGTTGGTGGGCGATCGCAGACGACAGAACGCTTTTTTTTTTTTTTCCTTGTCCCCCTTCTTGAAAACGTCTTGTAGCTTGACTTACCAATCTCTCCTTGCTTGGTAATGCCGAGTGCATGGATTTTCAAAATCTCCATCCTTCCCTGTTCGTTCGGCAAAGGAATCTCAATCTTGCGATCCAAACGACCGGGTCTCAACAGCGCTGGATCCAATGTATCAGGTCGGTTTGTCGCCATGATCAACTTGGTCTGCCCCAAGTGGTCAAACCCATCCATCTGGTTCAGCAACTCCATCAACGTGCGCTGAATCTCTCGATCTGCAGAGCTTCCCTCTGAGAAACGTCGTCCTCCAATAGCGTCGATCTCATCCATAAAGATAATGCACGGTTCGTGTTCCTTTGCGTATGCTATATCATTCGCCCAGATGTCAAGGCAAAGAAATGAAATATCCAGATTAGAACGAACCATGAGGCCTGAAAAAGGGACATCGCTTCCATCAAACATGGTGTCAAGACAGCCTCGCTTTACCAAACATCTCTCTGATGACCCTGGCACTCTCTCCGATATACTTGTCAACAATCGCAGACGAGACGACCTTCAAAAAGTTGGTCTCCAATGTACTGGCCACAGCCCTTGCTAACAAAGTCTTGCCCGTTCCTGGCGGTCCATAAAGCAGCACTCCCTTTGGTGGCTTGATTCCAACTCTCACAAACAGCTCCGGGTTCATCAAAGGAAGTTCAATGACCTATATACACATTTCGTTTCCGATAAGAAGAAAAAAAAAAGGAATATTGTTAGCTACACCTCCAATGGTAAGCATGTCACCCAATAATCCCCTAAAACAGACGGAAATGTACCTCACGCAGTTCTCTGATCTGCTCGCTCAGTCCTCCAATTCCAGCAAACGAAATGGATCCAGGATCTTCCATACCCATGCTGTAGACCATCGGGTCAACCTCTCTTGGGAGCATGCGCATGATTGTAAAAGTGGTCATGTCCAGAGCCACGCGTGTTCCCAACTTCAACTTGGACTTGTCCAACTTACTACGGCACCCAACAACGTATCGAGGTCCACTTGCAGCTTTGATGATGACTAGCGAGCACGCCAATCCAATAAAGTCAATCAGCTTAGTCATTCTTCACTTTTGTCTGTTGATTATCCGGAACCATTGAATCACGGACGTAGGGAAAAAAAAGTGTAGGCTAATGTGAGGCTGAAGACTTACAGCGATCTTCGTCCAGCTGCTTCAGGACAGATCCAATAATCTGACCAACACTCTGCAATGCCTTGATATCATCCTCTGACTTGTTGAACGCCCGATCCAGCTCCTTGAGACCCATACGCACTATCGTTGCAGCAAGACAGCAGGGGGAAAAAGAAGAAGGAAAGAAAGAACGAAAGAATGAAAGCATTTGCTTCGTCAGTATCGCCTGTTTCTACTAGAATAAACGAATAAACGGAAGAAAAAAAAAAGAATCGAGTCCTTTCTATCTGCGGAGACGTACAGTCTTTGACTTTGGCCTCCATTTCGCGATGTTCCAACAGCTTTTTGCGGTAGTTATTCAGAGCATGAGTCCTGGGATCGCTGTCCTGCGGTGCTGAAGATGTCGTCGCCATGGTCTGAGTATATGGAGTGATTGTGAGGAGAAAAAAAGGGTTTCTGAAAAAAGAAGGAAGACCCGCGCGTTGTTGCGCGCACGTATCCCCCTCCCCCTTTGAGTTTGAGCAACGTCACTTTTTCACAATCCTAATTGGGGTGACTATAAAATAAAATAAAAAAAAGCCCTACTCTCGACGACCTTGACCCCCCCTCCACAGGACTCAATAGATCACGATGCAATACGTACGGACACCACAGATGGATCAGGTACTGGATTCGACCAACGGACCACGGATATTCATTCAGTCATTCACACTTTGCTAAAGGATGCACTCTGCCTTACCTTGCATGCCTTTACCCTTTTTCCAAAAAAAAAAAAAAAAAAACTCATCGCGGCAGTTACTCCGACACTATAGACGATCGCAAGGTTCCCGACGTTAAGCACGCGCGAATACAGGGCCCACAAGGCCAATGTCCATACAGTCGGCTGGAACTCGGATGGTAGGAGACTAGCCTCAGGATCCGTTGATAAGACGGCCCGTGTCTGGGCTCCAGAGAGAACTGTAAGGAAACAAAGGAACCTATTGTGCCCTATTGATATACTTCGAAACGGGATAGAAAAAAGAAAAAGAAGAAAAAAAACCAGGATGCAGAGCGAGCCCTTCGCTGACCTTTTTTTTTTTTCAATAACAACAAAAAAAAAAAAAAAAAAAGTCAGATCCTCGTAGCTCACAGGAATTGCGCGGACATACCGACAGCGTGGATCAACTCGTCTGGGATCCTACGCATCCCGATCATCTTGCCACAGCCAGCTGCGACAGAACCGTTCGTATCTGGGACGCACGATGTAAGCAGATCCTCATTGTTTCCATGACACCTGATTTCTAGCCCTCCCTCTCATCCTGCGTCTGCGTCTACTTTACTCTGTTTTATTGTAGAGAAAGTCATTCAACTAACGTGCTATTTTTTTATATTTCTTTCTTTTTTATTTCTTTTTCTGTAGCTGCAAAAAGCATTCACAAGATCGATACCAGCGGACAGAATATCAACATCAGCTGGAGTCCGAACGGTCAAAGCATCGCGGTTGGAAACAAGGACGACATGATCAGCTTTATTGACACACGAACCTTCAAAATCGAACAAACCGTCCAGTTCAAGGTCGAGGTCAACGAGATCAGCTGGAACCCAACAGGGAATTTGTTCCTCTTGACCACCGGACAGGGAACCGTCAAGGTCTTGAGTTATCCATCCATGAAGGAACTCCATGCTCTTGAGGCCCATACCGCGAATTGTTATTGCTTAGAATTTGATCCGCGTGGAAGGTATGTTAAACAAACACTTTATTTTATTTTTTTTATTTTTATTTTTTGATCTCGGACTAATGAATAGCTCTGATATCGGTACTGACGATGGACTTTATTTCATATCGCAAATATATATATGATAGATATCTGGCTACTGGAAGCGCAGATGCTCTTGTCAACCTATGGGATCTGGAAGAATACATTTGCGTACGGACATTTGGAAAGCTAGAGTAAGTCGTGTACAATATTCTCCACACCCCCCTCAAATTCATGGTATAAACGTTCCTGCTGTGCCTACCTAGTCCTTTAAACTAATCATCTAATCATCTAATCATCTAATCGCCGTCTTTTCATCTTATCTAGTTGGCCTATTCGAACCATCAGTTTCAGCTTTGATGGCGAGTTCCTAGCCTCTGCCTCGGAAGATCTTGCCATCGACATTGTAAGCGAACACCTTCTTTTTTTTTTCTTTTTTGTTTAGTTACCATTCCCGGCTTCTTCCCTTTCTTTTGTCTCTCAGGAAACAACAGACTCTTGGGCACGGACTAAACGGGGTTTTTTTTCTCCTCCATTCAATGATTATAGTCCCTAGTCGAGACCGGTGAATCCGTCCATACGATCGCATGCTCTGCAGCCATGAACACAGTGGCCTGGCATCCAAGCAAGTACCTGCTCGCCTATGCTGGCGATGAGCAAGAGTCAAGACCGGGCGGTGGGTCCGTCATGCTAGGAAATCTGCGCGTATTTGGCTTCAGCGGTTGATCCACGTTTTTGCACAGAAAGCAAGCAGGCACTCTTCATTAGAAAACTTCAGCTGATAAAATGTACATGTACAATATACTTTCAACATTACTCTGCAACACAACGACAATGGTGACAATTCTCAGTGGCCATCTCATAATGTATTTGATCCTTTCTCGTTCGTTGTCATTATTCTAAACTCTTTTTTAATTCAGAGTGCCGCGGCATCCGCGAGATCCACACAGGCATGGGATCTTGTCCGCTTCTATTGGGAACTTGTAGTCATACGTGATTTCTTCACCCTCCTCAATATCTCTCTTTGCATAAATCACAATCTTCTTCTGTCCGTCTACCGTGATAATCTTTGCATTGCAGTTGGGCTAGTATCGTAAATCAAGAAACGTAGTGCATTAGCCCATTTAATCCTATTCCAAGGCATCTCCACAGAGCAGAGCAAAGTATAGCAAAGCAGAGAGAAATCGCTTACCGTGCAGCAATGGTTGATAAAACGAGCAATGTTGCCCATCTTGGTCGCATCAATCACAGTGTCATCGTCCACGCGGAACAAATAACTCGAGCCAATGCCCATCCGCTCATATCGTTTCTCGCGATGATCCGCCACCTTTTGTCGGATCACCTCTCCAATGTACTCAATCACCATATCATTCGCATCCACCTTCTCCATCGCAAACAGTCCCCAGTCGTGAATCGGCGACTTTGCAAACCGAAGTTGCTTCTTGCGGACCTTCAGCTGGTTAAACTTCATAATATCCGAGTCCGTGGCCATGCCCACAAGCATCCGGCGGTTGTTGACTCTGTTCATGCGCGACGAGATCCTGGCAGAAGCCGTGTTCACCTGTGCCGTGTTTCGGTGTGGTAAGTATATCGCCTTGGCCATTTCCGAGATCTTGTAAAAGCCCTCTGTACGTGCTGATCCGGTTCGATGTGCAGACGGCGCCGAATCCCGTGCTGAGGTCTCCTGCGCTGCCAGGGTGGCCTCCAGCTCCCGTAGTTGGTAGGCTCTGTCATCCGGATCCAACCCGTTGCGACGCCCAGATTCCTCCTCTTCGGCTCTCTTCCGCTCCATCTCCAAGGCTGCCTTCATAAACCGGAAGTCTTCCTCGTCGCCATTGCTGAAATCCAGAGGCAAGGTGTCCTTGTGACCCATAACCATAGCACTGCCGGCTTTGCCCGACTCGTATGGTTCGTAGAGATCAAAGTAAGAGGAATCAGAGTCCGTGTCAGACTCGGACTCAGAACCGGTGATAGAGCCAGGGTCCGAGTAGTACGGTGTGCCATCCCGATGCAAACTGGCATCATGGTGTCCAGATGTTGCAGGCCACATGAGCGAGTCGTCCACTGTTACGTCCAGCAACTCCACGTCAGAACGGCTCTCGTCCTGTCGCAGCTTTTTCACTTGTGGTTTCTTAGTCTGCACTGCAGCGGTCTGCCTCTTTGGCTTCTTAGTCTTGCGTCCTTTGCCGGTACCATAGTCCGAACCGGAGTCCATATCAGGCAACTCCATCGCAGTAGCTTCCATCTTTTTCATGTCAATCCCCACGCTGATAGCCCGATCATGCGCTCGCTTGCGTTTTTGGGACGGCCTTGCTAGCTTGACGTCGTCCTCAGCTCCACTGTCCCTACCCTTTAGGGCCACAACCTCGTCGTTCTCCGTGCGATCGCCTTCCATATCGTCGTCATCGTCGATTCTCTCGACCTCCTCCTCATCATCGACAACAAACTGCACATCCTCATCGACATCGTATTCGTCGCTGCTCTCGCCCTGCGGCTGACGCTGATGGAACTCTGTTAAGAAGTCGTCCGGATGCTGACCATCATCGCTGCTGCTGAGATAGTCCCGAAGGCGCTGAGTCTTCTTCTTGTTGCCCGCCAATGGCCCTTTCCTGTTGGTACGAGGGCCCTTTATACTCTTCTTCTGCAACCTCTTGCCTGTCGGGCCATGATCTTCGTCCTGACTGGATGCACTGCGGTTGCCTCGGGAGTATCGACGCAATCGGTCGCCCTTTCTGCTCTCGGTCTTGCTCCTTTCCATCTCGGAATCGGAGTCCATGTACCTCAAGGGCGGTCTACCACGGGATTGGCTTCTAGAGATGGAGCGACTCCTGGATCTGGATCGAATGACGGATCGGGATCGTCCACGCGGTTTGAGTACATGTCGTGATCTCGATAGAGAGGGCGATCGGGAAATGGAACGTGAGCGGGACCGGTACCGAATCCGGGACACAGAGCGAGAATGGGAACGGGGAGTACGAGAACGAGAACGTGAGCGTGAATGCGAAGGTGAATACGATGGCTGCCTCGATCGAGAACGCCGTCCAGAGCCCTCATGAGCTTTGCCCTGCTTCTTCTCCCGTTTGCTGTTAATGGTCGAGCGAGGCTTGCGCGCGGCATTAGGATCTGTTTGCGTCCTCTTTTTGAAACTGGGCAGCTTTGGGAGATCATTCGAGCGAGGGAGATGGTGCAGGTCTTTTGGCGAAGATTTTGCATCCTGGCGCACCGAATCGAATAGAGATCTTGTAGAACCGAACTCCAAAGATTTCGATATGCGTGATCCAAGTCCTATCTTCTCGTTCGATCCATCATCCGCGCCCGAATCGACAGCCGCCTCTTGCAGAGAAAGGATTCCGTCGTCAGACCTCGCATTCGCAGAATCTTTATCTTGGGCTTGCAAACGTTCTACCTCCTTTGCTTTGCGAGTCGCCGGGTTTAGGAAATCGTAGATCGTTGGGCCAATGACGCGATTGCTCAGATCCTTCAGAAACACCTGGAAGAGTTCCTTCATAATCATATCGGATGCCCAGCGCACAAGAGACTCTTCCTTAGAAGGGGCCTTCACGCGTGAGTTGACGCTCGAAATGCTAGACTTCCGTCCCGCTTCTGAAGCACGACGATGTCCAGGCTCCTTGATGCTACCCCTACGTGCGAGCAACTCTGGTGGTAGTTTGTCGTCCCCGGGCTCGTGAAGAGTAATTGTGATCCTCTGACCGAGCAGCGGCTTTTGGTTCAGAACAACATGGCATTTCCTTGCTTGAGCCAACGAAACAAAGCGGATGTACCAATTTTCTCCATGCCGCTCAATCTATTGCCAGGAAATTAACGTGTGAAAGAATATTAGGATCATTAAAATACATGAATTTAGCAGGCAATCATTCTCCATTCAACAGGTAAAGTGGCGCTTACTCTTTCCGGGCCAAACTTGTCAAACTCCTGCTTCATGTTTTCGATAGAGATGCGATGGAAAGGCAGGCAGTCTCGGTTGATGATCAGACATGCTAAATCCTTCTGCCATCCCGTACCCTCGCTTTCAAAGCCAGAGCCTCGTTTTTCGGAAATCCGCCCGCGTCTCAATCCTATTCCATGCATCTTGGCTTCTGGACCCCATAGTGGGCTAGGGCTGCGCTCCCTGCTCCTGCTCCTAGACCAGCTTCGACTTCGGCTACGACTTGCCCTCCTCCTTCCTAGGTAGCGCTCGTATCGATCAGTTGGAAATTGCATATCCTCAAAATAACTACCACGGCGATCGTAAAACTCGTCTCTAACATGCGATCCGCCCGGAGCAATCCCTCCTTGATTCATCCAATCCGCCCGGCTAAGCGAACCTGGAGACAGCAAGAGAGGTGGGGCTGCTGCAGGACGAAACGGGTCAAGCTCCCGTGATTTAGACAGAACCCTGTAGTTGTCCACTAGTGTTGGCGCATGACCCAGGTCTGGGGTCTTGTCCCATTCGCGTCGAGGCAGAGGTAAGGATGCGGGCAAAGGCGTCCTTAGTCCACTGGCGCTGGCGTCAGTGGCGGTGAGCTTCATCCTGCTTGCGCTGTCATCGATCTCCCCGTCCTCCTTACTAATCGGCTTGTTGCCCCTGACTTGATGCAATTCGCGTGGAGGAATAGGAGGCAGGGGGATGCGGGTGCGGGGGTTAGGGGGAAGAGGGATCGGTATACGCTTGGCGCCACCACCGGAGGGAATCGAATTATTATTGCTCTTGGATGTCGAAGGGATGGTGGGTATAAGGGAAAGAGCTGTGTTGGTAACCAGCGTTAGGAGACTGCTCGAAGAAGAAACTGAGGCAGGCAAGGATGCTGATGAGCTGGCATTGGGCGGTGCGCTAGAATCCGGTGACAGCATATTGCTCGGTGGGGGTGTTGATGCATCATCAATCTCCATGTCATCATCGTTGGTGTAGATATCCCTGTCGTGGCTCGACTCTGCAGCAAGCGCTGCCTTAGCCTTAGCCGCCTCGATCCTAGCTGCCACGTTGGCCTTTGCCTTCCTAAACTTTGAGCCACTACCGTCCAAAATCACCTTCAGTGGTCCTCTCTCCATCTGCTTGCCGTGCAGGGTATCGACTGCCTTCTTTGCTGCAGCCTCAGCCTCGGATCCTGCGAAAACGACGCGCCCAAATCCGAGTCCGGTTCCGGTAACAGGGTGTCGCTCGATGAGGATATCCAAAATGTCGCCACATCCCGCAAACAGTATCTCCAAATCGAGCGTCGTTGTTGAGAATGCAAGATGAGATATTAAGACTCCATGTTGGGGTATTGAGTTGCTGTCGCGCTAGATTGATTTGTGATGAGAACCAGATCCAAGGCTGTTAACGAATTGATTCGCATAGAAAGCAGTAAAGGCAACAGGTACGGCTTTCCAGGGGACTGAATGTTTGTTCATACCTCGAATCGGACAGGCGTGAGAGTCCCTTTGAACGCTCTCCTCGTTTTGGAAATAAGGTAGCTGTAGTTGGCTGCTGTCCGACGCGGATCTTGAGGATCATTCTTGTCCTATGTTCATTTGAGAAAAAATAGCGTTAATTGTTTTGTATTCTAAGTAATACATGCAGGTTGAATAATAAAAACGCGTTACATACCTCCTCCGTGAGATCGTCTTGGTAGCGGCAAAGCACACTGGTATTTCGCGATTTGCTGGCATCCAAGAAGGGATCGTAGAGTACGCGGAAGTTGCGCACACTCGATGAGGACTCGTCCAGTGGTTGAATTGGCCTGATAGAGGTCAGCGTGGTCAGGGTCGGTGCATTAAAAGAATTCTCGACGCTACTGCCACTGATCAGCACCCCGATGCTCGTGGATATGCTATTGGATACATGCCCACTGGTTGTTGTGGACCCTGCGGTTGGGTCCAATGCTGCTGAAGACTCGTTGTCATTATTGTTTGTAGCCAATGGTACTGGGAGAGGGGTCGTTGTGTTGTTGAAGTCGCCATTGTTGCCACTGTTACTGCTAGTATTATTCGACGGAAGAGTGTGGATCGAATCAAGCATGCTCATGGTGGATTCATAGGTTCAGGATGAGATTTGACCGGGAAATAGCACTATGGATGGGATCAAGGAAGACGCGAGTTAGTAAAAATAATACGAGCAGGACACAGAGGCCCTTGAAATGGCTTAAAAAAATACGGTGCAGTCGAAGTGATCTGGCCATCGGAAAAGAAAAGGACGCGTTTTTTTTTTTTTTGAAATAAAAGGAAGCAAGATGGAGAGAAGCAGAAGCTGGCTGTAGTGGGATGATCTCCCTTATCGGCCCGGTGACGCATACAGGCCCATGGATGAATAATGCAAACAAAGGAGGAGTGGCAGCGGTGGAGGTGGACGATGGAGGATGAGCTGAATAGAGAAAAGTTTACCTTTGCGAGAACGGATAGATGGGACCAAGAAATGGAGGGAAGTGTATAGGTGGAGCAGGTGCAAGTGATGCAAAGGGGAGGGCGAGGAACGGCGCCAACAAAAAGAAAGGGGAGGGTGGATGGAGGATGGAGTGGTGCGGGCAGCGTGCAAAAGAAAAGAAAAAAAAAGAAAAAAAAAAAAAAAAAGAAGGAAGGAAAGGAAGGAAATGCGTATGTGTATGCTATGTACAGAAGACGAGCAGGGGGAGATGTCGAAATGGATAAGAGGATGGATGAGTGGAGGAAAGAAAGAAAGAAAGGGCGGGAGAAAAGGGTTAAAGGGTTGGAAAGATACAACCGTAAACAGAGAGGGGGCAGGGCAGCACAGGGCCCGCAGGCTGATAAAAAAAATGCAGCGGCGCTATTGGCCCAGAAAGTGCGTCGTTGTATTTAGTGGACCGGTGTGCACGAGTCAGAAAAGGGAAAAGAAAAAAGAAAAAGAAAGAAAGAAAGAAACAAAGAAAGAAAGAGAGAGAGAGAAAGAGAGAGAATGGGAATGGGAGGAAGAGAAGTTGATTGCAAGAGACCCAAAAGGGAGGAAGCAATGGTGTGTTGATGGAAAAAAATGGAGGGGACGGAAGCCAAAAAGGGTATGTGGAGGACCCAAAAGGGGAGATCCTTCTGATCGCACACAAACATTTGTGGTCTTGGCATCCATCACTCTTTTCTTTTGCATCTCTTCTTCCCTCCCTTCTCAACCAACCAAACCGACCCTACCCATACAGCCGCCCTTCTCAAATAAGCGAGCAGCAAGCAAACATGGCCACTACCCCACACAGACCCGCGCCGACAATGCCCCCTCCATATGCAACAGGACTAGGAACAGGACCAGGAACAAGTCCAGCAGGACCAGGCACTGGATCAAACAGAACTGTAGCAGGGCCAGGAGGATTTCCCTTGATATCCATAGATGGCTCATCCATCGCAACTTTAGGGCTTGGCCTCATCAAAAAGTTCCGTGAGGAGCGTCTATCATCCCTGCGACCCCTCCCAGAGTTCTTCAATACCACCCGGATGTCAAAACCAAATGGCCTTGCGAGTATGTGGACACAACAAAAAGTCTGTGAACATCCGTTGGGTACGTTACATACCAGATGCACCTTGTCCTTACCTGCTGTATTTCGGTGTATGGTCTTCCTCCTTAGGCGTCGCTTCACGACTTAGTTGCAATCTGTCGTATTTCCGAGGCAATTACACTCTCGTCTTCCTCGGCATCACCGCCTATAGTCTGTAAGTAGCCCCCTTTCTCGCGACTACCGTGCTCTAGGTGTATCAACCGCGCACTGAAGCCGTATCAATACTCGTCTTCCTCCCGTAGCGTCTCCAATGCCATGCTCATGTTCAGCGTAGGATTTGTCGTCGGTGGTACACACCTCATCTCTAAAGTCCCGCCAGAGGGCCTCATGCTTGGCGAAAATAGATATAACAAAAGCCAGCTTCAGACGGGCATGGCCTGCATTGCTGTGCCGCTATTCTTCTTCAGCTCGACTATAGGCACTATTTTTTACATCGTTGGTAAGTGCTGAGATAACTGGGTGGCGCAGTGATTGGGAGGTCTTTATTCACCGTATCGCATATTAATCTTTTTCTCGTATTCACTTGAACTGTCGAACAATCCTTGAACAGGTGCCAGCGCGGTTACCATCCTTGGTCATGCTGCGTTCATGGAGGAGCACATTGAAGGCGATTTCGCCGACACGGTTGTCTAAATAACAATATGTAGCGTTCATGTATATATCTGGGGTGCAACTGCCCGCCGTTCCTGCAACCTTTGATCATCCAGCTATTCAAAAAAAAAACGGTGGCGTGCTCCCCTGTTTCTGTTCTCTAATGAAGCGATTACGAATAGTTTGTTCCGCAATGATTGTTGAATAATCATGACAGATGCCTCTGATTGATATCGTGGACACGCAATTGCCATTGTTTCCGTGAGAGCAGCGTTATCTGGGCAGACTGAGCGTCGCTTTTTTGTTCCTGGTTCCTGAATTTGACTTGGCCACCACCATACATATGGTCATGGCGACACTTTACTACAGCGTTCCTGCTTCCTGTTCCTGAACGGTTTTTCCTCAAGCAAAGCGGCAAGGAGGATCAGATGAATGATGGGTTCTCGTTCCTTCCACGTCACTTCTCGATCTATTTCTGGGTGCCGGGTATGCAGTCTTTCGCCTGTCTGAAATGGATGAAAAAAGCGGTCCAAACCACCTCACACCTCGCGCTCGTCATCTGTCCCTCTTTTTATCATCCACCATCCCCACCATCACCCACCACTCTCCTCTTTCGCTTCTCCGTGCTTATCCTCTTTCCAACACTCGCCTCCACCTCTCTGCTCCACGGGTCGCGCCATATCTACTATCGGGACCAAATAACACCTTTGTTCGCGACCCCTCTTTCTCCCTCCCTTCCTTCTCTCTCTACCTTGTTCCTTCAATCCAGACTTGTACTTTTAAATGACTGAATCACTGCCCATCCGCTTCCAGGAGCATGTCCAGGTATCAATAAAGGCTCTGAGTGTACCTTATTCGCATACAACTCAAATATGATACCGCGCATGTACGGGGTAACTCAGCACGCTGTCTTTTACTGGTTTTCACACTTGCCCAACATAGCTTCAAAACCTGGGCATCAACGCCGCTAGCATCGGCTTCAGCACCCTCACTCTTGAATCAGATCGCTTCATCTGTGTCCGCGAGACGACCGGCGAACAGAACTTGGTGGTTATTGTGGACCTGACGGATCCCACGAACGTTATTCGTCGACCCATCACCGCCGACTCTGCTATTATGAACCCTGCCAGCAAGGTTATTGCGTTGAAAGGTACGCTGTCCGTGTGTTTTAACGAGCAGATACTGTGCAACACACATCAATTGTGCCTTAGGGTGTAAACGTAAACGATACCTTGGGCTAACACGCTATTCTGTGCATCAATGGCTCCCTCCAATTGATTCATGTGCATGCATCCAACAGCCGGAAGACAGCTTCAGATTTTCAACTTGGAAATGAAGACCAAAGTAAAGTCCCATCTTATGCACGACGACGTCGAATTTTGGAAATGGATCTCGCTGAAGTCGCTTGCGCTGGTCACCGCCACCACGGTCTATCACTGGTCCATGGAAGGAGATTCGCAACCCGTCAAGGTCTTTGACCGTCATCCCAGCTTGAGCGGAAACCAGATCATCAACTACCGTGTCAATTCGGATGAAAAATGGATGCTTCTCGTTGGAATCTCATCTCAGGTACGCTCTAAGGCTCCAGATCGCGCGCTTATAATTGGCAGCATATCCTTTAGAATGGCTGCTTTGGATAGAGAAGAAAAAAAAGGTCGGTTATTGACCAGAATTTCGTTTGATCAATGGATTGATAGGGTGGTCGTGTTGTCGGCGCCATGCAGCTCTATTCCAAGGATCGTGGGGTCAGTCAACCAATAGAGGGTCACGCTGGAGCGTTTGCGGAGCTCAAGTTGGACGGTGCAAGCTCGTCTACCAAGTTGTTCGCATTCGCTGTCCGTACTGCCACTGGAGCCAAAGTAAGGCATTTGTACTAGGGCCGTGATTTTTACGGGTTAACTTTGATGCTGTCGGACTGAGAGTGTTTTGTAACACTGTACCATGGTTACTTTTCATATAGCTTCATATTGTTGAGGTGGATCACAAGGATGGAAACCCTGTTTATGCTAAAAAAGCCGTTGATGTCTACTTCCCCCCAGAGGCCACGGGCGACTTCCCAGTGGCAATGCAGATCAGCCACAAGTACAGTATCATCTTCCTGGTGACAAAGTTCGGCTTTATCCATCTTTACGACCTTGAGACAGGCACCTGTATCTACATGAACCGCATCAGTGGTGAAACAATCTTTGTTACTGCCGAGCATGAAGTCACTGGCGGAGTCATTGGGGTGAACCGCAAGGGTCAAGTCCTCTCCGTCAGCGTGGATGAGAATAATCTGGTTCCTTACATTGTCAATACTCTCGGTAACACTGACCTCGCCCTGAAAGTCGCCTCTCGCAACGGTTTGCCTGGAGCTGATGATCTGTATGTTCAGCGCTTCCAGCAACTCTTCCAGAATGGAGACTTTGCGGAAGCCGCCAAGGTTGCTGCCACGTCCCCCAAGGTAAGCATGGATTTGCAAATTTCTGTATGATATCCATGAAGTACTTGGCCAAGTGCTAACTACTGTCGTTAAATGGATCCATTATGATTTTCAGGGCATTCTTCGTACACCCCAAACCATTGAGCGATTCAAGCACGTTCCAGTGGCTCAGGGTCAACTCTCGCCCATTCTTCAATACTTTGGCATTCTCTTGGAGAAGGGCGAACTCAACAAGTACGAATCATTGGAACTCGCCAAACCAGTTCTGGCACAGGGACGAAAGCAGTTACTCGAGAAATGGCTCAAGGAGGACAAGTTGGAATGCAGCGAAGAACTCGGCGACATTGTCAAGCAGCATGATCTCAACCTCGCGTTGTCGGTCTATCTCCGCGCCAATGTCCCCAACAAAGTCATCGCCTGCTTCGCTGAGACAAAGCAATACCCCAAGATTATCTTGTACGCAAAGAAGGTCGGTTACACCCCCGACTACGCCGTTCTGCTTCAGCACGTCATGCGCATGGATCCCGACAGCGGCGCCGAATTTGCCACCCTTCTCGCTAACAATGAAGATGGGCCTCTAGTTGACTTGGAGAAGGTAACTACTCAGGATGCAAATCGCTGGCCTGCCAAGTATCTTGTCAAATGCCTTCATCGCTGGACAGTGGAATGTCATTATCTGACTATATCTTGTCTATACTATCTAGGTCGTCGATGTCTTCATGTCTCAGAACATGATCCAGCAAGCCACAGCCTTCCTCCTGGAGGCCCTCAAGGATAACTTGCCTCAGCACGCTCACCTTCAGACCCGCCTGCTCGAGATGAACCTGATGCATGCTCCTCAGGTCGCAGATGCCATCTTGGGCAACGAAATGTTCACTCACTACGATCGCGCCTCGATCGCCACGATGTGCGAGAAAGCGGGACTTTACCAGCGGGCACTGGAGCACTACACGGACATTGCAGACATCAAGCGCGTCTTGGTCCACACGCACCTGTTAACTCCCGATTGGGTCGTCGTTTATTTTGGCCGCCTCTCTGTCGAGAACTCATTGGAGTGCTTGCGCGAGATGTTGAACGTCAACATGAGACAGAACCTGCAGATTGTCGTCCAGGTTGCCACCAAGTATTCTGACCAGCTCGGTGCGTCTAAATTGATTGAGCTGTTTGAGTCTTACAGGACATTCGAGGGCCTCTACCACTATTTGGGTTCCATCGTCAACATGAGCCAGGACCCGGAGGTCATCTACAAGTACATTGAGGCAGCCTGCAAGACCGGGCAGGTCAAGGAAGTCGAACGCATCTGTCGCGAGAGCAATTACTACAACCCCGAGAAGGTCAAAAACTTTCTCAAGGATGCGAAATTGTCGGACCAGCTTCCTTTGATCATTGTCTGCGACCGATTTGACTTTGTCCACGACTTGGTCCTTTACCTGTACCAGAACAATCTCTCCCAGTACATCGAGACGTATGTGCAGAAGGTCAATCCTTCGAGAACCCCCGCGGTCGTCGGAGCCCTCCTGGACGTTGGCTGTGATGAGAACGTGATCAAGAGCCTGCTGCTGTCTGTTCGCAGTGACATGCCTGTCGCAGAACTGGTGGATCAGACGGAGAAGCGCAACCGTTTGAAACTCATCTTGCCCTGGCTGGAGGCCAAGGTCAACGAGGGTAGCCAGGATCCTGAAGTCTACAATGCCATTGCAAAGATCTACATTGACAGCAACAACAACCCGGAGCCCTTCCTCAGGAGCAACGCCTTCTACGACTCTCGAACCATCGGAAAGTACTGCGAGAAGCGCGACCCCTATCTTGCGTTCATCGCGTATGAAAGAGGCCAATGCGACATCGAGTTGGTCGAGATCACGAACAACAACTCGATGTTTAAGCACCAGGCTCGCTACCTTGTCAAGCGTCGTGATGCCGGTCTATGGGCCCATGTCTTGAGCAACGACAATCCTAGCAGACGTTCTCTGATTGATCAGGTCGTCGCCACCGCCCTTCCTGAGACCCAGGACCCCGAGGATGTCTCGATCACGGTCAAGGCCTTCATGGCTGCTTACTTGCCTAACGAGCTGATCGAACTGCTGGAGAAGATCATACTTGAGAGCTCCGCGTTCAGCGACAACCGCAACCTCCAGAACCTCTTGATTTTGACTGCCATCCAGGCTGACAAGTCCAAGGTCTTGGATTACATCAACCGCCTCGAAAACTTTGATGCCCCCGACATTGCTGAGCACGCCATCCGCAATGGCCTTTATGAGGAGGCGTTTATCATCTACGAGAAACACAACGTTCACGCCAGCGCTATCAATGTCCTTATTGAGCATATTGGCAGCATTGACCGCGCCTATGAGTATGCAGAGAAGACGGACACGCCCGAGGTCTGGAGCCGTCTCGGTAAGGCTCAGTTGGATGGCATGCGTATCAAGGAGGCTATTGACTCTTACATCCGCGCCAACGATCCCACCAACCATGTCGAGGTTATCCAGCTTGCCTCGCGTGCTGACAAGTACGAGGATTTGGTCCGGTACCTCCAGATGGCCCACGCGCAGTCTCGTGAGCCCTATATCGAGAGTGAGCTTCTTTTCGCCTATGCCAAGACGGGCCGTATTGCCGACATGGAGCAGATCCTCAACGGCCCCAATGTTGCTCAGGTTCAAGTTATCGGTGACCGCTGCTACGAGGAGAAGATGTATGGTCCAGCCAAGATTCTTTATCAGAGCATCTCGAACTGGGCTCGACTGTCCACGACCTTGGTTCACTTGGGAGAGTACCAAGCTGCTGTTGATGGTGCCCGCAAAGCCAACAGCACCAAGGTCTGGAAGGACGTCAACGCTGCCTGTATTGAGCACAAGGAGTTCCGCTTGGCCCAGGTGTGTGGTTTGTCACTGGTGGTCCATCCTGAGGAGCTGGAGGAGTTGATCCGCTTGTACGAGCATCAGGGCTACTTTGATGAACTGATGGCGCTGTTGGAGGCCGGCTTGGGTCTGGAGCGCGCACATATGGGCATGTTCACGGAGTTGGCGATCCTTTATGCACGCTACCGTCCCGAGCGCATGATGGAGCACCTCAAGATCTTTTGGTCGCGCATCAACATCCCCAAGGTCATCACGGCATGCGAGCAGGCCCATCTCTGGACTGAACTCGTTTTCCTGTATGTCCACTACGACGAGTACGACAATGCTGCCATCACCATGATGAAGCACTCCCCCGACGCTTGGGAGCATGGTGCATTCAAGGAGGTTATTGTCAAGGTCTCGAACCTCGAGATTTATTATAAGGCACTTCGTTTCTACTTGGATGAGCAACCCATGCTGTTGAACGACCTCCTCGCTGTTCTTATTCCCAGGATCGACCATAACCGTGTCATCCAGATGTTCCAGAAGTCGGATAACATGCCGCTGATCAAGGGCTATTTGGTATCGGTCCAGTCGGTGAACAACCTCGCAGTCAACACTGCATATCATGACCTTTTGATCGAGGAGGAGGATTACGAACGTCTCCGCAAGTCGGTCGATACGAACACCAACTTTGACAATATTGCACTCGCCAACCGATTGGAAGGTCATGAGCTGCTGGAGTTCAGGAGGATTGCAGCCCATCTGTACAAGCGCAACAAGAAGTGGCGCCAGTCGATGACGCTTTCGAAGCAGGACCGCCTCTACAAGGACGCTATGGAGACTGCTGCGGACTCGAGGGATACTGCAGTGGCAGAGGAATTATTGCAGTACTTTGTGGAGAGTGGTAACAAGGAGTGCTTTGCTGCATGCTTGTATATCTGCTATGACCTTGCCCGTCCCGATGTGGTGCTGGAGCTCGCGTGGAGACATGGGCTGACGGACTTTGCGATGCCGTACATGGTTCAGTTCATGCGGGAATACGTCAATAAGGTGGACAAGTTGGAGAAGGCGCACGAGGAGCGCGCACAGAAGGAGAGCAAAGAACGCTCGTCTGAGACACCAATTCTCGGACCAGGCGGATTGGGCAATACGATGATGATTACTGCTGGGCCTGGGATGATGATGCCTCAGCAGACGGGAATGGTCCCACCGCAACAGACGGGGATGAGCATGGGATATGGCCAGAATAGCTTTGGCTTCTAAGGAACGCTCTGAGGAAGGTTAATTGGTGTTGTTTTATCGCTATAATAAAAAAACCCCTTATCTGTGTAATTATCGTATGCTCTGATGTGCACTAAATCCGACAGCCGTTGCAATGGGAAAGAATGTTTCATATCTGCATGCCAAATACGTGGCAAATAAGTGGATGGAGCGCCCTCAATAAGGGGTCCCGACAACAATCGGCTATTCCCATTCATGTCCTTTCTGACTTCTGTCTTCTTTCTTTGCACCATCCTCTGTCCTTCTTACTTCCACTTCAACACAACTTCAATATCCATCTACCCTCAAACGCTTTTAACGTCATACAGCAATACACAGCATTACTCAGCAACGCACCAGAGTAACAACTAAGAATTGAGCGCCGATTACGATGCCTCGAATGCCGAATGTCTGTGGACCGATTCTCGTGGTTCTCATTGCCGTGCTGGTCGCTGGCATGCTCTACGAGAACACCAACAACTCAACTGTATCCTGGACTGAACCGAGACAGGATTCCATGCGCAACAAACACGATAGTCAGCAACCGCTGCCACCGCCGCAGTGTTCCAATGTACGCCTTGATGCATCATAGTCATTGGGATTTTTTTTTATTAATTTAACATTCCAGAAGGACTGACTCTCTCTTTGATCATTAATCTCTGACCTCTTGGTTTCATATTAGCCCTCAGGGTTGATAGGAGACTCGTCCTGTTGCGATTACGAAACTGTAGGAAAGCTCAATGTTGACTTTTCCACCAAGCTGCACGAGATCGTCAACATGCCCTTTTTCCGGTACTTTAAGGTACTTTTGCCCTCTATACGATCAGGGACGGATCCCCATGGCAGCTTTTTACATAATTTGCTTGCTGAATTGTTCTACATAAACTATTCTAGGTCAACTTGTACAAGGAATGTCCCTTCTGGAACAATGCAGGGCTTTGCATGAATGAAGATTGCTCCGTGGAGACCATAGACCAATCTCGAGTTCCTGAACAATGGAAGGCTGCCAACCTGGCAAAGGTTTCAATGTCGTCAAACCCGGTATGTCTGTAACCGACAATTACCTCCTTTGTTCTAATGAAATCAATACAGGATGGTTCTGACCAAACTCTTCTACCTCTTTTGATTTATTTTCTTCCTTGCAGCTTTTTGGAGCACTACCAACAAGACCGCTGATGAAGGAACAGGACTTTTGTGTCCCAGAGACAGGTGCAGGTGAAGTTTATGTGGATCTCAGGGACAATCCCGAAAGATTCACGGGTTATTCTGGCCCCTCTGCTGCCATGGTCTGGAAGGCGATCTATGAGGAGAACTGTTTTGACGTGTCCAAGGAGATGACAGCAGGATGCCAGTACTGTGAGTCAGAACGAGCAAAACTCAAGGACCAGAGCAAGCATGCGGACGATCACGACCATGGAAAGGAGAACATATTGGTACCACCGGAGCCTGCACCCATGAAGTCAATCAAGCCCTCACGGGAAGAGATGAACGAGATTTTTTCGCGAGTACCCAAGGACAAGAATGAGCTCCAGCAGTTGATGCAGGGGATCGCCAAGGATGGCGGTGACGAAGAGTCTTGCCTCGAGAAGCGGGTTTACTATCGCTTGATCTCTGGTAAGAACCCGATGTACAGCCATGGCGCTCCTGGACATGGCCGTCAAAACTTGAGAACTTTGATTGGTAACATATATTTCTATTTTTATTTTCGTACTTGTCGTTCTCAATCCTCGCCATGATAGGACTTCATGCCTCAATCTCGATCCATATCTGCGACGAATGGTTCAACCAAACGACGGGTGAATGGGGTCCCAACCTTGATTGCTTCATATCCCGTGTTGGTATGCATCCCGAGCGTCTCGAAAACATTTACTTTGATTACGTTGTGATGCTGCGGGCCGTCTCCAAGATCTCGGACTTTTTGGCTGGATACGAATATCTGACGGGAGATGAGTCCGTGGACAGAGACATCATGACTTCGGTGAGGGAACTAGTGAGTCTGGTGAAGAACTGTCCGCCCACGTTCAACGAAAAGCTGCTGTTTTTGGAAAACCAGGGACAAGGAAAGCAGCTCAAGAGCCAGTTCAGGGATCACTTTAGGAACGTAACAAGGGTCATGGACTGCGTTGGGTGTGAAAAGTGCCGACTGTGGGGTAAGGTCCAGACGCAAGGTAAGGCAACAGCGGCAACGATTATGACATGTACATGTAACCATGTAATGGCTATGTTAGTTTTGTAAAAGCGTTCTTGTGCTAACATTTTCGTACTTTTTTTTTATCCTAAAACTAGGACTTGGAACGGCACTCAAGATTCTCTTTTCATACGACGATGCCGCTCTTCAGTAAATTGTGCTTCCCCCATTGCCTATACCTTGCTGCCGTCAGTCCTTGATGCCCACTAACCTATACCTATTTTCGTCTATTTGATTTTGCAGGGGCCACAAGGCGAACAGCATCTTGACACGATCCGAGATTGTCACCTTGATCAACACATTCAATCGACTTTCTGAGAGCATATCAGCCATTGAGAGATTCCAAGTCATGTATAAGGAACGTCTCGAGAGAGAGCAAGCCCAGATTTCGAGCTCATTCTCAACAAAGTCTTTTATCAAGGCACCTTCCAAGGAAGAGGATGATCGCGATGCCATTGTTTATAAAGTATGGCTTTCAAGGATCAGTAGAGGCGTCTCTTCAACATACAGCAGACTGGATTCCATTTTGGAGAGCAGGAATATCACACAGCACCGCATCCCATTAAGGAACCTTGCATCATGGATCCCATAAATAAACCAATAAACCTACAGGTTGATACTATAAAAATTATAAACCCCCCCCCCCCCCCCCCTCCAAAAAAAAAGATACTTGTTCCTACCAAGACTACCGACTCAGAGTGACCAGAGACGCGTCTGCGGCCACTACAAAAACTAAAAAATGCAGTGCAAAGAAAAGGAAGGGCCGAACCGGGAATTGAACCCGGGACCTCTCGCACCCTAAGCGAGAATTATACCACTAAACCATCCGGCCACCGCTTCTTGGTGGAACGACTGTTACAATGATATATATTTCTATAACTAAATCGTCTTCTCATATTGCCTTTTTTTATGGCATTTTCCTGCGTTTTTATTGCGATTCCTTGCACTTTTTTCATCTCCCACCTTGGCATAGTGGTTAAACTGCCAGCCCACCAGCTATGGGTCCGGGGTTCGAGTCCCGGAAAGGTCCAGAGAAATCTGGGCCAGGCGAGGATCTTGGTTGAGTATTTATACTTTCGACCCAACAGAGTTTGAGGCGTCAAGCAAGGGAACTACACCAAGGCTAAGATTCAGGTGGCCACTACCCCAAACCATAGTGTGTACTTGAGTGGCGGTACGTCGGCATCCCCCTCCTCCCCGCCAATGGAAAGAACGATTTATCGTTGCAACGCGCCGAACTCCGCTACAAGAGGGTCTGCTAGGGTTTGGGTTTCCTTCCCCGAGGCTACGTGGAGGCCTCAAATACAATCCACGGCGAAACGAGCACTCCCCCCCGCCCATCCCATGACTAGGACGGTGCGGTTTCCCAGCAAGACAAAGACAAGTTCCAGCGGAGCCCCAAGAATAAATTTCAAGATCAAGGTCCGAACGATGCGCCGCAAGCCAGTGCCGTGTCAAGAAGAGCATACAACCAATTAAATGCTATGTGTACATGTCCCAGCAAAATTGTAAAATAAAAAAAAAATTCTTTTGCTTTTTCAACTTTTAAAACATACTGATGAGGTGTGGTAGGAAATCCCATGTCGTTGAAGATTTTTGTTAATTAAAAAAAAAAAAAAAAAGCAATTGTTGCGCGGGCTCGAGGAATGTGACCTGTCAACTGGCGACTGTGGATTAGTTCTGCTTTGATGGAGAGGACAACTGTAGTAGGTCGTTACTAGCTAGTCTGATAGATTTGCAGAGTCAACTGACTCGAGAGACAAATTGTTATAAAAAAAAACGCCTTCTCGTGCTTTCGGAATTGATAAAGGCATTTTTTGCAGTCAATAGTCTTTTCTGATAGTTTAAACATCTATTTTTTCGCGCCATCAGCTTCTTTTTTTTTTTTTTTTTTATACAACTCGATGGAAAGGTGGTCTAGGAATAACGCTCTGGCATAGTTGAGACTCGACGTGATGAAGTGATTAGGAGGATGTCAATTTCTTAAAATGTTAGAGGATCGTGGCTAAAGGACGACTTTTACGCACAATAGGCAGTGTAGGGAGCAGGGGCCATAGGTTCGCCACTCATGTGGTCATTGATTATGAAATATGGATCCGTTGCGACATAGTCGGGGCGGACAGCTTGCTGTTTGCTTTCTATCCTTCAGACCACAGTTAATAAATCCCATGTCTTTGAGGGTTCTCGTTAAAAAAAAAAGGGATAACGCTCTCGCATAGGTGGTCCTCTGAAATTTTTCAGACGATGCGGGCTTCATATGTAATCCTGCATTTTTATTGGTCAATTCTGTTTTCTGCTCTTTTTCCCTATTCATTCCTCAACATCCGTAAAATCACAAGGGGACAGATATCAACCGCGCTTTCTGCCTGGGATGTGTGCCTCGACCAATAAAAATGCAAGATTACATATGAGGCCCGCATCGTCTGAAAAATTTCAGAGGATGCGAACACGGACTGTACGTGTATAGCACAGCTGTATGGATTCATCATGCAGATGCTACAAGCTGCAACAGGTTGTCGATAGCTCTACAGCACTAAGTGCCAACTGTAGGAGTCTTGGACTCGCATTTGCCATAGTACACTGGCTAGCCAACCCCTTGTGGACCGATTGAAGTAGTTGAACTGTATCAGAAATTTGGCACCTTTGGACTTTTGGCTCTAATATCATATCACATAGCCCTGGTTTTACAGCAAATTTCTTTATTTGCGTTTAATAGCTGTTTGTTTTGCCGTCCATTTTCACCCCGCGTATCTTAATGCACTTTGTACTTTTATCTAACTACGCTCGACAAGCGCGCGAATGCGATGGACAAGTAGCTCAATGAAACTGCTCCTGGAGCTATTGTCCAATCCGACCCTCTCCTGTGTCAGCTCAAGTCCCATAATACTGTCCAGCATAGGCTTGATTACATGTCCTGCATCTCGCTTCAAAGCCTGTGCCTCTGCCAATGTTGGCTTGAAGTTCTTAGACAATTGGCTCTGGCTCTGATTCAAGCCTGCATTCGAGGATGTGAATGCGCCAAAACCGTTGGATCCATGGCCAAAGGAGGATGACCCAGCGCCGTTGATGCTATTAGACTCACTGCTGTGTCCAAACCTTGACACGCGTAGTCCTGACTGTGACGCTGTGCCATCCAGTAGGCCAGGATATTGCCCAAGATAGTACTCGAGATGTCTCCAGAACACAACCAGCGACGTCTCTAGCAGGTCTATTATAGATTATGGGAAACTATGGATCAGATCGTGCCTCAATTTGAAATACATCACGCTTTTTATACCAAGTGTTCACTTACACAAATACGACAGAACCTCTTGAGTCGACGACAACAGCATCTTCTGTAAGACTTGGACCGCCAGTTGGTCGCGCTGGATTGCGACCAGGCCCTCTAGATAGTCCTCATCTGATGCGTCAAGAATATCCTGCTTTTCCTCGGGCGTCAACGACTCGATGTTGGCCAGTTTGAGCGACTGAGTCTGGTGTCGGACCAAGGCCTCTTGGACCTCATTAGCTATGCGGCCCAGAAAGCTGACCAATGTACCCAATGACGGTACTGTAGCCGAATCATGTCGGCTCGTCACATTCGAGATGTTCCATGTGAAAAGCGGCGTCAATGGTTTCGGTGCTATTCAGTAAGAATATAAGTAAATATTAACAAGTGGATACAGGTCAGAGATAACCTTGCGGAAGTGTTACAAGTTATGTCAAGCAACAAACATGTTTCAGTTCACATACCAGCACGATCAACACTGTCTGTGCTGATTTGGCAGTACGACAAGAGGTTCTTGCAAATGTCGCGAGCAAAACTCTTGGTGTCACGCTGGAACAGGCTCGTGCCCGTTCTAGCGGTCAAGGCAGGCGCCATCACGCTTGCCATGTACAGTTCAGCGTCGCTGACTGGTTGCAATGACTGGGCCCACAGGTCGGCCGAAAAGTACTTGGGAATCAAGGCCAACATCAAGCTGTGGAGCGATCCAAAGACGGATGTTGTAGACTAATTGTATGTATACAAATAAATAAATAAAAATAAAAAAGGCTGGGTAAGCATTGATGCATATGGTTGAGACATTACATTGGCAGGCGATGCCATCTTGCATACGCTGGATGCTGTCGTCTTGGCGACAATATGGCCTGCTAGTTGGTTCAGGAAGGCAGTGACAGCACGAAGCTCACGAAGAGTGTTGATAGTAGTAGGGTGTTCGTTGTCTCTGAGGATGGACGCAAAGGTATCTTGGTGGCTGGTCACAAACAGTTCCGCCTACATGAATAATTATCAATGAGCATGTAAGCTTGCCAATTCTATCATGTTGAATTGTCATGAAGAGAGGAATCCCATAGATAATATGGAAGAGCGATTAAAGTACCTTGCTGGTAGCAGTACGGTGGTTGCGGCCAAGGTTAGTCAAAATGGCGACAGCGACTTGAAGTATTGGATACACGATATTGTGGTAGCGGTTGCTCTCTGTCTGCTCGAATGGACCGAAATCTGTGATAAAATAGAGATAGGAGCCAATGTAAGGTACACCTTTTTTTGTTGCTGCAAACCTTGTTCAAAGTCACCGCAAACATTATCTTACCGTTCGAGTTCAAATCCGATCGCATGTCGATCACTGTGGAGGAGCTGGTCAGAATGTCGAAGAAGCCATACTCGAGCAATTGTTCCGCACCATCTCTGCGTTGTGCGATACGCAAGAACAAGGTCATTCTCGTCTCGCTCACGAACGGCATTCTGCTCACTCGTCCCTTAACGCTTGCCTGCAGCTCCAAATCCTCACGCGCCATGATGTCGATAAAGTGCTTCAGATAATTGCGCTGTACCATATGCACAAGAACCCTGTTGGTCACCTCTTTCTCATACAGGCCATAGAGCGTGTTCAAGAGCGTAAAGGCAGCAATCTTGCAGACCTGGTCCACATCCGACGCGTCTCTGCAAATGATCTCCAGTAGACGCTCACCTGCATCCGACACCAAGACTTGATTTCCGAGCTCAAGCGCATCCCTCACATTATTGCCGTCCTTGCTCTGTCTACTGCTTAAGCGTTGCCCGTCAGCGGCGTAGACTCGTGGTGTCTTCGTGCTCTTGTGGGTTTCTCCTTCTGAGCGCGTGTATTGAAAGTAGTTGACCAGGGTCGAGTACAGGTTGCACCGAGACTGAGAGGTGCCCGGACGAAGGATGCATGCAATGATGTTTCTCGCTACACGATGAAGGCGCTCGGCGGGAAGGCGGGCGTCGATCTCACTGGGGTCTGTCGATGTCGCCTGGAAAATAAACTGACGGAAGTGATCTGCACGAAGACGCTGAAGGACCGCAAGAGCAACCTTGCCCAGGATAGTTGTGATATCCGCCGGGCAATCGTTCTGTAGCTTAGCAAGAATGGCATCCAGGACGTCGTAGAGTATCGTCTCGCGCTGCTCGACCTTTAAAAGATCGAAACCAGGACCAAGGGTGATCTCAACCAACTCGCGCCATGACTCAAACGCGGTTCTCCTTCCAGCCTCCAGGTTCCTGACATGATTTCTGGCCAAGCATTGCTCAACGACGGCAATCATCTCTGCGTGTGCGGCAGCCTTATGCGCAGGCCCCGAAATCACGTTTTCGCTATCGAGTTGCGACTTGCGAGCCAAGAGAAGAGAGAAAACCTGGCGCACATCATACAACTCAACTCCATACTCGTCCTTTTGCAGACACAAATCCTCGGTGACATCAGGGAAGTAATAGCGCTCCACGGTCCTGACTTTCAGCTCGTCTTCCCATGAAAAATCGAAGGAGTCCAGGAGTTCCAAAATCTTCATGCGTGGCTGAACCAAGTTGCCGTTGCGAGACCTGGTAATCGAATACATGAAGTCGTCCTCGTCTGTTCCGCGTGAAATGTCCGTGTTGTTGTAGAGGAGGGAGAGTAAGCTAACTGCCTCTCGGCGCTGGTTCGTGTCGCAAGCGATGCGCAACTCTAGGGCCGATGTACGCATAACCCATGAACGATGGTTGAGTTGAGCGAGCAGGCTGAAGAAATCAGCTCTGAGTTGCGAACCATCCACTCGCGTAAGGACACCATGTGACCCTTCAAGTCCATCCTCGAATCTAATTGGAAGTGCCCGCAGCTGTCTGTAGAAGAAGGCCTCCCTTGTACGGAGGAAGCGGATGGTTGGTGAAGTTGTCTCTGGCTCGGAACAAAGTCGGTAGATTAGCTCCTGACATTTTTCTGCGAGACGAGGATGGGTGATATATAGGGGAATGGACGTCGACATGCTATAGTCCACGTCTTGACCGTCCATTCCACGTCGCAGCAAGTCCAGTATGACATGCAGTGCGGTAACAGCGGTAAGGTTTGAAAGCGCATCCAAGTCTTCGGGGCTATTGATCTTTGTTGATGTGGGGTAGCCGAGCAGAAAATGGGCGATCGAGGGTGGACTGCGAGATTCGTCCAGGTTGTCGAGCAAGAGTCGCATGATCTGGAGTCGGATCGTAGATGTAGTGATAGCGGGTGCTACAAGAGTAGCCCCTTTCTGGACGGCCTTCTGGGGCTCTGATCCGTCAAGAGCCATAGAATTGTCGATCTGCTGCGCTCCAAACTCAACTGTCTGCTCATCGTCCTCGTCCTCCAGTTTCTGCACAAAACCATAGCGAATCTGATTCGAGCGAGACGATGACTCCAAAAGACGAACCAACCGGTTGATGATTACGCCTCCCTGGCTTTCTCCGTTTGTGAACAGGGGCGAGGCCGAGAGTCGATCCAGGATCTCGATCGACAATGAGCAAATCTCAAGGCTAACTTCGCAGTTAATGTAGCAGGCAATGTCGACGATGGTGGCGTTGCTAAAGCTCAAATGCTGCTCCATTGGCGCCAGCGAGGACAAGACAGAGTTTTGACCGGTGGTTGTCAACAAGATCTGAACAATGTACTCCATGAAGAGATCCTGAAGCTGCATAGTCTTAGTTACAATCCTGAAGCACCTGGCGATAGAGGACTTGAGGTGAGGTGTCGTCTGGTCATCCTTGTTAAGGACGTCAACTCCAGTGCCCATGATGCGGAAGATCTCGCTCAAAACATCTCCACCAGACAAAAGTCGTGTCAAGATCTCAAACGCTGGATGAAGAGTGGCGCGAAGAGCACTGTTCTTTTGAGCCTCGATGGCGGTGTGATCCTGGTCCTTCTTGAGCGCGCTACCGAGGGTGAAAGGGCTAATGTTGAACGACAACAGACACCGCTCCACAAGGTTGAGACATGCATCAACCACTTTCCACTTTTCGTTGGCAACACGATAGGTGCGGTCGAGGGCCTTCACAAAGATCATATCCAGGACGAACCGCACATAGGGAATGATTCCGGGTTGGCGATGGCCGGTTCCGAATTTGGGTAGAATTGCTAGGGAGCTTCCTGCAAGGATCTCCTCTGGGTTTAAGGGCACCTGAACCAAGCTACTCAAAAGGCGAATGAAGGCGACTGTTTCGGGGAATGTCTTGTTGGCGGTTTCGATCTCCTCAATGTCGTAGCCGATCCCGGAGTCCAGGTTTTCATGTTCCTGACGAGGTGAGGCGGCAGGGACTGGTGCCTTGTCTCCTGCAGGCACAACCTGATCCGGTGGTGGAGCGGCGTAGGACTTGGGTAAGATCCTTGCTTGTTCCATATAATCCCAAACAAGAGTAGCAGTGTCGCTTCCGAGTGCCGAAGGTGTAGCGAAAGCGGCGATGGCGTCCAGGATACTGGCCTTCAAGTCAACAGAGATAGGGCAGATGAAAAAATGGAACAGAAGATGGATAACCTGGTACTGTTTTGAGTCATTCATGGCTGTGCGGGCAACAGCAGAGTACTGTGCCACGACGCTCAAGAGGTGCAGGAACGACTTCAGCAGAGCCTCTTCCTCAGGCCGAATCTTTTCAATCTGCCCTCCTGCAGAGAAGTCCGCATTCAGTCGCTTGGTGTAGAAGTCGATCGCCTCGAACAACTTTCCCCAGGAGCATAGAGTGTTGGGGATTGCTGAACTTTGTGTACCATAGCGGCCGCCATTACTTTTCAGAAACTCATAAGCATGATGAGCGCATTGAGTTCCGGTGGCGAGTGATCCCAGCATATCGAAGAACGAACGCGCAGTGTTCTTACAATCGGCACCCCACTTGAGAAATCGATAGAGTCGGTCGTCGTTGTTGGGCCAGAAGCGAATCCCTGCCTCAGGACGATCCTTGTAAATTAGAGCAATCATCGTGAACAACGCGCTGAGATCGTTCCGGGGTGCTGCTGCGGCTACCTGCATCTGTGATTGCCTGATTGAAGATTGATGGGCAGTGACATCTTCCTCCTTGTGCTTGATCTTCCTGAGCAGAGGCAGCATGGTGATGACAAAGTCCCGAACGGTCAACTCGAGAAGAGCGAGAATTCCGTCCTTCATGCAAGTATCCAGCTCAACAATGACCGGCTTTCCGACAGTTGTGTCGAATCCATCCGCGTTCTGGTCGACAATGCCGAGCGATGCTCTAGGAATATCGAAAGGAGCCTCGATCTGATCTCCATTAGCGATGGTCTGCGACTTGAAACCGAGGATATAGTTGACAATGAATTGAAAGGTATCCGACGCAACAGCGCTCTCGGCCACAGTTTGCAACTCATCCTCTGATAAATCGCTACTGCGATAATTCTGCACGTTCCCGATGCAAAGGATGAGCTGAAGGAGGACTGCTCCCTTGATGGCGGGAACTGCCCAAGCAGAGTTGCTGATCAGTTGTGCGTATTCTGACGTGAAAGAGTCGTGGGTCATGTAGTCGGGGAATTCGTCGTCAGCCTTTCCACGGATCCGCATGTGCTCTCCAGAGACTTCAAGCGCTGCCATAACAGTGACGGTAAGATACGTGGCGATAGGATCAGAGAGGTTGGTTTGCTTTAGACTGACGATAATCGCTTTCAGGACTGTACTGGAGAGTTCATGGCAAAAGGCAATGTCGAAGAGGGCTGTGGCGAGGAGAGCGCGTTCCTGTCTAATGTATTCGAGGCGCTTTTCGTTGATCGACATACCCAGCTGCGCGACCAGCGTAGATGTCTCGGTCATAGCATTCTTAATAGCCGTCGCCTTCTTCTCCAAGCCTTCGATCAGCTTCAACGCCTTACTCGCAAGATTGCCCTTGGCTGGATCCAGAAGGTCGTTCCTGAAAGGCACTATTGCGCTGCTGAACTCTGTTGGTGAATCAAATGTGCTGGAGGTATCCAAGATGGCGTTGATGACCTGAATCAGAGCGATTCTCTCTCTGTGGAACAAGATGATGGCTGTCTGAACCGGGGTTCTATCGTACTTGGCTTGCAATTCGAGGCCGTAGCGGAGTAATGAGGAGGCGACATATTCGTCAATTTCCAAGTGGTCCGAGAGGAGAATCGCTTCCGAGATGAACTGCTCGTTGACCGTGTTGATCTTGCCATCGATCACAGGAGATCCTATCATGAAGAACATCAGCCGGTTTAGAGTAAGACGTAGAGGTTAGTAGACACGTCCGACTGCTTTTAAGTCAAAGTCAATATAGATTGGACAAGCACTTGGCCGCGGCAATCCTACCAAGCTTCAGCTGGGCTCTGTGGGTAGCATTTGGCGCAGGTGTTTCCAAGACCGCGTAGATGGATTGCTTTTTGGACTCTATTTCACGCAAGACCTCGTAGACGTAGTCGCGCGAGTCCGACCGCAAGGCGATCTGTAGTTTGCTGGAAAGTTCCCCGAAGGCCGGCGTCCACTGCTGTTCCATGACACGTATTGGCACGAGGAAGAGATCGTTCGTCCGCAGGAGGTTTTTGTTGGCGCGTGTGGCTCTTGGTCGTAGCAAGGACCCAGATTACTCGCGATGAAAGAAAAAAAAGGAAAAAAACGTAGACAGGAAAGCCGAGGTGTGCCCCGTGTCCGATTCCGATTCCCTGGTTGTCGAGAGTGCGAATGTTTTTTGGGGAGGGAAGAGGACAGGGAAGACAGAAGGGAAGGCAATGAGGAAAGGTACCGATGAAGATCACTGGAGAGCTGTTTTGCAGTGACTTTTCCAGGTATACCCTTAAGGGTGCACACACCGTCCACTTGCTTCTGAAATCGCGACGCGTTCTCCATCTTCTCGTCTGCACAAGCACTATCCCCGTTATACGCCCATTCCAACAAACAAGCATGTCCCGCATCATTCTCATACCAGGAAACGGAAATGACCGCGTCGAGGCCTCTATGTGGTATCCCTCTGTCATCGACACGCTCGCTGCGGCTAAGGATCCTAAGACGGGCCAGCTGCTGTTTCCCGGACAAGGAGTCTTGAAGACATTCCCAGACCCCTACGACGCACACGAGGAAATTTGGACCAAGTTTATGGAGGATAACATCGAAATCAATGAGGAGGATGTCGTTATCGGTCACAGCACTGGAGCTGCCGCCATCATGAGGTACATTGAGACCAGGAAGGTCAAAGGCGTTGTTCTTGTGAGTGCGTATCACTCTGATCTTGGAGATGTCACAGAGGTATGTCTCTACGGTGTGAACTAAATTTGATTGGACCCGCAAGGAATGCGGCAGCATGCTGAATAATACCTTTGAATAGAGAGAATCTGGATATTTCAACCGCCCTTGGAACTGGGACGCCATTTCTGCGAACGCGAGCTGGATCACACAGTTCTGTATGTGAAGATGATAAGAACGTATTCGCACAAGATGCCATTGTCATGATGGTGATGAACGCTGACAGCTGTTACATGTGCTTCTGCGGCTTTACAGCAAGCCCAAGTGACCATCTGGTTCCTATCGACGAGCAGCGCGACGTGGCAAGTAAAATTGCCGGAGTCGACTACATTGAACTCCCAGGTCGAGGCCATTTCATTAACGATCGCGACTTCCCTGAGCTGGTTGCCAATGTTATCCAAAAGATGTCTTCATAGTGTTTCTAAAGAATACAATCCTCTGTATTTTTTGTTTTATTCTTTGTCATTTCGATGTCGAAGCAAAAAAACAAGTCGGAAGAGAAAAATTCATTCTCACTATGTTCTGAAATATGCTATGATTATCTTGCTTGCCATACGTATCGCGAATCGCGCTCATCCCGATTCTGAGGTCCTGCTCCCTGGGGTCATTATGAAATAAGAATCATCCAGGCAATGATAAAGTAGAACAAGAATAATGGATAGACACCGAGGGCTCGTCGGTTGGCCAGATTAGAGTCCGACAGAAATCCGAGAGAGGCCCATGAGGCCCAGGCAAAGGCAACTCCGCATAACGGCAACCTGATGTAAATGCTAGACACGACTATCGAGACCACGCTGACAAGCACCAGTGGGAACAAACAGTATCCAATCACACAGACGCTTTGGAAGAACGACCTAAAAAGTATAGAGCGAGATATTGAGAAAAATCAGCATTCGTTTGCATAGTATCGCCTCTGCAGCAACCGATGCGTTTCCAATATAGCGAAAAGACATACACTCTTCCTCCGAGAAGCTTAGCGTTCACTGTGACGACTGCAGATCCCAGCCAGACGATGATGAAGATCCAGGTGAAGACGGTAATCTTTTGAGCCGGTTGCGCTCTCATACTCAAAACACTATAAGTACCAATGACAAACATGAGATACATTAGACGCAGGTCAATTGGGGCATAGAAAGAGGACGCCGCAACACAATGGAACGAGGGAGACATACATCGACAATGTCAGACACATCAGAAGAGGGCCCCAAAGATCCCCTGCGATAGTGGGCATGATCAAACTGTTAGCTTCATCATTGATTCAGGCATCCAAAGGTGTGAAGACGTCCTGAATAACCATTACAAGGCGAACATACAATCCTTGAGAATATCCTTGCGTCCCTTGGGGTATAACACTTGTTGTAGCTTCGCTCCAACGTTACGAAGATCGCGGAGCTATATGGAATGATATGCCAACATGGAGGTAATGAACTGTGAGCGTTCCACGTTTCGGCAAAAAAAAAAAAAAAAAATAGACTGCTTCCCATCTACAGCGGCTCAAAACAAGATATCCTGTGAACGATGAAGACCCATATATCGCTGAACGTACAAGGGTCTCTGAGACGGGCTCGTCGAGGGTATCGATGCCATTGCCCATCATTGCTTGACCGACGCCAAGGCCAGAGCTACTGCCGATGTTGCCGCTGATGCTACTGGTGCTGCTCGACCCAATGTTTCCAGAGACTTTTGGCAGGGAACTCTTGACAGGGCTAAGAGGCTTTTGTCCAGGAAGAGGTACATCGTCTGGTTCGATGGATGGCGAGTTAATGCGCTGGGGAATGTTGGTCTCGAAAGGATTGTCGTACGTGTCAGAGTATGAAGTGGCCTCGACGTAGCTGGGTGCCGCCGGCGACAAAAAGTCATCTGGCTCGACCAGGCTGTTGTGGTTGTTGTGGTTGTTGCTCATAGCTGATTGTCCTCTTCCTGTGTGTGTCGGTGTTGATGTGATGTTGTTGTCCTAAACAAGCAAACGAGATGAAGCTGAACAGAGTTGGAACGATGCTCAGCCAAGAGAAACAAAAAGCAGAAATAGAACCAACTGAACCCCGTGACGCGTTGCAAGATAACTAGTTTATTAACCGCTGCTGCTTCTGCTGCCTCTTGCTTTGCAACAATTGCCTTGGCAGTTGCCTCCCACGTTGGAGCCTAGGTACCACTCTCATGACCATATTACGGCTTCTCGCCCCAGACAGTGACCCTCAATCTGCGGCGAAAGATCCAGTCGCCTCGATACTAAATCGTTCAGATACTCAAGGATCCCTTTAGACTCGGATGCTGACACGCCATTGATCTCCCGCGTAAAGACCGAGTTGGTGTATACAGACTTCCAGACGGCCACTGGATCTGCACGGATAATAGGATGCTCGGAGTCATTCAGCTTGCCGAAGGTCTTGCGGCCAGTGTTGGCTTGGAAGACGCGGAAAATGCCCGAGGTGGGTAACTGCTAAACCCTCAGAAGCGTCTTGCGGGCTAAGAGAGATCGTCATACACCTGGTAGCCATTGGACCAAACAGTGTCTCCGCCCGCCTTGGGGATCTCGTCAATTTTCAGAATTGAGAAGGAAGCGGGAGCTGGTTCAAAAGAGCAATCTGAGTGCCAAGAGCCGTTTGTGTTGTAACGTCCGGGAGGGTTATCAACGCGATGAAAGAATACGTGGTCAGTATACAATGCTCATTTGTATAGTCAAGGAAGAAACACAATAGCGGAAACTGGTCTGTCGTTACCTTAATCGAGAGTCCAAAACGATGAGTTCGGGATTCTCATGGCCATGAAGAGCGAGAGGGTGGATATGTAAGGGTCTAAACGGCGCAGAGGGGGTTTTTTTTCATATCGGTAGTATCCTTGGGCTCTCGAAGATGCCCTCCTGTTTCCTGGACTCGAATGTTCTGATTCTGCAGTCTCTTTTTTGTTGGCATCGAGCAATTTTTGTGGACATACGAAAAAGATAGTCAGAATCAGAGATATTATTCTGGAGAAATAAACATGGCTTTTTGTTGAATTATCCTCCAACGCGCGCCTAGCTTGGCATGTTGCTCGCTGTCCAAGTGATCCTGGTCGCGGAAAAAGACCACGCCGCGCTCGGCAATGAAAGCAGCAAGCTCCTCACTCTGCTGTTCAGTCAACTGGGACAGCTTGATGCCTCACAGCTCGGTTCTAATCTTGTGTGAGTAATCGATGCGTCTAGTCACACTCGCGAAGAGGGCCTTCTTTTCGCGATCGGCACCTTTGCCAGCGACACGGGTTGCATGAACTTTGCGGCCACTGAGAATGTCATCTTGCTCTGTTGCAGAGAGGATGACGTGGTCAGAAACGGTGGGTGATATTTTTACGTGTATTGACTTGTCGGGGTGTTAGTTGTGCTGTAGACCGAGTTAGCCTAGAAATGTCTTGTTGACGACTTGATTTTAATGATCTGAGATCCCTTTGTCATGGCCGGTGAGCATATATGAGTTAGTGAGACGCGACTTCATGAAAAAAAAAAATGTCGCGAAGGGGTAGTCTAGACAAACGATATTAGAAAAACGCGACATGGATGGCTGGATGGGATGATATGTCAGACGGAAACAATAGGTTGAGGGTGATGATCGATATGCTTTGTATGCCTGTACGCTGCAGCGCTAGGGAGGGCCGATACAAAGTTCCGGCAGTGAATGGCGACATGGCCTAGATGGGTTGCTCATTCAGTTTAAAATTCTGCACTCTCTTTCGTCCCAGCTGGAAGAACAAGGAAACAAGTACCGGTTTAGGAAACACAATGGCGAATAAACCTCACAAAAGCTGCATTCCATCTACTGGCTCCACATATTGCACGGATCGCACTGGCAAAGGCAAGTCATTCTACCAGTAAAGAGTCGTCCTTCAAGCGGTTTAAACCACGCAAGCGAAAATGCTCAGAGTTCTAGATCGTGGCTAGGTATTCCACACGGAAGCTGCTTAGCCCGAGCTGCAGGGCAAATGAAAAGGGTGTTCCTGAACTTAGTGATACTATTTGACATCAACAAATGCGTGGAGGCACATGCATACTTGACGCCTTTGATAGTTACGCTACAGTAGAGTTAGCAAGGCTGCAGCAGACACCATTGTATCTCCGTCTGAACAGCTCAGGGCCAGCAAGGAATGGCCGCAAAACGCTACCACCGCCATGCGTTCGGCATTCCTCAAGATACAGCCATGTGTTCTACATTGAAATAATCTTCCCTTCTACTCGCAGTTGACAATCATCAGTGTAGATGGCGACAACTCCTGCATAGGCAAAGACGCGTATTTTGGTCAGAATGGCAACATTTTCGAGAATGGTTGCATAGAGCGCGTAAACCTTAAAAGGTTCCGTGGGCCATAGTATGAATTCTATAACCAGCGCTCCCTGCAGGGGCTATTATCGCGGCCGCGTCTTCGCTCTCTTTCTTCGCACGCCAGATTGACGTTTGTGGCCAGGGGTTGACATCTGCACGGCGCAATGACATTAGTGCGATGGCGCAAGAGGAGGGTGTATCCTTTAAGCTTTTCGATAGTAGAAAGCAGCGTTTTCAACTTGCTCATGCTCCGTCGTACACTCATCGCAGAGTCCCAAGTCGCCATATTACTCGACCAGACATGTGGGGCGTCAGGCCTTGAATCGATCACAACAAAAACAAGCAATCTCACCAAGCGATCTTTCTCCGGCAACGTTTTTCTCCTCACGCGTGTCCAGTGTAGCGACGGTGCAGACCGTATTGACACAAGAACCTTTGTATTCCAAAAGCGAGTATAAAAAGGACCCATAGCAGCAGCCCTTCATAAAGCAGTTGAGATTCGACTCTGCTCCACCACTCAACTCCATCGCTCACTCTTTCTCGCATCCATACTTTCAATCTCGGCCAATACTTCGCCTCTTCATAACTCTACTATCACCTATTACCACAGCATATTCCCAATCATGACAGAGAAGGAAGAGGTTTACGACCTGGAATCCAAGCACCATGCCGAGACAAAGGGTGGCAGCGCTAGTGTCGCATCCACGCTTACCGCTCCCGATTCCCCAGATGCGAAACTGCGTGCCCTGGGTGAGAAGAACGCCTACTACGACCATGGCCTAACGTGGACTGCCGAGGAAGAGAAGAGACTCGTTCGAATATTCGACTTGAGAGTGCTCTCTTGGATTGGTGTGATGTGTAAGTACATCCTATGCATCTTAATTGTCGTTGGACAAGACTTGGCATGCACTTTCTAACATAAGATATCTCTATCTCTCTGTGTGCTATTCCCAGTCTTCTTCCTTCAATTGGACCGTGGAAACATGTCCAATGCCTTGACAGACAACTTGATGTTCGATCTGAACATCGACCTCAACACCATTACCCTTGGGACCACAGTCTTCATCCTCTTTTTCTGCATCTTCGAGATTCCCTCCAACATGGTCATTCGCCGCATCGGCCCCCACCGCTGGATTCCGTTCCTTATGTTCTTCTGGGGCCTCGCCACAGCCTCTCAAGTCTTCCTCCAGGACAGGGTCTCGTTCTTGATTTGCCGCGCTCTCGTCGGACTTTTTGAGGCCGGATACATCCCTGGCATTGCCATCTACTTGACTACTTACTACAAGCGCGAGGAGATGGCTCTACGACTGTCCGTCTTTTGGTCCACTCTCTCGATTGCTAACTCTTGTGCCGGTGTACTATCATATTTCGTCCTCCAGATGCGAGGCATTGCTGGATTGGCCGGCTGGAAATGGCTCTTCCTGATCGAGGGACTTGCCACTACGGTCGTCGGAGCGTTGTCCTTCTTCATCTTGCCTGAGGGCCCCACGGCCACGAAGGGCTACCTTCGCTTCTCCGGATATCTGACCGAGCGCCAGGAACTCATTGCAGTGACACGACTGATTCGAGATGACCCCTCTAAGGCTGATTCTGCCGCGAAAGTTGTCCCCAAGGAGGACGTATGGCGTGCAGTGACTTCGCCCAAGGTCTGGCCTAATATCCTGATCGGGTTCTTTGGCCTGTTACCCTCAACTCCCATTAGCGGATTCGCGCCCCTGATCCTTAAGATGCTGGGGTTCAATGCCTTGAGGTCCAACTTGATGATTATCCCTGGCTACCTCCTCAGCTTGATCATTATGTCCACGGTCTCGTACTCGTCCGATCGATTCAATGAGCGTGCGTTCCATGGTGCAGCAGCGACATTGTACTACGCGGTCTGTGTCGCGGCCTTGGCACTCTTGCCAATCGGCGCAAGCAAGTACAGTCTGTACATTTGCCTGATCTTTACCATGGGGGCCCAAACCTGCTGGCATCCTGTTAACGTATGTCAAAATGAACTGTGGCGCTATCTGAGGTCTAATATTTACAAAAGGCATCATATTTATTATTTCTTTGCTCCTCCTCCTTTCTTCGAACAGGCTGCATGGATCGCCGGTAACACCGCGCCAGTAGGGAAGCGCACGATCGCTCTGGCCATGTATATTATTTCTGTCAACATCACTGCCATCGCAGGCACCAACATCTTTCGTGCGAAGGATGCCCCTCGCTTCATCACAGGAATGTGGGTCTTATTTGGTTCCCTTGCTATCACCATCTCCCTGTTCATCTTTCAAAGATTCCATCTCAAGCGCATCAACGCGAAACGTGCCCAGACCACCAAGAACTGGACTGCAGAGGACTGGAAGCATTATGACGAGACAACCAAGGACGTGGGCGATGATCGGTTGGATTTTGTCTACACATACTAATTTTGTACATACATCTTTATCTTTGAATATAGCAGTTTCATTCCCATTTCCCCGATAATAAATACTTCACGTTATTGTTGCCACCATTTCGTTTTGTTTTGTTTTTTGTTTTGAATATGTATGATTTATTCCGTCTCCTCGACGCGTTCCCGCATCTCATTAGAGACGCAGGCTCTAGAGCGTTGGACAAACCCAGTCCATCATGTCTTACTCTAACTTTTTCGCCTTCTCCTTGGCAGCGGCATCGGCCTTGGCCTGCTTGGCCTGCTTTGCGTTCTTCCTGTAAAAGTTGTAGAAGAGGCCGAGCATGGTCCACATGTAGAACCAGAGGAGAGCAGTGATGAAGAAGGGGTATCCGGGGCGGCCCAAGACCTTCATGGCATACATGTCCCAGGATGACTGGATCGACATCATACAGAACTGGGTCATTTGCGAGCGCGTAATGTAGAACTTGATGAACGACACCTGCTTGAAGCCGAGGGCCGACAGGAAGTAGTAGCCATACATGATGACATGGATGAATGAGTTCAAGGCAGCAGAGAAGTAGGCTAAGAGACATAGTACAATACAGAAAGGCGAGTTAGAAGGAACGTGGAAGGGCCCCGGAGTGAGTATATCAGAGAAGAACAGCATGGCGTAGCATGGCATTATTTACCTTCGCCGTTGGGTGCGACAAAAGTGACCAACCACCAGATGGTGAAGATGGAGCAGTGGTGGTAGACGTGCAGGAATGAGATCTGGCGGTTGTTCTTCTTGAGGACCATGATCATTGTGTCAACAAACTCCATAATCTTGGAGAAGTAGAACAACCAGATCATCTTGGCCATCTATAGATTAAAACGTACCGAAGAAATCGATGGGTCCCGTCAGTAAGACCGTGGGCATAAGCGTGGTTGCAGATCGCAGACATGGTTGATTTTTTAAGCACAGCAGCGTTTGGGAGAAAAGCCAGCCCATGTCACATAGATTCATGCCCCTGTCCCTGTTCCTGTCCATAGACAGCCTCATGCTACGCGACAGGCAGGCAACTCTCTTTTTTCCTCATGCAAAGGCAGCGGAAAAGAATACATGGGGACACAAAATTTTTTCTCTCTCTCTCTCTTCTTATCTTCAGATGTAACAAAACAATGTAGGCTGGAAGCATCTCCCTCATACAAAATACAACATGCCGTTCCTTCGCTGTTCTTCAGGTGCCAATGCACTGCTGGAGCGTGTTGGCGACACTTGGTTGGTTGGTTGGGTTGAGCTGGTTGGTTGGTACGTTCGTTTGCTTTGGTCCGCCGACAGTAGTCCCCTGGGGTGCTAACATATTCTTTCTCCGCGGCGTCCAGTGTCAAACACAAGTCTTTGTTATTTTAAAAGCGCCCTGGCCTATCTCCGGAGGGGGGCTGGCTGTTGATCGAGATTCTCAAAGTAAACATTCCTGTTCCTGAAAGATTGTCTTCTCTCTCGTGCTCTCGTGCAATTGAACGCCTTCAATGACTCGTTCTGCCCATGTATCAGGAATACACACCCCCTCTTTTCCCTCTACAATGCTACTCCCATAAAGATGCGAAAGAAAAATGTTTAACGGAAATAAGCATTCCAAAAAAAAAAAACTTACTGGCAATCCCTTGGCAGAATGATCGGCCATGTTCTCAAACAGTCCGTAGTTGCCACGGTAGGCCTCGTAGAGGACACCACCGCACATGTAGGCACTGATCGAGACCAAGCAGAAGTTGTGGAGTAGTGAGAAGGTCTTGACCTCGAAGCGATTAAAGTTCTTCATGATCTGCATGCCCACAAAGACGGTAACCAAGTAGCCGATCGCGATCAGAAGAACGTGGAAGGGGTTCATCAGGGGCAATTCGCGGGCCAAGGGGGATTCGGCCGCGACGAGGAAGCCACGGAAGTGGTGAACCGCCGTGGGAAAGTACTTCTCCATCTGTGCCGCGAGCGCATCCTCGACGGGGTCGAGATAAGGGGCCGTGTAGACACCCACGGTTCTGGCCACGTCGATGAAGAAGTCCTGAGGCGACTGGAGGAGAGACTGAGCAAGCGACGCCATGGTGATGAGCAGAGGCTGGCTGTTGATGAATGAGGAATGGGTGAATGAGAAAGAGAGAAGAGGAGCAAGGGAAGAAAGGAAGGAAGGAGATATGGGTCGGATGAATCAATTGAATGCCGAGATAGTACCAGGCCAGGCACTTGGCCACCGGAGGCAGTAGAACTCCCGGTCTCTACTAGCCCCATCCAAACAGAAAAAAAGTGCCGATTGTAATTGTGCTGACAACTGCGATATGCCACAGAGAAAGGAGCCATACGCGGGACAGGAATTTTTATTATTGTTGTTGTTGTCTTCAAGAACAACTCTAAAGTAAAAAGACACTTAGAAAGCAATAGTGGCGTCGTGCCGACAATGGTCCCTGCGTCACCTCCTCTTCTCGTCCACATGCACTAACTGCATTCATCTGGTATTTTTTCCCTCAATTTTTCTAAGACAACTAAGATTGCTATTTCAGGAACGACTCTTCAATGCTGGTGACAAAGTGCAATTGAAGTGAGCGTTATCACAGCGTTCTGTTATCCGTAACAGGGGCCTGAGGACTCAGCATACCAATTGCTACTTCTTAAGATAATGGTAGGACAACAGTAAATGTGCCTTTTCTTCTCGACAAATGACTATATTTAAGAAAACCGGGATGAAACTCTGTTCTCCTATGCAGATCGTGAAGGAACACGAGGCAATATGTCCTGACAAGACGGATAAAACACGTCTGATCGAGCAGAGTGCGATCGATCCGTATGACAGCAGCACACTGCTGGCCTCAGCGGCTCCGGATATAAGAAACATAGACAAATACAGGTGTTGGCACGCCACCCTTATCCCATCGTGCTCCATACAACCAACCGTCTCGTTCAGCTCTTCACCACCGGCGTGTACTCGCTCACCCGAAAAACATCCTTGCGCTTTGCCCGTGATACTGCTGCTTTTGCTCCATCATTTATCGCCGATGGGGGTGTGGGATTATGGGCCTTCCATGTCAGTGGTTTCTGTGCTGCAGCCGCTTCCATTTTTGAGACCATGTTGTTTCGCTGTGCCGCAGCCAGATCGAGCGCTCCAGTCCCGCCCGTCAAAGATTTTTGGCTGGCATCGCCCTCAGGGTCTACAGTCGTGTCAGTCTCTGCCTCCTCGTCCGCCTCAGCATCTGTACCTGCATTGGTGTTCTTGTCATCCTGTTCTGATCGCTCTCCATTCTCAGCGCGGTCCTTCTTCCGCTTTTCGTACCACTGGTGTTTCCGTTCCTTGTTCTTAAGAGAACCTAACTCCTTGGAAATGCTCTGTCGTTCGTTCTCCACGCGGTTCAGACTCTCACGCGCATATAGAGCTTCGGCTTCGTAGGTGCCTGGGTGAGACTGCTTGTACTCTGGTGACTCGAGGCGGAGCAATTGTGCGAGAAGGGCCTCCCGATCAGCAGTCTTCCGGTGCAATTGCTCTCCGAGCGAGGCGATCCGCCGAAGTCGAATTGTGGCTGCATTCGAGGCATTTGCCTCTCTCTTCTGAATTAAACGCTCCTTGCTGGCTTTGTTTTCTTTCTTCTGCGCGGCCTCTGGTAATTTGGATCGTGATTTGCCGCGCTTATAGTCATAGTCTTCCTCCAATAGCTTCGCCTTGGCCTTATTCCAGAGCTGACCCTTGTTCGTCAGTAAACTAGGCTCCTCCAGCGCAAGACTTTGAGCCGCACAGTTAATGGCATGCTCGTATTTCGTCAGGGACCGTGAAGAGTGCTTTCCATAGATAAGCGCCTGATGCATGATCAAGTCTCGCGTGGCCTTGTCCGGTTGCTGTGAAGATGATGATGTAGGGTTGGGAGTGCTGCTCCATGAGGAGGAAGAGTTGGAGTTAAAAGAGCTCGGTTCGGGTAGCACAGGCGACGATCCATCCAAAGCCTGGTCGGGAGGCGTTCCTGATGTGGATCTCCGGCGCTTCAACTGCCTATGATCATTTTGCTATGAGATCGATTGACAAGATCGAACAGTGTTAAACAACTCATTTCAAATCGTCGGGCAATGGGTAGCGACTACAAAAAAGCCCATACCTTGCTAGAAGTCCTTTGTAAAGGTGACTGATCCTGCGAGTATAAAGGCACAGGCTGAGCAGGGAAGTTACCACCAGTGGTTCCACGTGGCGCAGGTCCAACATACTGGTAGATGGATCCTGCGGACAAAACTTGAGAGGGTGTCGGGGTGTACGACTGGGTCTGCGATGAAGGGTTTCCTTGCTGTCTCTGGCTGCTTTTAGATGCAGAGGATTGACGGTATAATCCTGGGTTCTGTGATGATCCTCCTTGAAACGTATATCCTCTGGTCGGCTGTGAAGAGTTGAGCGACGACTGGGAAGGATGTGAGGCTTGAGAGGGCTGCGACAGCTGCGACGATTGCTGGAAGAACTGTGAGTGTGAATAATGCAGCATACTGTGGGGCTCTGGCTGCATGAAAGAACTCTGGGAGTTGTCAAAATGCATGGAACCCATGCGGCTGCGTTCGCGTAGGTCGCGGATTCCCTTTCGGAAGGTGACTGCGTGAAAAGGTTTCATCGGAATGGCTTCCATGATACTCTTGAGTTCGTCGTCGTCAAAGTCGATAATAAGCGGCATGGAGTCATCCGTGGCACCAGCATCGTTAAAGGACTGGAGGTACTGCGAGAGGTTGCAATTGTTGAGGAAAGCGGGGAGAGATGGTATCTCATTGAAGGCCGTGAAGCTACTGCTGTTGTTCCTTCTAAGCGGGGCAGGCACAGGCAAGGTCCTGTGCGCGGGACGACTCTGCTGATTGAGCGGAGGTAGCGCAGGCATCGACCCGTCCACGGAGTTGTTGGGCGGGAGAGAGCCAACTGTGGAGGGCAGGGGTGTCGGGCCTGGCGGGGGTGTCGGGGTGGGCGAACGCGTTGGTGGTTGCTGTTCCTCATTGGAATCGAATTCAGCATCGGAGGGAAGGATGGGCGAGGGCATATCTTCGAGCGGACCGTCCTGCCGGGGCTCTACTGGGCCATTGCCAGCGGGGAGACTCTGGGCAGTGGCCATGCTTGCTGCGTTGTTATGAGCGATGTGCGATGTGCTGTTGTTGCTGTTTGAAGTCAAGAAAGGAAAGAGTGAGAAGGACAGGGGGAATAATGAAACAAAAAAAATCACACACCCGTTTGCACAATATACAAAGATGGCTATTGAGAGCAAACAAGGGCGATGGAAGGATAGATGATGGAAGGGGAAAAAAAGAGATGGGAGGATGGAGGGAAGGGTTCGTTGATGGCGAGGGAGGGTGATAAATGGCGTCTTTTGAAGGGATTCCGGTCAAAAGTCAAAAAGAAAAGAGAGAGAGAGAGAGCGAGAGTGGTGAGCTCCTTTTCTTTTTCCCCTCCCGCACCTCAGCCCATCAAAGAAAGGGGTACATTTTGGTGGCGGTGGCGCCTGAATGTGTTTTAAGGGGACGCGACAGCGTCGCTTTCAGTTGGCACGGCAGTCGATGTTGAGATGTCAAGCGCTGGCGGTTTTGCTATATGGGTCAACACAGCGATACACGCCTACGGCTTGCACAAGTCGAGTAGCAATTGAGCCCGTATTACAAATGAGCGGTTTGGTGATAGCCCCTTTCCTTTCCACCGGGTTCGGTATGAGCAATTGGTCAATCTTTGAACGAGAAAGTGACGAAAACACAACAGATCGGGACTGTCGCCCTGTGCCTGGCCTTTTTTTCTGAACCGCGCTTCCACCATCACTTCCACGTACCACCACCTCCATTAACTCCAAAATCCCCTTGTCGAGGCTCAAAACCAAACGCCAAAAATGAACATTCGCGAGGCCACCGTACGTTCAATGTCGGATTCCAGGATGCGCTATTTGTCCCAACCATTCAACACGTGGTGATAACACCGATTTTTCTATCTTTGTACACTCTGAATGCCAGCTGGATGATATGATCCCCATGCAGAACTGCAACCTGCACAACCTGCCCGAGAACTATCAAATGAAATACTGTAAGTGCACAGTTCTGGAACAGAATCCTGGGCTCAGCTTGACATTTTGCAAGAAAACAGTTCTCTTTGCGTTGTCTCACGTCAACAATACTAACCCTCGATATCACCCGATCGACCCGACTTTTAGACTTTTACCATTCATTGACATGGCCTCAGCTCTCATACGTCGCAGAGGACGAGAAGGGCAGAATCATTGGATACGTTCTTGCCAAGCTGTAAGGATGTTGGACAACGAGGGATTGTGACTTAACAATCCAACGAGGCATACAGCTGGGCTAACAGGATCTCGACACCTTTCTTGTTCAATTGGTACCAATAGTGAAGAGGATCCTGCTGCTGAGCCACATGGTCACATTACATCCCTGTCAGTAATGCGCACATACCGCCGTCTCGGAGTTGCTGAAAAGCTGATGACCCAGTCCCGTAAGCCTGTGTTTTACACTGAATTTTCATCGTTAAAGGACTCGGTGGAAGGCTTTTCAGCAAGTCAGCGGGATAGACATGGCTGGACTTGTCAGCAAACTTTCACAACATTAACTCCAACGAAGATCAATGGAGAGTGAACTAGTGAATCTTCTTGGATTTGAACGTTCCCCTTGGATTCAGTCGTCTCAGGAATACGCTCCGCATCGTGAGCTCCATGTTCAAGGACTCTCTGAATTTGACCAAAGTATCTCTGTTGCGGCTATATCTGTTTTCTCGTTTCGTTAGAGAATGCTATGCGCGACGTGTTCAACTGCAAATACGTCTCACTCCATGTCCGCAAGAGCAACCGTGCTGCTCTTCAATTGTATAGGGATACTCTCAAATTCACGTAAGATATCTCTTTCGGCTGTCACCAAAGATAGATGTTACTTGTTTTAACACAGTGTATACATTCTGACCTTTTACTTTATCCTATGCAGTGTTCAGGATATCGAGAAGAAGTACTATGCCGACGGCGAAGATGCCTACGCTTGCCGCAAGGTCTTGCTGGAATAGTTTCATTTTTCTTCTTGAAAACAGGACTATCTGAGCGCTATCTACGTCATCGTAAATTAATCAACGCCCCTGTAATCATCACGTGGGTGTGTGTGACCGTACATACAAAATATTAAAGTTCTTTGGCCAATTTTCTTGGACGTTCCTGCTGAGTCGAACTGGAGGTCGATCGTTTTTTCCGAGATCGAGTACCACCGGCCTGGGTCGGTGGGGTGGAGTCACTGATTCCGACAGCCGCCTCGACGCTTGTCCCTTGTCCTGAACTCGATGATTCCATCCATGGATACCTGCCGTCTGCTGTAACAGGGTGAAGATATCGCGGTCGCTCTTGGTACAACAGGTACTCTCGTACAATATGGGACATATTCTCGGCTGCCATGACATCTCTGTGGTTATACCGTCCACAGTGGGGACAGAAGAATTGTCGAAGGGTGACTTCGGCCACAAACCGGTGGCAATCCGGACATTTCTTTGAGGTATAAAACTCGTTAAGACCGACGGCAATATACCCAAGGGACCGCGCCTAATTACAACAATTAAAATAAGTTATTCATCTGCACTCAGTCCTCAGAAAATATTGTCAATGATACAAAAAATAAAACGTCTGCTTACCAGAGGGACAAAGTATGACAAAAACGGCGAGTGGAGAGACGACAGTCGACTACTGCTCCCGAACTGGCCAAGACCCACACCAATCAACACTGGATTATCATTGGCTCGACGTTCACCAATGCTGCCGCCAACGATTCCAAGCAGACTGTTGGCAATAGCCTGGTACTCGATGTGCTTGGCTCTCTCCATGTCCCATGTGTGCTTCTTGAATCGAAAGTTGTCCCCGTTATAGAACTCCAAGAGTCGGTTCTTGACTTTTTCCAACTCCTCAATATAGTTGGTGACACTGGTGTCTGGACCTCGGAGAGGTGAGAGCTGGGACTCGATATGCGCAGTCGACTGTAACCCGATATCCGGTTTCAATTGATGTTGCCGCTCTGGACCCTCTGGTTTCAGTTGCTTCTCGTCCTTGAGCCAGCGTCTATATCGGAAGACAGGCTGCATCACGGCCTTCTGATTGACGGCAAGATTGTGGTGAGGGATCTTGTCAGACGCTGTCGTTGTTGCTGGCGGTGTTGAAGTTGTTTGTGCCTCCAAAGACGGCTTTTGCATCAGATCCTGCGGTGTTGTTGTGGAGTAAGAGGCGATAGGAAATGCGCCATTGAAGGAAGTGGACTCGTCCTTGTTCATCGATTTTCCTAGTAGGTATGCATATGCTCCAACGACAAAAGCTTGTCCTGCGTCAAGGGTGAGGATCTTGATATCTTTAGGATCGACACCAGGCCAAAGTCTCGCCACATCGTCTTTGGTTCGGACAACGTTTCGGATCTCCGTCAAAAAATCACTGGTACCGTGAAGTGTTGAAGTCAATCGAGGAGGTAGGCGATCGCCGGGCAACCGTTTGTATTTGACTGACAGAAGTTCCCTGACTTTGGAACACAGGAGCTGCATAGTGAATCCGTCAGTTCGTAAGGACCCCCTGAGAAAATATCCTTTGCGGGCATAGGTCTCCGGTCTGAACTCTGGATCGTCCAGCATCTGCAAGTGGGTCTCGAGATCATCAAGGGATAACAACTTGATCGCAGCGCGGTGTCCAGCCTTGCCTCTCTTGCGACTGGTCAGGTCTTCGGGATCGATATCGACGATGAGGTGCTTGATGAGAAAGCCTGGTTCTTTTCCTCCTATCCACTCCTCAACATTCCGCATGGATGTGCAGACGGTACCGACCAGTTCCTGAACCTGTGCCCTCAGTGCGCCTCCGCGGTTGAAAAAGAACATGGCCAGTTGTCACTCTGTGAAACTGACAAAAGGTTGCTTCGCCGTCGACATGGGAATAATCCTACGAGGGTTTGGACTCAATTTGTTGATCGCGAGGTAGTTTTCGATAGCAGATACCTCCTCTTGGATCTCCACGTTACTCGTTGACCTTGTCGTTTGATCCTGGCAGCCTCGCGCACAGCGTTTCGGATACAGAGGGCAACTTCCTGTTGAACGGTACCGTCGTTTGGCAGAGCTCGTCTGAGGTTAGCGGATAGAGTACCGACGTTCAAAGTAGACGTTGGGTGCTGGTATTGTAATAACCGTGTAATAGCGAGCTTGCGGGTGGCTGCACTCGAATCGGACAACGTTTTGAATTTGGGCTTGGGCTTGGGCTTGGGCTCGTCGCTGGAGGGCTCAAGCTCGTCTTTTGCTTCAGGCTCCTTGTAAGGCTTGAACTTGTAGAGCTTCATCTTGACTGGAGGTGGGGGGTTTGTTGCCCCTGTCCTCGTCTTGAATGAGTAACGATGGTGATTTCGTGGGAGTTGCGTCCTTGGAAGCGGCGGGTGACCGTTTGACTCCTGAGACGGTAATGTGGTCGGAGGGTTATCCTGTAGATTCGGTGCAGGTTGTTGTGGTTGTGCTGAGGATGGTTGCGGTGATGGCGGCTGTGGTAAGCGCGACCCAAGGCCAGGCTTCAACATAGCTGGAGACTCAACTGTCCTATATCGAATGAAAGACTGCGAGGAGCGGAGGCGGATGATCTGATCCTTGCGAGTACTATTGACATCAAAACAATAAGTAAGGTGAGCTGTGAGATGATTGCCGATGCCAAGTCCTAAATGCCGTGCGATATTGATCAGAAATATAGCATACCTTGGTTGCAGTTGTGCGCGAAAATCCTTGTTCTCCTGGTACATGGCACAAAGATCCTTGAGTCGTTTGTAAAGTTCACTGTAGGACGAGACGCCGGACAAAGGGCGAGGATCGCTGACAGGCGTCTGTTGAAGATCAACAAAGACTCTGAGTGCAAGTTCAAGTGTTCTGTTGTCTGTGTTCTTTAAAACGACCTTGGAGTTTTCCAAATATGCATTCACCGTCTGTCGCACATCTGCAAAAATAGGGTAAAAAAAAGTAGAAATATATATATATATTAGTTAGCTCGCTCCTTAATACTGTGATCATTGATATTTACCTTGTTTCTTGATCGTCTTGATAATCGAAAAGTTGGTCGCCGGTCCAAGAGAGTAGATATTTTTTCCGTAGTCGTTGTTGGAGGCAACAGCGAGGGCCGTGAGTTGGATCCTGGACACATCGAGAACCTCACAGATATCCGATATCTTGTAGATCAGAATCAAGTTCTTTGAAATCGGGCGCCACAAGGTTGACACGGATGGGTACGCGAGCATATCGCTATCCGCAGACACGACAATATCATCAGATCTGCAATCCCGAGCGATCACAACATCAGCTTCCGTCTCGCGTCGCTGAATGTTCCACCCCTCGTCCTGCATATACTTGACAAATGCATCACGGATGGGCAGGGATCAATAGAAGGAGGACGCAAGACTGGTCCAGGCATCGGCAAAGTGTCGCTTACGGACCTTGAGGTTGTTATCGATCCGTCTTTGTAGTTCATCCACACTTTCTTTGCATCGCTTAGTGGTCTTCTCCCGAGCTTCTTGGCGGATCTGAACAGTGAACTCCTTCTCCTCTGCCTGGACTCCGTCGACGTAGATAATGATGTTTTCCTTGGTCCCGAACCGCATGACATCCAGCTCTAGGATCGTATGGGCCATCTCGATGGAGTTTCGTGTATAAGCATTCCTGATGACTGAAAAGCGAGAGAGAAGGTCGACTCTTCTGGTGGCGGTGCTCAAGGTTGTTGACGCGGCTGATGGGTAAAGTACAGAGGGTTGGTAACCCTTCTTACGAAGAAAGGCGTACCAGCCTTTAAGACCCATCACTTCCTGTACGTCGAGTGGTGCGATGAGAGAGCTGCTGTCGCATGTGTAGTGTTTAGCTGAAGTAATGTGATCGATTCAATGGAAAAGAGGTCGGATGTCGGGAATCTGCAAAGACGATGAGGTTATGAGGTTTAAAGTAAGGAAGGAAAACGAGTGATCAGTGCTGTAACGCGTGGGTTCATGTCAGAGTTTAGCTCTGATTGGTATTGTCATGTGACGCTAGACGCGTCTAAGAAAGGATCAACGTCGCCCTCATCACAGAAAGCTCCATGATGTAAAGATGAGCAAAGGCAGCACCGAAACGTCTAGAACCATGTATTACTAATCAGGACCTTTATTCGTCTAATGATATAAGGAAGGACAGACTATGTAGTTGGACCACAGTTCATATACTCACAACAGTCTAGCCAATAAACAATCGTCTTCACACATTCGTCTTTGTTCACTCACCTTGTTCACTCGTCTCCCCTCGTTTTCACCTCGTTATTCCTCGCTCACCCACAAGTCTTACATATGATGTCCGTACAGACGAAGAATTCGCCATCATTGCTGCCTGTCGCTGCAACTATTATGCTCAACATCAGGCGCCGTGCAAACATATGTATATAACCGCAAAGGTCTATAAGGGCATGCAGATTTCTTATCGAGAGCCTTACGAAATTGACCACTTACAAGTACAGGCCGACCAGAATGATTTTGATCCTTCACCTGATTCAACACTTCCACCGTCTTTGGAGCAAACCCTTCCACCAGTAATCCTTCTTCTACTTCATAGGCAAAGAGCAGAAAAGGCGGAACAGAAAAGAATAGCCAGAGAAAAAGAACAGGAGCAGGAGCTTCAGGATCTTGAGGCCGATCTGAAAAACATGATATCGGAGATCGTCATTGCCGCTGACTCAACAAAGAAGAGGAAATGTACGCTCGAGTACTTCCAGATCACAATTGCAGGAGTAAGGAAGACTTTGCTTGAGGTGAAGGGCCTCAATACTGTCCAGGCGGGACAAAGATGCCAGAAATAAATGTGCTGAAGCAGTTAGCCGTTGTCAAACAGGCACAAGGAATTGAGTCTGATGGACGGTCAGAAGATTGTGTTCCAAAATAGGATGGTCCTTATTGCCACCTTAAAAAACTTATTTCCAAAAGTCCCTTCGATGACGTAATTAAGGATTCGATTCTAATCAAACCACTTGATCCCCTTGCTCTTTTATTGATGCACCGCTGCTGGTCGTGATTGACAAACGATCTTTGTGTGCCTCTTTGCTTTCTCATCAATCGATCGTCTTTGCCGTCATGTTCTTTTTGGTAAAGTCAAGCTGTCACTTGTCGCTGATATTCGCGCTTGCTTGCAATCGTCCTGTAATACTTGACACTGATGCCTCGTCGCCTTCATCTTGCTCTAATACCCGACTTTAACTGGATATCCTGGACAATTTGCCCTATCGCAACTGGACCATGGACAAAACAGCGCAATCTCTCACATACGATCAACCTTCATCCGTCCTACTATGGCCCGCACATGAAAGAGTTCCTGCTGAGGAACCTGTATGCTGATGTCGAAGGAACCTGTTCAGGACGAGTCGGCTTTATTATCTGTGTTTTGACCGTGACCAACATCAGTCCAGGAAAGGTCTTACCTGGCTCAGGCCTTGCAGAGTTCGTGGTCCAGTACCAGGCCATTGTCTTCAAACCGTACAAGGGGGAGGTTGTCGATGCGATCGTTACCAGTGTGAATCAGGTATACATGAATTCTGTTTGCTCACAGGGCACAGTGTAGTGCCAATGGCCCTAACATCTGCTTGGTTTTGCTGGAATAGATTGGCTTCTTTGCCGATGTTGGTCCTCTCCAAGTGTTTGTTGCCCAAAAGGTACTCTTTTTTTTTTTTGGAGGAGGGGGAGAAGGAGGATGATTTGCACCGGAAGCAATTGTATGCTAATCGTCTGTTTATTTCACTACCGCAGTTGATGCCCAACGACTTCAAATTTGATTCCAACGGGCCATGTTACAGAGGAGACGATCAGGTATTGAAATAATGGCAGGAGCGACAACAACAGTAATAGGAAAAAATTGTTTTTTATTTAATCCTGAACTGCGAACTGTCATTGATATCACTTTAGATGATTGAAAAGAATGGACAAGTACGGCTCAAGATTGTCGGTCTGAAGCACCAGGCAACTCAGATTGTAAGTGATTCTATACAAGGGAGACGCCCTGTTTACGCTATTACCATGCCACACATGTTGCTGATACAATTCTGCTCTCCTCTTTCTTTAATGCAACACTCTTTGGTTAGAACGCTGTCGGTACGATAAAAGAGGATTACTTGGGTCAAATTCAATAAACAAGAAGGCCACTTTCGTGATGGCCCGCATGGCCATCTATGTACTTTACAAATGTGCACGGTCTTTCATATTGGTTGCTTGTGAGGGTTATCCAGGGTTGAAGTCGTATTTTATTGTCGGTACAAGGGAGAGAGCGTAAAACAAAAGGGCGGACAAAACTAATTGTTGGTGATAACAGCCGTGCTGACAGCAGCGCTGGTGAGTTTGGCATTAGCGATGACCTGCAGGATTTCTGCCAAGGACTGCTTCCATCCGTTCAGCCTCTGGCTGAGCTGCTGCCACTGCTGTGTGCCAAAGGTCCTGTAGATAGATCGGTTAATGGTCACAGTTCTCGAGACCTGGTTAAGCTTTGCCTCGACCAATCCTGCACGAATAACATCGATCACCCACAACTCAACCTCAGACTCATCCACCTCCAACGCCTTGGCAATCTCCTGATAACTCAATTCACGCGTCAGATTCTCGGATCCGAGCGAAGCGAGCGAAAGCAGACGGATCTTGCGCAGGGCCTCTTCCTCATCCAATCCGAGCTCCTGCTTGAGCAAACCGGCGTTCTTGGAGCTGAATGCGTTGTAGTCCTGGACGTTTCCGCTCAAAAAGATTGAAAGGAGCTCGTATACCTTCTCGGACTTGAGATGCTGGACTGCATCAATCTTCAACAAGTTTTCGAAGTTGAGAACCTCGGACAAAGCGATCGATTCAGTAATGGCCCTCTTGGCATGGGACTTCTGAGAATCCAGCTCTGCGGTTTGGCTGTTGAATGTTGTGAGGTACTTGATCAGGAAATCATGAGATTGGTATCTATTTGGGTATCTCTGGTTAGTTCGCCATGATTTCGCTATTCCGTTTAAACTTCATGCCTCAAATGCATTGTTAGACTAATGACTTACGGGTTTCCGGACGTCTTCAAGTGGTCTGCCAAGGTCAACAAAAGGGTGCGCTCAGCTTCGGGTGCGATGCCCCACTCGCTGATCCAGGAGGGAACATACTGGAGCTGAGGGAGGACCAAATCCATGTCATCGCTTGCTACAGCCAAATCTACGATCGACGTGAAGACAGAGAGGCGGAGAGGAGAGTTGGCGGGAAGAATGTTGAAGATGTTGGACAACCTATGAGCGATGAGATAAAGTGGTTAGCAAATGCTTCGCTCTGCAGAGTCCATCATTCGAGGCGAATAATGATCTACTCACACTTTGAACTTCAGAGGAGTCTTTTGTGCGGGTTCTGTAGTAAGTGTCTTCAAGACGGTCTCCAGATGGGCCTTGTTCGCATCAGGAACAACAACTGCGATGAGGAGATTGTAAGCAGACTCGAACTCTACAGTGATTTGAAAGTCAAGGCAGTCAGTACTGGACCGAAGTAGATGATTTGCGACAAGATACAGTCATAGGCGCAGTCAGCACTGCATACCCTTTTCGGGAGCCTCCAAAAGCGTCTTGCTTTCCTTGACAATAACATTGACAGCCTCAGCATCCTTCTTGGAATCGACCAAGGAAGTAACCTCCTTGACAAAGGTCTCTGTCTCGTCACCGCGGAGAACGCCGATATATGTAGCCAGTTCGATGACCTAAGTATGTATCGCGGAGAACTGTCCATTAAAGTCACCTCTTGATGCGTTCAGTAGCCTTGCCAAGACTCTTCTGGGGTGAATAGTGTAGCCTGGTAGACTGGAGGCAAGCCTACGATAACCGAAGTATAGTCCCTGTTGGATTGAACAAAAAAAATAAAAAAAAGAATGGCCCATCCTGAATAAAGCGGCCGTACCTGGTCCTGGAAAGGCGCGTCGATAAAGATCTGCTCGGCGGTCATATTGATGCTGGATGGTCCGATGAGATGCTGGTGGGGAAGGATGAGGTGTGCTTGTCTAATGGTCGATCGTGCCTGAGGTCGCCTTGCCCATTAAGCTTGAGAATGAGACTCAAAAAATAAATCATAAACACGAGCGCCACTAAAAGGGTACCCTTAACTGGATACCATGGTAACTGGCATTTCTTCATCGAGCATAATAGCCGCCTTGCAAAACCCTCTATTATTATTTTTTTATTTTTTTTGAGTGCACGCAACCCAACTGAGGCACCTAGTCCACATAGACCATAAGCTTACCGCCACTATTGTCGATTGCCTCGCGGACGTCCTCATCGCCTTGGATCCTTGCAAAGTCGCCACGGTCGTCGCGATAACTCATTTCCCCGTGTTCAGTGTTCAAGCGCTCAAAGATCTTTTGCTGGAGCGAGCGGAAGGTAATCGCAACAGGTATCCTCATGGCCATGATGTCCTCCTGATACGAGATCTTGACTTTGATCATTTCTTCTGATGGGTTTAAGGCGGAGGGCGTTGCAAACGAGGATTGAGAGCGCAAGCTAGGGGATGCATTTGCAGAAGGCGGGTCGTCCGAGTAGCTGCGGTAGCCTCCAGACTGTGCCTTGGCTACAAACACGGCACGAGGACCTGAAGGCGACGGGCGTCGGTCGCCAGAGTGGGCTGAAGAAGCAGAGTGGAACATGCTGCCAGTGGGTGTTGAGCGTCCAACAGATGAGGGTGATGCCGGACCGTTACCTACACCGCCTATAGGTATCTCGGTGTCACCGTCTCGCAGTGCAAGCAGTTGCTCCACAAGTGGATGCTGCGTGATCCTTGCTGGAAGGGCGCACAAGTCCTTGACATAGCCATCCAAGTCTGCCCTGCGGGAAGCTGTGACAGTATCATCGACCGCCTCGAGCGGGATTGGCATGAAGGGAAGGATCCGAGGCTGACCACCAACTCTGCCAGACTCAACAGGGAATTCTTCTAGTAGCGCAATGTGAAAGCTGTAAAAGTCCTCGTATAGGCGGTAGAGATTCCGTGAGACTCCCGAGGCATACTCGACCCGGACTGTGAACCAATATTGATCGTCCTCATGGTGGTACGAGTCGACTGATGCATTAACAAGTAGCGGAGCATCGGAGTCATAATGGGTGCCGTCGTCGTATATGTCTCCATTGTTTCGACTTGCCGGTGCTGCTGCTCCTGTGTGTCTTCCATTTGACGACTCCTCGCGAGCAGTCTACATGAGGGCGGTATCAAGAGTCATTAGCGGCTGTAATCGCTAACACATAGAGTGCAATGCGATTATGATACAAGCATTCATCTCAAGATAATAGCCCAATGTGATATTGCGAACTGCGATGTTCAAAAATAAACAACAGCAGTCCAAATATCCGTATAGTTGTACTGCTTACCATGCGTCTACCAGAGTCAAAATCCTGAGAGGGGTTCCTGCGCACGGCAGGCTCTCTTTGGTGCGATTTGAGGTCCCTGGACATCTTGTTCTTGAGCTGCTGAATAGTAGGTCCGCTGCCTTGACTAGAATGCTGATGAAGCTGCTGTTGTTGCTGCATGAACTGCTGTGGATGCATGCCATGAGATGCCTGCTGGTGATGATATGATTGATGTTGCTGTTGCTGCTGCTGTTGTTGTTGTTGCTGTTGCTGCTGTTGTTGTTGCTGCTGCTGTTGCTGTTGTTGTTGCTGTTGCTGTTGTTGTTGTTGCTGTTGCTGTTGCTGTTGCTGTTGCTGTTGCTGTTGAGTCGCTTCGGTAGCGTCGATTCTACCCAGAGGGATGCTGTTGGCCTTGTACTCCATCGTCTGTTTCTTCCACTCCTCGACACGGGGGATAACTGTCCCTGTCTGTCGAAGCATCTCCTGAACATCAATAGGTTTCCCTGTGGCCATATCCCTGATCTCGACAAAGCTCACCGGGATCAACCCAGGTCCACCAAGTCTTCCAATGGGCTTTGCCACATACCACTCTTCGTTTGACTGAGCAATAACAAGAATGGCATCTCCGACCTTGGCGTCCAGCTCATCGGGTCTCTCGGCACCAAAGTCGTAGAGCACGATGCCGTATAGCGGTTGACATTTTGGTTTTTGAGGAGCAGGTGGCGCGACCGTCGCCTGAGGCTGCTGCTGCTGATGCTGCTGCTGATAGTAGTTCTGCTGCCCCTGGCCATGTGCAGGAGAGGGCTCTGTGAAGGATCCCGAATCATTTCCGGAATCCTCGAGGCTCTGGTTGCTGTTCCGCTGGTTCTTTTCCAGGATTTGAAAGTAGGTGACGGGGACGTATCCGCGGGCCCCGGTGACAGGATTACAGGCCTCATACCAGTCCTCGTCGTCCTCATTGCCGACCACATGGAAAAAGTCACCCTTGATAAAGGAGAGCTCCTCACTTTGCTGGGAATTGTAGTCGTAGAGGGCTTTAATGACCTTGCGGGGCGGGGCCAGGGCGGCGGGGGCACGATTGGAGGAGAGACCGCCAGAGCTGCTCTTGTTTTGAAGAGATCGTCTGAGGTTTTGCATCTGGATCCGGGAGATGAGGTCGAGAGAAAGGGAATGGACTGTGGAGAATCTGGCGACGTGTAAGAAGAAGAGAGAGGAGTGAGGCGATGGCAATAAAGAGGCAATAAAAAAGAGCGCGGAGCGAGAGAGGGAGAGAAGAGTGGAGAAGCGAGAAGGTGAGTGGGGTGAGAGAGGGAGGAGACACCCATTGCGTGGTGGGTGCACTGTGAGGAGGGTTCCATTTCCATTTCCATTTCCATTTCCATTTCAAAAATATCGCACTTCAAAAGCCAGCAATTGCTCTATACCACGCATCCCAAACGACCTTTACACTCACAGTGAAACAGATCCGCAGGTCGATTGCGCTTCGAGCGGTATCATCGCATCATCATCGACATGGTGATCATATTTGTTGGAATTGCCTCTGATTACGACCCAGTTATTTGTATGATACTCAAGTCGTCCTTACCAGAAACAGGGGGTTACTGGGTTACTGGGTTACTGGGTTACTGGGCTACTGCTGGCGAACATGTCTTTGGCACGCATGTTAAGCACAGCTGGCTGCTCATACTATGCCATGCAGTATCGATTGGTACCTTTTTGTCCCTCCGAGCTGAAAAGGTGCTTCGTCAAGTAGACACTTTCAAGCATTTGCTCATTCTCCAAGTGATAAGCTGCACCTCAGTACCCTAACAAACCCCATGTAGTACAAGGCATTTGCGGTGTACAGGTTCACAAGCGAACCCACACCAGGCCCGCGAAGTGTAAACTGCTTGAAAGCGGCACAAGACAATCCTCCGCGTCTGTCATTCTCGGAATACATACCATAATACATAGCAACTTGCGACACTCGTTAGCACTTGCAGCGGTTTGTCAACAGACAAATGGTCATATTGTTCGAGGTGGCATTTATTGGTGCCTGAAAGGCAGCTGGCCGCTTATATTGATTTTGCGCTCCAACCAAAATATAAAGCTAATAGCAACGTACGAAGGTTCGATCATCTTATGTCTTCTGCTCATATCCAGCTATATTGCTCAATGCTGTTGCGTGCATCGTTTTTAGCAAGTGAGCATGAGGGAGCTATCTATCTCTATCATACCACCGATGAGAGGACATCGTTGTTGGTGAGCTGTCTGTGATCGAACGAGAGACAGGCAAGAAGGTAGTTTCGGAGCAGCAGGCCGCCAGTACGCACATACCCAGGGCCGTGCAGGTCTATGTACGACTTACGCATGAAGTCCTGCTGCATAGCCTATATTCACCTGGAAGCCTTGGGCAGGTATCTGTAAGCTCCTTGATCTAACGTACGCCCCAATCCTTCGACTTTATCCACGCAGCTGATCCTATATGAAGAAAAGGAAAGAAGGCGTGTTGCGTGTAAGAGCTCGTTCTTCATTGTTCTTCCCGCGCGCGCGTAGTGGGTCCAAAGTGTTCCAGACCCGTTGCAGATATGTCTGGTGAATGCGAGCGCCTGGGCAATATCGTTTGTTCGCCAAGATATCATCACGGATAAGCCTGGCCTATTGAGTATCGATTCATATCGACATGTGTAAATATGCGCCTCATTCAATACCGAGTCCAAGAGATGGGGAATCCAAGAATTGACCAGCTCGGTACTTGCAACTGGAGATGATTGTCAACAAGAAGGAGGCACTGCGGCTGAGGGGTGTGGCACTGCTAGGCGAAACGCGTTCCAAAACTCCTATTTGCTGCTCCTTCCTGTTGTCGGCTGTGCACGAATCTACGATTCCTTTGGACCATAGACTGAGAGATGCGCGTCGTCGATCGATAATTCTTGGTCCAAAAAACAGAAAAGACCTGCCAAATCACTCTCAAGTTCAACATTTATTTGTTCTTAATGTTACTCCATGCATGCATAGATTCATACATTCAGCAAGTCATTCACCCAATTCATTCATCATTCATTCGTCTCTATCGTTAATGTCTTAATATCTCTAAGAGCTGGCGTCAGTCAAACTAGGCTAAAAGAACGAAGACCGTGTGTATTCATTTACACGAAAAAAGGCTGCTGGTGTCGATTATCAGCGATACCAGTGAGTGGACAGACGTTCGCTGGGTTGACGATGCAAATAGTTCATCAAGGGTGGGCGGCAGCAAGGGAAACGGCGAAAGGCGCAGAAGCACAAGCTGGCAGCATCAGGCCTTTAATCGTATGAAAAAAAAATTATGTCGTATGAGCGACTTACAAATTGCATTTCTGCTCAATTATATTATCGCACACTCTTTCTCTTCCTTCCCTCCATCGCCCTCATCCCTGCCATTCGCCCTTCCCACCACTGACTACCTCCGTTCAGCGCAGCCTGATCCTCCGCTTACTCATTCTACTTCTCATTCCTGCACTTGAACTCGCTATGTCTGCCCTCACGAACGACCAAATTGAAGAGCTTATCACTCAGTCGCTCGAAGGTAATACTACCATGCGTTTTATGCCTATGTATAATGCAGTACAAATTTCTTACTGAGTACAGGTGGCCATGTTATGCGTTCTCCGGACGTGTCAGGTGCCGTCCATACTGCCAGGCATCTTTCTCATGGATATTGACTGAAAACTGATACTTCACTGCGCTTTAGCCAGGAACTTCTCGTACAGTCCCTACTCAAAGTTCCGAGTAGGCGCTGCCCTGCGCACCACAGATGGCAAAATCTATCAAGGTGAAAGATACATATGCTGTTGTAGTCCTCATTCATTACTGTTCTTTCATGAATCATCACTAACACCGCTATCACCGCTATCACCGCTTGCATTTCTTTTTTTGTGCACTTTTTCCCAGGCTGCAATGTTGAAAATGCATCGTATGGTAAAGTAGTCTGAGAGGTGTTCACGCGGTTGGCTGTGGGATAAAAAAGAAAAAGGAAAAAAAAAAGGCGGCGGCCCTGCTGACAGTAATGTACAACCATTCTCATCTGTTGTCATTCTCGCGCTTCTCCTCGGATATCCTACGACTCTCTACTTCATGCCTCTTTATTATGCGCTATCTGATCTATCAACGCGGTGGTTAGGAGGGGCGATCTGCGCCGAACGAACCGCCTTTGTAAAAGCAGTTGTAAGTGAGGCTCTTCAGGGTTTGTGTCTTCTTTTCTTTTCGTAATGCAGATCGGGAGGTGTGCAGTGCAATAAATGCACTAGCGTATTCTAACGCTGCAAAAAACGAAGAGCCTTCAATTTGCTGACCTTTATTATTGCTACCTGACTCTTTGCTTTAATGACAACGCTACATAGAGTGAGGGCCATTTGCGATTCGTGGCTCTTGCCGTGTCCTGGTAAGTCGCTGATTCAATGTCCCGCCATCCAAGGCTTCTCTTCTTTATTTGCATATTGCTTTTGAGGGAACTAAAAGCGTGTCCCATCTTCACTAACGAATTGATTTTGATTTCCCCTGTGTTCGCGCCACTTTAATGGAGTCATCAGTGACTTTAACCACTACATCACGCCTTGTGGTATTTGCAGGTACGTAAACACGGCACCACAGTCTCAAGGCGCGAAAGCAAGTCTCCACAATAACTCGCAACGAGGACTGTCCAAGTAACTTTTTTTTTGCCTTATCGTCTTATCACTACCAGACAATTCATGAACGAGTTTGGCAAGAACCTCGAGATCTTCTTTGTGAACGACGACAGGACGTACAAGCGTTCTGTCCTGACGGATCTGTTGCCATACGCGTTTGGTCCTGAAGATCTCCCTAGCAAGTGATTCCGAGCGCGAAAGATCTTGCCGTTGCTTGAGATTGAATCCAAACATCTCCAAATAAAATCTGAGAGCGACCTTTGACACTAAAGATGTGTTTTAAAGGCCGTACTTCATTGATGTTTATGTTAACGACGACCACGTATTTTGATCGAGATCCATGTGTTCATATGCTGTGTGTGACGACGTAGACTGACTCAGCAAAAATCAACGTTTCCAAGCTGCAGCCCGCCTTCACCCTCCCCACCCGCCATTAAAGTATGTATGACGCGTGTGTGTGGAATGGACACTCGAATTGCAGCAATGAAAGGAATAGAATAAGGAGGGAGACGGCGAACAGTGTGCAGGGACCATTTGCAGGGGCCAAGTCCATGATTAACTTGACTAGGATGTGAGTAGGATAGCAATGGATTGCGCGGGTGCCAGATTGCAAATGCAGAAGAAAACTCAAAACGAAACCACATGGCGCGGAATAAATGATGAGGTCAAAAGGGATTAAGGGAGGAAAGCTGGGAAGACCAAGATTTATTTTTTTTTTTTTACCGTCAGGGTGTCGCGAGAGCTTTAACCTTCCCGATCGACGGACCAATAAGTTGTTGAGACCATGACCCGTTGCATTGACCAAGGTTAAGAAAAAATATAAAGGAAAAGGTATGTTTGATTTACCTAGTCCATGCATAGGAGCATCCTCCAGTTTTTTGTCTTTATTTCAGGTGTATAGTATGCCCTCAGATGCAGAGGAAGGACTCCCTACATGTCAGCAAAGGAGTAAGAGAGTGAGAAAGCAAACGAGCCGTTGGAGGGATATTTTGGGTTCAAGGGCCCATCAACAGAAGAAACAAGGGACAACACAGCAAACACTCACACCATGTAGTCTATCAATTGGATAAGAGTAACAGTAATCTGCGGACAAAAAAATATACTCAAAGACGCGTCTTTGGTGAAGGAGGACGACATGAAGATCTCGCGTCCTGGAAGCACATGTCCATTGGACTGGCGACCCTTTGCCAGCAAAAGACAGTAGTTTGTTGTATTGGGGCATGATCGCAAATCGTGATCGAGATGCTAGAAAGAAAGAGCTTCTTCTGCGTATTGTAGGCCATTGAAGAAGGAAAAGAAGACAAAGGGGGAGTTTTTTTTAGCCATGCCCATGTGGTGCTTAACTTTTGACGGGAAGAATCCCGCTGATACAATAGACAGACATATATATTCATGTAGTTTTTACACGCATACGCATACACAAAGATAGACAAGACAAACAGATGTCCAGTGCACAATTACCATGGCCCAATCCCAGTGCAAATCAGCGCACCCACCCACCCCGCCCAACCACCACAGGAACAAAGCACAGGAACAAAGCACAGGAACAGGAACAAGAGAACCCTCTGCCGGTCGTGATCTCGAATGGCAAGAAGAAAAGGAGGAAGAAGAGACTTTCTTGACCATGGCACTCCTTCTCATCCACTTCATCCCCCTCTCCCCTTCTCATTCTCCTACTCCTTCTCCTCCTCCCCCTCCCCCCTGATCCAGATCCAGCTCTTCCCTCCAACTCGTCTCCCCTCTCGCCCTCTTCCACATCCCTGCATCCATATACGACCTCACACTCTCGCCTCGCTTCGCTTTCACACTTCACGCTTAACTTCTCCCTCTCCCTTGCACGACTGCACTATATCATACCACTCACGCAACACCCATTTCCTCATTTCCCCTTCCTCTCCTTGGGCTCCCTACGCCATATACCGTCCCGCTACCATACCATCGCCTACTCCCACCGACAGACAACCCCTCCAATACTCCTCAATTCTAACTGACTGACTGACCAACTGACCAATTGCATCTTTGAACCGCACGCCCTCCTTTTTTTTCATTTTTTCATTTCGGTCCTGTGGCAGTCCGCCCCTGCTGTCTCCTCCTGCAAATGGATGGACTTCAGACGTTGTTGACAAGGTCGGCAGACGCGCTCTCCAATGGCAACATCAAGGTAACACTCAGTTGCTGTAGAGACGGGAACTGGGGCGGGGAGTGTATCCAAAAGAAAGATAGGAAAGCTTGTCCATGTTCAGCTCTAAACCAGATTAACACGACAATTGTGGAGAGAAGAAATCGAACTTTAGTGGGATAGTAGGAGCCCAAAGAGACGGAGCCTTTCATTCTTGGTCACCATCATGTCCATCCTCTCACCGTCGATAGTCCCGCCCTTTTTTCTTTCTCTTGCGTCGCAACCCTGATACCTCTATGATAGGAAGCGTATTATGGGTACCTCGATATCCTGGATGCAGCTGCGGTTGAGCTGCGAAAGATCAAGTTCATTAACAATGGTATGGAGCGCTTGTCTTATTTCAAGGATAAAGATCGACGACGGAGCAAGGTACTAAGTCGGATATAAACACGCTGTGCGCGTTTTCTTTGTGTTATTTATCATTAGTGGCAATCACCTCTATCACAACGGCAACGCTGATCTCAGCGACCAAGAGCAGCGTTGCCTCGGTTCAGGATATCCTGGCGAGGCAGAACCCAACCATTGCTGCCGTCAGTAGCCCGCAACCAACGAGTCCGACATTCAGGACGACTCCCTCCTACCGGAAGCCCTCTCTAGCCAGGCACTCCGAGAGGATCAGTATGGGCCAAGTTAGGACAGTGACCATGCTCACTGAGCAGATCCAGGCCGCCGCCGCCGCCGCAGCAGCAGGTACATCAACCAATACGACCCTTACAGCTGCCACGGCAGCAACAGCACCAGCACTAGCACCAATACCAGAACCAACTGTGCCAGCAGACGCACCTGTAACAGCACCTGCTTCTGCACCAACGTTCGTCTCAATATCCACTCCACCTTCCGTTCCAATAACCGGATCAGTATCTTTGCCAACATCCACTTCTCCATCAACTACAACGATTTCAATACCAGTTTCAGCTTCGGCTTCTGAAGCGAGTTCTGCATCACCATCTGCAACGGCCACTGAATCAACGTCTCCACCAGCTTCTGAATCCATCTCTTCGCACATCTCGACGTTCATATCGATACAAGAACAGGCATCAACGCCTTCATCGGAACCAACAGCACCAACAGCACCAGCAACGCCACCGGCACCACGGACTGCATCAGCAACGACAAACGCCGATAATGACGAGGAAACGGCAGCTTCATCGGCAGAGCAGCAAAGAAACAAGGATGAATCAATGTCTCCATCAATACATTCACCCCCATCCCCATTCTCTTCGCCTGACACTTCGTCTCCAGCTATCTATTCACCCTTGCTCCGCTCTGCCAATGTAACTATTCCGACAAAGCCCACACGTCGGCCCCCGCCATCTCCTTACTCCGATACTCCTTCCATGGATACCATCGATACCTCTCGCCAAATCCGGGGCAGCATTGACAGTCCTATGCAACTTTCATATCCACCCAATACACCTCTTGAGTGTGGTGGCCACCCCGACTTGAATTCGCCTCCTCTGATGAGACCACCAAAACCAGTTCGCTACAACAGAAAGGCTCCCGAGACAAGGAACTCGGAGGATCTTTCTCTGGACGATGATTCTTCGGACGATGAAGTGGAAGTGGAAGAGGAGGAAGAGGAGGAAGAGGAGGACCAGGATGTGCAGCAAGGTAAGATATTTGTATTGTATACAAGTACGCTTTATATCTGACGTTCTTTCTATATACTCCATTTGCTGACATTCTTCAACCCTTCAGAGGGAGCGCCTTTGTCCCACATGCTTCAAAGGAAAACATCGTCACCAAACATTGCTATCCCACAGTTGTGGAGGCGTCATGGGCCCTCTGTATCCGTGCCAGCCTCGCCAACTCACTCGCCTCCCAGTATACACTCGAGCTGTCCCAGCTCACAAAGCACAAGGTCGCTGTCGCACACCCAGTATTCACTCTTGAGGCAGAATAGCAACGGTCTCGTCGCGGTCATCCCGGAAGGCTGCGTGGATCCTTCTAATCTTGTGGAGGCGGAGCGCATCAACGGCGACCAAGAGGACGAGCTCGACCAAAAGACATACAGCCCATCAGATCACCTGCCGACGATCCCGATTTCACCTCTCAAAACAACCCATCGGTCTCTGCTGGAGAAGGAAAAGTCCTGGACGTCCATGCTCGCAGACACGAAATACAGGATTCAGGAGTTGTACGCTCAGTATCCACTCCAGGACGACACGAGTGAGGCTGCTGAGCAGAAGCGGTGCAAAGACGATCGGGAAATTATGACACTTGAAGATGATGCGTGCAAATATACTTCTCAGATCAGCAATATCATGGCAACCATCACCAAAGTGCGAGAGCTGCTTTACCGGTCTGCCGGGATCACATCGATCCTTGAGTTCCCCCCCTATCTGATTGCGTATCAATTGACATTGATCGAGTCCGCCATCTTTTTGGAGATTCCGCCGGCGGCGCTTCTGACACACGCTCCCAAAACCCCACATGGAAGTATTACAGCTTCGACAGACTTTTTCAATTATCTCACGCGGATGATCGAGTACTCAGTCTTGTTCCCGGCAGAGGCTTCAGGCCGGGCGCAGATCATTAATCATTGGGTCAAGGTTGCAGTTAAATTGCATGAACTGGAGAACTTCCAAACCCTCAAGGCCGTGTTGTGTGCACTTGGTACGCCACCCATCAAGCGACTCAAGAGGACCTGGGGTTTTTTGCCTCGAAAAAGCACCAGCAAGATTGAGATGCTCTCTGACCTGATGAGTGAGGACCGGAACTATGGCAAGTACCGGGAGATGATGAACAGCTTGTGGGCCGGAACTCTACTACCTTCGCCCGAAGTTTCTTCTCCTGTGCTTTCGGATTCGGTTTCTGGGAGCAGATTCGATATTCTCGGAGGCTGGAGTAGTCCCGAGGTCAAGTCAAAGGAAGCCGCAAGAAGACCTGTGATACCGTTCCTGGGGACTTTTATTATGGATATGACCTATCTCTTGGCTGCTGTCAAGAAGAGCAACGCTACAAGTGCCGCGCCTTCACCTTCCACCAAGATACCAGCCACTTCAAGTCTTCGGGAAAGGAATCTGACAGTCAACACCACTTTCTGCCCTGAGGACGATGTGCGGATTCAGGATTTACTCTTGACTTTAACTGCGTACCAGTCTGGACCCCGGTATTCTCCCCAGCCACCTCGATCATACATCAAAGCCTCCACAAAGACCCAGCATCATTTCCGCGCGCCTTCTCTCAGCTCAGCTCTGCAAATGACGACCAAATATCGCAATAATAATAACGCAGCAGACCGCGACCGAGATCGACAGTTTATTTTTGATGATGAGGACGACGATTTCTTGGGAGGAACAGGTGCGGTCAGTGGAGGAATCCGGTCGACACAGCAATTGATCTTGCACTACATACTCACAAGGCCATGGGCACCTGAGAAAATGGTCGACGAGCTGAGCATGATCCGGGAGCCGAACAAGAACAACAGCAATAACAGCAGCAAGGGCCATGGGATCGGTGGTGGTAGCTGGTCGAATTCGGCGGGATCTTTGTCGAGCTGGTCTGGTACTGGCTCAATGTATAGCCACTCTTCAACAATTAGCACGGACGCACATACTAGTATGGCAAGTAGCGAAGGATCGAGGCCAACTAGTATGGAGGATGAATGACTCCTTGTGGGCTAACCTCCCCTACGCGAGTAGCCCACTTAATTTTCATGTTCGCGAATAAATGTTGATCACATGACACCATTGCTGTGCCCACATTTCCTAAAAAAAATGTATGTTTTGGAAACGGCTCCAAACTTTCCACCATTCATCAATCATTTGTCTGCGGCAGCCCTGTGGAGAGAGCCAACTGATCGGAAATGAAGAATCTTACGCTGCTGTCCCAGATCCACTTGGCACGGTTTGGAAGACCCGCTGGCAAGGACATTCACCACAGCGTTGATCCCGAGACAGGACATGTCTATGTCGCCTACTCTATAGGGCCCTCAGAGGGCGTTCTTATCAGGATCTCAGACCTTCAGGTAACAACATTAACTGCGCTATATCCGGCTCCATATTTTCCCTCTCAGTATCCTGCAGGGAGCTTCAGATGGGGGACGCCGCGAACATGCTAAATGCGTGATACTCACCTCCTTCATGGATCTCTTGATCCGCTTCTTCCTTCTCAAATCGAACTAGTCGCCCTTTCCAGAAATCACAGAGCTCGCCGCCTTTCCACCTGAGAACGATGTGAATGTGGATCGGTGGGGACAGGTTGTGGGCGTCAAGTTTTTGGTGGATATTCAGGCCATCTGTGTTATTTTTTCCCACGGAGATGTCGTTCTCTTTCATAACGAACCAACAGAGTCCAGGGATACTGTAAGTCGGCGCTCAAGGACGATATGAGCGCATGTGCCTGAGTTGCTGAGGATAAGGACATTATTAACGTCTTTCTCTTTATGCTATAGCTCGAGATCGTTGGGTCTGTAGACTCGGGAATCTCCTGCATGGCTTGGAGTCCTGACGAGGAGTTGATTGTCATGGTCACTGGTACGTTCTCTTCTTTTCCGCACTCAGCAATAGAAAATCAACTCTAAGGGATAGTTGCTAACATAACCATTGGTCCTGAACAACAACAACAATAAAAAATAGGCGAAGGATCCATTTTGGAGATGACCAAAGACTTTGATGTGATTGCCGAGAACCCCATCGATGTTGAAGAGACCGGAGAAGGTAACTTCATACCATAGAGAAACCCTATGTCCTGTTGCCGCCCTTCAACCCTGTTGCCATGTGCCCGTTGATGACTCATGCTCTATTTTCCTTATTTCTGTAAAAAAAAAAAAAAAAAAGATGTCAGTGTCGACGTTGGATGGGGAAAGAAGGAGACGCAATTCCATGGAACAGAAGGAAAGCAAGCGGCGCAGCGCAAAATCGATACCTCCGCATTCACATATTCACCCGATGACGATGATAAACACAGGCTATCATGGCGTGGCGATGGAACATATTTTTGTTGCTCCTCTAAGGACAAGCGACTTGGTAAGGGCGCCTTCTTCGTGTCTCAGTTTGCTATTAGGATTTTCAAGAAGATGTACTCTCGCGAATAGGGGTATTTACTGACGATAGCATTGAACTATACATTGTCGGACCAAATATAGGGCGCCGTGTGATCCGCGTATATAATCGCGAGGCGATTTTGCAATCAACAAGCGAGTCGGTGGATATGCTGGAGCACGGCTTGTCATGGCGGCCCTCAGGGAATTTGATCGCTTCCAGTCAGAGGCTGCCTCACCGTCACGACATCGTCTTCTTCGAGAGAAATGGATTGCGCCACGGAGAGTTCACGTTAAGGGAGCCCAACGATACTATTGTCAAAGAGATGGGATGGAACTGTGACTCGACAGTCTTGGCTGTCTGGTTACAGCGCTCGAACGGATCGTGCATTCAACTCTGGACCATGAACAACTACAAGTGGTATCTAAAGCAGGAACTACTGTACAATGGAGAAGGATCCGCCGTTGCTAGCTTCCAATGGGATGCTGAAGCAGCCCTGGCGCTCCATGTCGTCACCGAGTCTGGATCGTATCAGCGGAGTCAGTACTGTTGGGACACCTATATCAACGAGACTCTGAGTCCCGAGAACTTGGGCACGGCTGCGGTTGTGGATGGTGCCAATTTAATGGTTACTCCGTTTAGAGTCATGAATGTTCCACCGCCTATGGCTGCGTTCACATTGACTATGCCTTATGCGATCCAGCATGTCTCATTCTCAACACTACATCATGGCGACGATATGGCGATTTTGCTGGCGGATCAACGGGTGGCATTCTACGAGATGGCCGACAAAACTACACGACCGCTTCCTGAGCCGAAATTATTAGGAGTGATTGAAATGGCAGAGGTGCCATCAGCTGTTATTCGACAGATTGCATGGGTTCAGCCAGACACGCTTATCGGCCTTCGGTACGACAGTGACATCGCGACGGATTCGATTGTGGTAGTCAAGCTGGCATTCGAGAAGGGGAGCAAGGCGCCGAAGATTGAGAGCAGAACAGACGTCCCATTGGAAGGCCTATACCAGCGGCTCTATTTCAACCAGAACTACGGCGACATTTTACTTCAGCAAGCCGATGGTAGCTTGACGAGTTTGGAGATCGAGGAGGACAAAGAGCCCAGGATCGGAAAGTGGATGGATGTGCATCGTCTGCCCGAGGGTTGCCTTTGGATGGGTACCACCAGGATAGGAACTGGCAATGTAGAATACAGAGAAAAGGCCGTCATTGGACTAGCACGCAACAACCGGCTGTATGTGAATGATCGCCTGATCTCTTCGGAAACGACCTCGTTTTGTCTGCACAACCACTTCTTGGTCTTCACCACGGCCACGCACTCTGTCAGATTCTTGCCTCTGGAAACATCTTTCTTCGAGTTTAAGATCGTGGATAACTCCATGCTCCCATATGACGAATCGATCCGCAGAGTTGAGAGAGGCTCCAAGATTGTGCTTGCTCTCCCATACTCTGTCAATCTGGTCTTGCAGATGCCTCGAGGAAATCTCGAGACAGTCGCACCAAGGGCGATGGTCTTGTCGGTCACCCGCGATGCCCTCGACAGGCGCGATTTCAAGACGGCATTTGTGACATGCAGGAAGTATCGTATCGACCTCAATATCCTGTACGATCACAACCCCAAAGCGTTCATGGAAAACGTTGCCGAATTTGTGAACCAAATTAAGGAGGTTGATTACTTGAACTTGTTCCTTTCGTTTTTGAGGAATGAGGATGTCACTCAGACACTGTACCCACTCTCAGGCTCCGGTTCGACAATGAAGCAGCTGCAGCAGCCTTCCCAGGCATTCGCTCGCTCCAAGGGAGGCAAAGGTGCTTCAAAGGGTGCATATAGAGCTGCTGTTCCGCCCGAAATGGCAGAGAAGGTCAATCAAATCTGCGATGCTGTTCGAAAGGAGCTCAAGACTTTGGACAGGAACACCTATATTAACTCGGTGCTGACCACCTACGTCCGCAAATCGCCACCGGACCTCGAGTCAGCGCTGCTGCTTCTGGCAGAGCTCAAGGATCAGGATCAGGCCCTGGCAGAAGATGCACTCAAGTTCACCATCTTTTTGGCGGATGTGAATCGGTTGTTTGACGTGGCTCTGGGCATGTACGACTTTACGCTGGTCTTGATGGTCGCGCAATGGTCACAGAAGGATCCTCGCGAGTACCTGCCGTTCCTGAACGAACTTCGTACGCTGGAGAAGTACTACCAGAGATTTAAAATTGACGATCATCTTAAAAAGTATCAGACGGCGCTTGAGAACCTGAGCCAGGCCGGCGAGAAGTACTTTGAGGACTGCATCGCGTACATCAAACAGCACAATCTCTTCAAGTTCGCGCTCAAGATCTTTGCTTCGAATCCGACCAAACACAAGGCGATTTTGTTTATCTATGGAGACAGTCTGTCTGTCAGCGGCGATCATGCTCAGGCTGGTGTTGCTTATGTCATGGCTGGGAATAAGGAAAAGGCACTGGAGGCGTACAACGAGGCAGGACTCTGGCGTGAGGCCGTGGTATTGGCACAGCAGCTAAAATATGAACCATCGGCAATAGCGTATTTGGCCAGAGGACTTGCAGAGCAGCTCAAATCGAGCAAGCGGTACGCAGAAGCAGGTGTGCTATTGGCAGAATATTCGAAGGATTCGGAGGAGGCCGTCTCAGTACTGCTGGAGGGACGTCTCTGGAATGAGGCGATCCGGACAGCGTATCTATATAACCGTCAGGATCTGATGGCGACTCATGTCAACCCCGGTATTGCGGATGGCCATCATGATCTTATGGAATCGGTCCGTGAGATGCAGGAGCAGTTTGACAAGCAGATGAAGAGACTGAAGGAGGTCAGGGATCTGAAGATCGAGAAGGCGCTTGCTGAGGCAGCCGAGGATATGGTACCAGACGATGCGCTGGACAATGTGGATATGATGTCGGATACGACCTCGATGGCTTCTGGATTCAGTCGATATACTGCTGCCAACTCGGTTCTATCCAAGTCTTCTGTATCCTCTAGATCTTCACAGTAAGTTGACAAGCTTGAGTCACTTCTTTCTTATTTATTTTGTATTTTTTATGCGCATACTAATACTATGCGGCGTATCGTGACTACAAGGTATACTGCTAGGCTGAAGAAGAGGCAGGACAAGAAACGTGCGCGGGGCAAGAAGGGCAGTGCATATGAAGAGGAGTACTTGATCAACTCACTCCGAAAGCTGATGTTGCGGGTGGATAGTACCAAACGTAAGTAAAGTGGTTGCTTTCTTTTTCCTCTTTATGAAATTGGTTGCTGACCCATCCTCTCTATTTCTACTGCTTTTATAGCCGACGTTCACGCCCTCTTGCAGTGCCTGGCTGCATCCATGTCGCTTGAGCGCGCCAAGGTACTGCAGCAAGAGTTTGGAAAGTTGCTTCAGGACATCGATCAGCACATGCACATCATCTTCGTACCCCCGACAGAAGAATACATGGCCAAGAAGAAGGCGGCTGAGGATGCGAAAAATGAGCGCAAGAAGTTGATCAAGCAAATCCAGACGAATGCGCACCTGATGTCACGCCACGACGAGGCGGTGGCCCAGGCGCAGATCGCGCAGCTGGAGGAGATTGCGGAGCAAGAGATTGCGGATATCTATGGCGAACCGCCCATCATGAGCAAGGAGAATTGGGATGTGGACTTGATCTAGATTTTACTACCACCTATTCTGATATTTTTTGTTTAAAAAAAAATATATTCGAATTGCATTTGCATTATTAAAGAAGTTATTTAAGGAGAGTCAGAATACCACAATGGCGCGCGATGATTATAACAAGGTTCGCCTCGCACGCTGAAGTCATAAGCACATTCGCCGCAAGCGGCAAACGACTGTTGATCATATAGGAGCGAAAATGGGTATCATCATGTTTTCTGAAATACAGAAGGATTCATAGGGAAAAAAATTAAAAGCAAACACAAGTCACTCGGCTTTAAGGGAAATCGGCTCTCAAGTCCGGTAGTCTGCGTTGTTGGTGACCAGAAGCGAGATCTGCTCTATGGGACGATCATACAAAAAATTTGCTCTCAATTGAACGTTTTATACTCATTCGCAGTCCGAGGCATAGTACCATCAATGCCAACTGCACACTGCACCCCGGTTCCAACGGTATAACCTGGCAAACGAGCTACCGTTAGTCTTCAGTCCAGCCCACCTTATTCGCGCCAACCTCGTGTTCTTATTTAGGCTGCTGCGCTTGCTTATCTTGCTCGACCTCATTCTCACTCCAATCCTCCAGATCCGTATCCCAAGTATCCTCCCACTCGTTTCCCGAGACTGGAATGCCACGGCTCTTCCAATAGGCCTTCCCATAGGTACACAAGATCTCCTCTCCAGGTTGGATCCTCTTCAGCACCTTGCAGCCCATCCGAACCTCTCCTGTGTCGGCATCTCGGTATAGATCCCAGGCGACGTTTGGACCCTGCTGTTGAGTCCTGATCCTCCGAAAGTCGTTCACAAAGCGTCCGTGATTCCCCTGGGCGGATGCGTCGAGGTTGAGGTCGTTGCAAAGATAGAGTGTATGATCTGATTCCGGATCGGCGTATTCGTCAGGGACAATGAGAGAGATATAGTCAAGGAGATGGCGGCCGGGACGGAGGGGTTCGGTTGCAAAAAGACCATAGGATCCGAGAACTGGGTGGGTAAGCGGAGAGTCGATGAGACGGATTTCGTATGGTGGAAGAGGTACGATACTGGAGTCATTATTATCATTGGTTGTGGATTGTAGTCGAGACCGAAGGAGTCCTGAGATGGCGTGTCCGATAGGTAGATTGTCGTACTCGTCCTCGCCTTCGTCCCTTGATCCGTCCTCGTTATTTGGCTCATCCTCGGCTTCGTCCCATGATCTGTCCTCGTTGTCTGGCTCGTCCTCGTCCGTGTCATCATTGTTCTTCTCGCAGACTTCCTGCACGTCCTCAACACTGTGAGCCTGTGGCCACTGTGTCAAAGTACTCATGGTTCCGGGATCCTTATGCTGTTCGCTCTTTTTCCGCCGTCGTCCTTGAACAAGACCCAGGACCGAGGGGGAGATAGCAGGATGGTATTCGTAGTCAATCAAGTACTTGACCTGCTTGGGCCAGTTTGGCGGCAAGAGCTCTGGATCGATCATCGAGACGTGCTCCTGCTGCTGCTGTCGTTGTGGTGGTGGCGGCGACGATAGTGGTTGTCGTTGTTCTGAAGTAAAGTCGTCTGATCTGGGCCGATTTATAGGTCTCGGTTGCTGTGAGTCCTTCATCATCGACTGTCTTTCACTTGATATGAGCTCCTGAAGTATTGAGTCAAGTGCGATTGGCGGAGTGAGGTCGTCTTCATTGTCGCTTTGACTGTCGATCCTATCACTGGTGTTTCCTCTATGATCGATCCTGCTGTCCTTTAGAGTGGCGTGGGGTGAGTGCTTCGACTGTATTCGTTCATCTTGCTCCATTTATCAGCCGTCATTCCTTGCTGGGATCTCAAATAGCCTCGATATGGATGGCAGGAAAATATAGTGGGCAAAACAAAGAGACGAAATGGTTATCAGAATGCCAGTGTGGCTTGTTGGAGGGGCGCGCCTTGGAGTGCCTTCTCAACCTGGCTGCAGTCGATGTTGGTTGTGAAGACATTCCTCTTCCTTCGGTTCACTTCGACTCTCAAAGCTTCTTTTACTATCAAACATGTCAGACAGAGTAAGGATGCTTGTCTCGCATAAATGCATTGCCATCGGCATCTTTAAGACGGAACTGGACGCAGGACGCAGGACAGCGGTTTGATTGATTCGACAAACCGCACTAGACACACAGGCCAGAAGGAGAGATAGAGACAGAGTACAGAAGGTCGACCTCGTCACACTGGACGTCAGGATCCCTGGAAATACTATTGAAGGAAGACTCGAAGGGACTCATTCGGAGCGCAGCAACGGACATAAGCAGTACCCTTTACCACGCGACCTCTATTGAAGAAGACAATTAAACTCAAGTCCTGCTCAATACTTTCATGACATGATTAGCCAAGAGGCGGATATAACAGCCGTGGAGGCGGAGGACGTGGTGGTGGTGGACGCGGTGGTGGTAGTGGCGGTGGACGTGGAGGCGGACGCGGCGGTGGACACTCCTCTCACACAGAACGGCCCAAGAAAGAGTCGATCCTGGATCTTGGAAAATACATGGATCAGAAGATCCGAGTCAAATACAGCGGCGGACGTGAAGGTAAAAATGAAAAAATAACGACGGCAGCAAGCAGCAATGGCTCTGTATAAAAGCAAATAATTCCATGGTCTCTTGAACTGACAATGATTCTCGGTATTCGTCTCGGTCTATGCTTTGCAGTCATAGGAACATTGAAGGGCTACGACCCTCTTTTGAACTTGGTACTGGATGAGACCGAGGAGTGCTTGAGAGGTAAGGAAAACGTCTAATTGGAGATCGCTTGATGTTGTCTCATCGACGGGTCTTCTCACTCGAATTTTGTTGCTGCTGATTTTCTGCCGACCGTAGATCCTGAGGATGGCCGCTTGTTGGATCAGACCAGGACCTTGGGTCTCATTGTCTGCAGAGGCCCCGCGATCATCTTGATCTCACCTATGGATGGCACTATGGAGATCGCCAATCCTTTCATCCAGGAGGAAGAGGCCGTTATCTGAAGCGACTGTAGCTGGAAAATAAAATGAATTTTTTTTTTTATGCAGCATTCCATTGTTTCTTGTTTGCATGACCTTGCTGGTGCAATAAAACGCAACATACAAAACGAAATAATCATGAAGCTGGATACAGGTCGATCGACAAAGCGACCAGATCAAGAGACAACAGTCTGAACCAGTGTTTCTATTGATCGTCTTTTATTTATTGTCAAAATCTTGCAATTTAACAACAGGCTGTGTCATTCAATTACAGGACACCATTCTTCTCGATGTTAATGGTTTCTAATTGATATCTGTCGCCGTCGTAGTGTCTTTCTCGTAGCGTCAGGTTTCGTATTACAGATGCTCCTTCTCCAAATCCCAGGCACTGTTAGTCGAGAATCCAGCAGGTGCAGTCTCTTTATGCTATATTATCGTAACATGAGTGAAGGACATCAGAAATACATTAGTTAAAGGAAACAATAAATAAAACACAGGCACTGCAGAAATTGCCAAGTACGATTTGACCAATGCTGGAGGAGCAGTGTTGCGTATGAAACAAATGTCGAAAAACATACCGCTTGTCCACGTTGCGTGCCTGTGAGGCGGTAGTCGCGATCCATCATAACTCTGTCCCAGCGGTCATTGCCGTATCTTGGGGGCTAAGCAGTCATAAAAGAAGGATATCGCTATTAATACTGTGTCCTGAACAGATCACGACAGTAGGACATGGTGCTAAATACTGCCACCAAGAGCATTTTCCAGTATGCTGGTACAGTTCCAAACTAAAAGCCATGATGTTGTTGGCTGAATCACCACTTAATTCGCTGACATTAGCATCCTAATATCCTGTGAGTTGGCATCGGTATGTTCAGAAAAATCTGCGGCTATCCATGGTACGGTAGCAGAGGCGAGAAAGGATCGGTGGAAATATCGCGGCACGAAACCGATTGAACAGCTCCTGATCGATTCCATGTTCATATTATCCTGCGATCCACGTAAACATGTCTATGATGGTCGAGTCCAAGTGTCCTGGGTGTATGGCGAAGAGTTGGCAGTCATACCTGTCCCTCGTTCACGCTGACTTTGAGCTTCTGGAAGAGAAGACCGGAAACACCAAAGAATCCGGTGATCAAACTAGACAGTTGCAACACCAGTAGAATCCGATATACTGCGTGTTAGAAACAACCGATTCCTGATCGACAATTGTATAAAGCGATCGAGGAGAGCCGTTGACGGATCTCGAAAAAAAAGACATGCAACAGACGCCAGGGCGGCTGTGTTTGTGCGTTCAAAGATCGTTTGTTGACACAAGAAGCTAAGGCGACGCTGTTACGTTTGCGGAATCAGTGATCCAGATGGTCGTACCCAAGGGGAATCAAGGCCTCGAATGGAACTGGCATGGTGGTCGATATAACGAGGAGTGGGGAGTGATGGAGTAATTCGTTTGTCTGTGTTCGGGGTCTCTCTTCAGCATCGGAAATCCGCACATCTGCGCACGAACATGTGACGTATGAGCACAAAATGTTTTCGTATGCACTGTGCCCAGCCGAATCTATGAGACGGTTCGGGCGGTTCAAGACTCGCGTCTAACACAATTGCTCCTAACAACGGAACTGGAGTCTATGAAAACTGCACGCGATATCCCCACCCCTGTTACTTAATCTGAATTCAGGAAAACAAACGCGCACTTTTGACTGATTTGGCCAATCGCTTCCTTATTGCTCCACTTCATAGAACGGGGGAACAATGCCAGCTGGTCTGTGGACGTTGCGTGAGCCTGCTCGTTTAGTCGACTGATCTGATTTATATTTATCTGTTTCCGGAAAATGTATCCAGCAATGTAGAAGACGCATCGTTCGGATTAATAAAGCACGGACAGGGACCGAAGACAGTATGAGCGACATCCCCGCGCACACGCACCGAACAATTTTTTTTTGCTTCCTGTGTAGAAGCTTCAAATAAGGTTTGTGGAAAATCCATGCATCATTGCTTTGCTCATTTGGACCGGGATTCCTGCAAAACATAGACTATCTACACCACCACATCGCAATTGATTAACACGAGTGCCTCGACAGATAAAAAGACTAGCAATTGACGTGGATATCTTGAGAACAATGATGATGTAGATCTGAGAGCATTGCAGAACAGAGTAGAGCACTGGTTCACTATGGTTTAATCCTACACGTCTATCCGCTAATATTATTGATGATATTGTGCACGATGACGGTACACAATGACAGCGCGCGATGACGGTGTTTGCTGAGGGCTGCACATGTTGAAGACAAAAAGAGGGTTGTTAATGACGATGGAATACTTGGTAGCTTTTTTTTTAGTTCATTAGTTCTTCCTCTTCGATGATGCCAGGAACCGAATCTGATCTGGGCGAGAAGGTACAGGATGGTTTTATTTTGCACGGGCATTTCATCACCCGCATCAACCTTTTGGACACAACACTAGCAAAAACCCCCCTGAATGAAAGCCCTGGGCTCCACCGCACAGAATACTGCCGATCAATCAGATCCTTATACTTCATCACCAATACTCCACATCGAGGCAAGGGCCCAGTCAGGAGAATCCAAACCCAGCTGTACCTTTTGTTGTCTCTTGCTCTTGACGTTGCTGTACCTGTCGCTTTGCCCATTTAATGAACCTCACGCGAAGTCAATCATATATATGAAAACCCCCACTTCGCATGAATTCTACGAATAGTCATGCAGCACTCTCCCATATCAGGATATTTCTTAACGCCACTGGCTACCCACGCCATCAAACCAAGCTCGTCCCATGCGATGTACGCCTGTCGCTTCTAGGGGTTCGGCGCACCGTAGTCATATCTAACCTGTGTCTGGTTATGTATCTATTTATCTATGCGCCTGTGGGAGCGGTCAGGCTCGAGCACGTAACCGTCGTCATCATACATGGACTGCATGAATTAGTACCCGTTGTTTAGTCCTATCATACCTGTCTTCCTTCCTGCTCCCTCCATTCTCAACATGTTAAGAATTAGTACCTTTTAGACAATGGAATACATCATCTAAAATAAACCGCTATCCTTTACGGCATGGGAGGAAGGGATACTCTTTGCTTGCTTCTCTGCACGTCCAAACAATTGTGCAATGATAAATTCGCTCTTCGCCCTAACGGAAAGTATTGCTTGGCCAAGGCACTTTCGAACTTGACCCACAATCGAAGCAATGTGTCCGTCAATCATGGATGGGGAGCGTTGGGTCTGCAGACGATCTCCTCAGGGCTGTGGGAATGTGGTCTTGGCAATGGATTCATCCATCGATCCCAGACGCTGCATTATGTCTCAGTTGGCATTAATATCGAAAAATGGGGGCAGAGCTCGACAACCAGATTCGCTATTCATGTCTTTGTTTTCGCCTGTGTTTCTCTTCTATTTTATCCTTACTAGAGAACGAAACAGATTCGCATGCGCATGGTAGCCCTTCTGTTCTGTCCCAACCACAGAACGGAGGGTCTCACCTCTCGTAAGATATGCTGCTTCTCCGTTCTGTTCCAGCTAGAAAACGAAGATCGCGTTATACCTCCCTTTGGAACGTATTGTCATTACATCACTGCGAAGGGAGGAGGTTTTTTTTAGCTTCTTTCATGCCTTATGAATGTTTGGGTGTAAGGCACAAGCGTGTACCTGATTCGCGTTCGACGAAGCGTACCGCTTTTGGTACACAATTCACGTAAGTATTGGATATGGGGACAGCTCCCCTGCCCCGCTGCATGAATTGCAGCCGTCTAAAACCTACTCTTTAAAGATATCGGCGTTAGTGGCCCAGTAGCCTCTGATTTATCCTCCGTGCTTTCTCCACCTGGATCCCTGGACAACTGAGGGAGCTGAAAGATCGTCATTGCGGCATAGGATGAGCTATGGTGCATTTCGTTCTCATGAATAGGGCTTTCCATAAGCGACTGACAATCATGCACTAAGTGAACTTAATGGCCCTGGGCACTATCTAGTGTCGGGAGTGACGACATGCGAAAAAGAAGGGGGGAAACCAAGAGTGCGACGATCGATAGTCCCAACTGAAATGAGAGAGCCGTTGTAAAAAAGACGAACCAAGTGATCTGCAAAACGCACTGACGTTTGGAACATGTAATTGACAATTGACGATTGGCAAATTTTTAATTTCAGAAAAGGAAGGTGCGCGCGAACGCACTCCTGTGAACACGCAGACAAGGCGGATGGACGCGTCTGATTTGATAGGTTTGGGCGATGATGGCATCGATGGGGGAACCTGCTCGTCCGGGGATGTTCAGCGGTTTATGCTTTGTTGTGCCCACAACAAAGGCCTACGGCAGTGACCGTCCTGTACGTACATACAGTGCACACTCGGGCCTGTCTCTCTCCCTTCCCCCTCTCGCTCTTTCCCTCTCCCTCAATCGATACCGCGCATCAAGCCACTGTCTAGACTGAATTGGATATAGAGTAATGAATATGTCTTCCAGTCATTTGCTATGATTCAATTGTCGCCATCGACTGAATCTAATTCAGCCATCTCCTTTTTACTTTACTCCGTTGACTTGTTGTTACTGTGGACAGGCCGATTTGGTTCTCACACGTCTAGCAGAGGCGCCTTTTTCTTTTACATACTTTGATTTGAATAGAGCAGAGTAAAGAAGTGCCCTGCCCTCCTCTCCCACCACCAAGTCCATAAATACCCTCGCGACCTGGCACTCCTCCCCCACCGGTTCGTCTCGTCTCCTTTTTACACATAAATACTATACAGATATACACCGTTGACCACCTCTTTTCCTTCTCTCTTCTTTGAGACACAGCTACTTCTACTTCTATCCAGACTACCCATTTCCAACCAGCCGCAACGACAACCCCGCCTAACAATCCGCATCTTCACGCTTTCCTTACACGTTCTTTCACGCACTTGTTGTATAGCGCATCCTTTTTTTTTTCGCTCTTATCTTCTCTACTACCTCAGAGTCAACAACTCGTTCTGCCGAGAACGATATCATGTCCTTGGAGGTCACCAGTATCCGTCGAGGTAAGCCTTTGTTATCATGTCCTTGCAGTGGACACGTTTCATCACAAGCAGTCTGTCGATACCAGGAAAAAAAAAAAAAAAAAAAAAAAAAAAAAACTCCCACTCTTGTCTTCGCCACCTGCCTTCGCACTTCAGCACACTCCGTAACTCCATATCGCCAAAATAAAGCTGCGGCCGAACCCTGTCTTCTTTTGTTTGCTGCTGCTGCCTGCTACCACTTTATCACTATGTCTGTCTCGGTAAATGGCCCGATCATCGCACGCCTTGTCCTTCGACAGGGCTGCTCTGCGGTGCCCTCATTCATTCCAGATGGACCTTCTCTTTATCTGAAGCAACTCTCCTTATCCACCCTGAGACTTCAACAAATCCACCATCGAAAAAACGACGCTTCTGCTGTAGATGGACATGTCCACTAGTTTACTTTGTTTTGCCATCAAAAGCTGCTTGGCTGCCTGTTACCATGTTCAACAAGATGATAATACTCACTTCAAACCAAACAACTATTACCCTTCAACTTCCTCTTCGCCCTTCTTATCACCATCTATCTTTACCATCATCTACCCCTTCTGGTTCTTCTTGTGGCCTCGTTAATATCGGACAATCATTTACCATCAACCTCCTCACATCTCCTTCTGCTCCACATCCACACTACACACTGTATTCTCTCTGCGCATGACCCACCCCACTTATTTCAAACCACACAGACACAAACTCGACCCCGACTCGCTTCCTAATGGAGTGCGAGGACTTGAATCCCGGATTCGGTCTCAACCTCGATAACCCCTACAGCCCTTTTGACACCACCTACAAATTCCTCAATCCCGGAACACCTAAATCGGAGGCTGATCCCCTTGACACTGGCTACAAGACACCAATCACCTCGGTATCCATGCTTTCGCAGCAGTCCTTCCTTGCAGCAGAGCAGCAGCATCCGTGGTCGGACATGGTGTATGATGAGGCCTGTATACCTCTGCGCCAGATGTCTCCCAGGGTCTCTCCCTCTTCCTCAATCTCTTCCAACTTATCCTCCTTGTCACACACTCCACCTCGTCAAACACCCACCTCGGAGTCGAGTGCATCCAACCCCTTCCGCTCACGCATGTCCTCAGTAGCATCAGATCAGCTTATCTTTAACTCCGAGGCCACACATGCCCATACTCATGAATACAACGCTGTCTTTGATAAACTTATTCCGTCCCAACAGTCATATCACAGTGATCTGGAACTTCCATCCCTTGCACCCGATTCTCCATCCCCCGACTCTCTCGTCCCAACCGACACTCTTCGAACAAGCAACATCACCATGAGCCAGGTTCGCCAAGCGGACACTCGACGTGCAGTCCCCTCGCAAGACAACGCCGATTACGGCGATCAGTACATGAGCGACGAACATGATAGTGAAATGGACGTCGACTCGAACGATTCAAACGATGAAGGCAACGACGGCGAAACCAGCTCTTCCAAAGACTCTAGCAGCTCCCGCGAATCATCGTCCATGATCGAAGGATCACCTGCTAGGTCTACCCGAACACGCGCCTCTGCTCGAGCTTCCGCTAAATCCACAAAGTCCATCAAACCGGCGTCACAAAAGTCTTCGACCAAGACCAAGAAGAACACTGCAGCCAAGAGCACAGCGTCTTCTAGAAGACCTCAGGCCGTTCCCACCAAAGGCTCTTCAAGCAGGGCTTCGATAGCATCGACCGCATCAACTGGATCGACCAGCTCGGTCAGCTCCAAAGAATCGAGCCAGGCCAGGAAGCACTCTTCTGAGGAGGAGTCGCCCGAAGCCAAGCGGCAAAAGTTCCTGGAACGCAACAGAATGGCGGCGTCGAAATGCCGCGAGAAGAAGCGGTTGCAGACCCTCAAGACGATTGCAGATGCGGATGCGATCACAGCACGCAACCAGGCTCTGCACGAGTCGTTGGACGAGTTGCAGGAGGAGGTTCGAACGCTTAAGAACCAGATTTTGTGCCATCGTGACTGCGGATGCGACGTGATCCAGAAATTTGTACAGAGTAGCTTTTGCTCGACCCCGTTCTTTACTGGAACTACCGCTGCCGCTGCCGCTGGCATCAACCAAGGGCATCCTTCTCACGCTTCCACGCAGCTCTGTTAAAGGAGTCTCTGTATAGGCCTCCGAACAAGATTGTAGCACGCTTTTCCTGTACTTCTTTGTCCATATAATTCCTCGCGCCTGCTTTCTTCCGCTTCGAAACCTAGCCTGAGAACTGTGCACCTCCATTCCCTTTCGCATGAATTCCTTTCATAATACCGCACCTGATGTACATAACGACCAGAATATTTCAAGTCGTTTCACCAGCTTCATTTCAGTATCCACACTGTACCATATTTTCTTCTCTTTTCACCAGTTCAATCAACCCAGCACTTTCTACTCTTTCTCTTTTTTTCTGTTATAATGTGCCTTTTATTTCAGTTTGCACACATAGCAAACACACACGCCTTCAAACAGAACAGAGTTTCTTCTGCATCCAGATTCAAAAACCAATAAAATGAATAAAATAACCAAAATAACCACGTTTTAATTTTTTTGCCATGTGGAAAGAGGAGCAGGGATCTGTTTATCCTGCATTGGACAGGGCACCAACAAAAAAAAAAAAAAGGGCAACGCGTGGCAGGTATGATTCGCGTGAAAAAAACGCGATATAGTGTACCAAGGGACGACTCTCATTCGTTCCTTAAACGCAAAAAGAACACAGATGCAGGTACAGTGCACACAGAGAACATCGTTATTCCTCTCGCCCATGCGCTCACATTTTGTCCCTTCGTTTTCTCTTTTGATTCTGAAATTCACTCACGCCGATGGGTTATATCCATGCACGGTCCAACGCTTCAGTGACCACACAACCAAGCGCGGCTCTCCTTTGAGTATATGCTGTATGTAGTAAGTACTTAGGAAACAGAAAGCAATAGTAGAGTTTCATTCACGCGAAAATGAGTTTCTCGTGTAGCACAGGTACAACGGACGCGTCCAACGGACAAGAGCGGGGGAGGCCTCGGAAAGAAAATAAAGTAAGTGATCTGCGAGGTGTGAAATGTGAGAGTGAATGTGCATGGGTGTAGCCTACCGTCTGCTATAACGAACATCCATCCAAAGAGGCAAAGGAAGCCTTGGAGTGGTGTTCTAGTCTACCGTGGTAGCATTGGCGGGGAGATGTAAAGAAAGGTCAAGAAAAAAAAGAAAGAGCGGATGCACATACATGCATACACACATGGCGTCGGTATTTTTTTTTTTCTTTTGTTGAAGAGCATTGACATTGTCGAGTGCACCGCAGAAGAAGCTTACGAGAAGAAAAAGGAAATGTGTGGGCATCTACAGAGCGTATTTCGCGTTTCGTGTTCTTCTCTCCATTTGCGTCTACAACCACTGCCCTTTCTTGCTTTGCCTTGACTTGTTGATATGGGTGAGAATGTGGGTGTGTAGGGGAGCAGCGGTGTGCATTGGTGTGCCCCGAATGAGGTTGGGTGCGGTTGGGTGCCCGTTGGACGCAATTGGGCTGGACCGAAGAGACAAGAGCGGGAACGCGCTCTGTGCGCAACCCTGTGGCCACCAATTTTCCCGCTCCCTTTCCTTCCGTCCATTCCCCTCCTCTTCTTTTCCTTCCTTCGGTCTCGCTCTTCCTTTTCTTCTTAGGCTCACTTTCAAGCACCACCTTCGCTTCCCTCACACGCCACCGACACACCCTCCGCTCCATCCACCACATCCCATTCATATCATATCCATTGCTCCATCATACTGAGTCAGCCATCATGACTACCGTCGCCGCACACCCAGAACCTGCTCCTGTAAGAATCTCCTCCGTCCTGGGACTCCATGGCGTGTTCTCATGAACCAAATGCCTGAAAAAAATTGAGCAAACAAAAAAGCTCATGAGAGTCAGTAGTTGATTCATTCCATTCCAGTTCATTGTCCCTCGGCGCAGTGAGGTCCTTGATGCCTCTTATTATCCTCTCCGCCTCTTTTTGTTTATGAGCGATTGCCGCGAAGAATAATATCGTATTGCCCGATTTTTCAACCATCAGGATGAAACTTTGCTGGGGGAGCTTTTTTTTATTTTTATTCGACGGCATGAACCAGTTATTTGGGAGGAAGGGCCACAGGATCGTGCTCTGCTTTAACTTCGATCGATTCAATTCATTTGATAACAGTGTGTTGTCCAGCTAACATTCTTCATTCTATCCTTCTCGGCAGGTAGAGGTCAAGGACGAGGTTGAGGTCGAGACAGATCCTGAGGACGACTTTGAGGACGATGAAATCATTGATCATGCTACATTTGACCAGCTACTGGAAATGGATGACGAAGAAGACCACGAGTTCTCAAGGTCCCTTGTCTGGAACTACTTTGAGCAGGCCGAACAGACTTTTAAGGAGCTTGACGATGCCATGTAAGTTAGAGTTCCCATTTTTTTTTCTGGGTCACTTCACCCCGAGGAAATGGTCCGGGCCATGGAAGCAGAAAACAAACGCGCGTGGTGCCTTGCTTCTGCGCCTTCCTTTTCTTTTCCTTTTTTGTCGCGACGATGAGTGGAGCTGTATTGTTTAAGTGCGCCCGTGAGTTGGATTGTTTTTTAATAATACGCTTTTGGAGCGCAGCATCGGTGCTGTGTGGTGCGTTGCGGTGCAGTGTGTGTTCTAGCTGTATAAGTATGATTGGGGCGAAGGAGTACCCTGGTGGGCTTTTTTTTTTTTGTCGATCCCACTGCAGAATCAAGTACCATCTTGCAGCATCTTCCTGTCTATAAAACAAATCTATGATTTGATAAAATACGCGTTTATTATTTTTATTACGCACTTAAATGGGATATAATAATAATAATAATAATAATAATAATGATAATAATCGATTAGGACACGGTTGGACTTTCCGGACCTGTCAAGACTGGGCCACTTTCTGAAGGGATCCTCGGCAGCATTGGGACTGATCAGAATCAGGGCGTCGTGTGAACGACTGCAGCACTATGGAAACTGCAAGGATGCAGATGGGGTCACGACGATTACGAACGAGGAGGCTAGGGAGCTGATTAAGGCACTACTAGTTCAGATGCGGCAAGAGTACGATGAGGCACAGAGCTACCTCACCGCATTCTATGAGGGACAATAGTCTATAGGATCACGTATCATCATTCTCCTATATACATATGTCCCGACTCTGTTTTTCATTTTGTATTCTTCATACTGTCAATAACATGTGCCATTTTAGTTTTCCTCAGAATCTCGAACTCTTCGATGATGACCTATCTCCGTGACAATTACCACATCCTCGGCGTGCGGGCGGGCGAGCGGCATACTTGTAATGGGTGGGTGTTAATCTTGGGTGTGTTGGCTTCTTGGTGGAAGAAAAGAGGAAGGGCGTTGTGTTTTGTTTCGTTGTCCGCATGGGGAAGACTAGCCATATTTGGATGCCAGTGTGTCTTGTGTGGATACCGCTAGTGCATGCAATATGCAAAGCCGTATTTGCATGACCCACATGGATGACTAATCGCGAGGGCACAGCCTGAAGAGGAAACAGGAAATAAGAAAAGAAAAGAAAAGAAAAAAAGGATCAAGACGCGTCGCGTAGGGACAGGAGTCTCTACACTCATTTTCAAACGCGAAAATTAGTGGAAGCCTAGAGTTCGAGTCTACCTAACGGTTTAGTTATTTTCTTTTATTCTACAAAACTGGACCTGAATGTATAGACCCACCAACAATGGCTAGATTGTACGCAACAAAAAAACGCTCCTCCAATACGAATGATATTCCCCCGGCTCTACAACGCCACTGAGGACTCCATTGAGTTCAGATGGCAGGGCTTTACAGCGCGTTTCCATCGTTTGTTTCGTTATCAGAATGTCGGGAACACTAGGGATTTCGTCGAGATCGAGGATATCGAGGGCAAGAGGCGGCACTATCTTCAAGAGCGACGGTCCGACAAGTATAAGGACGCCCTGTTTGTGTATTTGGATGAATCCTATGTCAACAGCAAGGTGGGTTATGTTTGTTTAGGATGTGTTTATGGCTTCATCTCAGACAGAAGAACGTATGTTCTACTTTCATTTTGTTCTTATCAGTCGTGGTTCACTAATGGGGTGATGGCACGCCGTGCGAATAAGGGCAAGCGATACTGCATCATTCATGTTGGTTGGGAGGATGGTTGAATTGGGGGACCGCGGGTCTGGTCAGCGAAATACGGAGGAACTAGCGAATACCATGAGAATTTGAACGCGTCGATTTTCGAGAAATATCTGGATGAGCTTTGTCGCCACTGCAAGGATGATTTAGAGTTTTCCAAAGTCGTGTTTGTCAGTGGAGAATGCCAAGTACCATCGTAAGGAACATTAAGGATATAGTCAGTAAAGCGTCGAGGCCGAGCAGGACGAACAGCCTAAGAAGTACAGAACACTTTCTCAACTCAGTAAAAATGAACTGCGTTAGCGGCTTCAGAAGGTGAACGCTGATATCAACGTACTTCATGCGCTCAACAAGAAGCAACTGTATGAGATGGCCAAGGAACCAGAATACAAGTTTCCTCTTCAGAGGTCATTGCCCAGAAATGAGATTCATTGCGATGTCGAGAGCATTGACACGTTATATCGTATTTAACATTTAGACTAACTACGACCTACCACAACGATGAGTCCAACTTCCAGATGGTCAAGGAGACGATATGGAGCTAGCAGGTCCAAAACGGGGCGACTTGGTGAGACGGACAATGGATAATGAAGAGAAATATAGGACTACAATGAATATGAATGATCGCCCTTGCTCTCCGTTGCTGGTTGATTTTGATGAGGAGAAGGAAGACGAGGAAGACGAGGAGGAGGAGGAGGTTACTGACGGAGACACGTTTATGGATGAGCTAGGCTTTGCAGAGGAAACGTGAAATTAAGGTTCAGTAAACTACAGCACATATCATACCGGGTTACACAACAGCTCTCCAAGGTGATCTGGAAAAGTTGTATCGCTGCGAAGTTTACATCACCATCGCAATACCTCGCAAGCGAGCTTCCTATGGAAAAGGTTCTGGATATTCAACAAATGTCATTACAATATTACTTGATTGAGCGCAAGTCAGAGTCAGGCCCATCCCCCAGCGCTTAGGGAAATCAATTGGTATTACCATTTTTTTCCATCAACCCCATCGAAAATCCCAGCCTCTCCAACAAGCACCACCTTAACTCTCTCTCTTTCTTCCTCACCTCAGCTCCACCCACTACCCATCACTTTTTTTAACTGCCTTGCATTTCCCTTGCACTCTCTCCTTTTCTGTACAATGCGGGACATCTAGTCGCGACATAAGACTTTTGACTAGAAACGCCTATTCATTTTCAAGTACAACCGCTGAATCGAAGTCTGAGTCATTAATGTGTGCATTATCCTTCCTTCTACAAACCAATGTCCGCCGTTTGTCAATATAACCTTTAGTTCAAAGGGGTTTGAGCTTCAACATTTTCTACGTACAGTCACGACTAGATGTCTCGCACTATATTCCTTTACATACTTACTCGTCTTTCTATTTGTTGCTCCTGTCGAAACGCACACATGGGGGTGGAGGCGGATGTACTCGGCATATACTTTTCCTACATTCGCGTAACCCGCCAGAGGATGACGTCCGAGGCATTCTGGCGCGCCGCCCAGTCCACGAACTCCGTCACCGCCATCCAATTCCGTCATGACACGACTCGTTCAGGTGCTCCATAAGATGTTGTTGCAGATATTTACCTAAGGCCCAGTAACCATCCTGCACTTTGATGATCCACCGACGACGCAGAAGGCGAAAGCACGGGAGAAGAGAAGGAGCTGGAGCAGCAGAGATGCGGGGGCTATGAACGATCAAGCAAAGGAGATTTAGAAGATGGTGAACTCCGACAGCACCAACCCATTGTCGAGGACTCGGAAGCACAAGCTTGTTCGGTCGACCCAGAAAGTAAAGGGGAGCTGGGCCGCCGCGAGGACGATCGATTCGACGATAAAGACGTCTTATTGCCGGGTTGAAGAAGGTGGGTTGGAACGTGTACCACTGCAACGGGGAGACGGACGTCTGTATCGGTGTCAAAGCAAAAGAGCGCTCTGGCCAGGCTGTGGTTGCCTCAGTTGATTCAGATATGCTCTTCCACGGGGTGAAGGTGCTCCTTAGTGCACTATATTGACCTATGTAGTATGTACGAGCAGAGAAGAGGACTCTTAATGCGGTGCAGAAGGGGAACCGCTTTATAAGGTGCCCGTCTGCCCTGGAAATAAGGATCTCTCGCTTGTCTTGTTGACTTTCTTGTACGAAAGTAAATATATAAGAGTAAAAAATCATACCACCACACGAAAACCAACATAATCATTTTTGAAGAAATATAGCGAGGACACATCCTACCGAAGACAAAAAGCCCTCAGGGGTGGTTCGCGGTGAAGATCGGATACAAAAAAATACTTGAAAAAGCGCGTCTGGCTCAGCCAATGGACTTGCTTTTACCACAACAATAGTAACAACGAAACCCGCTATCTGGAACACTCCCCACAGTCAATGGGTCGTGGCAAAGATGATGCATTAATAAAAAAAAAAAAAAAAAAAAAAAAAAGAAGGATTGGGAGCTGATTCCTAGGGACGAAGGTTCAATGATAAAAAAGAGAAATAGTTTCCCAGAAAAACAGAACAGAAAAGGCATTCAGCAATAATAGAAACCAGGGCTAATGCATTGTCCGTGTTCCATTTGTGGTCTTACGAGGAGCTCCTTCATTGCGGGTGGATGTGAATGTTGTACAGGTGCTCTGAAGGTCAAGATCTATGTGATGCCATCGAGGCTGTGCACCGCTCGGGCCAGATATACGCGTCGATCACTATGTCCCTTCAATGCAGTGCGAGTACCAAGTGCAAGCCCATTATGCTGCTGACAAAGGCTTTTCTTGCTATTACACATTTTCATCTTTTCATCGTTTGGTTCAATCCTCACTCTTTATTTCATTTTCGCATTGACGTTTGCTGATTCTAAGGTGACTAAGGTTTGGGGTTCGAAGCGAGATATACAAAGGAAAGTGGATTGGCTTGCCATCAGTCAGACTTACTTGGGAAAGTGAAGACTGTGCAGGGTACACCGCGGGCAGGTTGCAAGCCATGGTACCCCAGAAAAAAACCCACAAGGGAAAAAAAAGTTCGGCTTTTGTTGACCTTCTTATTTTTTTTCCTGATCGTTGTTGCTGTTGCTGTTGTTGTTGCTGTTGTTGTTGCTGCTGCTGTTCCTGTTCCTGATGGTTTTTTTTTTTTTTTTTTCTTTTCATTTTTTTTGTTGTTGTTCCTGTTCGTTTTTTTTTTGTTCTTTTTTTTGTCCCTGCTCCTGATAGTTTTTTTGTTGTTCCTGTTCCTGATTTTTTTTTTCTTTTTTTTTTTGTTGTTGTTCCTGTTCGTTTTCTTTTTCTTTTTCTTTTTCTTTTTCTTTTTCTTTTTCTTTTTCTTTTTCTTTTTCTTTTTTTTTTTCTTTTTCTTTCTTTTTTTCCTGTTCCTGTTCGTTTTATTATTTTTATTTTTTTGTTCCTGTTCCTGCTCGTTTTCTTTTTGTCCCTGTTCTTGTTCCTGATCGTTTTCTTTTTGTCCCTGTTCCTGTTCCTGATCGTTTTCTTTTTTTTTAGCTTTTCGCATTCAACCGATAAAAAGTGTACGAGAGTGCGTGAGTATGTGTACGTGAGTTTGTGTGCAACTGTGAATGTGTGCGCAAAGTGAAGGTCGGTGTACGGAATGATTTCGTGTGGCGAGTGGACTGTGATATGAAAGATGGAAGGTGCAGAGCGGAGAGATGTAAGAGCGGGGAGATGAAAAGGCGGAGAGGGGAGGTAGGTCTTTATTTGTGTCACTTACTTTCTTGGTGGTCCGTTCGCTTGTCGCCATGGATGCGCCCTAGATACATGTGCAAGAGAAAGAAGAAGAAAAGGCAAAGCAAGAAAAAAAAAAAAAAAAAAAAAAAAAGCAAAGCAAAAAAAAGCAAAAAGCAAAAAGCAAAAGAAAGAAAGAAAGAAAAAACCAAAAATGAAGTAAAAGAAAGTAAAAAGAAACAAAAAAACGAAAGAAAAGCCCTCCGAATATCAGACAGTCTTTGTATTCATTGGCGATCTGAAGATGCCTTGAAAAATAGAGCTGTTCATCATGTCAAGGAAGGAAAGCAGCTCCACAAGAATAAGCAGAACGCGTCTTGGCTGGCCCTCAAGTGCTGTTCAGATAGCCTGTACTCAATAGTAACTCGAAGGAGGCTATATGCCAGAGCCGATCATCATGTGTATAAAAGAAGGCAAACAGCGACACAAAGATCCCATCAGTCAAGGAAACAGTTCTAAAGGGGAACAATACGCAAAGAAAAAACCACAGAAACGTGGAAAAAGAGAGGCTCAACCCCATTAGCCAACACCCAAAGCTGTCCCCCGGAGCTCTCTCTTTTTTTACTTCAGTCGTTGGATCAGACCACATATGGAAGGTCATCATGTCCAGAAGAAACGTGGAGCCCTCGTCCCAAAAGAACGCAATCCGTCAATCAAAAGTGCGTATTCCTCTCCCCGCTCTCTAGAGCTCGAACCACTCATCCTTGTTCATTGGAATCCCCACCCAAAGTACCAAAAAAGCAAAAAAAAAAAAAAAAGAGCAAAAGCAAAAGCAAAAGTAACAACAGAACAGAAAAAGAAAGGGCCAGAGAAAAAGGGTGGCAAATGGTCACAAGCGTGTTTTTACCAAATATGGTGGGCAACTGGAAGACAAACTCATATTTTCATTTACCTCGAGATCCCATTCGCGGTAAGGGGACGCCTGAGTATCAACCGACTGCCACAGGTCTGCAGCCCTTGAATGGTTGTCTCTTAGAAGAGGAGGCCGGGCACCTAGCAATAGCGAGAGAAAAAAATAGAGAAAGAGAAGGATAAGGAGCAGGAGAAGGAGAAGGAGAAGGAGATATATATATATATATACAAGAAGTGCAGAGGAACAAGGCTGAGGCGGACAAAAATGGGAGAGAGTAATGAGGAAGAAGGGCAAGAGACAGCAGAAGTGAAGGACTGAGAGTGAAAGTGGGAGTAGCTGAAGTAGGGTAAATGTGGAGAAGAAGGAGGGAAAAGAGCTTACCTTGAAGACCGGGTGAGAGAAGAGAAGAGAAAGAAGAGAAGGGGGAAAAGAGGAGGGCTTCATATCCCCACCTCGATAGACACTCCTTCCTCGACAAACGGTAAACGTCATCGCTACTATCTGCAGTGGGGAGAGAATGTCTTCGGGCAGCCTCCTATCGGTATAGTCTCTTTGGGTCTTTCATATGAAAGAAAAAGAGATAGTGGGCGATAGACAGCACGGAGACAGTGGACAGAGACAAGCAAGGAGATAATGATGGCAAAATAAATCTGGCCGGTGACCTATCGGGACATGAAATATACTTTGGCGGTAAGATAGCCTGGTCTTGGCAGCAAAGGAGCAAAGAGAGAGAGTGAGTGAGTGAGAGAGGATGAGAGAAAGAAGGGGAGAAAGAAAAAGAGAAGGAGAGGAAGAGAGGTCTACTTTGATGAGCATGCAAGCATGAAAAAGATAGAAAGCAATAGACAGAAAAGACATGGCAAAGGTAGTGCCACCATAAGAGTGTCTTTTGTGAGTGCAGTCAGCACGTCTATCGAAGCAGCCAATGATGTAATGATGTACCTGGGAGTGTGGGAGGGATAAAGACACAGGAACAAGCAGCAAGGAAAGAGAACGATGATCATATGGGTCACATACAGCGATATTATTCTTTCGCGGCACTATGCGGGCATACAATAGTCATTAAAGACAATACATCGCGAGTATGTTGGACTCGGACCAAATTGTCTATTCTAGTACAACCACTGCTGGCTGCATCCTTTCCAGCTTTTTTCGTATTTCATCAAGTGCTCACATATGGCTGAGCCGCATTTATCCCCTCCTAAAGAAAATCAACCTGCTACAGACAACACCACCTAGTCGACACACGTCGTAACTGCGGATAGCAGCACTGGAAGTGGCAGAAAGGGCTGTCAGCAATGACACACGCGTCTCTCTCCAAGGATTGTCCGTGTTTATGCGCATACTCCACAGCACTTCATTTTTTCCCTATTAGTATAACCCACACGAGACATCTGCAGTTGTGGTAAAAATGGGCGCAGTCCACAATTTCGAAGAAATCCAAACCCAAACTTTGTTTTACACGCCGTAACAGCTTACGACTTTCAGAAGGATAAGAGAAAGGGGATGATAACCACAAGTTCGCTTATCTACTCCATTCCTTTCATCAGCCTTCTCTCGCATCACCCTACTTTCGCGTACCTCTTCTTCGTACAATCTACTTCCTTTGCCATGGCCAACCTCAAATTATTTTGTCTTGTTGATGGCGAGCCCACGTCGAGTGCATTTCCTGTCGAGATTGCCGCAGCAGAAACCATTGGTGACCTCAAGGAGCGCACCAAGGCCGAGAAACCTGACATATTTGATATAGAGGCCGACCTGCTCATTCTCTGGAGTGTCAGTCCCCATCACTGATGAGGAGGATGAGCTGCCAGTCAAACTCGACACCCTGAATGAGAAGAAGAAACTCTTTCCCAGGATTCTTCTCTCTCAGATATTTCCACAAGAGCCAGACGACGACAACTATATCATAGTACAACGCCCGCCACCAGGTAATAACACTCATTGCTCAATGCAAACCTTTCAATACTGGCTTTGGTGTCTAACAGTCTCTTCTTTATATCTCCAGGCAAAAGGAGGGCAGAAGGAGATAATGACCCCTCCAAAAGACATAAGACAACCCTCTTAGGTGCGATTGAGAACGCTGGATTTGCAGACAGGACAATAGTGCATGGTGGACCCAAACTTTCTGTCCTAAACCAAAAAGACAGGGTCGCTGTATTGGAACATCTTGGCCAGGGAGCTTGGCGGATTCTTCATTCTGGTCACTGCTCGAGACAGCGCGTGCCTTCCGGGAGAAAGACACTGAAATACAGCTTTTGGAGTTAATATCTGCACCTTCCGGCACTCTGTTTCCTATTGTCGACACACAGGATCTATACGTCAGGGAGGATTACAAAAAACTTTATCTGGATATCACCTCCACATTCACGGATACCATATCGCCACTCCAGAATCGCATCGTCGTCACCGGCATCTCTGGCATTGGCAAGTCAGCGTTCTTGGCGTACTTTACTGTCCGACTTCTTTCAGAAAGCGATGGTGACAACCCTCCTATTATCATTTTCCACACGAAACGGAGTTCAAGGTGCTATGTCTATGGAGGGATCTCTACTGTATGCATTGGAGTGGTCAGCGATTTTCAAGCCTTTCTCGATCTGCCTGGAACGTGGTATTTAGTCGACAGCTCCCCAGACCCAGTGCTCGGCCCAGCCAAGACTATCCTATCAGCATCGCCAAAGACCCTCGTGGAGCAATACAAAGAAGTAGCCAAAGAATCACCACGGTATTACTACATGGCGCCTTGGGAGTTGAATGAACTGGAGGAGTGCCGAGTCAGCGTCAAGAGTTTCAATATGGTCAAGCCGGATTTTATGGAGAAGCTTTACGTTAAGATGGGAGGAGTACCGAGATATGTCCTGCAGTTTCCATGGGTTATACTGGGGCGAGATAAGAATGCCACTGTTGAAGCCGAGGATGAAGCATATTGTGGTGTCGATGAGGCCATTAAGCGCGTCAAGGATCCAGCTATGCTTCTGGAATGCTTTGCTCATGGAAGAGTTTCCTTAGAGTTTAGCAGCCGTATTCTTCACCAGTGGCCCACTGAGGATAACAAAAGCTACTGGTTGGCATGGGCTTCACCACATATTCAGCAAGAGATCGTCGAACAACTGAAGGAGAAATCACGCGGAGGGCATAAGCTGGAGTAGTTACACATGCAGAAGCAACCCTCTAATATTTGTCTCACGAGGTAATTATTGGACTCCAAACTGATTTAGGTTTAAAGTCGAATCCACCAGTGCACACCCAATCCTTAAGCATCTCCATTCCCATCTTCGTTTCAATTGAAAGATTTTAGGAAAATTGCTATGTATCGCTCGGCATCTGGATCAACAGAAAGTAACTCTATCTTCTGACACAAGGACGGTCGCTTTAGTTTTGGAGGTGCCTTGTGTTCTGATTAATTATCTGAATGCACCAGGCTGGCATTGCAGGCATTTCATCACGGTGCTGAGGTGGTTTGACAAAATGGTATTTTTCGGACTTCAGGCTCTTGGGGCCACAATGATACACCCGCCATGGCCACGTGTGTCGATAGGAGTGAGTATACCGTTTATACGTAATTTTGTGCAATTTTTAACAGCATTCAAGCCATTTTCGGCGGATTTTAATAGAGAGAAAAAGTAGTGCACACCACCTCCGGTAGTTTTTTGGATGGGAGTGTTATCGGGCAATCGAATATGACAGTTCCCTCCTTAATATCGTTTTGTTGATCTCTGTCTTTTAGTATGTACATCGCAATCAATGACGATTATATCACTGGCTTCACCAGTTAAAAGGGCTATTCCATTGTCTTGGTGGAAGAATTCCTTATAGGTATCGAGCGTGGCTCGTTCCCAACCCGGCTTGAAAACAATTTTCTTTCTGTTAACAACATCATCCCAGCGCAATTGATCCCAATAGGAACCATACTGAGGCCGACATATTTTTTACCAAAGACTTCCATCGTTTAACTTACAAACTTACTATCCACTTTCGCGCTCGTGCATTTAAGAAACACGTGCATTTAGAGAGGGACAAGCACACGCTTCAAAAAATCTCACGGGCTGCCTCGACAGACCAAAGGGAATGAGACCTGATCAGCGCAGCACTACTCCGCTTTCATCGACACAACACACATCAGCCAACTAGAACGCATAGGAACACAGGATCATCTCAGAAATGCTCGGATTCGTACGTCGCTCACTCAATGCAATCGGAGCAGAGACCGTCAAGGGTATGCTTGTTTTCTTTCTTTTTTTATTTTATTTTTTTTCTAACACTCGATTCACATACTTAAACCACTGAACCAAAAAAAAAAAAAAAAAAAAAAAAAAAAAAAAACCTTTCCCCACTCGATCGAATGCCGTTTTCTATTGTGTTTTATTTTACTTTGGACAGGCAGTGCAAATCGTACTCTAATGCTCCCACCTTTGTCTACCATATACAGTCGTACGGATGGACCACTCGCCATGGAAGCGAGAGATGCCTATGGCCGCACTAAGGACACAGGAGGATTTGAAGGGCTGGCTCGTAGGTTGTGACAAGGACATCGGAGGCTTCTCAGAGGCTCATCTGGAGATCACCAAGAACGGTACAGGCAAGTCAAGTCCAGGGAGGACAGCTCAGGACCATGGCTGCCGAACGACAGCCGACAGTCAGGACTACTATCTAACATTGCCTACTCTTGTTTCGAATGGATACCCTTCAAAAACACACAAAAAACAAAAAAACCTCAACGATAGGTCGCTTTTATGGTCATTTGTCACTGGATCTTCCCGAGAACGAGGACGTTGAAAAGAGTGGATATGCAGGCATCAGGACAAAGGTGAGAAGACACTGCTATACCAGGACTCACTCCCAAGATCGCACTTTCCATTGGACGATATTATTGATCTTTTTGACCGTCAAATCTTCAATAGACAAGGCCAGGATCGGTTTTTGGCACACCTGTCTGGGATACATGTCTTTACGAGTACCTTTCGTTAAGAGTCAAGGGCGATGAGCGGAAATACTTTGTCAATCTCCAAACAGATGGTGTTGTGCCTACGGATCTGTACCAGCACCGTCTCTTTTTGAAAACGCCCGGCGAGTGGGAGACCGTTTTGGTAATTAAACCACTGCTATTGCCAATCATCTTTTTTTCATTTTTCTTTTGTCTGTTTTTTTTATGGGTACCATCGCCAGGTGGCATGGGTCCTCGTTCCGCCTCGCATATTAACCATCGTCTGTTGTTTCTGTCCCTATATCGAACAGATCCCATTTAAGGACTTTATCTTGACAAATCAGGGCTTTATTCAGGAGGATCAAATCGAGATTTACAGGGAGAGGGTCAAGAACGTGGGTGTCTCCATCATTGACAGGAAATCAGGCCCTTTCGAGCTGGAGATTGAAAGCATCAGCGCTGCCAATGTCGGACCGGATCCAAATGCACCCCAGCCAGAGAATGAGCACCATTGAGTTCAAAAAATAGGACCTTGTTTGGTATTAAAAAGGCATGTATTGTACAAGAGATGAGATCTTTTAGCTAGTCGTGATAAGTGAATGCAAAAAAAAAGAAAAATGGCATCATGCGAGTAAGGATAATAAGTGAAAATAAAAGATGTCAAGAGAGAGCAAGAAAAAGATGTCTACTGGCGACGCTTCTTGCCCTGGTCGCGCAGTTTTGTTGCCAGCTTATGGGGATCCTCGGGCTTAACCTTGTTGCGGTTCTTGTTCTTGACGTTCGCAGTCTCATAATAATGAGTACCGACCTTGCCCTTGTTCGTCGTCATACGGGCCTCCTTCACGGGCTTTGTCTCTTTCTCCTCCTCCTTCTGCTCCTCCTCTTCAACATGCTTTCTCTTGCCAGCCTTTGCAGTCTTCTTGATGTCCTTGACCTCGAATCCAGCAGGTCCAGCTGCAACGCGCTTCAAGGCGGCACGCTTCTTGATCCTCTGCTTACGCTCGGTCTCCTCATCTGAAAGCTCGAGCTCACTGTCGACATCCTCCTCGCTGTCATTGTCTTCCTGTCCAGGGATTGAGTTCACAGTCTCTCCTACAACGTTGGCAAAGACATCATCCCAGTCCAACTTCTCGCCCGAAATCGCGCTGCTAGCCTTGGCCACTGCAGCCTTGGTCTCCTTCTTGGCCTTCTTCTCCTGTCGAAGCTGAGCCTTGCTCTTGCGGGTCTTGGTGGATGTGCTGAAACTTCCCTCCTTGTCCTCGTCCTCATCATCAGTCTTGTTGACATCATCCTCATCGACCTCATCAGGCAAAATACCCTCAGGAGCATTACTCTCCCGCTTGTTTTTCTCCTCCTCGAGCAACGACGCGTTCTTAGCCAGATCGTCAGCCATGAATTTTTGCATGACGGGAATCTTTGAGAAGATCTGCTCGACCTGAGGCAGTGATGGGTCAATGCTGTTATAAATCGGGGCCTCTTCCACAGCCTCTTCACCGGGCTTGTCACCCTCAGGAGGAGCGGTGTAATAAGGAATCTTGCCGCGCAACCAGTCGTTCAAAACCATCTTGGCGACACTGCCCAGATCCGCCTCGCCTCCTTTGATCAACTTTCCGGTGCGCTTGGCGAGCTGAGTCAAAAAGTCGACAGAGTCCTCCCAGTGGTCCAACTCGTATGTGCGCTGGATGTACTCTGGACGGACACGGCTCAAAAGCTCTGGAATGTAATCATCCGGTTGCTTGATGTTCTCTACACGGACGACTCCCTTGAGAACGATATCGGTCTCGGTATCCGTGGTCGAGGGATGGACGACTCCAGGGCAATCGATCAAGTAGATGCGCTTCATCAGAGTGATGTACTGCCAGACCTTTGTCTCACCAGGAATGGGGGCGACGTTGCAGACCTTCTTGCCACGAAGAGTGTTGATAATGCTGGACTTTCCAGTGTTGGGATAACCAATGAAACCAACCGAAATCTGCTTCTTGTCCGAGTGGAGGGTAGAGAACTGACGGAGGAGCTGGATCAACGATCCTTTACCGAATGAGTTGTTAATAGAGGCGTGGAAGGCGAGCGTAGGGTATTCTTTGGACAAGACCTTGACCCACTTGGCCTGTATATTATAGTGGAAATAGAAGCGTTGTTAGCGTCGGCAGCCTGGAAACAATCAAGACTGCATGTCCTATTGAAAATGATGGCAAACTTACAGTGACCCAGGTGGGGACGAGATCGCACTTGTTGAGGACGAAGATCAACTGCTTGTGGCGAGCCTCCTTCTTGATGTGGTACTCAACGTTGGAGCAGCGGGTGCCCATAGGGTCACGGGCATCCAGGACGTGAATAACAACGTCCGAGGAATCAATAACCTTGTAAAGTTCTCCCCAGATACGTTTCGACTGTCCCTTCTGGAAGACGCTGTCTCTGGCCTCTTCAATCCAGTCCGTGATCACATTCGACTGCAAGTTCTTGTCAGCCTTCTCGTCATAGTTCTCCAATGTCGACTCGACCTTCGCTGCCAAATCCTCCAAGTTTCCCATGGCCAACTTTGGGCGTTTACGCTGAGCCTTGTTTCCGAAGGTATCGCTAAATGGCTCTGTCTCCAACACATGCATTTTACCGACCTATACGAGGCATCATCGAGCGTATTTTAGTCACACGAGTCCGTACTGAAAGAATATGGGATGATGCACTAAAGATTGGAATAAGGATACTTACATGAACGGGATCCTGAAGAAGGGACATGGGAAGCTTGTGCTGCTTCAAAAGGACCTGGAAGGGATCGTTGACCTTGGCAGCCAGGTTCTCTCTGAAGCTCTCGAGGGCTTTTTGACCGATAACACGGGTATTACCGAACCACTTGCGATTGGGAGCCACACGGCCAGGCTCGACAGCCTTGCTCTGGAAAGAAGCAGCTTTGATGACCTTGCCCTGAGCATTGCGAATCGCCCTACCGCCCTTGAGGAGCTGGACCTGCTTGGCAGCCTTGGCATCTCTGTAAAAGTTCTCGCCCTTGACCTTAACGTTTCCGAGGCCGTTTGAGCCTCCCAAGGCCTTAACTCTGTTGTGCTCCTTCTTTAACTGGCCCATGGCGTGTGATGTAAGAGTGGAGTAGTGGGGAGGGGGTGATGATGTTTATGCCTATTGTTTTTTTTTTCTTTTCTTTTCTTTTTTTTTTATGACTGCCTCTTGCCTAGTTCCAAAATGTAAATAATCACTGTCAGGGCGATGTATCCCAAATTCCAATGCGTCACTTTTGCCGTGCCTGCCGGGGTTCGGTGCCTGGAAATTGACATGCAGCCAAAATAGATACCCTCTTACTCCAGTTTCCCAACAGTAATTACTTCTTTCCGTATAATCACAATGGTCTCCAGATTCGCTCAAGCTGCCAAGGGCATCCGCTTCGCCTCCTCGGCATCTGCCAACGCTGCTAACCCCTGGTTGGCCGAGCGCGTCGCCATCAAGGAACACGCTGGTCGTACGTCCCTCAAATCTCATTCCCCTGGAATCAGGACAACTTGTACACTTGATCACAGTGAAGATCTTAAGTCAAAAATCATGTATTCCGTTACTATTGCAGGACTATCGCAGGACTATCGCAGGAGTAGATCAATGTAGCACAGAAAGCAGATCGTAACCATATCCACAGTTTTGAGGAGTAACAGTAGTACCGACCGTTCCAGCACTCTAGATCAGCAAACCCCTCTCCCGCGTTCAATTGATGCACTATGCACATTCGAAATGCGCTCGAGCCCCTTTTACCCCTGACAACGAACACTTCGTGATAACCATCCAGCTCGGCAACTTTTACGCTCTATACATCGTCACTCACTCCCAGTTTCATCTCTGCACTTCCTTCAATTGGACACGTCCACAGCCGCTGCTGAGACCTGGCGCAAGATCTCTATCTACGTCTGCATCCCTGCCGTCATCGCTGCCTCTGCTAACGCCTACAACCTCTGGGCAAAGCACCAGGCCCATCTGGAGCACGAGCGCCACGAGGGCCATGAGGCTGTCAAGTACCCCTACATGCGTCTTCGTACCAAGGTAACCAATGCATCCTATACGATACGTGTCATATGTCTGTGTATTACTCATGTACTTAGTATGGGCAAACCCCCTTCACTTTTCCTGACACACCGCCAACATCTCTCTTATTTACTTTTTACCCGCCTCTAGGCCTTCCCCTGGGGTGATGACTCTTTGTTCTTCAACCCTGAGGTTAACATGTAAAGACCAGTCCTCGGAAGCATCGACGCTCAACCCATGATCAAGAAAGTACGAGTGAAGGAAAGACGAGGCAGAGAAATCATATAGAACGTCTTATCACCCGACTCCGGCAATGAAATCGGAGGCATAGAATTGTGGATTTTTTCAAATGTAAACCAACATTGTTCAAACATCTTATTCATTTTCTTCTTGTGGATATTGTTGGGTGGGCGCAGGACCAAATGCAGCCGATTGTTAAACGTGGAAGGCGAAATATGCCTATAATCGGTCAAAGATGGGCTCATGACATCTACTTGTAAAGAGAGCAGAACGTGTCAAAACGCGCCGCAAACTTTTCCCGCGGAAAAGGATGGACTTTTAAATGGGGTTTCTTCCTCACGAAATACCTGCGAACCTTGCATTAAAGAGCATTTGTTTGTAGTCTACTGAAGCGCTGCCTCAGTCCATAAAATCTTTTGGACAAGGCCGTTGATGACACAAAATCCGTTTCGTGCGACCTGGATCCTTATTGACCATCAGCCATTTTTTTTCTTTTTCTGTCTCTCTTTGCTTGTGCGATGGTGGCGAGGGGGGGAGTGCGCAAATAGAATGACCGCAAAGAGTCGAGAGCAGTATCGATTGTATGCATGTTGATGCTCACATGAGGCTAAGGAGCACCTTAGCAAGCACAGCAGCTGAAGCGATCGGCGGTAGTGCTTGTTGAGTCGATGGTGGAAGTGAGGCGTAGTAACCCTTTTTCCCGGCCATAAAAGTGAAGAGAAGCTCCTCACTCCTTTCCACATCCGCTTATACACTCCTTCGCCTTTTGATATCCCATACACGCACATCTACAGCAAACTCCTTCTCCTGAGCGCCATTCTCCTCTAGCAAAGCATTGTAACCATGACTATCGAGAGCTACAGCAACAAATCCCGCAAGGCCCAAACTACAACCAAGACAGGCGGCCTGAGCGGCTTCTTCAGCTCCATGTTCCACTCCTGCTTCCCAAAGAACACAACCAAAAATGCAACATGGACCAACTGGGCCAAGAACCAGTCTTGTCGTCCCGCCGACATCTTCTACCCCGAAACCCTTGAGGATCTAAAGAAGATCGTCAACATGGCCCGCACGAATGGCAAGAAGGTCCGATGTGCAGCGTCGGGCCATTCCTGGTCCTCTACGTCTGTCACGGACGGATACCTGGTGGTCGTCAACAAGATGGAGAATGTGTATAGTCCTGTCTATTCTGAAAAGGAAAAGACCTGGACCGTGCAGCTCGAGACAGGTGTCTTGGTCAAGGACTTGGACAACGTGCTGAGGGACCACAACCCTCCATTGACGCTGCCCTCGAACGTCGTATTGGACTCTGTTCGCTATGGCGGCGTTCTGAGTCTTGGCTGTGTAAGGAACTTCGTACCTCCATGTTATCACTCGCCGTTCGTACACTGTGGGTTTCTCTCAGTCAGCATCCCTGCTCCAAGGATGCCTTAACTAATCAAAAACTTGATATCCCTATCCTTTTTCCAATCGATAGCATGGTGCCGCAACACACACCCGCACCCTTCCGGATCTCGTGAGCGAGGTCACCATCATCGACGCCAACGGAAACCTGAACACGTTCTCACAAGAGAAAGATGCAGAAGAATTTTCAGCAGCCTGCGTCAATCTCGGCCTACTCGGTGTCATCTACAGCTACACACTCAGGGTCGAGCCCATGTTCAAGTTGCACATGGTATGATTATTTACCCTCACGAACGCGCCAAACTTTTATAGACCACTGCATTTTTTAAATCAAATGCATTTTCATTTCTATAGACGGACACGTATCCGCCTCTCAGCGACTACTTTGCTTCGCCTAATTTGTGCGGCCCAAAGCTCAAGGCCATGGTCTTGGCCAATGACCAAACCGAGATCTTTTACTGGCCCTTTAACACACCTGACCTGGGCGCTGCCAATGATCGCATCTGGGTGAAGCAGTGGCAGCGTACCACAGTTCTGCCAGTTAGCATCAGTAAAGAATGCGAAGCCTTCCACAAGCTGATTCAAGGGTATGAGACTCAGTTTGGTGAACATCTATACGAATTCATGGCAAAGCATCCCTCGAGCACACCATTTGTCAACTGTCTACTGTTCAAGGCAGTCGGAAATAAGGACGTAGAGCAGGTCTTAGAGGCGCCTGACGCGATTCATTATCAGGCTGGGATTGATAACCTGCCGTGTGTGGATTTGGAGATGGCGTTCAAGGTCAACGAGGATTTTTCGAATGTGGTCATTGCCTGGAACTACGTGATTGAACAGGTGAGCGAGCATGCTGTCCGACCTTCAAGCTACGGAGCAATGTGCAGAGATGGCGTTTATCATATCTTCGTTACTGCTCGCACTGACAATTGCATTTGAAATTTTTTTGCTAGCTATACGAATATGCGAGCCGTGGCGAATTTCCATTCAACCTCACGCTCGAGATGCGTTTTGTCAAGTCATCTTCACTGCTCATGTCGGCAGCGTATGACACAGACCCCGAAGCGATCTACTGCATGATCGAGATTCTTTCGGTCAACAACACCAAGGGTTTTGATGAGTTCTCGAGTAAGATTGCCAAGTTCTGGATGGACAATTTCCGCGCAAGGTATGTACTATATCTGGTTTACTCTTAGTTCTCTCCTCCCTCCTCCTCTTCCCCCTCACTCATCTCAGATGTTTTTGCTGACGCTGAAAATTCTTTCTATTGCGCATTCTAGGCCGCATTGGGCAAAGATGTGGGAACATGTACCGGGCATTGTGCCCTATCTCCGCCAGCAGGACAGCGAACGTTACGATCGCTTTGAAGTCGTGCGTAGGAAGTACGATCCTAATGGCATGTTCATGAACTCGACCTTTGCCGGTGTATTAGGCCATTAGAAACAAAAAAAAAGATATGCGAGAATTTATACCGCTTAATACATGACCATTGCACATACATTTCGCAGCCCAGACGTCAGTCGAGGATGTATAGAAGTTTATATTCCGTGTATTGAGGCTATCTATTGTCGTATTCAATCCAAGGTCGTTTACAAGTGAAGGACTTCTGATTCTTCATTCAGGGTTTGGTCGCTGAAATGACGAGCAAGTTGACTGTCTTGCTTTACAGACGCTGCAACGCTCTCCTGTGCGTCGCCACCGGCCACAGCAATGTCCATTTTTTTATCTTGCGAGAAATCAGCATTCTTTTCACCATCTTCGTCAACTACAGCACTTGTAGAAGACTGGAGGATAGTTTCTTCGCGAGCGCGTCTGCGGCGTCTCAGCTTCATGAAAGCCAGACCAGCAATCACTGCAAACCAATATAGAATGTAGCTGACGATGGTGCCAATAGAGGCAACGTTATTCCAGCCCTATTCAACATTCGTACAAAAAGGGGTTAAATTGTAGCCTAACATCTTAAAACACATAAAGAGCGGCAGTAAGAGAGTCCGTTACCAGAACCGCGTTCAACAACGCCCAACCCCCAGCATTCGGGTCGTTCGGGTTACAGCATTTCAGTCCCCAGACATTGACGCGTGGATCATACGTGCCCACATCGTCCGACTGCGTGTCCGTCAGCCTGTTCCAGGTATTGGCCTCGAACGCAGTAACAGCCTTGGCGACCAGGCCTGCGGCGATGATGAGTAATAGGCATGTGGAGGCCACGAAGAACTTGTGCAGCTTCATCATGTTGCCTCCTCGGTAGAGCAGGAATCCGACAAAGAGGCCGCACAGGATACCGACGACCACGGCTGCAGGGATCGCTCTTGCCTGCTCAGAAAACGTAATCTTTTTATTTTATTTTATTTTTCAAACGAAGAAGGTGGTTACAAGAGTGAGTATATCGAGTTGAAAGAGTAGGCATATTGTCAAAAGGACCAGATCGAGTAATGTTTGTTTAATACAAAAATAATAACTTACACCACCGATGAAGACAATGGCCTCGAGACCCTCGCGCAAGACGGTGATGAGTGGCAGGATAAAAAGTGCATAGCGACGCGAGCTGTTGCCGAGGCCACGCTCGTTCTCTTGCTCCATGGCCTTGGACAACTTGCCTTTCCATTTTTCTTGGATCTGCGTCGTCCGCAGCATGGCAATGCCCATGACCGTGATCATGACCACGGCAATCAACGAGAAACTACCTTCCCAGAGCTCTTCACTGTTGGCCCATAGGTTGTTGGCGTACTTATTCCTATTTGAGGGATCGGTTGGTTTTAGAAATACGGTTGCGTAGGGAGGGTAAAAATATTTTAAAAATGAAATCCAGCGACTTACCAGATAACAATGAATGCAGCGCCAATCGCCAGCGAGATGGCTAGCCCTAAGGCTGTCCCGGCCCACACCTTTCTTTCAAACAAACAAACAAAAAACGAGCTGATGAGCGATAGGGTTCTGACAGGTTTCTTAATTTGCCTGGTTATAAGCCAGAACAGGACTGACCTGACGAGATAATCTCTTCTTGATTAATGGATCCTCAGTCAGGACTTGCTTCAAGAACGAGAGCAAGACAGAGACAATGATCGCAGCCTCAGTGGTCTCGCGAAAGATGATGAAGAAGATGGGGATCGAGAAGTAGTCTGTTGCTCCCATCGTGTTTTTGCTATGTTTGCCGCGTCTCTGAAGGACGTGCTGTGCGGAAGTTGTGTGTGGATAAAGTATTAAATACGAGTTGACACGCGCGAATAAGCAGCGATGGATGTGTAAGGAATCCCGGTGAAGATAGACGATGAGGAGGGAAGCACAGAGAAAAGGGTACTCGAGCGAGGAGATGGAGAGCGCGACGAAGGCCTTTTTTATATATTGAAATAAGGTTATCAGATGGTGTAGTTCAATCTGATAACAAATCGGCGGAGAGAAAAAAAAGAAAAAAAAAAAAAACTCCCCATCTCATAGTTCATCCGTGGCGTATTTTCAATGCCATACACACACACATCGGACAGCAAAGTACATCAACGTGAACAACCAGACTGATGAAGAGATGAGTTTATCCGTAGACACCAACACTAGCCCGCATAGAATAAGAAGGCGTGGTATCAGATTCATCTTTGTTTTATTTTTCTGCTGTCCAACCCACCCCGGGCTGCCATTTTTATTACTCATCAGTTTACTCCGCTCTCTTTGCAGCCCAAATAGGGCGCATTTTATCCAGCTGGTCCTGTCGCAGTGACATCGTGTGAAAAAGAGACGCACAGAGCAGTGGTACCACCCTTGTTCTGGCCCATATCTGCAACATTGTTTTTCCTGTACTTTTTCTTGCATTAGGTCTGGGCCTAATCATTTCTTGTCCAAAATACCCGGCTCACTTTACGAATAGTCTGTAACAGATGCTTTTATTCTGTACCATGCCATTGGTAGCGTGTCCGCTATTCCTCCCATATCAATCAGCGCATGAAAATACTGCACAAAGATGAGATTGTTGGTCATGAATGTTTGGTGTCTTTACTTGTGCTCATTAGGCGAAAAAGTCGGATAACATCGCCTCAGGACCTCGTCGTACTTCCTGTTCGCATGGTGCGCATCGTCAGCAAACTTCGCGTGCTCAGATTGCCGCTCCTCGACAGCTTCCTTTGGCTCCTTGATAATGCCTCCGACACTTCTACACCACCTAACCTGCCACCACCACTGCTTCCCGTGCCCTTTTGCGCTTGACTGTACGCCTGCACCTCTGACTCGTCCACCAGATAATAGCTCTCCCCACTAAGGCGACTATTTCTGGTCCGAGCCGACATGGGGGACCGTGTGTGTTCAATTCCACTGCTGCAGCCATAGCGATTTTCATTTTCCTGTCCAAATTCCTGTCGACTCCGCACTCGGCCCAATGACTCGGTTCCGAAGTCCCTTTGTTGCTGCAGCCGCTCCTGCTCGCGGCATTCCTGCTCGTACAAGTCCTCTGTTTCTTCATCCCACCCTAATTCCTGAAGAATCCAGCTCAAAACCTTCATGAATCGGATGTAATCCTCCTCTTCCGCATTTTTTCCTGTGCCTCGCGCGAGATGTGAAGCATTTCCATCGTCCATGGCCGTTGACACGGTTGAAGGGTCCTGGTTTGGATGCCGGGAGCTTGCCCCGGAGGGCTGGCGAGGGTGACGCCCTGAGTCAGGTTGCTGATGACGTTGGTGGTGTTGGTGAGGGCGGAGTGGAGATATGGCCACCGGTAGAGGATCGTTCCTGGAGCTACCGAATCGTGCTTGCTCGTATCCTGCTATATATTCCAGTCCAATATCTCTCGTTATCAGCTTTTGGTCCATGAGCATGTGGATATACGCCGAGATGGACATGTTGGGTGGCCGGGCCAAATCCGGTGAGTTCGCGACGGCGGCTCGTTCTGTATTTGACGATTGCGAGATTGATGAAACAAATGTCAGTACAACATCATCTAAGGGGCCTTATTGCTACCAGTCGGGAGGCATATTTTTTTGTTTTCTACCAATAAAGTGAGGTGTGCTAGCCATAAAGGTTTTAAAATGAGTATCCTGCAGTGACGACTCTACGATCAGACAAGATGGTGTTTCGAAGTCAATCGCTGGTCTTTGATCGCAACATTGCAGAGAAAATCTGTACGCCAAGGAGACAGAACTAACCAGGTTTGCCCCACCCTGGCTGTCCGCTTTCCTCCAGCAATGGCTGAGCTTTCTTGACCAGTCTTGCAACGCGATCCAGCTCCGATTGTACAAATTCGTACACTGTCTAGGAATGACCAATTTAACGACAATGTAAGCAGTTGTTCCAAACATCCATTCGGATTGTTAGACTGCGCGCGTCGTATCCTCAAAGTCCTGAATACCTTTGGCAAATCTTCGCGTGTGATAGGCATATACGCCTTTGGGATCGCCTGTCGTGCCAGTTTTACTGTCACATATCGAGAGAATCCAAAGATGGTGGCCAACAGACCCTATAAAGCACAATTGCATCATCGACGCAGTATTATGGTTAATATTTTGCTGGATAAACCAGTCGGTTATTACGACGCATTGCGGGCGAAGCACAATGAGATATCAAAACTTACTAGAAGAACGTAGCTGCCGCCAAATACGGCAAGATTTTTGTAATTGGGAGGATCGCCCAGGTTGGCTGGGTGAAAGATCTGAAAGATCACATCATATGCTGACGCGAAGATGCATATTCCTAGCAAGGTTATGAAGAACAGCGTTGATATCGTTGATATTGTTGATATTGATATCCTGTTGTTGCTATCCAATAGTGCAGCATAGTCTTTGTGCGTTTGGACGAGACAAGGGTGACGCACCTGTGACTGCAACCAGGAAGAATAGCGAGCTCACATAGAAGCAGCTGGAGCGCGTCAGTGGCATTCACTCTGCGTGTGTGCGTCAAGGCGACTTGATGGTGATGTTATAGGGTCAAGGTCTAAATGAAGGCGGTCTTGGCCTGGAGATGTTGCGAGTGATGAAGGCAAAAGAAAAGGGGCTCGCTCTGCCAGTTTGTACTTTGTAGTGAGCATTCATATATTTACACGTGATTCATTCATAGCACCTTGCGCCCAATCCAGGCACCAGCCAAAGCAGTGTACAGCATACTCCATGTGTCGCAGAACTGTATTTTATACGATACAGGAGTGGTCTAAAGATGATGGCTAGTGCCAATTGCTAGTATACATAAAGGACGAAAACGAGGAATAAGGCCGAAGAGTCCAGTTTTCCGTAGGTTTGTAGTTGATGTTCACGGGTGCTGTCCGGATCGAAGAATGGCAAATTTAAAGCTGCTTCTGGAGGCGGGCCAAGTGGTAGTTAACAGTGTTAACCTTCTTCGTCTTCGTGGGCTATATAGTACGAGAAGGTAGGGAGGAATTATTAGAGAGATTGTCTTGGATCAAAATCCCCAATTGAACAGCTTGTCAATTGCTGTTTGTCGTGCTCCTGCCTATCGCCTTTTTACTCTAGCTCCAAAACTAGTCCCGTTTGATTGCGAAGTTAAACCCAGCTCCCAGTCCAGTGTATGCGACCTGATCTCGCTCCATAAACAGTGCCCCTTCCGGTTCCTGGATGCAACAGGACGCTGGTCGATCTCGTTGATCGATCTCCGCTGTCCATACTCCTCCTCAAATCCTGTAGTAACAAGTCTTACCAAGTTCTTCATGCAGTCAGCGAGCATCTTGGCGGATTGCATACACTTGGCATCATCGACTCCGGAGGCGGTCCAGCACTGGATCATGGCACCCATCTCGGCAATACAGGGGCTGGCCTCGATCACCTTGCGAGGCTTTGTGCGAAGATACTTCAGTCTCATTATTGATAATCCTGATAGCCGTTATTCCAAAAGTCAGAGATATCCAGAGAAGTGAGTTGTGAAGTGCGAGAGGTAGTACACCGAGTTTAATACGGAAGGTAAGACCAGGATTCCATGTCACGGATTGGTTGATTGATCAGGTCCATTTGAATCCAGCAGAAGTTAATATGCGAGTGAAAAACAAGAGCTTGATCAGTATCCTCATCCTGCATCACATTCCAGAACAAGGATCAACTGCTGGCGAGAAAGTGGCATGCGTACCTTTGTTGTTCGGAGGTGAGGACAGATTCCGGTAGAGTGGAGTTGAGTTCGACAGGGCGATTATTTTTGTTTGCTTGCTGGCGTGACGTAGTCGTTTATACTGGTGCTGTGCTTTAAAATACGGCGCCAATGGATTTCTAGACGTTGTATTGGACATGACATTTGAAGCCTGCGCTCGTTTTTTTTTTCGCATATCAAAGAGCCTTCACACGCGTCAATATAGACATGCAAACGAGAACGCGTGTATTTCATCACAGTTTAAATTACATTGAATTGAGAATGACAGAGAAGTAGATAAATAAAGATATAATGAAAAAGAAACCCGATTTCGGGGCATCTGGTGCCACTTTTTATTGCTTTCGCAAACAAGAAATATAGCGAATATATTATGCTATGTTGTCCCTGGGCAATACTCTTAGCAGTTGTACTTCAGGCAGCAGATTTGGGAGCCGCATTGGACTGGGCCACCCCACTGAATGCACTTTCTCCAGAGGCAGCATTCTCCGACCCCGCACCCAGTGGAGGAATACTTGCAGCAGGTGCTACGCTTGGTGAGGCCCACTATTGTTTACAATTGATTATTAACTGTTATGCCTTTTTTGACAGCTCTGTTCTGGGCTATTCATGCTAGATACTTACCGGCAAGTGAATCGGCGAGATTTTCAGGGTCGGCGGATACAGAGAGAACAAAGGCAAGGGCTGCGGAGGCGATGACAACGTGGAACTTCATTTTTTTTTCTTTTTTTTTTTTTTCAATAGAAATGAGCGGTGGCAGTGATAGGCGGGCTTGTGTTCGTCCTTGGGGATGAGGCGAGATGATGCGAGATGGTGCGATTTTTTTGAGCAGAAGTGAATGAAAGCGCGAGGGCGAGGTGTGCATGCCAGGGTTTATATACAACTTTTGTTTCCTTCATAGTGCAGGCACGCGTATTATGAATTTCTGGTCTTGCTTGAATCTCCAAGCACTGCTCCCTCCTTTTTTTCATGGGCGCCGTTACCGCAAGGTGGATGAAGTGATGCAGCCATGTCCTTAAAAAACAGCTTTTCTTTTCATTCATGTTTGCACTGACCTCTCAGCCTGCGTTCGTTACATAAATAAAGCGCCGTGCTGCAACTAGACACGGATCTAGGTGTACTATGGTATCACAATCATGGTTCTTGATAGGCAGGATCGTACAAAAGTGATTGGTTACAGGTTCTGTTTACCATTCGGCACGCACGCTCTGCATCCATCTTTTGGTGTAGTAGGAACGCGTTGACAGGTCGGGTGACATCCCATTAGCTTATTCTGTCTTTGTACTCGCCAGCAATCGTCGTGTAACGGACGGCTAACGCGTGCAGAAGAAGCGGCTAGGCTCGGGCCAATTCTTCAACTCGCAATCAAGATGTGGCACTGTCCTACAGAAATAACACGCTTTCATAATTATTTCTATCCCTTTTACATGCAGGAGTCTAGAACAAAGCAAACTAATCCTACGTCCTATCAATCCTCATGGATATGTAGCTCGAAGAAACACAAGACAACTTTCGCATCAGCATGTTTCAAATTCTCCGTTGCCAGTTAACATAACTTACCGACAAGAAGAGATGCTTTCTTGATATTACATGCACCATGCGAATCCACGATAATGTCAATTAGGACCGTAAAAAATTGCGACCATTCAGTCCATGGGTTCATAGACAAACACATCGCACGCACACATCTGTCTGTCATAGAGTTGAATACGATGCAGATTTATTGCGATACAGGTTCATCTACATATTAATTCGGCGTAGGTATTGGTCGTTATGGCCCTTGAACCTAACGCCTTGCCCTATTGGTACGATGCCCTTGAGTAGGAAGCACTCGTAGCAATCAACAGTTGTAGCTCATGCAGCACCCAGAGTAACCGCACTGAGCAGGGCCACCGTATCTCGTGCACTTCCTCGTGATGCAGCACCCCATGACTCCGCAATACTGGCTGCCGTCGGTGTACTTGCAACAATCTATACGTTTGGTCAACAAGCCCTCTATCCATTTGTGCCGTAAAATATGAGGGCAAATAAATAAATGTTGAGTACAACATCTCTTATTATCTTCTTCGCTCCATTGTAATAAGAATTCATCGTAACACTTACCGGCAACGGGCTGCTCGTTATTGGCAGGAAGAGCCGTAACAGTGCTAATGACAACGAGTGCAGCGATCATGGTGGCAAAGCTGAGCTTCATGTTGAAGATGCGAACGAGAAGAGTTTTTTTATGGATAGGATTGCTTTGTGCTTTTGGAAGAGCGGTTGGTGAAAAAGAAAGGCAGGGGCAGAACGTGCGCACTTTTATATCATTCCAACTGAAGATAGATTCCTTAAGAAAAGCTACCGTCGCTGCACCTTTGCTGGCCATAACTAAAGCGGCGGTACAGAAGACTGTAAAACGCGCCGCGTTCTATCTAGGAGGGCGTTGCGCAAGGATGTTGCACAATCAAGTACCGGAACTTGGAAGATCGCGTGCGTACTATTGGCTGATCCAAGGCGCCGTCAGTAATTGAGCTCCTCCTGTCAACGTAAGACATTATTCGGCATTGGTGTGGAGGAAACAGTACGCTTGATTGCGTGTATCGGGCGCAGCACATGTTTACATAGACGAACGGCATGTTCCTGAGCGATCGAGAAGGACCATCAAAGAAAAGCTAGAAGACGCGTCTGATTCGGCTAGGATTCTAAGTTTGTAGAATAGTTTGCCAATTTCGACGTACAGGAGACAATGAGGACACGCTTGCATGCCCTTGGGGTGCGAGAACGATAGGCTGGGCTGCACTTCACTAGCAGCTACAGGCAACGACATTGTGCCTCAAGGGGGTGAGAAGGAGGTTAAGTGGAGGTGTAGGGATGGTACCTCCGTGTGGTAAGTGCACCCGCGGCCGAGTTCTTTTCCAGTGAACACGGACTCACGACCGGTTGGCTGCCGAGGAGATCGGGCTAAAGGCGGATAAGGGTAAACGCCGAGGCATATCAGCCGAAGCAACACAGAAATAACAGTGTGCTTCCCCCACATCCCTCATTTCACATCCACAACCCCATCCATTCTCTCCACTATGACTTCCATCTCAACCAACAAGCGACTTGAGCAGATCAAGGATCACATCAGTGGTAGATGATTCATTCTTTGCAACCGAACTCGTTTGTGTGAGCCGAAAGAAATACTCAGTACCAACTGATCCAGCCAATCCTATCTCTCACAGGAAGCAGTGTCCACCGTGAGCGCCTTATCCACCATAGGCACCCCGACGATGTCGTGATTGTTTCGTAAGTAGGCAGAGAATACAGGTACCTTGCTTGTATATCGTCCGCATCGAGTTTCTGACCTGACTTGTCACTTTTATTCCCGCAGGGCTGTCCGCACGCCCATCTGCAGGGCTGGAAAAAAGGGTGGTTTCAGAGACATGTACCCTGAGGACTTGCTTGCGGTCGTCTTGAAGGCAGCCGCTGAACGTGCCAAGATCGACCCCAAGGTTGTCAATGACATTCAGACTGGCAATGTGTTGCAGGAACTCGGCGGTATCAAGGTTGGTCGCGCTGCCATGTTCACTGCCGGTAAGTCCACGATTGCATCTTTACTGGCCGGCAGGTATAAACGATCGCATGCATTGGATGTGTTGTAACAAGAAAAACTGACAAGTTCTCTATCTGTCGTAGGCTTTCCATACACGACGACATACGGTGTGCTGAACCGCCAGTGCTCCTCCGGTCTACAGGCCTGCAACTATATTGCCAATGCTATTCGCGCTGGAGAGATTGATGTCGGTATCGGTAAAGCCATCATACTGCCCATTTAGGCTGCCTGAATGTATTATCTATTCAAAGATAATTAAAGCTGACGAACATGAGCAATGGTTTCTATAGGTGCTGGTGTCGAATCCATGACCCATGATTATGGATCCAAGAGCATGCCTTCCAGAATTTCGCCCGCCATCAAGGCTGGACCGGGTGCCGCTGATTGCTTCGTGCCCATGGGTATCACCTCTGAGAACGTTGCTAGCGACTTCAATATCACTCGCGAGGACCAGGATCAATTCTCATCAGAGTCGCATGCGAAGGCACTGAAGGCTCAGGAACAGGGCTTGTTCAATACTGAGATTGTGCCCGTCAAGGTGCAGCAAAAGTCCATTGTCAAGGATGAAAACGGTCAGGACAAGGAGGTCACTCAAGAAGTTATCATCTCTAAGGACGAGGGTCCGCGTGCAGGATCGAGCGTTGAAAAGCTGGCAAAGCTGAAGCCCGTCTTCAAGAAGGATGGATCGACGACCGCAGGAAATGCATCTCAGGTCTCGGACGGCGCGGCAGCCGTGGTCTTGATGCGCAGAAGCAAGGCCCAGGAGCTCGGATGCACAATCTTGGCGCGCTGGTGTGGCGCCAGGGTTGTGGGATGCCCTCCAAGAATCATGGGTATTGGTCCTGCGGTGGCGATTCCTGCAGTCTTGAAGGACGTCGGTCTCCATATCGATGATGTCGATATTTACGAGATCAATGAGGCCTTCGCTTCTCAGGCCCTTTACTGTGTGCGCACCCTTGGCATCAAGCCGGCCAAGGTCAACCCGAAGGGAGGCGCTATCGCTCTCGGCCACGTAAGAATAGTCGTTTCTTGTGGGCGCTTCGAATCGATGGTCAAACAACAGTAAACAAGAATACTGACCTATCTTCTTCTATATCTCTTTGGTCCTATATAGCCACTAGGGATGACTGGAGCCAGGCAGACGGCCACTCTGATCTCGCAGCTCCACCACACCCAGCAGAAGATTGGTGTGATCTCGATGTGCTACGGCATCGGAGGGGTAAGGGCAACAATGCAGACTGCAACCATTGATGGTGAAGCTGATGTTTATTGTCACTGTGCTAAACTATTCGGTTTTTTTTATTGTCTTGGTGTCCTAGGGCATGGCCGCTGTGATCGTGAGCGAACAGGACTAGACACGCCACCAATTTTTCAATAAAGCATAGCCACCTGGTCCTTCCACTTGTTTGTTTGAACCCTGTCTTCCATTCCTTTACATCCGTTCGATGGCATCTGGTTTGAACAACCTAGACCTCATTTCAAACATCACCTGTCTGACCTCCAAAAAGAATCATGAGGAAGCCTTGCGAATCCTCAAAAAGGTCGCCACTATGGTAACGAGCACAGCCCATGCCATGTTGTGTGCATTACTTCTCTGGTTATCTCTAGTTGCCTCTGGACACTTCTGTTGACAGAACTCACACTTTCTGCTTCCAATATTTGTATCTGAATGCTAGGTACGACCCATTATGAAGGTTCACGGCTGGAAAACTCATACCTTAGCAGAGTTTTACCCAAAGGGCCTCCTCGGCATGAACACCAACCGCGGTTGGAAGATCCAGCTCTGCCTGCGCTATCACCACGACGAGAATTTGTTCTTGCCTTGGGAGGAAGTCATCGGGACCATGCTGCACGAGCTCGCCCATAATATACGCGGACCCCATGATGCACAATTCTACAAGGCCCTGGACAGTTTGAATGACGAATACGATAAAGTGATTGCTTCTGGGTACACTGGGCTTGGTTTCGATGCGGCAGGACATCGCTTGGGAACAAAGCATGGTGGATTTGGAACTGGCGGCACTCGTCTTGGTGGAGCTTTAGGTGATAGTACCATAACGGGAGCCACTCGGGCTGCAGCGGTCCTTGCAGCAGAGAAGCGACGACAGGTGAACGAGATAATGTTGCCCGCTGGCGGGCGTCGATTAGGAGAGGGCTCAAAGATGGGTTCGACCTCAAAGAACTTTTGGGAGCAGTGGCACAGTCCAGGAGAGCTGGCGGCGATGGCTGCAGAACGGCGCGCCAAGGATCAGGTCTGGTGCGGGTCGTCGGCTACGAGCAATGTCGAGGCTGCGACCAGCAATCAGCTGGAGCCGACTTCAACATTTAGCACGCCTCAAAGCCAGCAGATGGAGCCTCTTACTAAGCACAAGCGCAAAAGTGAAGCCGATCAGTGCCTAGGATCGAGTAATGCGCAGGGAAAGAAATCAAGAGATGAGCGTCCTCAGAAAGCATTGGAGCCCTCGCAGTCGCCCACGGCATCCGTATCTTCGACATTGGCAAGCACAGTCACTCGCTGGTTCGAGTGGGCATGCCCCGCATGTACGCTTCTGAACAGACCACTTGCTTTACAGTGCGATTGTTGCCTAACATTGCGTCCCATCGATCTAGACGCCTAGGACATGGCTGAAATAAATCCATTGATGGTTTTTTTTTTTTTTTTTTTTGATGACATGATGATTTATTCTGTTATATTACACAAAATAGTATGCCGTGGGTGAAATGGTGCATTCAGATGCGTCGGAGGTGGCGACTACAGAGACAACAAAAGATGACTATGGTACAAACGATCGTGCTCTAAAAAATATATAATAGAAACATGCAAGATAACAGAAAAAGAAAAAAAACGATGCAAATAAAGGACACAGATTATAGGGACAAATAAATGGGAAACAGATGTAAGGGAATCATCGGTGCCTTGTAAAGATGGGCCTTGGAAGAGCCTAAAGATCCGTATGGGGATTTAGAAGGTGACCTTGGAGCCCGAGAACGATCCAAAGCCTCCGCGACCACCACGACCGCCACGACCGCCACGATCACCTCCGAAACCGCCACGACCACCACCACGACCACCGCGACCGCCGCGATCACCTCCGAAGCCGCCGCGACCACCACCACGGCCACCACGGCCACCGCGACCACCACCGAATCCACCACCCTCAGAGCGCTCAGGCTTCTTTCCAGCGAAATCCAAGCGGCAGGGGCGACCAGCGATGTCAGAGCCGTTCCAGGCAACAGCAGCCTTGGCCTCATCGATGGAGGAGAACTGGATGTAACCGAAACCCTTGGCCTGGCCGGTCTCGCGGTCAGTAGGCAGACGGACAGAAATGATCTCTCCACACTCGGTAAAGGCACCGCGGATATCATCCTCGGTGGCGTTGAAGGACAAGTTGCCGATGAAGATCGTGTCAGAGGCCTCGCCCTGAGGAGCGTTGTTGAAGGTCTTGGCACCAGCCTCCTTCTTGGGACGGGACTCTGAGAGATCGACACGGATGGCACGGCCATCGATATCCTTTCCAGCCAAAGCCAAGGCAGCGTTGGCACCATCGGCATTGGTGAACTCGATGTAGGCGAATCTAAGATCACAAAATGAACAACTGAGGTGTGAGGACGGAACGAAGACATTGGCTAATCCCATGAAAAAGCAATTGACGAGCCATTGAACATAACATACCCCTTGGAGCGCTGGGTGTCACGGTCGGTAATGACACGGACATCGATGATCTCACCGCACTCAGCAAACTCAGTGCGGAGCCAGTCGTTATCGACATTCCAGGAAAGACCACCAACAAAGACGGTAGCCGAAGTAGGAGCGGCAGCATCATCAGTCTTGGTCTTCTTGGCAGCGACGGCGCTGCTATCCTCGCTGGTCTTACGCTTGGTAGACTCTGAGTCTGAGCTGGCGGCGGACTCGGAGGTTTCCTTGGCCTCCTCCTCCTCCTCCTCAGAGTCGGAAGAGTCAGAGTCAGAGGAGTCAGCCTTCTTGTTCTCGGCCTCCTTCTTCTCCTCTTCGGAATCAGAAGAGTCGGAGGATGAGGAGTCAGAATCAGATTCGGATGAAGAGGATGAGGACTCAACAGCCTTCTTCTCGACCTTGGCGACCTTCTTCTCGGCCTTGGCAACCTTGGAGCTCTTGACGGCAACGGACTTGGCCATTTTGATAATGAGTATGTATGGAGGTAGGGGGAAAGGGTAAGGGAAGGAGAGAGAGAAGGAGCAAATAAACTGCACACTTCACTACCTGCAATATATAATATATTGGCCTCTCACCCAAGGCAAAAAAAAAAAAAAAAAAAAGCGGCAGTCATAAAAAACAAACAAAAGCACGTGCCATGTGCACCTCTCTGTTTTTCACTCGTGGTCTCGTGCACCTGTTGCGCGTCGAGGTATATATCATGCAACCAAAAGGCGCCAGACAAGGGTCGTGCTATATTTTCGCCAGAGCAGATTCTCTGCAAACGCCAAATATCATCTTCACTTTATCCATCTCGCTTGTTGATAGGAATGCTTCCATGTCAATGGTCCTATTTTTTCAAGACCCTTCCTGCCTTCTTGACAGCGACGATCTGGCTTCTAAACAGGGACTTTTCAGCTCGACGGCCTTGCAAGCCCAATGCAGCGGAACAATAGCGACCGTCATAGGTAGTCAATCGCGAGATCACCTCCACCCTTCCCAGGAGGGTCTTTTGGCCTGAAATTAAAAAAAAGGGTCGATCCAAACGCTATGAGCATAGCTGGCCTGATACTACTAAGAAGACAGAGTAAAGGTATTTACAGGGACGAAGACTAAAACGAGTTTGTCCGTCTTGTCAAAGAATGATGACACTACTGTTACACGCACAATCCCTAAATGGATTTGGGGAATTGCTACGATCGCTTGTCTTTGTCTTTTTTTTTTTAGCTTTCTGGAAAGTCCCCATGCACTTTTTCAATGCTCTCACATCTTCATGTTGACATCCATCTGCTGTTGCACACACGTATCTTTTGTTCTTTATTCCTCCCGGGTCAGTCCATTGATGTCAGGAGCAGGAGACGTCCAAGCGGCTCTTTTTCTCTTTCATATCCCTGTCCTACCGGGAGTTTGCTCAGATGAGAACCAGGTCGCTTGTTCAAAATGTTGCAAACTACTGTGGAGTGGGATGAAAAAGGGAGGGGGAGAGACAGTGGAGGTGAAGTCTGAGTAAGATAGGGGGATCATTGCCACACTACGCCAACGTGGCTACCATGCGTGTGTGGGTGTGTTTACAAACATGGGCCAGTTGATGTGCAAGTGTTTCAATGGCCGTTGTCAATTAGGGATTCAAGGGATAGTTCCCCAGATACGGTTGCGCTCAATCGAAGCTCTCTGGCCAATCAAATGCCGAACTATGACGTATTCCCATTCATTTTTCTTTTCGTCCTGGACACATACTATTTTTTTTTCTCCCCCTTCACACCCGCACTTCCCCTCTTCCTTCTTTCTTTACTTCCCTGCTCCTTCCTTCACCACACTGTCTTCTTACTCCTCCATTTCCCCTCTGCAGCACGGCATTTTTCAAAGCAGCACCTTAGCGTCCATCTTCGCGAGACACCGTTGCAACTTGTAAGGACAAGGACAGCATTTGCCAAAGGCAGCGTGCTATCTGTGCTAGTGACAAGAAGCCATGACCTCATTTCACTACTCCGCAGAGATAGCGAGAGGGAACGCGAAGGAGTACTGCCGATTGGGGAGGATGGACGTCGTTATCGCGGTACTGGTGCTAGAGAGAAAGACTGCGTGGGTGTAGTCCCCTCTACTCGCTCCACTCATTGGACCTACAATTCATCCTCGCCTGCCATCTCGGTCCAGCAAGCACGTTCGGAATCCTTTCCCCCCCCTCTCTGCCCTCACTTGGGCTACAGCACTATAACTCACCGGTTTCGTCATTGTGCTTCCAGCGCCCTGTTCCTTATTGACGCTGCCTGCTCCCTTTTCCCACCAGCCCTATTTCCCTCCCTCTCTTCCAACTGACAACCCTTCGTGCATATCATCATCGCTGCTGTGTGTATGTGTATATGTGTTTACACATATACGTGTGTGTGTGCGTGTGTGAACGTATGTCTAGCAAACACTTTTTGTTTTCGGCAGCGATCCCTTTTTCATTACGATAATGCTCCTCTTTGCATAACCAACAGCGCTCCCTGCTCGATTTTTTCTTCAGTGCTGTTTCTATCCATCTCCCTCTTATCTACCTAATCGCAATCTGGCAAGCAGGCATGCATGTGGGCGCATACTGTATGCCCTCGTCTATGAATCCTCGCTCCATTCATTGATAAGGAAGGACCCACATATCCCATTTCGGTGTTTCGGTGTGGTCATCAAGCACTCGAGAGCTTCCTTCTCTGTGCAATTCGATTCAGACTATTAAGAAGCAGTTAGGGAACAAAGGCAGCGAACAAGGATGAAAGATGGTGCATGATCTCGGCTGTGACTAAGCGGTATATATCGTAGCCGAAGAGGAATTTTTTTGCTAATCTGTACGCCCATTTGAATCTTTTAAACAATAGACAAACAGCACAGCTCACCACATTCCTAAAAACATCACACACCGGACCTATAAGAGAAAATGACCACGGTTGGAACACTCTCCACAGACCTCGGTCCCGGTAAGAACAACATGGGTACGTGCCGCGTTGTTTGTCTCGGCTTGTGCATATCACCAATCTATATTCTGCAAAACGATCCCTTTCTAACCCCCTGAACATTGCTTTGATGGCTTGATCTGCTATCTACATCCACCAACGATATATATGCATCGCCACAGCCGCCAACGACGACAAGTCAGACAAGCTGGCAGCCGCATCCATCGACGGGACTGGGTCCATGAATTATCTGCAGGCGTGCTCAAAGCTGGACATGGAGCCCAACCCATTTGAGCAGAGTTTTTCAGGAACAACAACAACAGGCAGCGCAGAGGCTTCGGCAGGCGAGACTTCCAAACCCGTTCTGCCACCTATCGCGTCCATGTCTGGTCGACTGGCATCCGGTAGCGACCAGTACGGATGGACGGAGCCGTCGTTGCGCATGGGTCCACTCTCGCCTTCCATGCTGGAGGGGCCGCAGGATCCCATCATGTTTGAAAAGCCCACAGGCGAGACCCTTCCCATCGGCTCCTACCCAGCGACCACAGCACCTGTTTCAACCATCTTTACTTCCGGCGTTCCCATCGCCGAAAGTGGATACCCGTTTGCCATATCCGGCGCCCAGTCGATCCCACCTCCCGCAGGGCCTATTCAGACGGCAGAGCCTTATCCATCCGTCATGTACAACCAACAGCAGCCGATGTCACAGTCGTCTGGTCCACATGATGTCCCTGCCAACCGACCATCGCAGCCATTCCCTCATGGAAACGGTCAGGCGCCCATGAATGACCGGTATATGCCTCCACAGGGTGCCCCGCATCCAGAGAATGCCGGCGGTTATGGCAATCTTCATCTTCTCAGTCAGGCTCAGGCGACGCATCGCGAGATGTGGATTAAACGAGAGAGCATCGATGCTAACGGTCATCTCCAGCACAATCAGGGACCGCATTATCATCCACACCATCCCCAGCAACACCAGCAACATCCACAGTCTACACAGCACGGTCAGAACATGTCTGGAATGCCTGGCATGGTTTCTGCTCAACAGGCGTCGAAGCACAGCGCGGAGCCTTCATTCATGAGAGGAGGCCAACGCAACCGAATGACGTCCGAGGATAACAGCGATGACTCTGAGATGTCTAAGCAGTCGGCTAATAGCAACGAAAGGTCCAGCCGAAAGAGATCTTCTGTGAGCGATGACAAGATGGATGATGAGGAGAAGAGAAAGAACTTTTTGGAACGCAACCGGCAAGGTAAAGAGATCCTTTGGAATGAAGAAGCAAGGCGCGGACGAAATTCAAAATGAGGCACAAAAGCGCTAACCCACGATGCTTCTTTTTTCTTTCTTACACGTTTGGTGATAGCTGCGTTGAAATGTCGTCAGCGCAAGAAGCAGTGGCTGTCCAACTTGCAGGCGAAGGTGGAGTACCTTACGACAGATAACGAGCACTTGCAGACACAGACAGCGACCCTCCGGGACGAAATTATCCACCTTAAGGCCTTGCTGTTGGCCCACAAGGACTGTCCTGTAGCACAGGCTAATGGCGTGTATGCAGACACGATCAGCGGACCGAATCACAGCCATAACGGTATGGTATCCCATGGCAGGGGACCTGCGCACGCCATGCAGGGGCCATCATCCGGTCAGCCATCACAACAACAGCAGCAGCAACAGCAGCGTGGTGCAGGATCGAGGAAAGCACTACCGGCTCAGATGCAGACAGGCGGTGCCCGCATGTCGATGTCCTCTACCGCTGCGACTGCAGGTCCGGTCGGACAGGCCAGCGTACGGTACTAGCGGGGATTGTATGTAGCATAACCTCGTCCTTTTCCTTCCAATCGCCTATAGCTTTGTTTCCATCCCTCTCGCTACTCCTAGTCCGTGTAATCTATCCTCTCTTTTCCGTTGACCTTGCTTCTTCTACCTGCATATTTTCTTTTTTGTCAAATAAATGAAAAAAAAAATAGCCATCAGTTGTTTCATCATCTAAATATTGTAGAGGGTGAATTTTTTATTTCGAGGGGAGGGGGAGTGAGAGGAAGAGGGGGGTTTCTATGCTTTTGAGGACTTGAATGGTTTGGTTTTTGTGGTATCTGAACAGACGAGCATTAAATAAAAAGACAGAAAAAAGGAATACAAATCTAGAAGGACAACGACAGAAACAAATAAAACAAAAAAATAAAAAGACACGTAATAAAAGATGAATGACAGTAGACAAGTAAGCACTCCGGTTATGCGAGTGGAACTTCTTCCATGGCGGCCATGAGGGACGCAGACGCTGGAGGACTCCTGATCGCCAAACTCTCAACAGCCATGTCTTCTGGGGACAACGGTATTGTCGTCGCAGTAGAATGACAATCTACCTCGGCGGCCGCTATTGAGACCTGACCCGATGCTGTGGTAGAGATGGTTGTTGTTATTGCTGTTGCTGTTGTTGTTGTTGTCGTGGCAACCATGGTCTTGGAGGAGGTAACTGCGAGTATTCCGCGCTCCATATCATCATCGACCTGGACAATTGTCGTTTCCGAGCTGCAGCTCTCGACATCCATCTCGATTTCCATGCCGTTCTCGTCTCCAGTGTACATGGTTTCGTGTTGGTGACGATACCGTTCCAGGTCATCATGCGAGATGCGACGATCGCGGCCATGACCACTTTCGAGGTCGAAATCTTGTTCGTCACTGTCCATGTTCTCGCCGTCCTCGAGATCAATGTCCTCATCGTCCTCAGAGATGCTAAAGTCCATCATCATCAACTTGCGCCTTCTCAGGGTCCGGCCATGGTGGTCCTCCTCCTCATCGTCTTGTTGCTCCCGCTTGGCCACCTCGTTCATATTCGCTTCGTCCTCTTCCAAATCCTCTTCCGAGTCCGAGTCTGTTTCCATGTGACGGCGACGACGATGTTGATAGCCATAGAGCTGCTGTTCCTCATCCTCCTCATCGATCTCCTCGTCCTCGTCATCCGAATCGGACTCGTTCTCCGAAATCTGATCGTCTCGACTTATGCACAGGGTCGAGAGCGGAGACCGCGGGCGGGGGAACCAGGCCTGGACCTCCTTCCAGTTCTTGACTCTCGTCACTTTATCGGGCAATGCTTGTCCGTCCGCGAGTTTGTTCCATTTGTAAGCTCCATGAAGATCAAAGAGCAGGACCGGGATCCCGGCCCTGGCGACCTCGACCGCATTCTCGAGCGAGTCATCGATCAGGAGCTGGGCATGAACGTCTCGGCAGATAACGGACTTGGGCTTGGAGATAAAGGTTATCTTTTCTTGTTCGGTCAAGAAATGGTTTGCAAAGTAGATCGACTCGAAGATACCCGGGAAATGTCGATCAACGAATTTCTTGGTCAGGTCCGCGACAAACTGCTGACGAGCCGTGACAATGACGAGGCTGAAGCGGCGGGATTTCAAGAGCTATGTTGGTGCAATTTTTTTTTTTTTTTTTGGTAAGCTTGCTCTTTTCCTTCTCGGTTGTTGTTGTGATTATGTACTCCACCTATCCCAATATCACACTGTTCTATTCACACAAATCAAATACATTCCACGCCTCTTGAACATACAACAGCAATTTTTTGTGGTGATTGTACTAAACAAAAAGAAAAAGAGCTGCAAGTAGTACCTTCAATGTCTCGAGACTGCCCTCGACAGGCTCGACCTTGAGAAAGTAGGGTGAATCGAAGAAGAGTCGCCATTTTGCGATGGATTCCTCGCGAGTGCCGCCCCAGACCTGGGTATAGTCGTACGAGATAAAATCGTCCATGGTGAGCGAGGTCCCGTAGGTGTCGTTGTGGAACTCGGCGACGGCTAGGGAGGTCCGGGCCAGGACTTCGTCCAGGTCGACGGCAATGACCTTCCGAGGGGCATTGGGCTGGTGGCGCATTTGGCTGTGGAATATATTTTTTTTCTTGTTGTTGTTTTTTTTTTTTTTTCTCAGGAACAGCAAGCAGTAGAAGATAGAATGCAAGAGAGGAAACAAGGATGTGAAGCGGCAGCAATTTGTTCCAGAGGGAGTGTGGGATAAACGAGTGGGGTTATGAGCGAGAGAGGAGGAGAGATAAGAAGGGGTGGGGAAAGAGATGAGGAGGAAGCGGGGATGAGAAAAGAGGATTAGATCAAAGAGTGTGAATGCACAAGAAGAGACTGAGGAGGAGAAGGGGGAGGGGAGGGAGTGAAAAAAAATAAAATAAAATAAATAAAAAAAACACTCCAAGGCCGCTGCTTTCCATTGGCCATTGGATCAGCCGATCAAATCGCACGCACTGTTTTGTCGTGCTGCTGGAACAGACACGCTTTTGGCTCAGCGTCCGCCGCCTTCAACCTTCCAGACCCACTTTTTTCCATTGGCCACCAAACACAGGCCATACTATAGGCGTTTACCCCATATTCCTCCCACAGGCAGGCCTGCCTGCCGCCCTGTCGTTGCTTTCCTAAAGGCACTCGTATATCGAACAATATCCATCTTTACCCTGCTCAGCACTAACCCCACTCCTTTTTTTCTTTTTCTTTTTCTTCCTTCTTCTTTCTTCTTTCTTTTTTCTTTTTTCTTCTTTTTTCTTCTTTTTCTTTTTCTTTGGTCCCGATGGTCTTGACATTCTACAACCAACTACTGATGCAACAGCACAAAGGTACAAAGACATCGCAAGGGACACATGTGGGCGCAAGTCAGTTGACACCAACACAGCAATTTTCTTTACTTTGCATCGTGCGACATAGCATGCTCTCATACATGCAGGTGCACCGCAAAAAAAAATTATATACACATATCATCAGCCCCCCCCTCCATCAACCCAGGGAAGCAAGTAAGTAGACACATGGAAGCGTTGTCTCTTTCAAAATGATCCTCCCCTACCCCTCCACTTTCTTCCCCCTTTATTCAGACCTCCAGACTGCATGGCATACGAAATACGACAATCAAACAAAATATATAAAAAAAGATCAGAAGATAAAATAACGTTCAAAAAATACAGTATACGTATCAAAACAATGGATGGCAAGCAAAAGCAAGGAAGAAAAAGAAACGAGTGCATAAAAAACTGTGTATGCGTGTGTATAGGGGTGTATGTGTGTGTATAAGTATACATGGACGATGGGGATAGAAACTGGTTATAATGGAGAGTGGCACTAGGAATCGTACATTTGCTTCATCTGCGCAGGGAAAAGCTCCCGTAGCACCCGATGAAACCCATCCTTGTCATCCGCGCCCCAGGACGACCGATCTGCGTCGCGAAGGATCCGAATCGTCTTGAGCAAGTTGATCTTTGCTGGTGTCGACAACCGCGGCTCATCATCCAGGTTGGCGTTCATAAGCTGGATTCCTGCTGCTGTCACAAGTAAGAATTGGTGGCGCATCAGCAGGCAGGGTTGAACTGTTGAGTCTGTTTGATTCATCAGGTATTCTGCCAAAGAGGTCATCGCGTTCGCAGATTGTGCGCACGCTGCGCTCGCTCGAGCCGGCATGCAAGGAGGATGGCGCAAGTTCGTCCTGAGGAACGGCCGGTAGAGCAGGATTCTGATCGCATGGAACGTGATGCCAAGTAACGTCGACTGGACAATGTCACGACCTTCTACCGCGTTGGTGTTGCTTGTCGTTGTACTCGTCATCCTAATCGTTTCCCCTCCGTCATTGCCCGAGGCTTCTCTCTGTGTCCTGTTCCTGGACGCCACAGAACTCGCCACAATCCCAGAAAGCGGGAAGTTCTGCCAATCCGCCAGAGATCGGTGCCAATCATCCAGCGCCTTGCTGAGTTTTTCAAATTCGGCAGAGCTCACAAACAAATCCTCGGACCATGATGACAAAAACACCAGAATGTCATCCAGTAACAGCGCCTGTCGACATTGCTGGTCAAAGAACGCCTTGGCTCGGAATTGCATTCCCGGCAGGTTCGAGGACCCACTCGACTTCGGGCCTGATCCGAGCGGAAGGATGTCGACTCCTCCTGTTCTCTTCAGCGAGTCGGAAATGGCCGCTGTATCGGGTCCGCCGGGGAACAACCAAAAATCCGGGGTCAATGCTGACTTGATCGCTTGTCCACCTTCATCGTCGTTGCCCTGGAAGATCTTTTTCGGCTTAGGGAGAGGTCGCAGATGTGTCTTGTCAAAGATATGGACCGGTATATTCTAATGCACGAAATCGACAAGCAGAATGTTGCCATGATGGTTAAGGATCTGCAGACAATGCTGTGGACCGAACCCTGCACAACGAATGTGTACGAATGAAACTTGCCACAGGACGATTGTATGCTGCAGACATCCATCGATCAACGATGAAACAATGCCACCAGCATAACTTCTGCTCCTCGTCCTTTGCCTTGTTTTCCCTCTCTCGCTGCTGCTCTGCTTTCTCCTCAGCCGATCCCTTTGCTGGCGCAGCTGTGTTGAGGGTATCCTCACGTTGGGGTGTCTGTGCAAGGTGGGCATGATGCCATCCAAGTCCCATGGCCATAGTGATCGCAGTACCACCGTACATATAAGCTTGCGTGTGGTTACCGGCCATGATGGCGTATTCCCGCAGCAAAAGTACAGACTGCACAACCGTCAAGGATGGCTCGTCGTATTCCTTTTTCAGGAGCTCTAATGCCCATTGGAAATATTGCTCGCCTCGGTCCTTAAAGTTCTCGCCAGTCTCGCTCCTTCCCTGATCGTCCGTCTCCATCAAATCTTGCAAAGAGGCTTCCTGAGCTCTTTCTTTGAGGTTCTGGACATGCTCGGATGTCTGATATTTCGAATTAAATATCGCAAGACCTTTTTCAATTTGCCGTTGCTTATCCATAGCGGTGCTCTTGAGATGAGTTCGATCGATGATGTGTCGAGATACCAGTGCCAACATTGCTAGCAGCAGCAGAGGACTCGAATGCTTCCTGCACGCGGATCCGGTCTCATCGTCGTCATTGCTCAGCGCCGAACTTCCTTCCACCGAACCCTGCCACACATTATCCGGCGAAGCGTTCTTGAGCAACTGAAAGTGGAGCTCCTTTGCCTCTGGAAAGGGCCCATATTCTGCCCAGAAGCGAACTAGAAACTGATTCTTGTGGAGTATCATGAATTGTGGGTGAATCAAGGTAAAGTATTGCTGGAGTAGACTGTGCAGCATGCCTGACCGCGCCATGTTCCGCAGCCCTTGGATAGGTCCGAATCCCATAGCAGAACTGGCGAGAGCTTGGTTGCATGAGACGTCCACATTATGTGTCCCTGCCAAACTCTCGTCTCTGCCACTCTGATCATCTGCGGTCGCTGCCGAAGAGAGTACGGGGTCATTACTTTGGTCGCGTCCACCGGCTAGCTCCCTGTCAACTTCCATCCTGTCGTACTCGGAAATGCGGGTCGCTGTAATCTTGCTCGCGATCTCTGACTCGGTCATGCTGGGAGCCTCTAAGGCGACCTTAATCTTGGCAATATAATCTGCATAGAGATGGCTTGCCCGCTGGATATTCTCCATCTCAAGCGCATTCTTGCGAGCACGAATGCTAGCGCTTGAAAGAGAATAGAGAGGATCCTTTATGGTCTGGATCTGTTGCTGCATCTGCTTCTTGGTAGGCTGCCGCCGCACGATTGGGTCAGCATCTACAGCCGATCCAGATTGCGAGGAGCCTGTACTCTCATTGGACAGCTGTGACGTACGAGAACCTGATGACCTCTGTCCTGGGAGAATCGGGCGCTCGAGGATCGGGCGCTCACTGTAGACTTTTGTGGAACCGCTCTGTGCACTTTTAATTTCTGATCGAAAGAGATACAAGAGGTACGCAAATAGATGAGGAAGCACATGGTACATTAGTAGATGTACTCGAGTCTGTGTGCGCTGTTTCAGCAAATGCACAATGATAACATTTTTTGAGCCTACCACTATTAGGCTGTGATGTCTTCGAAGACAACGATGAAGTGGTGGTCTTGCTTGTCGTGGACGACGGCGAATTTTGTGTAGAAACGGACGACAATGAGGCTGAGGTCAGGGGCACAATGGACGAGCCTATGGAAGAGATCGAAGGTAGCGTCACTTTGATATGCTGGGGCCGGTCCTGGTGCGTGACCTCCTGGAAGGGAGGAATCGAGATGAGTGACTGATCCGAAAGCGTGATGGGCGAGGGGATTAGGGGCGAGATTCGAGGGTAAGGGTGGTCTTGGCTATTCCTGGCGCCGAGTGACGATCCTGATCCTGATACAGAGCCTGACGCAGAGCCCGAATCAGACCTAGACCGCGAACGCGAGGGATGCGAGAAATCTGCAGAGCCCGCCTGTGTTGGATAATTTTCAGGATTGTCGCGATTGTCGTTTTGTTGCTGCTGGTATTGCTGTTGCTGCTGTTGCTGCTGCTGTTGCTGCTGTTGCTGCTGCGACGAAAAGGGTGGATCCAATTGCAACGCATCAATTCCAAAGAAGCGCGTGTTATTGTCACCCTCATAGTGGCAGCGCACTCTGCTTATGAGGCACGACCGACAGGGCGAACCGCTGTCGCAGGAGGTTCTGGACATGGTGCAGGCAATGCAAGGAAGTCCGGGTATCTTGGGTTTGGAGAGAAATGTCCCTAACTCGGTAGAGTCTGTACTGTAATTCCTGCTTGGATTGAAGCGCACAGGGTGGTTGTATTCGGAGGACGCGCCGCGACGATGAGATCGCGTGGGTCCCTCTTGACTGATGTACTCGCTCTGGGGTCGATGCGGGGCGTGCGAGCCATAGCTAGTGTATGAATCTGAGAGGGAACGATAATTCTCGGATGAGGCATGACTATATGGTGGCGGGGGTTGCTGCTGCTGCTGTGGTTGATATGAAGGCTGATTGGGGTAGGAGTGGTAGGATGAATGCTGCTGATGCTGCTGCTGCTGTGGTTGTTGCGGTTGCTGCTGGTACGGAGGCTGATATAACCTCAATGGCTGGAAGGAGTATGGCTGCTGCTGTGGTTGTTGCTCGCCATAATCCACATCCTGGGGTCGAAATGTGGTTCCAAAGCTGCTATTGCTGGCGCCATTGGAACTGTTGCCGCCACTAGTGCCATTGCCATTAGGACTGCCATTAGTATTGCTGTTGAACTGAACAGAAGAGGAAGAGGAGGAAAGAGAAGAATGATTGTTGTTGTTGACGTTAGCGCTGTTGATGCTGTTATTACTGCTGTTGAAGTCGTTGCGAAAGAGATTATTCATCCTGGAGCGTCGAGATCAGGAAGAGGGCGAATGGTGGTTCAGGGCATTTGAATCAGATGGATGCAACTGTGCGGTGTTGCAGTGTTGATGGATGAAAGGAAGAGAGGAATGAAGAAGGAATGCAATGGGATCTCGATGAGAGAGCGCCGAGGGGCTCTAGGATGATGATAAACGGCGCACTGGATAGGAGAACGAGGAGTGCAGGAAGAGGGCGAGCGAGAAGAGAGCGTGAGAGAGAGCGTGAGAGAGAGAGAGCGTGAGAGAGAGAGAGAGAGAGAGAGAAAGGATGTGAGAGAGGAATCAAAAGTTCGTGTTTTGTTGTGCTCCGATTCGAAGGAAGAGAGTGAGAGAGAACATGCAATCGATACCGATGTTTGCTGCAGGTGGAAAATACAAATATTTATATAGAAAAAAGTGCGAAAAGGGAAAGCGCGAGAAAAGAGAGAGAGAGAGAGATAAAGAAGAAAGAAAAGAGCGCAAGGCCTTTCTCTCTTTCTTAGGCGAATCTAAATGGGACTAAAAAAATCATAAAAACAGGACTAGATGAACAGCAAAGTGGATTCATGCAGGACCACCGGTCATGGTCGTACACGCACAGAAAGACTCTGTCGGCTGCGTGTAATCTAAAGTGCCTGCCCAAGGCTATCCTTAACCTTTTCCCTTCTCTCTCCGTCTGCCTTGCTGGCCTTCAATTCAATAAAACACCCCAGGAACAGCAACAATAACAATACAGCAACAACAATACAACAAGAATACAACGACAACAACAACCACAGCAACAACCTCCAGCTCATCCCTCAATGGGTCCCTCTTTCATCCTTTCATTGACCATCTTATGTACAAATAGTCCTCGGACAACCGTCGGTGAGACACAAGCAAGAAAATCAAAACAAAAAAAGCAAAAAATAAAATAAAAAAAAATAAAATAAAATAAAAAAGGAAAGAAAATAAAAAGAAAGAGGAGTAAAGACAGGAACTTTCTTTCGATGTACATGGCATTGAAAAGTGGAGGTTGCAATTGGGATTCGTCTCCCAGGAAGGCGGAGAACAAGATATATGGACAATATGGACAATATGGACAATTTAAAATAGTATTCCAATTCATCGAGCGGACAGAGCTTGATTTGAAACAAACCTTAGCCCAAAAAAAAAATACAAAAGAAAGCAATCTGCGTCATTGGTCTCAGCATATCTCAGCATACTCTTTTGCATTATATACCACTGGTAGTTTCCCAGTTCACGGCAGGTACCCCATCCAGCTGCTGAGGAAATACCCTAATTCAGCATCAAAATGCATCTGGACACTCACAATCGTACATTTGTACATGCGCACCAGACTAATGTACTCGTGAAACTGGGTTCTCTGCTTCCCATTCGTTTTCTTGCTGGTGCCTGATTTATAGTATACAATACGGTGCAAAATCGGTTCAATGGTAGCGGATGGCACAATCCTCATGACACAACGGGGCATCCATACTACTGGCTCCGAAGCCAGCGGTCCTCTTCGTCATTGAGTGGGCTACGTTTGTGGAGAATAGTATGGCGACGATCGAGGCATTGGTTCCTTGTAAGTGGGTGATAACACAAAAATCAAAATCATCGATAGCTCGATATATCTCCGGCTAGCTCGCGTCAAACCGTTTATTCATGCGCACAGAATAGACCCTGCGGAATAATCGATTTATCCCTTTTTGTTAGTCTCTCTCAGTTCTGCGAAGATGCGCAATACAGAACCGCTTTGATCTTATTCGTACGGCGTACTATGAAGCAGAGCATGCGTTCTTCTGTCTGAGATGAAGCGATAAACGCATTTTAAACAAACATAGCCAACCTTGCTGTTGACATGGTTCCATAGTTCTGGTTACAGTAGGATTCGTCCAAATACACAAACACGGCGCCCTTATACCTGTCGGACCGTCGCTCTTGAGAATAGTGCCTCTTGCCCTTGATATCCTCGGTTTCGACGAAAATCCCTAGTGTTCCCGACATCCTGATAATGGAACAAAAGATGGGAACACGCTGTAAAGCCCTGCCATTTGAACCCAATGGTGGCCTCAATGACGTTATAGAGCTGGGGGGATATACACAAAACCAATCTGAAAAGGATCATCCATATCATATTGTGCCATCCCAGCCCAGGAGCTCGTTCTCTCCTTTCACACACAACTATGAAAGATACTCAGTGGTAACTCATACATCAACAAAAAATAATAATAATAATGGAGTGTAAGGAAGGGCCCCTCTACGCTCTCTCGCCTCAACAAGCAGTTGCAAAGCAACATGGCCAAAGGATGCGTTCCTCCTGGGGGAGAATCCTCAACCAACTTTTCTCAATGGTGCTGTGATGAACGGATCTTGCGTCTCCGCTATAATTCTTTAGTGAGATTCGTATGCTCTTTTCCCTCAGCGAAGGATCGGTAGCCAATTTACTTGTGTGTGCTTCATAATAACTATATATCACAGAAAAGTTGGTATCTATAATTTATGGGACTCCAGAAGATGGCCTGAAATTGGGTCGTTGAGCGAGACGTCTTATTTAGCAGTCATTTCAAACAAGCCATCAGGCGGCCGCTCCTCCTTGGGCAAAGGCGGGAACTTTTTTCTGCTACAGCTTCGCCTCGACATCCAATCCACGACACACACACACACCCCATTCACGACAGACACACCCCATTCACGACAGGCACCCCTCATTCACGACAGACACATCTCCATACACATCATGAAGGCCTCAGGATCATCGGTAACCAGGGCGGCAGAGTCTCTTGCCTACCTCGAGGATTACCTCGACAGTAAGTTCTCGTTTTTGCTCTCGCCTCAACAGAAACACACAGCTCCTGAGGAACTAATGCCTGGGCAACGAGACACACACACGCTCACTCTCTCACTCACTCTCTCTTTCTTAAATGCACTCTATGCAGCCGTCGAGTCGCTACCTCTGGAGCTCCAACGCCAATTCACGTTGATGCAAGACTTGGATGCGAAAGCGCAATGTAGGCCAAGACTTTTGTTTTTCCTGCTTTATGCATAATATGGGAGTGGGAAGAAATATTCGGGAGCTATGCGCTCTTACTCATTCTGTTTACCACCTTATGGATTCCTCTTGACCTTATAGCAATCATGGCACAAGTGGGTGTCAAGGCAGCAGAGTTCATCGACAATGTTCAGACGTGTACTCCTAAGGAAAGAATCAAGATGCTCCAGTCACTGAACGAGATGCTGGTCGAGAGTTTAAGACAGGGCGAGGAAAAGGTTGCACTGGCAACAGCAGCCTACGATGTCGTACGTATTTCTTCCCAGGGGTTAAATCAACGAATAGTGACTACTCTGCCTCAACGGACACTCGCCCGATCTTCCACCAATCCTACTGAACGCCACCATACATATGCGATCCTTCATGCTCTTTTGCTGGATAGGTGGATCGACACGTCAGGCGACTGGATGATGATCTGCAAAAGTACGAAGATGAACAGATGATCGGTCCGGGACGACTTGGCAACACCAGCTCTTCAGCTTCTGGAGCAACTGCAGCTGATCGCAAGGACGAATCCTCCAATGCTGCCACATCAGCCAACACAACATCCAACAAGAAAAGTAAGGATACGTCTACGTTTTGTCTTGGCAGGGATCGGTCTCTTCACTGCAACGGAGGCTAATTCAATGCATTTCTGCCATCACTATCATTAGGCACATCTTCTTTGACGCAGGACGCACCATCAACCAAGAGTAAGTGGATATTAGAAGGAAAAATATTGATTACCTATGGAACCTATTGACTATCTCAGTTACTTACTATCTAGCGCTTGATTTTCGAAAATCAATAGGAAAAAACAAAGCGCAGAGCAACAGCAACAACGGCAACAGCAACGCCGCCGCCCCAACTACATCTTCAGAGAAACGCAAAGCGGTAGGATCGTCAGGCAGCTCCAAGGTTGCCAAGAAAACGTATGTTCAGCACTTGTATTTTTAATTTTATCGCATGGGAGGTTTCTATGTGTGGGAATAAGCCATTCTGTCTCAGTACGTCAAGCTAACTGCCTGCCACCACCATCTAGGCCTTCGTTTGCGGAACTTCCCATCGACCCCAACGAACCACTTTACTGTTATTGTCAACAGGTGTCTTACGGAGAGATGGTGGCTTGTGACAATGGAGACGTAAGTGGCAGCAGCGCATTCTGACATGTGTCGATGCTTCTGGAAGACATTATCGTAATAGCTTTATTAACAATGATTGATTCCTTCATCGATGATAGTGCGAGATCGAGTGGTTCCATTTGTCGTGCGCTGGCCTCAAAGCACCACCCAAAGGAAAGTGGTACTGCAAGGACTGTTCACAGAAATCGAAGAAGCCTCAGAAGAAATAGGACCGGATTCCCGGGGTCCGTCCGTCATCTACTTTACATTATCGTGATATTACGATCAGCTTTTTTTTTTTCCCTTTTTTTTTTCTCTTTTAATAAAATTAATGTTTAAATGATACATTGTTGCAACCGGAAGTGACATGCGGAAGAGGATGCAATCAGTTTCGAAGCACCACTGGCACTATCTCGGACGCGGAGAAAGTCAAGCATTAATATGTAGTTTTGAACGCGACATGTTGACTCGAAAATGATGGTGTCGGAGGGAACTTACAAACAATACAGACGACCAGAATCATAAGCAGAATCATCGTACAAGGCCGCGGCCTCCGGAATGCGCTCCAGACGATATATTTTGGCAGACCATATCGTCTTGGATCCCACCAAGAGCGTTCTTTACACCGCCTCTTGCCTTCATGACACAAATCTAGCGATGCCAACCCCTCGGCCTCAAGTTGGCGTCGAATCTCAGAGTCCAGATTCTCGGGTCCTGGGAAGGCCTGTAAAGGGTAACGACGTCGACCTGGTCGAGATTGTTTGGTAATATGACTTGGCGGCGCTGTGTCCTCAGAATCCTTTTTGGTTCCAGTCATGGCAAGGATGTATGTATCGGTCGACCGATGTCTGGGCGCAGCAGTTGCACCCGCTGCGGGCCGGGTGACGCTCCTTCCTTCGGCACCCAAAGTCGTGCTGAGCATGATCGGTGCGGATCGTGACCTTTGAGTGACATTCTCTGTCTCATTGTCGTGCGAGCCTTCTTCAGCTGTACCTGTACCTTCGTTCGCGCTGTGGCTCGTGCTCTGATATTTTGAGGATTCCCTTACAAGCCCACTGAACAGCTGTGGCACGGCTTGAAGCTGGGTCGATAAGAAATCTATGGTGGAAGAAGTACCCCGATGGACCACATTGACGGCCGCAGGCGCGATCGTATCCGTCAAGTAGTCAAGCGTCGCCTGACCTGTGAACACAACGAGCTCAGTGAATCGCCCGACTGCAGCGCTGCCTCGGTGACTAAAACCTGCAGCCGTATCTTCTTCCACTCGGCTGTCGTCCGGTCGGACTTGGTTTTGGCGAGATATTAAAGAGGTATTGGGCGAGACGATCATAGAATTGTACCAGGATCCAGCAATTGTGGATTGATAGACCGATGGTAAGAATCGCGAGTGATGACGGTACCAAGATGGAGACGGAAGCTCTGGTGCATCTGCTTCTAAGGGTTGCGAAGGATCTTTGTCGATCTCGGATGTGCCCATGCGATGAACGCTCCTGCCACGCGTTTCTCGGAGATGTACCTCGGGCAGCGGCTGCTCCGCACTATCAAGGATCACCGATTCAGTATGAAGTGTGGATGTATCCAGGATCTGAGGTCCCATAGCAGCTGCAGTTACAGTGGTAGAGTTATTCTGAGCCGGAAGCCATTGAGAGAAGAACGGAGCTGCGGCGCGTATGGCAGCCTCTGTCAAGGATGGATGGAACCAGCTCGTACGCGCCTCTCTGCTGACTGAAGGCTCGTCGATCATCTCGGGGGTGTCCGTCGTATTCTCGCCACTGCTATAACTGAGGTCAGTTTGGACCTGAAGGCCACTGATGGCTTCGTGAGATGCTGATCCTTGTAGCCACGTTCCTAGTGCTTGCTGTCGATCTGAAAGCCTTGTTTCCATCACCGTAAAAAGTGGCGCCACTTTCTCAGGTTGTTTGTTAACGTCCTTCTCCTCACCTTGGCTGCTTTGCGAGCTTTTGTCATGTCTTTTGATATTTTCACTCGCCTCGACGTTATCCTCATCCTTGATGTCAATATAGAGGGAGTTGACCGTCTTGAAGCTCTCCGAGTCGCTGTCATGGCTCCATTTCATGTCACTGCTGGCGAGATCGCTCTCTTCTTCTTGTGCAGATCTGAGTGTCGAATTGTGAAGCATGGTGTGGTCAGTGTGCTGGGAGGGTATAGGTGGACAGATGGACGCACACCCGAATTCTACTCTCGTTAAGCCTGTGGGGTTGCGCCTGGAGTGAATCGAATCGCCTGAGAGAGTAGGGGAGGATGGGGTAGGGTTGACTCGCAACATGGACGAGGTATATGGTGCAAAGTAACAGGTGTGGCCAATCAAGAGGAATGACCAAGGTGCTCTCGGGATCCTGTGTCTGCTTGAGGGATCGTCAATTGCAGCAGGGAGTTGTTCTTTTGTAGCGCAAACGCGTCACTGAGCCTAGGTTGTGGATGGATGGATGAAAGAGAGAAAAAAAGAGGTAGCCAAAAAAAAAAAAAAAAAAAAGGCAAGCGAGGAAAATACATACTACTGGCGGGGCCTTGCCCATGGATCCTTGTCTAATCCTTCCCCTCATAAGAACCACCGACAACGCACAAGAAATGTATAAAAATCGCAGCCATCGTCGGAGCAAACACCACCACTGATCGTGATAAATTAGCGCTGGGCATTGCAGTGGTTCTCCTCGTTGGAGATGACGTTGTAGTAATTGTCTACATTGTATATTATTCCCTACTTATATAGTGCAGCGCATTTTGGCGTCCATCTTCGCAACTGGCGCGTTTAATTCGCCTAGGGCAGATGACAATATTTCCTGGTCACGATGTACACATGCACATACAGACATGTAGATGTGACGCGCGCTCCCGCTGCTCGGCAAGTATCTTGAGATGGACGGGCAGTCATCATTTAATATGGTTTATTTGATCCCGTCTATCCCGCCATCACTGGTATGCAGGACGACACGATCCCCCCCAATGACATGTGTGCCTACCCATGTTCGTAGAGCAAAATAAGAAGGAAGGGTCCATGCATTCATTCCCTGGGAGAGAGAACATTCCAGCGCGCAATCAACGGTAATGAGGCATGCACTGCACGGGAGATCGATCTCAATTTTGTTTTTCTCCTATGCCGGACCTGCATGTGTGAGTGTATGCATGCCGTCCCTGCCATAGATCAAACAGAGGGAGAGCTGGCTTTGAATTACAAACCACAGCAGACAGCTCTTCCAGCTATTTTTTTTTTCAAATCGTGGACCCCTGATTATCCCGATTCGTTCCTTCGCAAGAGCTACACAGTAGCCTACAGTATGCGCCACGAAATTGACGCTTGGCGTCTTTTCTTTTGTCTCTGTCATTTGTTGTATGCGAACTTTTGAGCAGCGGGACCTTGATTGATCAGGGGCCCTATCGCGTTCTCCGCCACTCTGGGACGATGCTGTGTCTATCTTTCTTTGTCGATGTTGATGTCAATGTTTGTTGTTGACAAAGGTGATAGAATCCCCAAGTATCCGAAGCCTGGCGTACCCGATGTTGGTGCCCCAGTCCTACTATAGTTCAATAGGGACTAAAAAAAAATAAAATCGCGCCCGTCTGCCTTTCAAACAGATCAAGGTTGTTTGTTTTGATGTCGTTGGAGCTATTATCCATAGAGCCCTCGCGTTTTTTTTTTTGGTTTTTTGTTTTGTTCGCTGTACCTGAACTGTGCTGTAAGAATGACGGACGAAAAAAGTAAGACAGCTGGACAACGACCGATAGTTTTTGGTCTGGGCTCTTGTACCCTGCTTTTTGCCTTGCCCAGTGCGCCAATGCATAATTTCTAATGAAGAAGACATGGACCGGAATGGCATTGTCCACGGTACATGTATGTGAGGCAGAGGAAGGTAGAGGATGATCGGTGGTGTTCATTCTCGAACGCGTTATTTCCATTTTTCAAAAATTCAGGAACAAGGAGAGAAAGGAGGTGAACTCAATTGTCAGAGATACCAAAAAGCGTTACTTCAACAGGAGAGAGGCTACCCAGGTGGACCAACTAGTCCGCAGTGAAGATAGGCGGAGATAAACATTCGTTTCCTCGCCTCCATTACACCATCGTCTTCCTTCTTCATTGCGGACGCAACAAAGGTCGACCCAACATTCACAGGATCCTGTTGTTCCCATCCTAGCAAGGCTTGTTAGGTTAATGCCTAAGCACCTGTGTCACCAAAAGATAATGAAGACGCTTCCTGTTGTTTGTTCTCCCCCGTCCATTTTCTTTTCTCGTAACGGTCCAAACTCAGTGGATCTTGGTCCGGGCACTTCTCAAAAATCCCAGTGCAATCAACAAACAACACAAACAAACAATGGAATACGACTCTCTATACTAGGTCGCATCTTGTATATGTAACTGGGAAGCGTAGGGAGACTGTTCCAACTGATCCCATTACTCTACCTCCCAACAGGAAGCATCTACTGCATGTTGCCATCCCATCTCGTGCTGAGGAAGAATACATCACTGCAGTGTAATCCCTTGCATACCAGAGAACCAGCGCTCCTTGTTCATCTTCCAGCCCTGTACCTGATCTAGGGGAAAATTAATTCGAGACGCGTTTATTCCGCCTTTTTCATGCCTACACACATGTTATAGCCCTGTAATTTATCTGGACCAACGGTAGATGGAGCGGCAAAACTGTCCTAGATGAAGGTAAATTGGTAAGGTATGGGCACATAGGCCTTGCTTAGCGCATGTGTAAACAGAAATGTTTAAAATTTCGACTCATGGGGAGAGATGGGGCATCGGAATGCCTTTGATATCGCGTGGGCGTTTGCAGTGGGATGGCCGGATCTGACAATGAATTTGTTTTTTTTTTTTTTTTTTTTTTTTTTTTTTCAAAATGAAGGGTATCTCGCTCAATGGTTGGGTCGACCTATTCAATCGATAGATCGTTTCTAGACAAGTAGATGAGGATCGATAGTTCAACTACAATTACCGTTTTAATTTTTGATGTTTGCCACTGCGACATAGTCATTATTACAATTACGCATAAAGTCAAGGCATGGGCTCTCTTCAGTCTCACGTTTATTCCGCCGTGTCATAATAAATTCATTTGTTCAAGGAGAAGATTGATAGCCGTTTGCCGAGCAATACCACAGCAACAATAACAACAACAACGACAACAACAGGTAGTCTAGCATCTAACAAAAACGTGGGTCATCAACTCATTTTCAACCCATTCTCAGCGGTATGGCCAAATTTTTTCAACAGCCGCATCGCATTTGTGGACGATCCCCCTGCTCTGAAATGGGCCCTGATCCGGAAAAATGAGATGAAACGACTACATTCACATCAGACAGATGTCAAGGGTCAAATGTCAGTGCCTAATGTATTCACATTAGCATCGCCACTCCAAAATGTCCTCCTTGACCCCTGCCCCAGTCCTAACGAACTATGGTAATTACCTTGCTGACATTCTTTTTCTTTCACATAAATACCCAAGCGATCCAGCCCTCTTTTTTTCTTTCTTCATCTACACCAACAGATACATCCTCATCATCTCTAATACGCAGCTACATTCCTCTAATACCACCACGCGTACATATTCCTCATTATCCTCACACTTTTGTATTACTCCCTCTCCCACACACGCACACATATAAAAAAATGAAGTTTGCTCAGCTTTCGATCTATGTCTTTGTCGCGATCTTCGCGATCCTCGCTGCGACCTCAGAGGCCAAGTTGTCTGCCAAGATTGGCCAGAAGTCCAGCGGCAAGTCGACTTGGTTTGACGGCCACGATCTCAAGGGGGTAAGATTTCTTTCCTAGACTACGCGTTTCGATCCTCTCCTGCATCTCCTCATCTGTATGCGCACTTAAATTTAACTCAATTCCATATTCTTTCTTACATTTAAGGCTGCATGCTACGGTGATATCTTGAACAAGGACGTCGACGCTCAGGACAGCTGGCACATTGGTGCCATGAGGCTGTCGAGCATCAGCGGTGGTGAACGCGCCGGCTGCTTCCAATGTGCCAAGGTCACTGCCAACCGTCGCTCGGTCATCGTCCGTATCATCGACGACTGCACATCATGCTCTCAAGGCCAGATCGATCTCACCTCCTCGGCCTTCAAGATCCTTGCTCCCCTCAAGCAGGGTGTCGTCAAGATGCAGTTCGAGTGGGTTCGTTGCCCCTCCAGTGGCAAATGGCCCAAGAGCCCTGCTCCCAAGAAGTAAAAAAAAAAAAAAAAAAAAAAAAAAAAAAAAAAAACTGTTCATCCATATCCATTCAGAAAGACGGAGGATGACGATGACTCTATAGATGATTCTACTCCAATCGGTTTCCCTTTTTTTTTTTATGGATTCGAAGGCTGGTCTTTCTCTTCCCTTGGGACCTTGTTCTGCCCCCCTCTTCATATACAATATCCACACACATCCATTTTTTGTTCCATAGATATACAGCTTCAGTCGACCCTCTCCCTTTCTCTTGGGTCGCTCCGGCACACACACACACACACACACCTTTTTGTAATTACATCCAGCACTTCATTCACATTCTTAATCGCACTTTTCCCATCATTTATCTTGCAAAGCACAGCTGCATAATAAAAGCATAACACAAAAACGATACAAATATTAGGCATTAGGCTCACTTTAAAGGTTGATGATATCGAGAAGTGGACACATAAAAAAGGGAACACCGGATGCAAGAATGGCACGCGACCTCTGAATTTTTTTATTTATTTGAAATGGCATTTTGTTTAGATGAAACGAATCCCGAGGGGAGAGGGGGGGGGGGGAGCATATGAAATCACTTTGCCTTTTCGTTCTGGCTTCGATATTTGGTAGATTCAAGTGTGTTTTTCAGCGCAATACTTTTTGTTTTGGAAACGAAACGAGACCCATGGGGGAGGCATTTTAGGAGGAAGGAACGCAAAGAAGGTTTATTACGGACGATTAGGGATGCCTTTTGAAAAAAAAAAAATGAAAAATGAAAAATGAAAAATGAACTATGTTACAGAAATCGAACGAGAGTAGGAGAGGGACGAGAAACGAAAAAAGAAAGCCAAAAAGACAAAAAAAAACCCAGCTCTGCTCTTAGACAGGAATGGTCTTGCCAAGATCCTTGGGCATATACTGTGGGAACATCAACGGTCCCGCAATCAACATCACAAAGACCGCCAACAACAGCAGGAACAAGGTCCCATAGGTCCAAGCGACGAGACGACGTTGCGCACGCAACTTGGCCGAAAAGATCGGTGGCCGGATCTGTTTGCTCGGCCGCAGCCAGAACAGCATGGTCGAATGCCACCGGTCGATCCAGGGTACCAAACAGATCGGGAACAGCAGGAACAGGATGATATGGCCCATCAGGAAATCGCACGCAAACATCGACATCTCAATGATCTTGCACACGTACTCACGCAACGGCTGGGAAATCGCGTACATGCCCAGCCCACGTCCGTGCCACTTGCCCGTCCACCAGGCTCGGTTCGTCTCGTCGTGTTTGAACTCGCGCGTCAGGAAGACTGCGGTCAAGACCTTGAACACAAATCGTTGTACTGCGATGGCCGCGATAATTCCCAGAATCGCTTGTGAACCGTTCCACGACTCGAGCGCCCAAAGCGCCTCAAAGAAGCCGAGGAGTGACAACACTGCGACACCGTGCGCAATCGCTGCCATGATCGACCCAAACTTTGCACAGCACATGTTCATCAAGGGTCCCAGGATCAGCGAGAGAGCGAAAAGCCCCGCCAATACCGTAGCATTGACCACAATAGGACCTAGGGCGAAAATGGCGACTCGGAGTAACCCACTTGTATACACAGCGCCACCCTGGTTGGTGACACCGCTGGGGAAGGACCGAACAAACATATAGCAGATCACACAGAGTATCGCCTGGAGCAACGGAAGCACGATCTCGGAGACGAAAATCACCGAGAAGTGGGCTTTGGGAATATCACCTCCGAGTTTCTCTGAGGGGTGGCCCAGTCGCTTGCGCTTGTATCCGGTGATTCGGGTTCGGAGGGTGCGGCAGTACGAGATCCAGGACGAGACATGTGTACGAGAGTTGCCGCGAGAGAGCCATCGCAGGAACTCGCGGTAGTCGAGCAAGAACTCTGTGAACGCGAACTGGTGGGGGTTGAAGATGAAGGGCGAGATCACCAAGGCCAGGACCGAGACCCAAAAGTAGATCAAGTGTGGCACCCACATCGTCATCGACGCAAAGATGAGCATCAGGAGCGTCCTCATTCCCAGATAGAGCGAAGGGCCAGCGAATCTTGAGTACAGCAGCGTAAATGGCGTTCGCGTCGTCGCAAACCCACGACCGGTCCCGATGTACCGAGCGCCTCCGAACGACAAATTGGTCAAGATCGAGTTGGTGTAGATCTGTGTCACAAAGACCTCGAACAGGGGCGAGAGCGACATAAAGTGTTTCCCGAGACGGATCAGACTGCGGAGAAAGCCGCGTTCCATGAGTTCCTGCAGGAACAAGGGCAGGAAGGCGATGAAGAACACGATGAAGATGGACATGACACAGCGCTTGATCCAGTCGTACACAGGCACCAAGTTGACACAGTCGTCCTGTGTAACGTCCGCGCAGACCTCGACGGACGAAGCCATGGCTCCGATGAACAGCATGGAGATCATGAACAGTTGCACGGCGAGCATGATAAAGATGTTGTTGATGTGGAATCCCGGATGGGCGTAATAGAACGTCAGGAAGCGATCGAGAGGTAACTGCGTTCCCAAGTAGTAGTACTCGCGTGACAGCATCTGCTCTCCCATGCCAGTGCCGATCTTAGTATTGAAGTTGAGGATGGAGCCAAAGCCGAGATCACGCCCCTTGCCGCACTGGTAATACTCCGTGTGCTTGATCCTTCCTCCGCGATTGAAGGCCGTCATTCCGGCATAGATATCCTCGTTCAAATGAAGACCCTTCTGAGCCTTGCTGACACCTAATAAAACAATGTGGAGTGTTCAATTAAAATTAGTCCCAAGTTTCGATTTTTGCAGGGAAAAAATAAAATAAAAAAAAATAACAACAACTCCAGAGTATCTTACCTCCACGGGTCGTCATGAAAATGAAGTTGAGGAAATCTGGATGGCCGTAATGAAGCTTGCCTCCGATCTTGGCCATCATGCGCTGGGTCAGGGTACCGAATGTCTGTTCCTTTCCGGCGGCGACATCGCCGAGGACACCAATGTTCTCCGAGAAAATGTACTCGCGGGCTCCCACAATAGCGACTGGTTCAGGAACGTCCTTGGACGTGATCTGGGGCGAGTAGGGCGAGATTTGAGGCATATGCAGCTGCTCAAATTCCCCGAGAACATTACGGATCTTGAGCGCCTCCTCCAAATAGTTGTCCTGGTTCGCGTCCACCAATTGAACATATTCGCCGCGGGCAAAGATGATAGCATGGTTCTGGTTGTCGGACTTGCCGTCACCCAGGATCGGGTTACCAGGGAGTCGAATGCGGTAACGTGGTCGTCGCTTTCCGTCGGGCATGAGTTCACAGGTTCCGTCGATCAGAACCGAGTACACAACCGGGTCCTCTCCCTCAATCTCCGGTGGGCGCTCGTCCAAGTATGCGATCTGAAGCTGAGGGTAGGCGCGAAGCAAGAACTCGGCATTCTCGGCCTCCTCTTTGCTAAACTTTGTGAAGCGCTGCATCGACACCACAAACTTGAACTTCTGCCGCGAGAGTCGGTCGAGTTCGCGCTCCAGGCGATCTCCATTGCCACCGAACTGTGCAACAATCTCGGGGTTTTCGATACGGTAGAGCAGCTTGATGGCCTTGGAGTAATTCATGAATCCAGATACGGTGCGGTACAGGGTCTGAGTACGGAGCGAAGCCCAAATACGTGTACGGAGCGTGTATTCGGGTGCCGCGGACTTGAATCCGATGCTGTAAAAGGGGAGGTCGTCATTGTTCTTGCCCGAGTCGCGATGGCTCTCCTTATCACCCTCGAAGCCAGACAATCCAAATGCGCCTGCGCCCTCAAACATGGATGTTTCCTCAGCCAGAATCTTGGTGTCCCTGACAAAGTTATCCCACTCAACTGAGTGCAGCTGCTTGAGGTATTCCAAGAGTGTCACGCGTGTGTTCTGATCCTCCTCCCTGATAATCTCTCGGAGCGAAAGCAATGTCTTTTCAGAATAATGAGGGACCAGCACTGTGAACGTCGGCATCTCGTCGACGGGCACCGCCTCTGGAATAGGTGTCGACAGAGACTGGGCGAAAAAGTTGATGCGGCGCTCTGCCTCGGAACGATAGGGGTAGAACTCGGCCTTGATGGAAGAATCCTCCTGGGACACAAAGAACGTTGGCGCCTTGAGAGTCATTTTGGCTTCGTTTTCGGATGGGACCTGCTGGTAGAGCAAACGCTGGACATGCTCGATCGACAGCAGGTGCTCGCGGTACATCGAGATCACGATGGCATTCCAAACTTGAGAGCAAAGGACCTTGGGCTTGTATTTGACGTCCATGTCGGCGGTGGCAAGCAGTTTTGCGTAGATGCGCTTGGGGAGACGTGAAAAGATGCTTCGCCACGGAGTCCAGACCGAGATACCGAGGCGGTAAGACAGGACGACGGAGAAGATGGTGTTCCAGATGACATACCAAAGATACGTATCGAGAAAGAAGAGGACCAGGTCGACCACAAACATGATCACCACTGTGAACACGGGCATAATCGAACATAATGCGCCGCCCAGGTACTTGTCCCTGCAGTTGGGGATACGTTCGGCATACAGGGCCTTGAGAGGATCCCTGAAGGAACGGGCCAGGAAAAAGTACGATTCAACCAATTTGCAGCCAAAGACAAGCATCCAAAGAAAGATGGACAGCGCTCGATCAGATCCCTTGAGCCTCGGAAAGGAAGCAGTGAACGTTTGAGAAGCAAGGTTCTTGCGTGAGGTCTTGGAGCTCCCACCAAAGAGCTGGTTCGACGGAACGATGGCAAAGACGAGCGTCGTAATTACGGAGACGACAAAGTGGGCGATGCCGACAGCCTGGGAGGCTAAGCCAGTTCGGTTATACAGGCAAATGTATAGCGTGGGCGCGACATTCAAGATCAGGACGACGATGAGGATGATCAGCCGCTGGATGAGCATCGTCGTGTTCTGCCAGGTAAGGGGAATGAACATGAACTCGCAAAAGACTCCGAGGAGCATGATCAAAGTCGCTATCGCGCCACCGAGCGCTACGATCGTCCACTGGACTCCTGACTCGCTCGCGTTCTCATCCGTGTAGAGAAAGGGCGTGTTGTAGGCGGTGAAGTACCAATACATGACGACGTGGATGATCCAGATGCGTGTAAAGTTGACAGCCAAGTGGAGCCAGGTCCGCTTCTCGGTGTATGTTTTGCGGAAGGAAGACTCCCAGTCGACATGACCCAAGGCGCCCCATCGCTTGGCAATGTGGATGTCGACAAGCCGTTTCCTGTCCTGGAGCCTGACACGCTCGATTCCCTCTGGGCTCCAGAATGCTTGGTTGATATCGTCGTAGCCGATGACAGAGTCGTGGTCGCGCTCTCGCTTGACGTACCGGTCTCCCTGGACTTCGTATCCTTGATCGCGAATGAACCGGTACAGAGGCGAGATCACGTCTCGGAGATACAGGCCCTCGGGAACGGGGTTGATCAGCTGCTGACACTCTGGTGAGAGGTAAAAATCCTCTGCGCATTTGTAAATGAAGCACAGACACTCGGGCAGGAATCGAATCTGGGAGGCCTCACCCCAGATCAAGAGATAAAGCGCCACCTGGCGTGCACGGTCGAAATGGGACATGTTGTTCATGCGCGCCTTCCAGTGCTCCTCCGCCATGGCCAGCGACTCGTGGGTCTCAATATCAACGGCGCCAGGCTGGGGCACCATCGAGGCTAGGTTCACCCTCTTGTTCTTTCCTGGAGCTGAATGGTAGCCCATGTGGTCGTCCAGGTCCAGTTGAGCCGCAAAATACCACTTGCGATAGTTGGCGTTCTCTCCTCCAATGTAGTCTGCATGAATGGTCGTCAAAGCGAGTGCGGGGCTCATACGGGATGCCCTCGAGTCCAGCATTGTCATGAATGCGTCCAGCTGATTGCGCATGTTATCCTGTTGGAAACCAAACTTTCGCGTCAGGTCCAGCATGATGCCCTCGATTTCCTCCCGGGCCAAGGGGACACCCTTCTCGATTGTCCATGCAGTGTATGGGTTGAATGGTGGCAGCTGCTGTTGGTCTGGGATGGGGTTATTGGGGGTCGAGGGTGGGTCATAGCGGTAGTGGTGTCCCGCGAGGGGGCTCTTCTTGTGTTCCAGCAGCGAGAGCAGCGCATCCGAGGATGGGGAGTAGCCTGTGTAGCGGCCGTCGTCGGGGCCTCTGAAGGGGCCAAAGAGATCGACGTCGGCTCCTGCGGTTGTGCTTGCGTTCGGGGACATGACGGCGTCAGAGCGCGAGTCGCTGAAAGTCTCCGAGTCGGATTCGGATGGCCCATCCCGCCGACCCTTACCCTTGTGGAGGACAGGATCGGTGCTGGGCGTCCTGCTGGAGTCGGCGAAGGATCGGACGTGGGGATGTCGCTCTGTCATGGTATTTGAGAGTGAAAGCGATGATGCTGATTAGTCGTCTGATATACAGATTTACAGATATGCAACCTGAATGATGAAATCGTTCACGAGCAGACAGGTGCGGGAAATCCGCCCCAGCCAATGGGCGCGGGGGGGCTCATCAGAAATAGATCCCTAGTCCCCACCCCCCCTCCCTCCCTCCTGGGAACGACCGTTTTGTGCGAGCCATGCTGGCATTGCACAACGTGTTGAAATAAACACTAAGGACACCATCAGGCACAGCACTCACCCTCGCTCAGTCCTGAATCTTGGTGGTGGAACAACGAGTTTTGCGACGACGACGAGCATATTGTGCCACAATGGTTGGGGATCCCATGGTGCGAGTACAGACTCTCGTCCTCAGAATCCTGTCCATTCAGTCCCGGTCCATAGCCGTGATTGTTGAACTGGCTGCTAGAATTCAGTCTGTGGACTGTAGGGTGGAACGGATGTTGAGACTGCTGCTGCAGGTCGTGGAGCGGATATGACATGGATTGGGGGTATGGAGTATTCTCTGGAGGCCCCTGTTGGAAAGGGCTTTGATGGTCAGCGGGGCCCAGAAACCCTGGGTTAGGAAAGTATCCCTGGGGACGGGGTGGTAGCTGTGGCGCCTGTCGTTGTGGATATGGAGGCTCGCCTTGTTTCTGTATGGCCGGTGATGCAGAATGGCCAGTTGGGTCCATGGTGTAGATGTCTATCGCCCACGACGAACGATGCGGCTTCAAGCGCGGGGGTCAGTGGGAGCTAGATCGAAGGGCTGGTATTGAGATGATGAGGCCAAAGCAAGACGCGGAGCAAAAGCGCTAAGGAGGAGTAGAACGGAGAGAGAGAGAGAGAGAGAGAGAGAGGAAGAGGAGGAAGAGGAAGACGAGGAAGAAGAAGAAAGAGGGACACGCGCAGGGCGGTGTGAGTAAAGGATAGATTGTGCTCGCAAGCAATCATCAGTGATGGGTTGATTCGATCCATGGGATATCAAGCGCGCCATGTTACCTCTATGATATATTCTGGTGGTCTTTGCTGTGTCTTGTACACACAAACGGGTGTCAAGAAGAAGAAGATGAAGAAGGTGAAGAAGAGGAAGGTGGCAGACAGGAGTATGGCTGGGCGCAGCGAGAGAGTGAGAGAGAGGGAGGGAGAGGGAGAGCGAGAGCGAGGTGTATGTATGTGTGTGTGTATGTGTGTATGTGTTGAATGTATGCTGGATGTTGCTGTGCTGGAGGTGGAGGCGGAGGTGGAGCGGTGGGTGTATGGGGCGGAAGGTACAGAGAGAATGCTGGGGGATGTCGTGAAGAGTGTATGTACGAACGCGTTGGATGTGGATGGAAATCACAGGGCGGAGGAGGAGGAGGAGGAGGAGGGGGAGGAGGAGGATGGAGGGAGAGGGCGCATAAAGACGTGTAGTGCGATGGAGTTATCCGTGGCAGCAGCAAGCGGCAGCAGGTCGGTGACCAGGAGTGGAGTGAGTGGGGGAGCGAGAGGGAGAACGCGTGCAAAGGAGAAGAAAGAAGCAGCACTCTTTATCCCCCTCCCTCCCACTCTCACCCTCACTCTCATTCTCGCTCTCGCTCTCACCCCCACTCGCACTCCCACTCGCTGCACTGCTTTGATGGTCCGACATGTAACCATGGGTGCCCAGGACCCTTCCATATTCCCCTAGAAAGAACAAACAGAACCTTGCTCTTGTGAACTGACACAGGGACCATTTGAGTTATCTGTGCGACATTTGATACCATGTAAATTTAGAGGCCACACACGATGGACGATGGACAATGGGCGGGGGGAGCATGCCGATGGAGGAAATCGACTGGCTACGGAACGCCGCCCCTGCGTGCGCATGCTAAGAATATCATCCTTCTTTTAGGGCTGTCGACCGATTTCTCTCTCCCTCGTGGGCACCCATCCACCCGCCTTCCACTTGAGTTTGTACATCCGTCTCTCTTCTTGCCCTTCTTTTTTTGTTCGTGTTCGCGGTGCTAGTCTGTCGATCTATCTATAGTCAATTAGCAACTGCATCAAACATGTTCCACGCTGCGTACTCCTTGCGAAACAACCGCCAGGGCACAGGGGTCGATCGAACGGATGCCGATGCCGATAATGCAGTCGGTACACACGGGGCCCTTCACTCCTCCCCTCAGTTCCAGAGAAAAGCCAGCTTGGATCTCTCGAGAAAGCCTACGGCGCCATCCTGCGCGTTGTTTGACAAAAAGAATTTGTGAGCTGAATATTGGACAATGAAAGGGGAACTCGATTAATTCGATTATTGACCAACCTTGTTTTGAGCACGTTTATTGCAGCGGCATTCTCCTTTGCTGCTGTGTTGACACTGCTTGAGGGACATACACGTTACATGGTATGTACATGCTATCCTCCCCCCCCCCCCCATGCTCCCCCCACAGAGACTACCCATCCATCGTGCTTGTGGAGTAAAAAAAAAAAAGAAAAAAAAAGATGAATCCTTTATTAGCTATCTTTAACCCAAGCCAGGGGTTAGGACAAAGCCATCTACGGCGCGCCATCATGTCTGGGGATAATAAAAAAAATGTGTATCAGATTAACCCCGCTGGGTTCTTTGTTACTCAAAGAGCAACCTCTTTCTTGTTCATGTGAGCAACAGCGGAAGGATTAAACTATCATTGAAGCTTGCGTAAAAAAATACGCCCACTTGGCCTTACGCCAGGGGGGGGAAAGAGACAAAACTGGGCGTAAATTTAGTGTATCCACACGATCGATCACCAAATATACAGGGCTAGCGGGCTGACCCTGAATGGACACACACTTTCCCTGGTATCCAGTGCCGGTGTGGAGGTAGAAATCACTCTATTTGCCCAACATGCTGCCTGCACATCTTGACATAGCTCAGAACAAGCGGGAGCATCATCTGCGTCATTTTCGGTTCATAAGTAAGTATGAGACGCAACTTTTATTCCCAGCCTTTTAAAAAGGATCAAAAGCCGGGTGTGGGGAAGTAGAAGGTTCCATCGAAGACTGAGTGGGCACAACCCGGAGCGTATCAGATCCTAGCCCCGACTTATCAGGACCGCGTCTTATCTGATTTCAATTCCTACTGGCGACCATATGTCGGAATGGACCAACCTGACGCATGGTCCCTGACAACGCCATGGCAAAGCATCTGGACCCTTCCGTGATTTGTCTTGTTACCGTTTTGATGCAGGGAATCAAGACACACGCACGTCCTTGTCCATTCCACTCCCAGCTCCACGCTATGATGACAGAGGGCCGAGCATGGGGCCATTGGAAGGTCCCTGGTCGTCCTTTTTAAATTTTACGGTATAAATAATCTCTGTCAGCGTCTCACACCCATTTGCTCCATATCCTTCTAGACAACTTCCTGCTCCTTCACTCTCCGCTGGTTTATCCTTCCCTTTATTGCATCACTCTCTTTTATCTTTTAGCAAAGCGTGTGCGTGTTTGCTTATTTTGATTTGCTCCTGGTCGACATAGCAACGTCATTTGATTTAATTGATCCGGCTGTCCGCTTGGCCGCTCTCCACCTTCTTTCGTCTTTCCTGGCGCCGGGAATCCAACAAAACGATACTGCCGCCACCATGGTCCGCCTCTCAACTCTTCCGACACTAGCTCTCGCTGCTGCCTGCAGCCTTGGTTCAGCCTGGGCCCTGAACCCAATCACAATCAAGGGCACAAAGTTCTTTGACTCTGTCTCAAAGAACCAGTTCTTCATCAAGGGCGTCGCCTATCAGCCGCGAACGCTCTCCGAGGGCTTTACAGACCCTCTCTCAAATCCAGCGGACTGTCAGCGCGACTTTACTCTCATGAAGGACCTTGGCCTTAATACTATCCGTGTTTACCAGGTATATATGACGATTTGTGAACCAAGTGCCTGTGGAGGTGGTATTTCCCTCTTCTACCTCCTTTTCCTCGCTAACCGACTAAACAACGTCTTTGATCCTCACCCAGGTCGATTCATCTCTCAACCACGACGAGTGCATGAAAACATTGGAGGACGCTGGAATCTATCTCTTGGTTGACCTCACCACACCTCAGTACTCCATCGTTCGCAACAACCCGGAATACGACAATGACATCTGGAACAATACGCAGAATACAATCGATGCCTTCAAAGGCTACTCTAACACGCTCGGATTCTTTGTGGGTAATGAGGTCACTAACGATAACAAGACGACAGTTGCCAGTGCCTATGTCAAGGCACTGCTGAGGGACGCCAAAAACTATATCAGCTCAACGGCGCCTCGTAAGATCCCAGTCGGATACGCCAACAATGATGACCCCGACATTCGCCTCCAGATCCAAGCCTACTTCAACTGTGGCGAAGATGAGGAGCGTCTCGATTTCTTTGGCATCAACCTGTACGAATGGTGTGGTGACCAAATGACTTACCAGACCTCAGGCTACGCCGAGCGCACAAAGGACATTGCCTCGTATTCCATTCCAGTCTTCCTGTCCGAGTTTGGTTGCAACCTTGTCACACCACGAACATTCCCTGAAGTGAAGTCGATCCTTGGACCAGATATGACCGGCAACTGGTCCGGTGGTATTGTCTATGAATGGTCGCAGGAAGCCAACAATTACGGCCTTGTTCAAGTCCAGCCGGACAACACGGTCACTATCCTGCCTGACTACACCAACCTGAAGAACGTTCTCGCACCATTGCACCCTGAAGGCGTCAACATGGACTCTTACAACGATAATTTGCCAGAATCAACCTGTCCTGCCATTACCGCGGCTTGGGAGCCTAGCGAAAACCTGCCCCCGACACCATCTTCATCTGCTTGCGACTGCATGATGTCCTCCCTAAGCTGCGTTGCCTCCGACCAGGCTGTAGCGACGACGGAGAATTTGGGAACATTGCTCAACACGATCTGTGGTATGACATCGTGCGACGACATCAGCTCCAATGGCAAAACTGGCGTCTACGGCAAATACTCCTTCTGTAATCCCAGTCAGAAGTTGTCCTACATGTACAATACGTACTACGTTAATGTCGGCAAGAAGGCGGCCGCCACCTGTAGCTTCAATGGCATGGCCAAGTTGACGACCGCAACAAAGTCATCAGACCAAGGATGCTCATCTGTCAAGAACCCAGACACTGGATCGAGCCCAAAGACAGGAGGCCTTAGCACAGGAGCCGCGTTGAAGTATGACGGGGCCTTATTCAGTCTGGCAGTGGTTTTGGCGGCCTCTGTGCTGTGTCTGTAAACACGGTGTGCCGCAAATTGTATTTGTAATATCATGGCGACCAGCAACCCTGCGCCGTTTGTTTTCAAAGATTTGTTATATACATAGTTTTTGTACATAGGCCATAAATCTACTAATGAATGTACCGCGAGTATCCCATAAGCGCGTCTGATAATACGACCAGGTCAACAAGAAGAGGAGTTGCTGCCAGTCTTGTGTATCTCTTTTACAAAACGAAAAAAAAAAATAAAAAATAAAAAAAAAGTATGTACGGTAGATGTTCAACTCATTCATCCTAAGCTCGTTGTCATGTGGCACTGCGTATAATAAAACATGGAGCTAATCGCGTGCGTGCTCTGTTATAAAATGGGCTACGGATATGGTATTTGTGTGGATTAGGACGCTCTAACAGGGCTACAATTGTCTGCAAAACCTAAAAGGCGAGTGACTTGGTTTGCAGCATCCCGAAACCATTTTATGCCCATTCATTCGGGGAGCACTGATTCTTTCCTTTTTTTCAACCGAATCGCAAGCAAAATGGCACGTGATACTATCCCCCCTTTCTGTGCTATGCATCCAACCTACAGCGATGGATACACACAACACATCCATCTGGCAGGAGTGCGGTTGAAAGCTAGGAAATGGGGCCATCATGCAGGACATTACATTCTGGCTGATCGAGGATCAAGGATGATAGGATGATTAAGGATGGCGATGTTATTATTTTCGATAAATTCAGCTGTACCGTTTACACGACTTACACGGCCTATGGAGTATTACGACAGGACAGGACCAGTTACTAGCGAGCGTCCCCTTCCGACAAGCATCAGGATTTTTGCTGGGCACGATACTGGTTGCAGGCTGCAAATAAGAGCCCATGGGGAGACTATGATCTAGCGATGTGCAAGCCAAGGTTTTGCATCTGCATACTGGAAGGGGACAGCAAGTCGGAACCCTACATCTTCAGAATCGCGCCAGTTCGACACCAGTTCAGGAGGGTGGTGATGGCGATCAAAAAGAACGGATGGGGCCTTTTTTTTTTTTTTTTTTTGACAGATGCAGACGAGACTAACACGAACGGCCTTCACTCTTACTCATCGCATCCATATAGTTGGCTGTTGATCTCTTGAACCCTTCTCACGCTCTTGAGCAGAAGACCCACAAGTTGAAGAGACTCGTGCAGTCTCCCAACTCTTACTTCATGGACGTGAAGTGCCCTGTAAGTCTCGAGGACGAAAGATACGAGAGCAGGATATGGCGGGACTTTTTGGATGTTCAGGGGGGGGGGAAAGCATTGCAACAGCTCAGTCCTCTCTCACGGCCTTGTAAAATAGCCAGGAATTACCAAGAGCATCAGAAGCATCAGGAATATCAGGGATATCAGGAACAATTGAGCAAGGCGTTATTCGCACTTTTTACAGCTTGCACATTGATATAGCTGCTTATAATCGATATTGGACTTTCCCGCGGCAAGCCTTAATTCAGCAAAGAAAAAATAGCAGGGGCATAGGGTAGAAAGGGTTATAGAACTCGGCTTTTATTCTTGTGCTGCAGCAACCATAGTGGATTTGGAGTTGGATTTCTTCAAAAATTCGCCGTCGATTACAGGATCATATGCTTTCTAAAGCTGTGCACCACCTAAAGGGACGATATTGACACATAGCTTGATTCTTTTTGACCTTCATTTTCATGCTTCACAGGGATGCGTCCAGATCACCACCGTCTTCTCCCATGCCCAGACTGTTGTCATGTGCTCGAGCTGCGCCAACGTTCTTGCTCAGCCCACCGGTGGTATCACCCGCTTGACCGAGGGTAAGTACCAACTTGAGCACTCCAGGAGTGCTAATGTATATGTTTTGATTCACGTTTTGGATCATAATCGATGTCTGACATGATACTATCTGGGGGTTTTTTTTCCTAGGCTGCTCTTTCCGCCGCAAGCAGGCTTAAGCGTTTGTCCTAAATCCTGAAATAAAACTGCTGGAATGCAATACAAGTGTTTATTTCCACAACTGAGATTGTCAATATTTCACAGCATCGCTCGTCCTATCGTCCTATCGTCCTATTGTCCTATTCTTTTTTTTTTTTTTTTTTTTTTTGCAGCGCAATTATTATCATGTCCATTTTACCGGGTCTCTCGCGATGGCGCAGGTTTGAAATTTGAAACGCGTCCCGCGCAGCCAACATGTCACGTGGAAATGACAGCATATTTCACTGCTTTTTCGTGGAACGATCGCCCCGAGCTTCTGATTCACCACTTTTTTTATTCCCTGATTTGCAACCATTCCTTTTCCCGGCCACAAATGAAAACCTCGACTATTGTTGCAGCCACCGTCGGTGTGCTCGCTGTGGCCACGGTCGGCTACGCCATCTACTTTGATTCGAAGCGAAGGAACGATCCAGAATTCAGGCGCAAGTTGAGTAAGTCGTTACTCTGGGTGTCCCCCTCCCCACCCCAACGTTTCGGCCGCGCATTTCAGAGTCACGGACCATAATATGAACTCCTTTACGGAAGGGGCTCCGTTCCCGTTTCGATCTCATCTGAAGTCCGGCCGGGGGGAGCTTTGCGAAACATATCACCGGATTGGAGACAGCAAACTGACTGATCGCCCTCATTTTTTTTTGTTTCCTTGTTTCCTTTCTGGCGCTTTTTTTCCCCCTTTGATAGAGAAGGAGCGCAAGCGTACTCAGAAGCTGGCTGCAGAGGAGGCAAAGAAGCTATCGAACAAGAGTGCACAAACTGTCGAGGAGGCATTAGCCAGTATTTCAGATGAAGACTTCCCCACGTCAATGGAGGAGCGTGAGAAGTTCTGTATGGAGCAGCTTTCAGCTGGAGAGGCCCTTTTCACTCAAGGTAACACTATCGCTTTAACAGGGATCTATTTAGAGATACAACACGGACCCAAAAAAAATCTCGAAAATCCCCCAGCTAACGGTTTTTTTTTTTTCACCTGTGGCATGTCCGCAATGTCATAACTGGGGGGGGAAAATAGGCCCTACCAAGTTTGGTCAAGCCGCTATTTGCTTCTACAAGGCTTTGAAGGTCTACCCAGCCCCTGCGGAGCTGGTTATGGTCTATCAAAAGACGATCCCGCCAGAGGTCTTTACTCTTGTGATGGGCATGCTCAGCAAGGATGTAAGTTTTGGTATCACAGCTAGGAGCCGGATCGCACTTTTCCAGCCAAAATTGTGATGGAGCATGACTAATTGAATCAACAAAAAAACGATTGGGAATTTATGAATCGATAGGTTCAGAGCAAGCAGGAGAAGTACTACACTGTGTTCCCGCCTGAGGAGATGAATGTCAAGGTCGAGGAGAAGCCAGAAGGCGTTGCTGCTGATGGACAGAAAGTTACCCGTCGTGGATTGGTGGCGACCAAGTCGTTCGGTGCAGGGCAGACAGTCTACTCGGAGGCGCCTGTGATCAGCTCGTTGGAACCATCGCTGGAGGGCAAGGACTTTTGCCATTACTGTTTGAAGCAGATTGTGGATGAGGCATCCAAGGTTCCTTGCTCAAAATGCACCCAGGTGGTGTTCTGTACGGAGGATTGCAGAAAGTCGGCCGCACAGGAATTCCATGACATTCTTTGCACAAAGGACTCGGAGGATGCTTCCAGTCCTGAGCGTTCGTTGCGTGAGTACACGAAGACCACCAGGAACTTGGTCCCAGAGATGCTTGCAAAGTTCTTGGTCAAGATGGTCCACGAAGAGTCATTGAACAGCGGAGCAGAGTACAATTCTTTCGACCACATGGAGCGTCTTCGCTACTTGGAGATCACTGCCACTGCAGAGGAGGAGAAAGAGATGGAGCTTTTGAAGGTCGCACTGGGGTCCAATATCCCCGGCATTGACGAGTTCATTACGGAGGAACGGTACCTGCTTATGAAGGGAAGGTTGCTATACAACCTCTACGGTGTTTCCACCTCTCTTAATGTCGATCACGACGTGGAGGTAAGTTGATGGAAAGAGGGAGTCATTTTACTTGAATTCTCGGTTGAAATCTTGAGAAGGATAGCGTTGCTAATGCCATAATTGCGCCTTGCCTTTGACTTTCTTTTCTTTTCTAGCCTTTGCCTGAGAGACATCGCAGTGTGCGTGATGCTCCTATCACTGGTGGAGGATTCTACCGTGTGACCTCGTACTTGATGCACTCTTGCGAGCCCAACGCCAAGATTGTGTTCTCAGAGAACGACCATAAGGTATCGATCGTGACGACGAGGGAGGTCATGGCCGGCGAGGAGCTCCTTGTTGGGTATATCAAGAACGACGACCTGTCGACGGAGAGTCGCCGCTTGGAGCTGTTCACAAAGTACCGTTTCCGATGCATGTGCCCCTTGTGCGAGACCACAGACTAAGGGAGATTGGCATGATGATGTAGAAATAAATAGAGTGTCTAGCGACGTTTTTTGTTTCGCGTTAAGGGATGTCTGAACAGAGTGGTGCTACTTGGTACACAGAGGAGGCCAAAGTTGGATTTTCGTCTTTTACTCTCGACCATTTCTCTTGCCATCGAAAGCAGGAGTCATTGTTTTTTTTTTTTTTTTTTTTTTTTTTTTTACCTCGGGCACCAGTTTATGTCGTAACGGTGTCTGGGGGCGGGCTTTAAGATCCAAGACGTTTTTTGCCACCAATTTTCTTTTTTTCCAGAGATCGGATTCGACCAAGGTTCAGTCAGAATAGATGTTTTATCCTACGCATCGGAATTGAACAAGGACCTTGGACGATTCAGCGTCGCTCGCTTGTTTTATAGAGGGCGATGCTTTTTTTTTTTTTTTTTTTTGATGCCAAGGGGAGGGGAAGGGGGCCCTGAGACGTCCTATGGTAAAAAATGCTGATCAAGGTTAATCAGAAGTGAGATTATCCCGATTGCCTTTTGGTCTGCTTTATCCGCAGAAAGCATTTTTTAAAAATACTGAATGTTAGTAGTAGTGTCATAGTGTCATAGTGTCACTCACTAGGTCTATTCAGTAAAGTGTGCCCAGTTGCTTTGAGGGGAGGTGGGGGAAGGGAGGGGCTTCCTAAAAAAAGGTAGTGCCCGCCATTCGATAACCTTCAACGTGAGCTGAATAGGATGAAGGCATAGAGCAACACTGAGTGAGGCGAGCGATGCTAGCATTCATATCGGAAAATGTGTGTGTGTGTGTTTTTTTTTTTTTTTTTTTTTTTTTTTTCCTTCTTCGCAAGCGATAATGGTATCTGGATGCCAACTCGGCGAGTCTCCTCGTTGTGACATAGAATCTCTATAGGAGTACCTTACATTCTACAAAGGTATTGTTCTGCGCGAGAAAGTGTTTTTGCGCGGAGGGGGGAGACCTCCCTCAGACCCTCTTAGACACTGTAGGACCGGAAGCCACGAAGAAAAAGTCCCACCCAGAGGGGAAAAAAGACAACACAAAATAAACGCGGCGCCCAAAAGGGGCTAAATGAAAAAAAATAATCGTCCCACTGCGCCTGTAAGCACTCTCCCCACTCCTCCTTGGCCCATCGACCATCGACCATCGACCATCGACTCCATCCATTGGTCCAGCTCTCTTTTTTTCCGCCCCTGCACTGATCATCCAGCCTCATCTGCTTCCTTTCTAACCCGACAGCGAGTTTGAATCTGGCCTCTGTGGGACCTGAAAGAAAAAAAAAACAGTTGCAGCCAGCTGTCTGATTGTCGCCCGAAAAAAAAGAATCCACTCCAGTCCTTCATAACCCGTGAGAGCGAGCCCATGTCTGCCAATTCTCTTCGAAAGCGTGCCTTCGTCTACTCGGACGATGCAGGAGAGAATCTTGATGGTAAAGCCAAAGACGAAAAAAAAAAAGACGAGCACGCGCGTATGGAGGAGGACTACGCCCACGGAAAGGATTAAGGATCCCCCTTTCCTCTCCCCAAGCAGCCAAGCAGCCAAGTAGCCAAAGACTGACATTGACGTTGTACTCTCCTTGAAAACATGTATATTAGTCTGTCCACCATCGCCCACCAAGAAAAGGACGCCGTCGAGACGGACAAGCGAGTTGTTCAGACGCACGGCCGAGACCCATCGATTGGTTGGACGCGAGGCCGAGCGAAAGACGATCCGGGAATTCTGTGAGAACCACATTTTGGTTCCCAAGGCAGGTTCGCTTTATATCTCTGGTCAGCCTGGGACGGGCAAGACGGCGCTTCTGAAGGAGGTGATGCGTGATATGGAGCGTGAGATGAAGGACGTGGAGCATGAGGTCAAGACGGCTACTATCAACTGCATGACGGTCAAGGACCCTCGCCTTGTGTACCAGAAACTGTTGATAGAGATGGGCTATGTCGCCGAGTCGAAGGAGAAGGATGCTGCTATCAAGTCCTTGGAGTCGCTGGTTCTCAAGTCGAACAAGAAGAAGATCATGTAGTAAGTGCTTTTTTATTTTATTTTATTTTTTCTGCTGCCATGGAATGCATGGAATGTGCGTGCCTCTCTTTCTTTTACTATGGCTGTGAACCATTGGTTGCTGATGCCCATGTATTTTTCACCTTGTCGTTGCTAGTGTGGTGGTTCTCGACGAGATTGACCAGCTGTTGACAAAGGATCAGGATGTATTGTACAAGCTGTTCGAATGGGCGTCGACAGAGGGCTCCAAGCTGACGCTGTTTGGTATTGCGAACGCACTCGATATGACGGACCGGTTTTTGCCTCGATTGAAGGCCAGAGACTGCGAGCCCCAGCTGTTGAACTTCAACCCATATCAGGTTGCTGAGATCCGAGCCATCATCATGGACCGCCTATTCTCGCTGGAGGACGATACAAAGGACGAGAGCAACGGCAAAGTAGAAGGCAAGGACAAGAGCGAGACAGGCAAACCCCGCGTCGCCCCATTGATGCAACGAGCTGCCATTGAACTGTGTGCGCGCAAGGTGGCAGCTGCAACGGGAGACCTGAGAAAGGCGCTCGATATCTGTCGCCAAACGATTGAGATGGTTGAGCTGGAGACGAGGAAGAAGGAGCGGTTGGAGAAGCGTCAGAGTCTGCCCCAGCGTGGGCTCGCCCCCCTGTCTGAGATCCGCCTGGCCAATCTTGAAAACCAGGTTGCTGGAAGTTCAGAGAATGCGACGGCTGCACGTCGACAGTCGGGTTCGTTTGCGGATGCGGTTTCTTCAAAGGCGGCCAAGCTCACATTGCAGGACGCACCCAAGGTGACGGTGGAACATGTTAAGAAGGCGCTGGCGTCAGCATTTGGATCACCGGTTGTACAAAAGATGAAGGCGTTGAATGTGCACCAAAAGATTGTCTTGGCAGTCCTGGTGATGAAGATTCAGAGCGGCAAGACGGTCGATTGCGAGGTCGGCAAGGTCTTTGACCATTATACCACGACCTGCCGGTCGAGCAACAAGATTGGAGCGGTGAACCGAGGAGAGTACCAGGACCTGATTAATATGCTGGAGGCGAATGGACTGATTACTTTGGGCAAGAGTAAGGAGGAGCGACTCCGCAAAATTGGGCTGGTACCGCGCGAGAGCGAGGTTCTGGACGCGACTAGGGGACAGGACATTTTGGACACCATCCTCGCAAAGGCCGGTGTCAAAATGGACGCGACCGATATGTGAGCAGGAGATATGCCTCTCACTCTTTTTTTTTTTTTTATTTTTTTTATTTTGTTTCTTTTTGCACTTTACCCAGTCTATGCACACCCAATCAGCCATACTTTCTTCTCCACCTCTCCCTTATATATATACGTATTCACTTCTCTTATGTTTTGCGTTGTAGGGTGGGGTTCTCTTGCAATGGCAGCACTCCTCGATCGATAGCTAGATGTAAAAGTGAAGAATACAGACAGCCGCATTAAGTTATACACGCGATGAATGACTTGTTTAAAGAGCAGTCAGTAGGAATAATACGAGCTGGAGTACAGTGTAAAGAGTGGTTGAGCACACAATTAATGATCGGAGACCTGGCCCAGGCGCAGGCTGAAATGACATGTGCTAGAAACGATTCCTTCGCAGCAAGAATAGAACCGATGCGAAGGACAGAGCCCAAGCGGCAAGTAGTCTAGTCTACCATTATTGAAGCAACTAAAAAAGAACCTCAGCATTGGCCACCCACGGAAGTACATCTTGCCTTGCCATATTATCTTTGTCCATATCCTTGTCGACCCCCTCCCCCCATTTCCCGCAAAATGCACAACCAGATGTGCTAAATTGCTAGAGTTCTATCTTCCCGCTGTGCCTGTCTACTTTGTCTACTCTCTCTCTCTCTCTTGCCCCAAGTTTATTCCGGTCGGCGGGAAATGCAGCCTTTTTGTCGTTTGCATATATTTATCGTGGCTCTGGACGGGTCTAGAGAATGAAGGGATTAGATAGTGGTTAATGAAAGAAAAGGGGATGGACATGTGTCGCGGTAATGATGGCTCGGTAGAGAGAACCGCCACCCTCTGGTCATCCTGGTCAGGGGCCCCTCCCCTTCCCCATTGGCACGCGCTGCTTGGCTTTTCTCTCTGTCCGTGTCTTCATTGTGAGACGCCCTTGATGAGACGAGATTGACGGGAGAAAGGTGCACCTGCGCGCTAAGGGACGGATGGCCAGTCTGATCTGTGTCGATATTTTTGCATGCAAACAGATGTTATCGCCGTAACACGGCATGGAACGGCCTGGTATGGCGATGCGGTGCATGGCGCATGGTGTGGCCTAGTGCAGGTGGGGGGGGGGGGGTCCCTCAAGTCTTCTCCGTCGCCCTATTGCGGTAGTCCAGTGAATGAACGTGATTGAGTCGAATCCATTGCCCTGTGATTTTCACCTGAAAGTAAACATCATTGCATTGGAAGTGGATCCCTCCATCCTGTTTCCCTCTGGCCCCTTTTTGAAGGTGTCAACTGTCAAGGACCATCATCGTTTTCATTATGATGCTTAAGAGAAAGAGGAGGAGGAGGGGTCGACATCCTGCCGTCGTCCTCGGTCTATGCTACGATATTATGGCACCAGGTGAGACCTGCCTGGAGAGGTGGAGGAGGGATCTGCAGGGCCTGTCTGCCCCCTCCTCCTCCTTTCTGGTATTCGATTGCTCTCAAGCCTCAGCAATTGTCATTGAACCCTAGTCCCTAGTAAGTTGATTACATTTGCAAGAAGGATGTGTGTGGCCTGGCTGACTGACTTGCTAGCTGACAAGACCGATGGAGAGGGGGAAGCAAGTAAGACAGGGTCATGGGCATCCTGGGATATATAATCGTCATGCTCAGAAGTATGCGCATGCTCACTCTACTGCGTGTGCTCGTTCAATACAACAATAAAATATGTTTATCATATGCCATGTGTATTCTGGTAGAGACCATCGAGCTGTATGTTAGACTATTGCGGCCTTACCCCATTCATTTTCCTTGTGAAAAAAAAAAAAAAAAAAAAAAAACCAACTTCCCTCCCCCCCCCTCTTCCCTACACTCTTTCTTTCCCCTCTTCCTTCCCCTTCTTCCTTCCTCCTCATTCAATCCAAACTCATTCCATCGCAACGTCTCCCTTTTCTTTCCTTCACTTCACTCTATATCGTACATTCCCCCCACTCTCCCTCTCTCTCACTGACACTCGCCGGCACCTCTTCTCCTGACGCTCTTCATATAAGGCCCCTCATATAACACTCGCCCATTTTCAATTGAACGACCCCACAACACCAGTCCCCAGACAATGGACCAAGGCCCCATAGCCGTCTCGACTGCTGCACCAATTGCCTCCACAACTTTCAACACGGAGGCGTCCCTGACCGCCCTGGCAGCGTCAGGCACAGAGACTGAAGAGGCAAATTCGGACCCAGGATATCACTCCTCTGAAACAACACCTATCACCGCAGCACTTCTTGCCCACAAGGCAAAGTTTACTGCCACCACCACCACCACTACTGCCACTACCACAAGCACAACCGCCTCGACCATGGCAGACATCGATGCTCCTGCCCCACTCGTCTCTCCCATCAGCTCCGTCTCCAACAGCACCGCTGGCAGCTCTCCCCAGCCCAACCACATCCCTTCCTCGGAGGAGGCAGACATGATGGCCTCGTTGGACGAGGTCCTGAAGCGCAAGGTTGCAAACGAGGTCTCCTCTGACTACTACAGCAGCAGTGCTGCAGGTGGCAGCGACAATGGCCAGGATGAGGATTCCGATGTCGCACTGCACTCAGGAACGCATCATCACCACCATCCTCACCAAGGGGAGCAAATCTCTGTGTTATCTTCGATATCGGATACACAAATCCCCCAACATCCCCATCCTCAACCACATGCACATGATGATGGTCACTTTGGATCGGCTTCCCAGGACGGCGAACACGAACACGAGCACGAACAACAAGAAGAAGAAGGCCCTTCCCCGGATCAGATGGGTCTTGATAACCTGGGCACTATGGACCTCCGTATGCTGCTACAGCATGCCTACGAAGTCATCCAAGAAAAGGATCGGGGTAAGTTGGTTCTAAAAACAACCCAGGGGGGGGGGGGGGGAGAGGGAGTAAGGAAAAATTGGTCCTATCATTCTCCTCTTCATCCCTCCTCCCCCTGGCCCTAGTTCTTGTTCCTTCTCTCTCACTTGCTTTCTTTACTTACGCCCTTTCCCATCTGTCCTCGCTTTCTTTCTTCATTCTTTTCATTTCTCGCCTATATATCTAGACCTCGGAATGGCAGCAGTGATGGGCCAAGATCTTATCGACTCCAACACCAACTTGCAAGCCAAGTACCAACACATCCTGACTCAGCTTCGACACCAACGAATGCATCGTCCTCGACAGCTTACGCCCCCGCGCAAAATCATCCTCTCGCCCGCACCCGAGATGTCTGGCTCGATTGCGATCATCGACCCGGACGATAACGATGGGAACAACAGTGGGGACGAGAACTGGGTCGACGACTTTGAGCCCTCCCGATCGTCCTCGTCATCGCTGCACCCCATCTCACCCCCGACTTCCTCGAACTCGCATCACCATGCGACCTCGTTCCGTCGTAGCCCCACCAGTCACAATTCGAATATGATGCGGTCAAGGTCACGCCAGGATATCGAGAAGCTGGCCTCGCTCGAGGAGTTGAATGCGCAGCTGCAGGGCAAGGTCGATGCTGTCACCAAAGAGCTGAAGCATGGACGACGGCAAGCGTTCAAGCGCCTTCGCAGGGCCGAGAAGGAGCTGAAGATGTGCAAGGACGAGCTCGACCGGACGACCTTCAAGGTTGTTGACCTGGAGGAACAGAACGGACGGCTCATCGAGGCCAGTCGTATGATCCGGATGCGCCGTATCATGCTCAAGAATCAGCTGCCTGCACCAGGATCGATCCCTGGGTCGACCATGGCCAACATGGCGCTCGAGATGATAGGAGACGATGTCATGGACGAGATCACGATCCAGGAAATGTTGGCGGAGGATAACAGGATCTTTGAGGAGCTGCGTGATCGACTACAGTCGCTCGAGCGCAAGAACACGGCACTGATGCAGCAGAAAGCCGAGGCGGACAGGAGGACTCAGCAACTGGCACAGGACCTTTCGGACATGCAACAGGAGCAGGAGGAACTGATGGCCAACCTCTGTGGGCTTTCGGATCTGCAGTCGGCGTATGATGAGCAGTCCGCACATGTCAGGGAGCTGGAGAACTCGATTGAAGAACTGCAGAACACGATCAGCACCATGTCCTCGAGATTCTCTCAGATGAATTCGCCCCTTCTTTCACCCGCAGACCCCTCGTCACCGGTGCAGAGTGTGTGGAGGAGAGAGGACGCGGACTTTAAGGCGCTCAAGACGATCCTGCACGGAGCGAGCCCTCAACCGATGGCGTTAAAGTCCCCGGGATTGAAGGGCCAGCGTCGCCCACGCAGGACACTGCTGGCAGAGCTGGAGAGCGAGTGGTTCAGAGACGTGTCGTTCTTTGGACCGCCCCGTGTGCCTGAACAGCAGCAGCAGCAGCAGCAGCAACCTATTCATCTGGGTGGTCCCAAGTCACCGAAAGCGCTCAAGAACCATCGCCATGACTCTGAGTCGGATGCGTTCTCGGATGATGCTGGAGGACGGGTCAATGGTTGGCGCGAACGGATCCAGGACATGGGCGAGGAGTCTATGTGTGAGTCATCGAGCTGTATCCGCAAGAGACGAAACCGATTCAAATACGCAGGAAGCGACACGGACGGCGGTCTTGGAGAGCCTTTGGGAGACAGCACCGCCGAGCATGGCGATGATAGTGATGTGGAGCGATACCAGCTGCGTCCGCGCAAGCGACTTGGCCATCATCACCAGCTCACTATCGCTGGCGGCATTGTCAGCTCTGGATGCGAGGACGAGAGCGCGGACGAGGACATGTCCGATTGCTCCGATCCTCATCATCTGCACTACCGCCGACCGTCGACGCCTGGATGCTGTTGCCACATGTATGATGATTACAGTGGGTACTCGAGTTATCTTGAGGACGAGGAGGAATCTGTGGTGGGCTGGGCGCATTTCGAGGACCATGATGCGTCGTCGTTTGGTTATGACAAGAAGCGTGATGGATACTATGTGGGCCGGCGGTCACGTCGTGGTTTCCTTGGTATCTTTGGCATGGTCCAGAGTGTGTTCTTGGTGTTCAGACTGTTGTGGCGTTGGTGCCGATTCCTGTGCATTCTTTCGACCGCGTTGGGTATTGCCATTTACCGTGGACCGGATGCACTGTTGACGGATCATTAAAAAAAGCAAACGGGCGCTTTTTTTTTTTTTTTTTTTTTTTTTGCATTTCGACTCGGACACACACACACACACACTGCTAGTATCCATATCCACCTTTTTCTTCTCTTTTTCTTTTTCTTTTTCTTTTTTTTCTATACCTGCGCGATTTTCTTGTTTATATCTTTTCTTTCTTTCTTTCTTTTGTAACATTAAGTTACCCGATACCACCCACGACTTTAATGACCCTTTATGATGACCTCTTTTTACTATCAACGAGCTTTGAACCAAGGAAAAATAAATAATAATTGCATTGGATAAAAAAAAAAAAATAGCAAAGAAGACATCATGATTGTCGTTTTTATTAATTAAATGGGCTGAGTTATGTTGTAAATGTATGAAATGTTCATTGGCTCGATACGAAGGGGCAAGGAGATCAGGCCTGCTCCATGTCCAATCGCATCCTTGTTTTTTTTTTTTTTTTTTTTTGTTGTTTTGCTTTGTTTTTGTTTTTGTTTTTGTTTTAGTTATTTTTTTTCATCGTATTCAAGCCTTCTTGGTCGAGCGTTTCTTGGTCGTGCTGGATGAAGACTTCTTGGTGCTGGTAGCGGTAGTGGTGGCGGAGGAAGAGGAGCCATCGGCGGAGGCGACAGTCTTCTTCAAGGTACCATCGGGGTTCAGGTGAGCGTATTTGGAAGGGTCGCTCGAGTAGTTGGAACCGCCGGAGAAGAGCGAGAAGACGACACCGGACATGGAACCAGCAATGATGTAGACCATCCATCTCCTATAATTTTTTTCGTATTAGCAAAACAATGAGGGAGAAGCCAAAAAAAAAAAAAAAAAAAAAAAAAAAAATTGGTTAAGAGATGATATGGTAAACAGAAGGTCAGAAGGTGTAAAGAGTGAGCGAGCGAGAGGTGAAAGCAAGGACTTACGGCATCCAGGAAGTGTACTGTCCGACCCACTCCATGGCATCAGCGTACTTTTCGAACCAACCAGCCCTAATGGTCGACAAGAAATTAAATTAGTTTGTTTTTTCCATTTGGCAAGGGAAGCTGGACACATTCCCACCCTATTCATCAGCAAACGTAGCAGTAGAAAGCGACTTACATCTTTGAGTAGGGGCTCATGGGGCCGTCCATGATGGGATAGAACTGATACTGCTCTTCCTCAATAAAGTTGATCAAGTACTGAGTATCGTTTCTGACATAGGGGATCTGGCGGACTAGATCAAGTAATGACAAGAAAAGACAAAAAGATTGTGAGTTACAGTGCGGATAGAGAAGAAGCAGGATAGTTCCACGGAAGTAAAGCGAAAAAGAAAAAAGAAAAAATGTGCTTACAGTCTCCATCCTTGGCATAGACGACATAGGGAAGACGGGCTGGGCAGAAGAAACGAGCAGCGAGACGAGGGTTTTCCTCGACCCAGACAGTGGCGAATTTGGTCTGGGTCTCGTTCTTCATGGTGATGGCGGCATCGAGGTAGGTCGGGAAGTAGTCAGCACAGGGGGCAGAAATGGACGAGCAGCTGAGAACAATCAACGCGAAGGAAGGAGTATTATCAGTCAGTCATCCTCTGTTTCCAACGGGGAAAATATCTTTCATTCTCCTGCGAGTTCCATTTCGGATCCATCAAGGCGACATTGTTCCCGACTCAAGAAAAACAAAAAAAGAAGGAAGGACTTACAAAGTGACGATGTACTCGCCTTCAAAGATGGTGTCCTTATAGTTGGCGTCTGTGATATTCATGATCACACCGGTGGGATCGGCCACAAAGAGTGGTGGGGCTCCGCCGCCGGTGAGGAGGTTCTTGATGAGGTCGACGTATCCGCCGAGGCCAGTCCTTTCTGGGGGGCCTGAGTTTTGTTGTTCGTCCTCGCGTCCGTACTGTGCAGCTGCTGGGGCGGTCAGCAAAGCAAGGGCGCCGACGAGTGCCGCTGTGGTCTTGAAGAACTTCATTGCGATTGTTGCTGCTCCTGGATGAGATGAGGATGAAGAAGAAGATGAGTGAAGGAGGGGGGTGATGAGGAAGAGGAGAAGGAAGGAAAGAAGAAGAAGAACAAGAGGAGCGTAAAGGAGGGTGTGAATAGGCGAGACAGATAAGGTTCCAGGCCGACGCCCATTGGTCCAGCATGTTCCTCAGACTTCGTGGGATGTTCCCAGGGAAGGAAGCAGACCACTTGCACCGCACCAGCACCAACGCAAGCGATCAGACGCACGCCTTCATAACTCCAGAGTGCTCTCGCTCGCTTTCTACCCCGAGATGGTTTGTTTGGTCTGTATTGCACAAAGCCCGCCCATAGGCTTTGCTGAGGACGTGTGGATGTGTGTGTGGGAAATCCAAGTGCTCTCATCTCATCAAGTCGAAGTTCTCATGTGTCTGTGGACTGGTTGGCTGTCCAATAGGAACACAGCCGTTGGTATGCGCTTCTTGTGCTCACTCCCCAGCAGAAAGGTGTCAAGAGTGAAAGTGAATGTGCGTGTATGAATGAATGTATGCGTATCTGTTAGGAGGAAGAAGCCCAAGGAACACTAGGGAAACATGCATCGGGCATCCCACAAAGGATATCAAGAATATGAATGTCCTGTGCAGCCAATAACATGAACCCAACCGCATAGTTCGACACGAACAAAAAACACCCCCCGCTCGTCCCCATCGCTCCTCGCCCCTTCAAGTCAACTGTCGAAAAGATCCAGTCGATTTCAATGAGGCTCTACGCATTCGGATCCAACGGAAACGGTCAGCTCGGGATCGGATCCGACAAGGACAATGCCATCCCTCAGCCCACCCACTTCTCTTCCATCCCTCATCACAACGATCTTCATCACGATGCACCCCCGTTCCTCGACTTTGCGGCCGGTGGCAATCACACGGCTCTGATCACACGCGACGAACACCAGACCCTATACATGACTGGATCCAACAAGGATAATGAGACTCTTCTGCAGCAGCCCGTTCAGATCTTTACGAAAGTACATCCTAGAGAATTCAAGCGAGAGCAGAGCCTGGAGGATGGCAACAAGGGTATCCAAAAGCGACAGCACCGGTGGCGATCTGTCGCCTGTGGATGGGCCTTTACCATCGCCGTCACTGAACCAGAGCCAACCCTTGATTTGGAGGACACCACAAATACAACACCACGGCATGGACGCGTTGTCCCTACAAGCCGGCTCTACGCCTGGGGATCTGGATCCTTTGGCGAACTCGGTCTCGGATCCACTTGTACCAAAACTGGTCCCACCGCTCTAGAAATCAAAGCTGGATCCTGGGCACGGCGCTTAGACGAAGACGATCAAATAGGTACTCATATGCTCGACATCCTCAAGGTCAGGGCTGGACTACGACATGTTCTGCTCTTGACCAAGGAGAAAATATTCAAGGAAGGAGAAGAAGAGCCGCACAGGACGAGGACGGTGTTAATGGGATGGGGGAGTAATCGACAAGGTCAACTTGGGGTTCTGGAGCGAACGAGTGACAGGACTGTGCCGTTGACAGAGAAGGACCTACGAGGAAAGTTTATGGAACCGACACGCATCTTGATATCCAATATCAGTACTAGCAGCAGCACCAACAAGGGCGATGTAGATACCATGGAAGTACAACACGAAATTGTGGATATGGCATGTGGACAGAGCCATTCATTGGTTTTGTTTTCGGATGGATCCGTGTATTCCTCAGGATTGAACAAATATGGGCAACTTGGTCCCTCTTCTTCCATGATCGAGACGGTCGATCATCCAAAGCAAACGAAGCAGCAAGATTTCAGGATCGGGTTTGAAAAAGTCCAGGGGTTGCCCTTTGTGGACTCTATATCCTGTGGGTGGAATCATAATGCGGCCATGGACACAAGGACCCTACAGGGAACGGGCAGGACAAAGATCTATCTCTGGGGCAGGAATGATCATGGACAGCTTGGGGGTGGCGTACCAGTGATGACTGTGGATCCGGATCTAAACGGCGGAAGCCCAGTCGAGCTTGGCATCTTGCAGGTCCGGATACCAACTGCAACAACTGCAACAGCAGGGCGCTATACAGAGCAAGATGAACTTGAGGAAATTGTCTCGTACAGCTGTGGATCGGAACATACGCTGGCGATGACTCGATCGGGCGATTGCTATGCATGGGGATGGAACGAGCATGGCAATTGTGGAAGCGGTGCCGGTGATAGCAACGAGGATTTGAAGGACGTTCCGACGCCTCGAAAGGTCCAATTTCTGGAGACGACTTCGGTTAATGTTTCGACGGCGACTTTGGCACAGGGGCAAAGATGGGTCGCAGGAGGATATGGCTCCTCGTGGGTTTGGACATAGGCGGATGCCTGGATTCAGCAAGCTATCCATGATCCGAAAGTCTGTGTGGGGGTCACTGTGTAGATTCATTGAGCGTGCATTAGCATCATGTATGCTAACTGCCTGCTTTGCTATCAGCTACAGTATAATAGCCATACCTACAATTTGTATGCTAGAATGTTTGCCAGCCTCTAGGAGAGCAAACTGCATGCTGCCATCGGTTTGTTTTTTGTGTTTGCTGTGATGCTAGGAGCTATGCACTATTCTCTCTGCGCGGCAGTCTTCCAGGAGAGTAGTGCCTCCAGGAAACGATCATGGTTTTTAAAAAAACAATACACGATTATCTATTATATTACTTCTAGATATAGCATTGTTGCCACTGTGAATGGGGTCCATTGACATGACAGCCAGCTGCGAAATGCTACAGCCTGCTCTGAGATCGCCTCACACAGCAGCAGCTTTTAAAAACACCAGAGATCTAAGAAGATATATGGCACACCACACCCAATCAGGATCCGGACCACCCGCATAGTTTCACAAGCACACATTTCAATAAAATGTATCAAAATGAAAGCACTTTATTGTTTATTGAACTGAGAGAGAGAGAGTAAAGCTAACGATTGTAAACGAGGAAAATGTACAAAAGGGAGTGGATAAGGGGGGGGGGTAATCGGTTACGCTGACGTTGCCGAGTTGTTTGCTTCGGCGTCAGCCTTGGCCTTGGCGGCTGCTTCTTGCTTCGCAATGATGATCTTTGCTGTGGCCTCCCAAGCCTGAGCCTGGGTACCACTCTCAGGATCGTAGAATGGGACCTCTCCCGAGACCGTGACCCTGACACCTCTACGATGGTAGGGATTGAAATCTGGCACACCTGTGTGGAAGGTCGAGCGGTTGTCCCAGATCGCAACACTGTTCTTCTCCCAATTGAAGCGAACCTGGTACTGGAGCTTCTTTGCGACCAAGTCGCCCAGGTAATCGAGGATCCATTTGGACTCTGAGGCTGAGACACCGTTGATCTCGCGCGTGAAGACCGGATTGGTGAAGACGGACTTCCAGCCGGTAACAGGGTTGGTGCGGATGACGGGATGGACCGAGTCGTTGAGCTTGCCAAAGGTCTTGCGGCCGTGGGCTTGGATGATAAGCTTGAAGATGTCAGAGGAATGCGTGGCAGTGAGACCCTCGAGAAGGGTCTTGATCGGAGCGGAAAGGTCGTCATAGAGCTCGTAGCCGTTCGACCAGATGGTGTTGCCGCCGGATTCAGGAATCTCTTCAAACTTGAGGATGGAGAACGAGGCTGGTGCGGGCTCGAAGGAGACGTCTGAGTGCCACGAGTCGTTGGTGTTGAAGCGCGACCCGGGGCTATTATATCATGAAGACAGGATGTTAGGCGCGTGTTTTCTGAGAGCTATGAGAGAAGAAGAAGAAAACGCCAGGCTGATGGCTTATTTACCGCAAACGTGAATCCAGGACGATGACCTCAGGATCTTGCTGGTTATGTGGGACAATGGGATGGATGTGAAGGGGGCCCCACCGTCTGCCCAACCTGACGTGCTCCTTGTAGTCGAGGTCATCCTGTTCACGGAAAAAGACGACCCCGCGTTCTGCAATCAGCGCCGCAAGCTCCTCGCTTTGCTGTTCAGTCAGCTGCGACAGCTTGATGCCATGCAACTCGGTTCCGATCTTGGGTGAGTAGTCGATGCGCTTGGTCACGCTCGCGAAGAGAGCCTTCTTCTCTGGATCGGCGCCCTTGCCGGCGACACGGGTAGCGTGGGTGTTGCGCTCGGCCAAGGTGACATCGTTGTCGTCAGCAGAGATGACAATGTTGTTCTCGATAATCGTTGGGGCCATGTTAGGAGTGTGTTTGCCTGCAGTTATGTGGATGAAGCGATAGGTAGTGATTTGTCACTGTTGTAGTGCGAGAGTGTGCTTGCGAGGGGAATTGCTGGTTGTAGTTATTTCTGTTAAGACTTGGTGGGTGAGCGAAGGAGAAATGTGCCGGTCCTTCCCCGGTTCCTTTTATACATTCCTCAGAGAGTAGAGAAGCGGGACATGTAGAGGGTGAGTGCATACACTGGTGTTGAAGTACGATAGATGGATCAATGCCCTACAAACAGCAAACACCTGGTAGCAAATGAACAAAAGTACAGCAGAAATCACGACATATCGTGCCGCGATAACAGAAAGCGACAAATCACCTCTCTTTCGCTTGCTGGCCTTTAGCTTCTTCAACCGAGCGGACGTCGTACGAGAGCAGAGAAGAAGCGCCATTCAGCAGATGATATCTGGAGGATAGACAGCACCGCGCGGATATATTGCACCATAGTCTCATCCGGGGATATCAAAATGGCTCTTGTAACCTTTTTTTTTTTCAGACAAACCCTGTTTCCTTCTACGATGGTGATTGTGCAATTTTTCGGGCTGACACGAAAAAATGAAAAATCGCGTCATGACCAATAGTCTAGTTCCGGTTGATCCTACGCCCGTCACTCATGGCGATCTTCAGGAATCGATTTATATCGTGATTGCTGTGCAGTCGCAGGGGACGTGTCTTTGCAGATAATTAAGATAATTAGCAGACATACAGATCTTAACGGAAATCCTATGAGGCATATGCTTTTGCCTTATCTCCTTTAGTGAGGCATACCGTTTTCTAGGAATATAGAGTTGAGAAATAGAGGCTGGTTTTATCTCTACTTCTCCATCTCGCTTGCTTTTCAAATCAAACTGTCAAGACCCATATGGTTATGTGGTTTTTTTTTTGTTTCTATTAAAAATAAGCTCTACATAGTAATGTTGAATGGATGCACATCTTTAGCCTTTTAGTAGGGGGAAGACGCGGAGGTAGGCTGGCGAGCTTATTTGGTCTTGGTGGTCTTGGGCTTAGTAGTCTTGGGCTTAGTAGTCTTGGGCTTAGTAGTCTTGGGCTTAGTGGTAGACTTTCCGGACCCCTTGACATGGACCGTGATGGCCTCGCGCTTGCCAAAGGCTGCGTGCTCGTCATTGTCTGTGGGGTTGGGGAACTCGGGGATGAGCAAGCTACCGGCGCCTATAACATCAGAGAAAGAGTGAATAGACAGGTTGATAGACTGTTAATTGGGTGATATTCTCGAAGAGGAATCGACGGATATGGTCAGAGGTGTCCTTTTTTCTTTTTTAGTTCCTTACCATAGTTTGCAATCAAGGGCTTAAGACCGGAGATGGATCCACCGTCAGCACCCTTGATCTCGAGATCTGCACAGTTGGAGTACAACTCGCGGTTGCCGATGGCGTTGTTCCAGAGCCACATAAAAGTGACCTTGCCCGAGGGGGCGTTCTTGGGAATCGTGACAGGAACAGAGTAGGCCTGGCCCGATGTAACGCCCTTGAGACAATCACGGATCAAGGTCTTGAGAACGACCCAGGTCTTGCCGTTGTCGTACGACAAAGCCCACTGACAGTGTCCACCGCCATGGGAGGCGCCGACAGAGTAGGCGGTATGGATAGTGTCACCAGCCTTGTAGACGGTGCGCTTGGTATATGGGACAGTGTGCTAGAGAATACGAAGAAACATGAAAGCGACAAGTTGCCGGTCAGATTTAGAGCTGTAAATAAAATGCAGTATGGTGTACATCCAAATGGGAAGAATGGTACCTTGCAGATAGGCTGGTCAATGGAATCGTGGGTTCCAATGGGCGAGTTGATGTTGTAGTCAATGGATTGACCGGCTATATAGGAGAGCCAATGCTAAAGTAAGTAAAACGAGAGCACTTCATATTGTTGAAGCTCCACTTTTAGAAAATATTCAGGACATACGTGGTGGAGCAGGACAGCCAGCAGCAGGTTGATAGCGTCCGCAGGGAGTGGAGAGACCAACGTGGGCCTGGGCGGTCATGGCGGACAAGCAAACCATGGCGGCTGCAACGATGGAGGATTTGAACATCATTTTCAGGGGAATAGAAGTTGGTATGGAGAGATATTTGGATATGACTGGAATTGGCGGGAAAAAGTTCGTTCGGAGGGGGCGGTCGAGGTGTGTGTGGGAGTAGAGGAAGTGGAGTGAATGCAGAACTGAGGGAGGTAAGACAAATCAAAAATCAGGGGAGGCTCAGGGCAGTATTTATATTGGCATGGAGGCAAGTTGTTGAAAGGAGAGAGGACCCTTTCTCGGGGATATAATGACTGGAAGGGTTGTAGTGGATTGTGGTCGGAAGAATCAAGCATGCCAGTGGTCCATGGGTGAATACTTAGGCTCATATGGTCCAGATGGACAAATTTTGCTAGAAATGAGAAGTGGAAGACTTAATGGACCGAGAGCACTTATTTTGATTACGAGCACAACATAAAAAAGGAAAGAAAAGGCGATGCGCATAAAAAAAATAGGCGATGCACTACAGGTTCGCATGCTTAGTTCTACGGGTATTTAGCTGACGAGTTTTTTAGCTCCTCGGAGGGGAACGAATGAGTTCGTCAGGCATAGGATAACATAAGCTGTTTGAGAATGGGTCTAAGGGTAGACCCACCATATAGTCTACCTCCATTTGGATGATGCACTTGGAACAGATGGTCCAACCATTCCGATACTAATGGAAACAAAGTAGTGCAGTGGTGTTCTAGACTAACGTATAGAGTAGACGCCCGCTCAAACCGTCTTTCCCTTGAGGCAAGACTAATGGTCAGACAGCTAAATGTTTGCCCTTCCGTCATGTTCGAATGGACCATTGCCAATAGTCTGCATTAGTAGTGTGTGTATATGTGGCTGTGAAAAACTGCTCGCATCTTGCATGCCTCCGTCAGATGCACTAGATTGCAGTAACAAGGTCAAAAGTTTGTCCCCTTGATTGGCACTACGATAGCATAGGGTATACAGAGCCGCAGGCTATGCAAGCATAGACGCAGCGCATGCCTTGTGCTTAAGCCGTCCAAGTCCAAGTCCAAGATCCATTGACCACTTAGTACTAGAAACACTTCATATTATCGTAATAAGAAGGATAATTCTATTTCGTAATTGCACGACAAACAAAAGGCCTGAGCAATGAGAGAACAACATTACCACCGGTTTATCCACAGAAGTACCGATAGGGGGTCCACCTTTGTACGTTTTGTAGGTTAGCTTCGATTACCATATTTTTAATGTCCGTATAGTACATGTGGTCTGTCATAACCACCTACGAATGCCATGGCCCTCCCTGTGCAGTCTTCGACGTTAGCGCGGATAGTGGACCGAGAAGTGCTAGCTGGATTTTTATCCCCCGAGTTCAACTAAGGTAGACACATCGGTACCCGAGACAGCTACATGAGTAGAAAATGCCTCTCCACGGAAGAAATGTTCTTGGAAGAAATTTGCAGCGAAGTCGAGTTGGGCCAGTTAGGCTCTGGGCTACCAATAGCAATTGTACAAAAAGTACATGCAGTTGACTACGAAGGAGCAGTTTGATGGCTCTAAATCACCTTGAGAGTCAAAGGCCACCGTTTTCATTTGCTTAGCTCACAGTAGTAAATTGCAATTTCATTTCGCAGAGGAATGGAGATCATCACCCAGAGTTCCCCTTGCATTAACAGCGCTATTTTAAAGGGAAGGAGCAGTGAATATTATTCAAGAGCGCAGATATGGTCCCTAGATCTCAGGAGGGGCCTCGAACGCGGCGTGAAAAGAAAAGATTCTCTGTCCTTGAAGCTGCCGTTGGTCTTGTACCTTGCCCTCCCGAAGGGAGAGTGTTAACTAGTAACGGAGTCCTTTTGTCGGGGTGTGTTGATTTTAGGTCAAGGACGACGGGAAGCAAATAACACCTCTTCATCGAAGGGGTTCATGTCATCCCATGTTTGATGCTTGAAGCAAAGCCTGTCCAGTCCTTCATAATCATCAATTGGGACGGATGAGGAAGAGGAAATGCAGGACGACGACGACAGTTTATATTAGACAGGCGACCTACTATCGGTACTGAAGAATAAAGTGCCTGATTCACAGCAGACACTAAAACTACGGACGAAAAAGACCTTTCTACCCTCTGGGATTCACCGTATCTATCATAGCAACAAAAGGAAAACTTCCGAATTGCGAAGGTTGGTAGGCGTTTGGTGATGAAACAGGGACAAAGGTTTCACCACTGTCTCTTATCATTGCTTCGAACCCTGCGTAGCTGATCTACCCTGGAACCTGCAGACAGAGGCCCAAGAACTCCTTCTGGAAAAATAAAGAACAGTGGTCATGGCTAGTTGGTAGTTGCTCGAATACAGTTGGCAACTTTAGTTGGCACTTTCTAATTGGTATTACATGTAGTTGGTACCAATACACCCCTTTTGTCGGTGTGCAACTCCATTTCACAACTGTAATTACTTCAACAGAATGTTCTCAACATATTGGTAGGCTGCAGTTCCATATTCCTCCAGGACCGATATGGGGCGTATGGTTTTTAGGATCAGAATCCTAAAAACTGTGCACTCGCCGATATGATTCTTCTACTATGTAATAGGACTGAAGAAACTCTGTTGAGATTTTATGAGAGCCAGGCCGGTAGTACATGCCGCGCTGTGCGATTCTTGGCAGTCCGATCGTAAAGCGCCCTTCCAAGGTTTCAAAGTTTCGTGATAATTGTAATTTGACGCTGGGCTGGGGGCGCGATCTATATAGTAGTACATGATAATGCAAGGCCATCTATGGCATCTTGATCTCTCCAGAAAGAACTATTGGGTCGCGGAGATAAAAAAAAAAAATGAGGTGGCTGCAGTAGGGTGCTGCTCCCTCTCTACATCGAACAGCAAGATAGAGTCAGTCCACTGTTTACATCTTCCTACCCTTATTTCGGTCACTTGTTTTATCGGGCTAGTCTTCCCTTGCAAAAGATTAACATTCCTTTTATTCTCGCGTCCATTTTTTGCCTTTTACTCCATTCAACCGTTCGGTTCTCCTGCTATCTTTCGCCCACGCCACACATGTATGCACCTAGTGAAACATGGTTTCTTTCTGCCTGTGTGCGGAGAATCGAAACGCGTAATGGATGGTATATTTCTTTCATAGAGGGTTGAGTGATTGAGGGATATAGGTGCAGTTCCCAGGCCGCAGACTGCAGGATGCATCCCTGCAGTTGAACCATTCGGAGTCCAGGAGACATTGAACCCGCAAAATGAGTACAATGAAAGTAGGCCAGTGTCGAACTGCACACAGAATGGTAACTGTGTTGGAACTGATATGCACACTG